TGCAACCTAAATGGGACATGCAAAATAAAGCAAAGCATTCCCACTTTTAAGGGTCCAAAAAACGTGGAGAGCAAGACAGCAAAAGTGGCTATCGACAAATTTTTGCTTCTCCACAAAGAGAGGATAGAAACAAACTAATAATGTAGAGAGGACAGAATTAAGTCAAAACATGGGAATATTTTCCACAGACGTGTGAAAAGCACTTTCTATTATTGACGTAGGAGCAAAAATGCTGATAACACCTCTCCCTTCTGAACACCCTTTCAGAATGAATTGCTGAACTGATTTTGTGACATCCTCATGTAATCAAATCCAATTGGATTACAGGACATTGTGGCATTATCATGCTGGCTGAATGATGTAACCAGCAAGAATAAGATGCAGTTCAAAGAAAAATAAGATCCTGGAACTATGAGTCAATATTGAGCAACTGTGAAAGTGGAAAGCAGAGGAGGGTGTTGGTGTCAGGGGTCATGAAAACATCTTTTTCATTCCAAAAATGTTCCACTGCAAATATTTGGCACAGCAGTAATGTGAGCTTCTACTTTCCACCATGAGGACCATTGCGGAAATAATAGTAGGGGGATTAGTTTATGTAACAACACCTTGCCTCAGTGTGGATTCCAATATATGGCAGGAACATATCCTGTGCTGATGACTGCTTTGCAACAGAAGAAGCTTCACAAATAATGATTTAGGGGAAAGCGAATATGGAAGAGTGAATTTTAAAAGCAGCAAGATGGAGATGGCAATCAGAATGGCACTAATTTAATTGGCCAAGAAGGCAGAAAACATTCATCAAAGAAATAGGTAATGGAAGCTTTAAAAGCTTGAGTTGCTGACGACAATCTTATCTGTGCTGATGTCAAGTGATGACACCACCTGTTGCAGGAGTGGCTAAAATCCTCTTATTTGAAGGAATATGAAGATGCAGGGGGGACTCCAGAACCAGCATCTTTATTTATTCCTATGTTTCTGGATTGACACTGATCTTCATTATTACAAAGTGCACTTTAGTGTAGGCTGGATTCACAGCTATATTACTGTGAATAAAACCACCATGAGTTTTTTTATGTGCCATGCTCCCAATCATGCAAAAGGGCACCTATCCAAAAGAGTCATTTCCAGCAATACCCATACAAAAAATTCTCCCAGAAAGCTGCTGAGAGTAATTGTAGTGATTAAGAGCTATGACCTGCCAGCCCTCAAATGTCAGTTCATCCATCGGCCAGAGCAGCAGCAGACAGCACCCCAACCTCATCTACAGGAAAGAACACACTGTTCCAACTACCAGTTATCTGCGACTGCAAAGCTGGAAAGAGGCACACCCTGTTCTCAGTCAACAGTCAGGTGGCCTAGGGCTACCGAGAGACTGCATCCCCTGCCATGCAGTAAGAACATCTTGACAAGGAACAGGCCAACGTGGCCTCCCTTAATTTGTTTAATCCTCTTTAAAAGCCATCCAAGTTGGTGGCTATTGCTACCTCCTGTAGGAGTGAATTTCATATTTTAACTATTTGCTGTATAAAGAAGTGCTTTATTTTGTTTGTCCTGAATCCTGCAACCTTCAGTTTCATTGTGGATGAGATCCAACAACTTATACTCACTTAAATCAATTGATAGATTTAAGTGAGCATGTGTAATGATTGAAAAAAGCTATAGAGACAAATGCAAAGAAAGAAAGCTGTGAGCTGAATATGCCTTGCCTCCAAAAGCCTCTCTCTGGTAATCTGGTATGGGACAGAAGATTTGCTGCCTAGCAGCCTTGTTGGGAGTGTGCATGCTGTTTGCAAATATTACAAAAGTACCCCCAGAAAGTCTCTGGTGCTCTTTTCGCCAAAGGAATTCCAGTTAGAGTAGTGCTATGTCTGGATTATGCCCCTACTTATGGGAAGCAGATGGCCTAACAAATAACATAACCATGTTGGAGGATCCTCTTACTGGAGGGAAGTTACTGATTGGGAGGGGGAAACCTCTGTGAGTGACCTTGCCCATGCGGTGGTGATACATGGTGGACACATCCTCCCTGCCCAGGGGTATAGGATTGCATCCTATGGAAGCAGCTTCCTACATCACATTGAGCATATGTGTGCATGTATGCTGGCGCATAACAGGCACCGTCATTGAGTTTTATTATTGTATTCACATTTTTACCACAATATGCCATCGAGTCCACAATTGTATGCACAGTTACTTGAGCAGGAACTCCATAAAGTTCATTACTGCTTACTTTTGAGTAAACTTACATTGGATTTGTATGCACAATATACAGTCGAGGATAATTACGCTCTGACTCAAATTGTCCCTGGGATACAAAGGCACAGAGTACTTCAGCATGAGTCATGAGACATTAATGCACTTAGCAGTGCAACCTCAAGCAATATTTAGCATTTGTTTGTTTTGTTTTGACAATTAGAGCATATAGTTTATCACCAGTATCAGGATGAAGGTCAAGGAAGCTGTATAGGGATGCTGATTTTGCCCTATACTCTCTATTCTTGGTACCTGTCCTATTTACATAGATATTAGATGGCACACGGATCCAGGGAGCTTTTCCTTGAGTCATATTTGAATCTCATGATTGGGATTCTTCTTTTGAAGTAATAACAGCCACAGGGGCAAGCAATCCATCTCAGGACTGCAGAAGGGGTGGGGGCAGGGGAGAGAAGAGCTTTCTATCCTTTCTTCTACCACTAGCTTCCTGTTGAAAATGCTTCCCTCCAAAGGCTATTGTTTACTTCAGAAGACCATAGCCAAGTCAATTCCTGCAAATTTGCTATTTGCAACAAATGACAGATTTGGGGCTAAATAGCAACTGGAGGATTTTCAGCAGGAAAATATGTGGATGAGGGCTTCAGTCCTATGGATAACGCCTGACTGAGCACTGTGGGACTTCATTCTGAGTTCTGCAGATGGACAATAGTCAGAAGTAAGCTGTGGCTTTTAACATGAGGGGCTGCTTCGCCAAGTAGTCAGTTTCCCCTACTCAAAATCTCACCCCTGCTCTTTCCCACTCAGACTTGGGGTCTCCCAAAGTTGCTGTTGGTTAAGAACATTTTCTACCTGCTCTTTAACTCAAAAGGCTTTCAGAGTGGCTTACAGATTATTTAAAAACAACAACCACAACTCAAAATAGTCCTTGATGTCAAGCATGGAATAAAAACCATTCAAAAAGAGAAAGAGCCCAATGGAGCTGGTGTCTCCGCAGATCAGATTGAATGACCCTGCTTCCCTGTTCTCCCTCATAAGTCCTGCGAATGATACATGTAGCTGCATATATCATCCACTTTAGCCCAATGAGGCTTTCTGCGGTTTTTTTTAATTGTAGGCACAATATTCATTATTCTCAACAGAATAGTGGGTCTCTTGTTGACTAATCTGCTTCTCTGGGTCTACAGTTAACAGTATCTATTCTCTTATCTGAAAGTGTTGTGTGCTTCCCCATTACCATTACAAATTGTCAGCTGCATTCTGCAGATAGGAAACAGTTCATTCCAGATAAGAGCATATTGTTTTGTTTCTGGAGAGTAGGAAACTATCACAAAATAAAAGGAAGCCTCCGATAAAGGCATCACACACCACTGCCTTTGATTTATACAGGCTCCTGCTGTGAACTGTTATCTGTTAAATTGCCCCTTTGACTGGAAATCAGTATGTCTAAAAGTCAGAATTCAAGCATGAATTCCACTCCTTTTTAAAAAAATTACATCATTTAAAAGATTGCATATATACATTGAATACATACTAAGTTGTTAAAATATCTTCAGTCAAGATTCTTCAAGCATTCTCCCATTCAGGCAGCCAAGAAGCCAGAGCTGGTTAGCTTCTGCAGGAGAACTACATCTTGTGCCTTCAGATCTTTTGAGAAGGCTGGTCTAATCCTCTATATAAAGGGCTGGGTGAGGTTGTATAATGTGATGAAAATCACTCTGCACATGCTCAAAGATGCCCTTTTCATTCCTAATTCACATATTGCAAGCCTAAGCCTGGTAAAGATTTATCTTTTCTCCCAGGCTTTTGATGAACTGAGATAGTGTTGTTTTGCTACTAGTGTGCTGATAAAGCTTCCTGTGACTATCATGGGAGGCTCTGTGTGTGTGTGGTATAATAATGTATTTATGTTTATGTTTTCCAATGTGTTTTAAATCGATTAGGCACCTTTGAGTAACAAGCAAATAAAAATTGTAATCAATGAATAAATAATACGCTGGAGCTTTCAAAACAGATTCAGCCTTGGGGAACCCTAGGCCCTTATCTCAGAGTGTAATACTTCTGAAACTGGTTTTAAACAAAACAATAATATGTAAATTCATATTATATATTTTTAACTCAGTATTTCAAACTCTAAATTGATTGCCAGAAAAAACAGTAGTTTAAACCAGTGAGAAAACAGTCTAACAACTGTAACATGATGATTAACATCAGGTTATAGATTCCAAGGTTTGAAATTATCTTCAGCCAGACCATTGGCCCATCAAGCACCTCTCCAGGAAGTTTTTCCAAGCCTGATACCAGAGATACCTTTATAGTTGCCAGATTTTCAGCTGGAAATATTGCAGGCTATTCAAATAAGCTACCCACTCATAGGATTCAAACCTATAACCTCACAGTCTCAAATCTTGTGAGAGGGCTAGACTCAACTTTTGAGCAGTGCTGGAGGTTTATTTCAATGTGACTGACAAAAAAAATCATCCTTGAAACAACTGCGCCAACAACATACTATACATTTCACATCAAACCCTCCAACCATGACTGCGTAAATTGCTTTCTTTAAAAACCAATGGGTAATAGGGTTTTCACTTTGAAAAAGTCAGCTGGGTCAAATCCTCATATGTGGCCCTTAGATAATAGGTTGCCTTTGTGACATCACAAGTAGCCTTTGTTATGTCGCTAGACATCACTAGTTGCTAAGGGTACATTCTCAACACCTCCCTTGCTGGCTTTAGTTCTTGACAAGGCTTGGCTTTGGTCAGACACTGTTAAGAGAGACCTCCTTCAGCATGGCCTGTTCATCTAATCAAATGAACAGCAGGTAATCTTCTCTCTTTCATTCACTGAAAAAATGGCATTTTAAACCTTAAATATTAAATGACTTAGCAGTCAAAGTACTGAAAATTGCCCAATTTCTGAAGAAAGAAATGGGGATATTTTGTTTCTTCACCTGATGCATATTAAGGAACAAAAATATCATAATGTCACTAGGATGTGTTTAGGTGAAATATATGCCTCTTTTGCCGCTGCTAAATCCAAATTATACCTTTTCAATTAGATTGGGGGGGGGGAGGTCTCAAATAGGATGTCCATTATTCTGAAAGTGGCCATAGCATCTATAAAAATAACAGGTGAATTTTATGAAGCCCCTATTTAAAACATCTATAGATTTTTGTGGGAGAGATAGTAATAGGATGCTATGAAACCTTAATTAAAATTGCTAGTTCCCAAATCCTGGTGATGTCACAAGGCAGAGTGATGTCACAAGGCAGGAGCCTTGTGATGTCACATGGTTGCTAGCTGCAGAAGGACAAACTATAGGTAGTGGGGCAAAGCCCAGTGGTATGAAGGTCCAGAAAAATGGGGGAGGGTAGAATCTGAGGGGAAATGAAATTTTGAATATAAATTGAAAGATCATATTTTCCTTTCCATAAAGATGAGTGAAATATTTTTAAACGTATCCTACAATTACCGTATTTTTCCATGTATAAGATTAGGTTTTTTTCCTTAAAGATGATGTCCAAAATTAGGGGCCGTCTTATACATGAGGGCCATCTCCCCTCATTTTCTTAAATCAGAGTCCCCCAAAATAGGGGGCGTCTTATACATGGGGGCGTCTAGAAAACTCTTAGATCCATGATTCCAGTGCATCATGGATTTATGCTGCATTTGTCTGAATTATTAAAACACACCCAGCAATATTTCACAGATGACGATAGTGACATACTTACATCACCTCAAGTTCCATACCAAGGATCACTGCCTGAGTTTCTCTGCATACTCCGAAGGCACACCATTATGCATTGTTGAAGACTGTACTCCATCTCCTATATTTGTTTTCTCTGCGATATCACCAGTTAACTTGCCATTTGGGCATTATGATTGTAACAAATCTAACCGCAAAAACAGAGAGAGAACATCCTGACTAATTTTGTCCAGCTCCTCCTCACACAGACAAATCCTCAAATGTTACTATCTTATTTTTAGGCATATTTTGTTCTGCATTCATTTAAATCACGCAAACAAAATAAATCCGATTAGGAATCTTCATTCTCCCACCCCGCTTCTTCTTCTCTAAATGTTACAAAGTTGCCTGACATACTAGTGCAATTTTCAGCAAAATTAGCTATTTTCTTCCTACTGTGAAAAGGCAGAATAATTTCAGAATACACAAACTGCACAGACAGGTAATAGGCCCAGGCCAGATGGGAAATGTAGGCCCCATTTCAACCATCTTTACCAAAGGGTCCCCCTTTGCACCTACCAGAGGGGCTTGGGGTGGGCCTCAAAATCGTAGGCCCTAGCCAATTGCTTTGCCTGGCCCCACCTCTGTTCTGGCCTGTAAACAGGCACGGTGTGCAAGGGATTCATGTCAAAATTATACATAACAGGCAGATAGCAAATAATACAGGGCTGCTTTGTGCAGCGGGAAAGCAATTTTCTCCTCACGCATGATTTGTCTGCCTTAATCATCGTCATCACTGCCAAGGAGATGGCATTTCCTGCCTCCTTGTTGAAGTAGATTAGCAGTTATTTTTAACACACATGAAAAATGACTAGAGACCTGCCAAATTTGGGCTGCTTAGTTCAATGCAGTATATATAAAATCCAGTGCTTCTGTTTTACTGCCTCTATCGGGGGCCACATGTCAGCATTGGGAGTGGAGCCAGAGCTACCCCACGCCCCCTCTTAAAAATCTAATCAACTATTCAAAAATCATGTTGCACTTTGAAATTAACTATACTGTCACCATATATTTCAGCCAGCCTAGTTGGAGACAGATGTCATTGCCTTAATAATTTAACGGAGTTGTCTGTTAAACACATAAAAGCAGTGTACAATTTGAAATAATTGTTTGGGAGGAACCTAAGAAAGATGCTACCTAAAATATATTATGACATGCAACGCAATGAGGAAAATAGAAGTCCATATCATATAATTAAAATAAGAAAGGGCAATTGGGAGTATTTATTTATTAATTAAATTTTTGTACCACTCTTCATCTGAGGATCATAGAGCGATTTACAATATAAAAACACAAAAATATGTAACATAGTAATAGACAAAACAGCATCCTCTACAATTTAAAAGACCATAGATGGTTTAATTAGCCAAAAGCCTGGGGAAAGAGGAATGTTTTTGCCTGGCACCTAAAGATATGTAATGAAAGCGCCAGGCTCGCTTCCCTGGTGAGAGTGTTCAACAAACTGGGATATGTTTGGTCAAACAAATAAAGTTACAATGCTTCTGGAGCAGCCTTGATACTCTATGGCTAGGGTCACCTGGGATAAGTAGCAAATTTCCTCCTCAACCCAAAGGTCTCCTTAAGTGCCCCCCTTTCATTTCCCTTTTTGTATAGGTTGTCATTCACTCCTATGAGGAAAATAGTGCTGTACTTGGGGCTGCTGTAGAGTGCGGACATTTAGGGGCCAAATTTATCACTGCATTCTCATTTCGTGCTGTTTACTTCTTCAGGCTCCTTGGAAGTATGTCCTGTACACATTTTAAAAAGATGGTTTTGAAGTTTGAGAGAAGAATTTCGATCTCCATCTATAACAAAATTTCAGTCCACATACTAGGTAGGCGATCTACTTCTTCCTCTATACATCTTTTTGCTATCAATCTGTAGTTCATTTTATTCGCTTGTGTTTGCAAGAGAGAAATGCTTTTAGTTGGTCCATAAACAAAGGGTTACCTACAACTTCTACTACAATTGCCACTCAGTATTTTCATGTGACTAAAGAAACAAGGGAATAGGCTCTTGGCAAGCAAGAGAAGTAATGGCTGTGACGTTAGCATATGAGAGTGCTGGAGGTGAAATCGTTAAACAGGTTACCCAATCAGAACCCAGGGGGGTGGAGTCAGAGGGACTATAAAACCAGCTCTGGGAGGGGTTGAGTTTGTTGGGAGTTGGTTGGAGTGGGGGTGAAGTGGGATAGAGTTTGTGGGGAGGTTGAGTTAGTGTAATGAAATAAGCTGAGTCAGGAATAGTAGGGGCTAGGAAGACAAGTAAATATCTGAGAGGTGGTTTAGTGAGTGAGAGCAGGTAGCGGAAGTTATAGGTCTGGATAGGCACCCCATGAATGTAATTGACCGATACCATTGATGAAACCACACGCTTGTTAAACTGCAATAAATAAACAAAAGTTTATGTTCCAATTTAACCCTGACTGGGCTCAGTATTGTACCAGGTAGGGCCTGGGTGGTGGCAGCGGGAAAGAAAGTGGTGGCACAGGGATCAATAGACGGTGAAATGTTCGGGGACCCTGTGTGATTGCCACAATGGCATCTTGCAGTTTCAACACTTCTGCCCAAGCATCACCACTAGCCTTGGTCCAGGTGGATATAACATTATCAAACCAACTTTTCTCCTCACTCTTCTTCTTCCACTCCTTTGCTTTGTATACGCTGTCTTCTTATATGTAAGCTTGAGGGCAGCCTCGTCTTCACGTTTGGCAAGGATGGGGAATGTGTGGCCAGATGTTGTTGGACTACAAATCGCATCATACATAACTATTGGCAATGCTGGTTGGGAAAGGATTTCGGGAAAATGCTTGCTACCAGCACTAGAACGAATTCTTATTTTCATCTGTTATTACTGACTTATAAATTCAGCCATGTTGATTGTTAATCATTCATTATTAGCTTAAAATTTAAGTCAGTGATAGGGAACCTGTAGTCCTTCATATGCTTCTGGACTACAACTCCCATACCCCTGCTGGCTGAGGCTGATGGGAGTTGGAGCCCAACAACTGGAATGCTGCAGTTTCCCCACCCTTGGTTTAGACCAAAGCATCTCTAGCTTTATGTTATGAGTGCACATTCCACAGTAGAAAGGTCTCGCAGTAGAAAGGTCAAAAGGTTCTGTTATGCTATAACAGCTTTTATCTATTTGTCTGAAGTATACTCAGAATCCATTAATTCTCAGAATCCAGCAGCTCCATGTTGAAATAAACTCTAAAGTGCACTGTTCAATATGGCTAAAAGGTGAGTAAGTTAAAAAATTAAGATCATGCGGCTTGCCCACACAGAGGGCTACTGTTCGTTGAATGCTAGTTTCAATAGGTCAATTTATCAACAATTTCTATTGAAGAAGGCACAGGGCAGGTCTGCAATTTTTCATTCAGCTTGGATATTCAATTATGGTCCTCAAAGTAATGGGTATCTCAGTTCAGAACCATGGGTATTATCTAGATAAATGCAATGCCGGTACTTTTTCTGAACTGACAATATTAAGTTCAAAATACATGTACCATCACCAAACAAGATGGACAAAAACAGTACTTACCACCAGAATCCTTCTGTCCCATCATATATGGGAATAAAATAAATGAAAGCATTTATTGCTTACAAATGAATACTTTATTTTAAAAAAATATTATTCTAGTTCTTAAGTCCAGTTAGCCTTGAAAAAAACAAAAACAAAACTAGAGAAATCATGGTTGAGCCAACATGATGTAAGAGTCAAACACAAAAAAGTATGTACTGTAGAGCTGATACAAAACTCTTCATATACTTTTCTTTTCCTCTGCCCCCCACCCAAGGACAAGAAGACCACTTTGTTCTTCAAATATTCCCCATCATCTCTTATGGTGGCTACCATTTCACACACACATCCATGCCCTGGAATGCTGCTAGGTGCAAGGCATTGTGGAGGATACTGTTGTGAGTTTAGGGTGGAGGGGGTTAGGCTGTATGCCTGAGTCCCTTCTAATTCCTGAATCCAACGAGGATCCAATTGCTGGGATAGCCAGACAAGCTTCTTGATAATGGCCCCCAAAGTATGGGTTGTTAAGGTAACAAAGGAAGTAGTGAGTTAGAAAGACAAAGGCCAGAGTTGAGTGTTAAGGTGCGAGAGCTAGAAGTGAGAAGGCTGCAGACTGAGCTGAACCCTGGATGCCTGGAATCCCTGAAGTCTCACACTTCTCAAAGACTGGGGTGGCATGCAGTAATACAAATAGTAGCCATGCCTACCCCTCTTGCTGCTGCCACTTGCAGGGGCATTTTTAAAAATAGCAACCTTAAGGAAAAAAGAAAGCAGGTTTGCCATGACTGCTGGTAATGGTCAATTCCAACCATGGGAACATGAAATGCCTCTTCACTGGATATTGGATACAATCAATATCTTTAAATAAACTCTTTCAGGTGTAAAAGTAAAGCAACCTACTTAATTATGTTTCAAGCACTCTCCACCACTCTTTTCATTAGAGGAAAGAAAGGTCCCGTTTCTTTTTTGAAGTCTCAAGGTCTCCTACCAATTTGTCTCTGAGAACTCCATTCCTTTCAGCTGCAACAGAATCACATTGCGTTCCTGCTTGCCCCCGCCTACCTTATAGCCAGATACAACTCAGGCTTAAATTGGTATTGGCGTGAGGGAGTCAAGTACCGTATGTTCCTCAAGTGTCCACAGCAAACCAATGTTCTCTCAAGGATATGAAATGAAATAAGGGCAACTTCAATTCCAAAAGCACAGGTGGGCTGCTTATTGTCATGAAGGGCTGAAGCCAGCTTTACATGAGGATTCAAAAAAACATGAAAATGAACTCGTTGCTGAATCATTGGCTGCTTGCTTCCTGGTAATACCTTTCTGATGATTGCTGATCTAAGTGGAGGAGGGATGTGGAACCTGTCATGGGCATAGCCAAGGGGGGCAGAGGGGCAGCTGCCCCCCCATCAATACAAATCAATAAAAATCTGAGGTCCTTATCCCCCTAACAAAAGCCTGCCCCGCTAACCAAACTCCTGCTGGACAACAATATAAATTGAAACATCCGTATTTCCTGAGCTGGCAAGGATGGTGAATGTTGAGCGTCTTAAGTCCAAAGCAAAGGACATAAAATCCCACGAGATAACATAAAAGCCTTCTGGATCCTCCATCAAGATGCTGCTCCCATAATTCCTCACCATTGGCCATACTATCTAGGGCAGATGGAAGTTGGAATCCAGAAACAGCTGACGAGCCACAGGTTCCCCATCCCTGCATTAATATGATCAATCTTATTTACAATCTAGTCAGAGGTCATCTATACCTTCTAATGGGGAACCACTTGTGCAAACAGGTTTAATGTGTACTTCCATTTTCTAATTATCTAATACAATATCTGGCCTGTACATGTGAAACTCTTTTAGAAAGGGTATATATCCTCTCAATCAGTTACTCAGGTGAGGGAGTGAAGGGCTGGATTCAGACCCCTTTACTTCTTCTCCTCCAAATACATGATTGCTGGAGTTTCATTTTTTTTAAAGGCCTATCATGAGCAACAAAATGGTTCATTGCATGATTCTTTGGATCAGCAGCATAGAAACAAAGATAAATTTCTGATACAGTAATGTCTCAGTAGTAATCCATCAAATATGGGACATATGTGTGTGGAAATCCTCCATAGGAATTGTGCATTACTCAGCTGTTAGTGCAGGGTGTCTGCCAGATGATATTTCTACTAGTATGTTGCTAACTGCAATAAAGAGACATTTATATATGAGCAGGATTTTACTGACACATCTTTTGAAAGAGAATCTCACAGTGGGGTTCCTAATAAGCTTATGTTACCATACTTATTGATGACATTTTTAGTTGTTCATTTTCCCTTATGATAAAAAAAGCATATGCTGTAACAGCCTATCTGCTTGACTACTTGTCAAGGAGACTAAAAATCTGTTAAATGGGGGAAACACAATTAGGACATTAACAGAAATGCATTTCTCTCTCTGTGTGTTTATCATACATATGATAGGAAGCTGCCAAATACAGCCAGACCATGCATCCATCTAGCTCAGTATTGCCTCCCCTGGCAGGCAGCAGTTCTCTCCCAGCCTTCCCTGGAAATGTCAGGAATTGAACATGGGACCTTCTGCAAGCAAAACAGATGCTCTACCACTGAGATATGGACCTCCCCCCATATTGCTAATAGCTTTGTAAACTGCAGTAGCTTTGTATCTTGTTTCATTATTATTCCTTACATTTCCAGCATTGAATGCTGAATGCTGTTGCTTATTGAAACCAAAATGGCAGCATCCATATACAAGAGGGCTGTATCAGCAGTCTTGGGGGAATCCTGTTTGCAGAACCACAACAAATATTCAGGGAAATTCCCCCTCCCAACCTATTTCAATGAAACTGAGCTTGCACAATAGGCACAGGACGCTGTCTGTTGGGAGGTGCAAAAAGAAAAAAAGGAGGGGGGAATGGAATATCTTGGAGGAAGGTATGGGTGGGTGGGTGGCACACTAGACAAGAGCACTCAACACTGCAACATTTTGTTGCAGGTTCTATTTGCACATCTTATATCACATTGGTATATTTAATAAGAATTGTTATAAATACACTATATTCAACATATTGCAATTCTTCTGCCCCCACCCCCATGGGGCTCCTCAGTATCATAACTAGTGCAAACTGGTTCAGTGCATAAGTACCGAGTTTCTGGTACAGATGTCACCTCCGTCACAAATGTACTTGGTAGCCTTAGGCAGGCCATTATCACTGAGCTTCAGCCCTGCATCTGTGATGCGAATGTTCATAATAACGCAGTTTTAAAAAAGAAAAGATTACTGCAATAGTAGCTGTGAAGTGCTCCGAGCACTTAGGAAAATGTGCTGTATAAATTCCAAATGAGATTATTTCTGCATTAAATAAAGGGATACAAACAAGATTTCCCATTAAAATTCTACCTGGGAGTAATGGGGCTTACTTCTGAGTTGACACATAAGAGGGTTACACTATTACTTAAACTGCACGACCAAATGCTTATCTTTTTGAAGACAGCATGGAAAAAAGTTATGAGACTTCAGAAGCAAGCCATCCACCATCTACACAAGGATTAAGAAAACGTGTTGTAGACATTGCATCTATTACAGCACTTGTCTTCAACTGGTGGGTCAGGACTCGCTAGAGGGTGGTAGCTCAATTCAAGCTTGGTTGCAAGAGAAGCACTAACACCATGCAAATATGTGGTAAAAGATTAAGGAATGGGTTCCAAAATGCATGTTTGGGTTAAAAGTGGGTCCTGGGCCTAAAATGGGGGTCAGCAAACTTAACATGCCTTGGGCCGGTGTCTCCAGCGCCGATTGCGCAGTGGGCCAGAGGGCAGGGGAGTGCATGCCCATACGCATGCGCACACGCTATTTCCAGTGCACTTCCGGGTTGGAGGAGCACCGGAAATAGCATGTGCACGGGCCTCCTCCGACCTGGATGTGCACCGGAAATAACGCTTGCACATGCGCACAAGCTATTTCTGGTGCTCCTCCAACCCAGAAGTGTGCAGCCGCGCAGCGCCGGTAAGAGCAGGCGGCGGCAGCGGGCCACAGGGGTTGCCGTCAGGCGGATAAACGAGTCCCTGGGGCATTATCCGGCCTGCGGGCCTTAGTTTGGAGACCCCTAGTCTAAAAGGTTGATGATACCCACCTATGTTAGAGGAGTACTTCACAACATCTTCCCTAATGAATGCTTCTAAATTGTTACGCTAATTTTCAACTACTTGTTTTTGAGCAGGTTCTTTCATATTGTGAAGAGTGTTGTTCTCTGCTTCTTTTCATAGCTCAATCCAATAATGTAAACCTCTCAGAAGTCCTAATTGCATTGATTTTGCTGCATTTTATTATGAACGGTCGAAAAAACATTACTGTGAGTTCAGCAAGAGTTCAAGAAATGCTATCATCCAACCACTTCAAAGATAAATGAAATATACATATTAAGTATTTCATAGTATGTTTAGACAAATATATAAAAAAATTATGCCCTCAGCTCATGCCCATGATAATCTATAATTCCTAGTGTCCCCAAAATTATTAAATAATCCTACAGGATTTGAATATTTAATATGCACCTTATACAACCTGTTTCTTAAGATTTGATTTTCCAGAGGCAAATCTGAAGAATAATTTCTACTTTATCTCCTCTCTTGACACTAAGACTCTTGGCAAGGGGGATGTTGGCAAGACTGGGTGTCAGTTCTCCTTCACCAGTACAATCTGTATACTCTGTTTGTTGGGTCACAGTTCCCATCATCCCTGATCACCGGCTAAGCCTGCTGAGAATGATGGGAGCTGTGGTTCAGCAACATCTGGGGACCCAAAGTTGAACAACGCTGATTACCCTTCAAGCTGTCTCACTTTGCTTCTCCCTTATCACTACTTCTCCTACCTCTCCCCAACTGTTGCCCCATTCCATTGTGTCCCCTTCTCTCATCTTCAGTCTCTTTTGATGTCCTTGCAATCTCTGCTTGCAATTACTCAGCTCTCTCCTGCCCTGAAAAGTTTTTCTAGAAGCCTGATTCTACCTGTGGCTAGCAACTTGTCTCCTCGTTTCTCATTATTTCACATTCCCATATTACAATGGAACACTGTGGGAGTGTAGTGGGAGAAAGGGAAGGGAAGTTTTAATGTGTAAGCAGAAGTCATTCCACAAGTGCCATGACTTCACTGAATTTAACCCACATATCCTAATCCCCACCACCTCTGGTCATCCTTATAACCATTGTAGATTCTGTGGTGAAAGGGAGATGATGCAATGTCAACAGAAACACCAAAACAATTCCACTTGGGGGTACTTGTGCCATAAAGTTCAACAGCTAGCAGATAAAGGATCTTTGCTCCCATCTGTTGTTACTATCTACCAGTTCTCATATTGTCCTTCAGTGTGATAGACCAGTCTTCATGTTTTCCTTGTAAAACACTACAATGGATATAATCAAGGCAAAATTTCAATTCACCGACTTCTCATGTTTGATTGCAAAGAGAGTATTTATTTAAAATGCCAGTGAACTCAATAAATGGTAGTGGTATCCAACTGTGGACATTCGTCTTATTACTTCAAAGTTAATTGACTATTCTCAAATAGATCAGAGCTAAATTGATTCTGCATCCCAATGGGGACAGTGGATGATCTTTCCTTAACTGGAATCTAAAGAATTAAATTTAGCCACTGTCTCTTAAGAATGGTGTTGAGTTTTGGGGTGTTTTTTAAGAGGCCTTTTGTCAGAAGAGTAACGTTGATGAGTATTAATTGCTTGCATACCCTACTGGAACTAAATTTAAATATGTGTAAGGGAAATAAATGCATGTTCTTTTCTGTTTATACCCCTGCCTCCATCCACTACTACTTCCGTTGTTTCCCTTGCATCAAAATTTAGGCTGTAAGCTTTGGGGTTGTAAGCTGTCCATTCATGCTCTGAAAAGCACGAGGAGCATTAATGACACTAAATAAAACCGAACCAAAATAAACTCAAAGTATAAAGAATTAAAGTATCTTGTTCTGGAACAGATCATACATTTGAGTCACTATTTATGAAGCAAAAGGCGATGTAGAGACAAAGTCTTCAGAGGGAAGACTCTTTTTTTTAAAAAAAGGAGTTGCTTATTAAACCCAGTTCCACAGTGAAGCACCCTTACAGGATTTCAATGCAAGCTTTTAGGCATGGAAAAAGAACTGGGTCCCCTCCATTTTATAGAAATTCTATAACTGTAGTAAACAAGATGGTTTGCTTACTCTAATTTGGGTGAGCATGTCTATTTACTAGTGTTTGGAAGTCACTTACATAGTAGCTACAAATGTTTTCCTCTGCTGACCACGTTCTCCATTTGGAAGGAACGCACCTATTAGTTCCATGTCATCTGCATCAAATAATTAGAACTGATGGTTTATGTCACTCCTTTTGTTCTGAACGAAACAGGCAATACTGAAGTCCTGATAAACAATGAAGAAGTTTCCAAAGCAACATCTGGGTATATACATTGCTTCAAGAAACAGATACAGGTTTTAATCAGGTTGAACAATTATATTCAAATAGAGTAGACACATCTGCAACTCTTAAATCCCATCAGGAATGGCACAGATTAAAAAACTGAAGTGCTGAGGAATTTGTGTATTTTCTTATTGACTTTGAAAACGTCTCATCCCTCTTTTGATTTGCTTATGAAGAATTTGATACCATTGTTATAAAGATGCATAGGATTCAAGTTGTAGTGTTAATAGCTGAGCTCCTTCCTGATGGTGCTGATAAAATATTCATTTTTAAGATACAGGACACTGAATATTTATATAAGAAATTCAACATTTAACAAGCTCAAGGCAGCAATGAAAGGAAGGTATTCAGCAGAAGTAAAACCTGTGGAATGATGTGGAAATAAGGCACACTAATAGAACTAAGGAATGTTTGAGTAATTATACTATCCACACTCATGATAGAAGACTGCAGGCTATAAGGAAGGCATGTAAGAAATAATGCTGAGAAACCTGGGAGATGTTTTAATTTTTGCTTTTATCAGTTAAAACTGTTATTTGGACCCAAACCTAATTATTACAAATTACACTCACAGTTACTTCAGAATTCAAATCAAAACCCTGAAGGGAAATAAAAATGTGTTTCCTATACACAAACATATGAGACTAAAGAGGTTAATATAATGTGAATTTTAAAACTACAGTGCCTCCTAGTGACAGAAAAAGGTAGCAGATTATTCTGAAGAAGTTAATTAATGTAATAAACCGTGCACTGATTGATGTCACAAACTGATCCTACAGAATCAATCATGGATTCAGCTATTAAAGAGTCCTTCAGAAATGGGAAAGAATACAGATTAACCGCTCAAACTCCATAGAAAACAGTTTACAAGCCAAGAGAGCTGAATGGCGTTCAGAAACAATTTTGATTCTCATGTTTTCTGAAGTGATGTGTAGAAGTTTGAGGACTAGTGAACAGTTTTGTCTTCTTCATGAACATTCCTAATTGCCCACAGGGAAAAATAACTGTGTTGTGAAACATATTGCCCTACCTCACGCCATCACCGTTAGGGCTGGTAGTAATTCTCATGACCTCACGTAGGCAAGGTGGCAGATGCATTTGTGAACACACAAATCACAAGCTGGAACTGCGTGCTTGTGTGTTGCTCAATATTATGTGAACTGGGCCTGAATTTAAAATGAATTATGATCATAAGTGTCCCTTCTTTTGGCAACTTCTATAAGTCCTACCCCCCCCCAGATAATTTATATAAGTAGTCACCCATTTGCAATAGTAAATGGGAGACTGCTTATATAAATTAATTTGCAAAAAACAACAACCCAGCTAAATATAATTTAATCTGCTACACTTAGATCACAAAATAAAGATTAGTGCATGGTAAGTATAGGAGTTGCCTAGAAACAGCATGGTTAAAAAAGTAAAGTTTCACATACTTATCCCCATGTAAGCAAGAAATAAGATATTCAATTATATTATCACTCAATACAGTTATTCAAACCATATTCCCCTCAAAGCTTGTGCCACTGAAATTAATGGAATGTGCTTCCTAATTAATGCATTTGGTATTGATGGCTTTAATAGCATATTAGCACATCCCTTTACCCATCTGCAAAATATTACATGAGTGGAGTTGGCCAATTGCTTTTTTTCTAAAGATACAATTTCTGCTTTCTGAAAACGAATAAAGGGGCTTGCTGCAGAAAAGAGTTTATTTAGAAACAACAGATCCCACTGGACTGTTAACTCAGTGTATGTAATCCTGATGTATTTGAGAATTACATTCTAGAAACAATGGTTTAGTTTACAGCAGTTTTCACGTTATAGTTTTAAATACAACATTTTCTCCTCTAAAGATTGAGCTACCAAAAAAATCACCCATGTCCTAAAAATATTGGTTTTTATTGTGTTTACAAAACAATAATTTGTACAGGCAAAGAGAGACAGCCATTCACACAAATAAGTTTTTTGAATCAAATTCTATACCTTTCCCCCCATTTCCTCCCGCTGAGTGCCTCCCGAAATTGGCTCACGGCAGGTGTTTGGAGAACCCCCAGAACAGCAGGCAGGGGGAGGAGAGGGGGAATCATTCTGTCTGGCAAGCAGCAATGTTGCAATACTGCAGTGCTGAATCCACCCAATGTCTGTGCACTATTGTACGAAGTATGTTTCTTGAGAAAACTATAATTCACTTGACTGGGCTTACTCTCCAAATGTTAAGGATCTTGTAGCTGCCTGCTGTTCTTTGTGCAGGTCTTTTGCTCTATTCTTTAGGGTTTCTGCCTTGGCATCATCCTTCTCAACTCCGTCCCCTAGCTTGTACATTCGGCTAGCGTTGGCACATGCCCATATGTGTCCCAAGTCGCACGCTTTCAGAGAGTATTCCAAAGCCTGGTTCATATCCTTTGGTATCCCAGGGGCTCCTTGGAGATATATTGCACTAAGATTGAAACAGCTGGGGGCAAAACCCCCATCACAAGCTTTACTGTAATAATCCCTGGCTAGGAGTGCGTTGGGCTTCTCATCATCATTGCCCCGTCCATCATGTGCCAGCAGTCCAGTATTGTGACAAGCATCTATGGATTTCTTCCCACCTTTCTCACAAGACTTCAAAAAACAGTTGTAGGCAGTTTTCAAATCTGCAGGGAGCCCACCTGCAGGGAGAAAATGATTTGTTCTATACATAGTTCTTTTCACAGAATTATAGAATTGAAAGGGACCACAAGGATCATGTAGTAGGCCAACCCCCTGCAATGCAGGAGTCCTTTACAACATCCCTGAAAGTAAGTCCAGTGCTACTCCCATACTGCAGCTAAGAGAACTGAGGCAAAAAAACCATCCACTACACTGAGCTACATAAGCTTTCAATAACCTTACTTGGATTGCTTTTCCTTTTACATAGAGATACAATGGGTTGTAGAGAGGGATGTTCTTTCTTACCTTTTCCAGTAACATAGTAGGCTCCAAGTTTGTAGCAGCTCTCACTGTGCAGGTTTTTTTCACAATTGTCCTTTAGTACTTTAGCAGCTCCCTCAAAGTTTTTCTTTACTCCCTCTAGGTACTCAGCAAGACGGTGACAACCTGTGGTTTCACAATGAAGGAAACTTAAGGTATGATCATGCCATCCCCATTTTTGTGCTTCACTTGCAATCTTTGGTTTCTTCCTTGTTTGATTTTGTTTTTATCAGTTAGGACAGGGTGTTGATTGCCTCCAACATCTGCTACCTGGTAATGTAGTGAAAGGCATAAAATGGGCTGACTTCCGAGTCTGAAATGGGATTGACCAATAGGTCCTAATGTTATATTTCCATATAAAATAAAAAGTAAAAAGGGACTGATACCTACTGACTCAGTTTGGATGATCCAATCTTAAAGCCAAAATGTGAATGAAAACTTTATTCACACATACACCATTACTTTGAGGTGCAAAAAATCAAACCAGGAAGTCTCTAATTAGCCATGTTTCCTGTCTCTTCTGAATTCTGGAAACATGGGTTACTAGCTTCAGAAAATATGGGGAGATTTAACTATGCTTTAAAGTTAGCTTAAGTTCCTTGCTTGTTCCAATGCTGGTAACCATAATTTCCTGGTTTGGTGGAAACAGGCAACTATGGGAAGTTTGACTGCTTGCTAAGCAAAGGGAGGAGCGAAGGGGCTGCGTGCACAGGTAACAAAATTAGAATACAGTACTGATTTGCCCAGTAGTCCTTTCCTTAAGCTCCTGAGAACTTTTACCTAAATCTATTTGAAAGGCCTGTTGATCTCTGCCCAACTTCTTTTAGAGCAAAGATGGGGAAACCAGATGTTGATGGCTGGAACATATGGGCATTGTAGTCACCTAGAGGGTAATGGTTTTCTCACCACTGCTTCAGATTAAGGCTTCTTAAATGTGCAGCCGGTTTGTTTTGAAAGCTACTCATAATTTCAGTACTGCAGATAATAATAATAATAATAATAATAATAATAATAATAATAATAATTTATTATTTATACCCCGCCCATCTGGCTGGGCTTCCCCATCCACTCTGGGCGGCTTCCAAAAGAATATTAAAATACATCAAACATTAAAAGCTTCCCTAAACAGGGCTGCCTTCAGATGTCTTCTAAAGGCCTGGTGGTAGTTGTTCTCTTTGACATCTGGTGGGAGGGTGTTCCACAGGGAAGGCGCCACTACTGAGAAGGCTCTCTGCCTGGTTCCCTGTAACTTGGCTTCTCGCAGTGAGGGAACCGCCCGAAGGCCCTCGGTGCTGGACCTCAGTGTCCGGGTAGAACGATGGGGGTGGAGATGCTCCTTCAGATACTACGGTAAAGCTTCTACTCAAAAACCCGAGGATGAAATACCCATTTTTTTGGTTAGTCTGCTGCAAGGTTACAAATAAATCAAGGTGGCAGAATAAATGTGGGACCTGCTTTCATTATCTTTATGTAACCTATGCTTATGTGACACACCCAAGAAAACAAACACATTTATTCAAAAGTAAATACCCTGAATTAATTGTGCAGAGCTACGCACATCTACTCAGAAATAAATCCCGCCGAGTTCAATGGGGCTTACTCCCAGGTAACTGGACAGAGAGGACTGCAGCCTGCATGTCCAGCGCTGGGGAAAACGTCGTAGACCAAACAATGTTGGCCACGCGGCTACTTCCACCTTACCGTCAGGATCTTTCTCCTTATAGCACTGGAAGCTGAACTCCACACCCAGATTGTCTAAGTACTCCTTCACCTCCTCTTCATCCTCGAAGTTGATCAGCCCAGCCATTTCTCTGCAAAGAAGGGAAGGGGAGGAAGGAAAACGCACAGCATATACTTGCGCTTCTCCCTGCAAGGTGAAAGCGTCCCAGGAAATCTTGCGCCCCTGCACCAGGCGGAAGAAAATCAGCGACGTACACGGCATAGGCAACTTCCGCTCTGCCCTTCGGGAGGAAACGAAGGGGTTGAAGAGGCGGGTGGTAGCCTGTTGAGTCGCAGCGCAAGCTATAAGCATAGGCATTCACACAGAAATAGCTGAAACTGCTCGTCCCAGTGACAAGTTGTAGAGGAGCAGCAGCTGTGTTAGAGTGCAATCTTACACATATTTACCGGGGATTAAATTTCATTGTGCTCAGCGCGCTTACTCCCAGGAAAGTAATGCCACATGCATGTTTACATATTAGTGTAAGCTCCACGGAAACATGTATAGGATCGCGCTGTAAAACAGTAATCCCGCCCCCCCAAAACCCCCTGCTTGTAGCAAGATGGGTTGTTTTCACGGACTCTAAGCCTACCTGAGAAGCACGAGTAGAATAGCAACCGTCTCTAATTTTTTTGTGCAAGGCTCAAATCTAAATGAACACAGTGACAATTCAAAACAGCGGTTACTAGTACAGTAATAACAAAACACCCCACCTTTGGTATGCTGCTTTAAAATAGGCGTTGGAAGAGAAATCCCTGGTTTTGATTGAGTCCTTAATATCATGATGAATACATCAAACTTGCTGTAAGGCTCCCAAAAAGGAAACCAAAGATGTGCAAAACTTCTTGCATATTTGGATGGGCGGGCCGGGGGACCTTGAATATGCTTACGCAAATGTATAAGGAAATTCAGATTGAATGCTAATTTTGATAGCAGCTGCTTTTAGGACCATAACAGAGGCAGTTTCTCACATGACTGCAGAACTCAGAAGCTTGCTCACAAATTTGTGACACTTTGGTTAATTGAAATAATTATGATAATACGGCTTTTGAATTCCCTTATATGAATGATAAATCTCAAAATATGTGAGTAGAAGAGGAAGCTGGTTTTTCTCCAATCTAGTGCATTTGTTGCCTGGAGGTTGTTTTACTGTACTTCAGTGGTAAAGAATAGGTTGTTTTATGGTTTTATTCTCATTCCTGCTATTGATTTTCTTTAAACTCTTTGCTAACAGCGATTGCATCTAAACTCTGGTTTTATACGTACTATTTTGCTGCGTGTGGTGTGGTGTTTTAAACTCCCCGTGTAAGCCTCTTACAAAGTGGCCTAGAAATTTTACAAAATATATATTTAATGTGTCAGAGATTATATCTGCCTCGAAGCTTCACTATCTAAGTCAGGATCCCTGTCTCGCGGTTACTCTGTAGTAAGGGGAACTACTCTGTACAGGCCTAGGGGCTCTCTTTTTTTGAATGATTTGACTGAATGACATCACTTTTATCAGTTATCTGTTCTGGCCCCGGAAACCCAGGGGGGACTGTCCATCACTCAGGCGGGCTGCCAGCCTATACCCACTTATCGGGAAGAGCAAGGGGCACTGAATTCAATGGGAACTCCTGTCTGATAGCGTTGCACGACCAATGCCATCTTTGCTCGGGCATGTTGGAAGGCTTCCCGGGTGCCGGAGCGCGTCTCCTTTAAAGGAGGCGGGAGCTGTGTGGGTGTTTGCTGGTGTTTCTCCTTTCGTTTTTTTCCGCCGGCTCCGCCGAGGCAAATTCACTTCCAGGTCGAGGGTGGCAGCTGGGCTGGGGGGCCCCGGCTCGCTCCTGTCGCTGGTCGGGGCCCGCCCCTGAAGAGCAGCAACAGCAACAGCAGCAAGAGACTGAGGACGGAGGGTCCCCGGCGCAGAAATGGTGAGGGGGCCGGGAGAGCGTGGCTCGGGGGTGGGAAGAGGAGAGCGCCGAGTATGTACGGAGAGGGAGGAGGGGGTGGGAGAAGCAGCCGCTTGGATTTCAGACCGATGGAAAAATCCGGAATACTCTTCCCTCCCCCTACACCGGTATACCTATCTGAGCCGTCACAAATGCGGATCTTGCTTTGGCAAAGGCAAGAATTGCTTACCCGTCAGCCTCCATCTACCCAGACGGGGAGGGGGATTTTTGCGCGCGTGGAAGCCTGCCCAGTTTGGTCAACCCCGAGGTGGTTAATGGGTGTTAGCGGGGTGGTTCGTCTCTGCCAGCCCACCTGAATAGGCATAAGGAGAGCGTGGGGCGGAGGCGGGATGCGAATAAACCTGGTGGGAACTGGAGGGTAGCGCTAGGATCAGGCGATTGGAACAGGGGAGAATTCCCCGAGGGAAGTGCTTGGGAATATGGCATGCTCAAGAGAAGGCTCTGCATCTCGACCAGCAGATACCTGCCCCCCATTCCTATGCACCATTTGCTGCTGCGAATTAGAAACACTATTCCTGCTGTAAACATAACATTGAAAGTTGAGGCTGGGAAGACCCGCTCTTAAGTCACCTTGATGGAGAGTCTGACAGGCCACTGGAAGCAAAGGAACAGATAACCAAGTGATCTTGGCCTAGTAGATCCTGGTTTTGGCCTGGTTTTTGTAGCTATTGTAGTGCTGTTTTGTTGCCAGGCATCCCCGTGTGGTGAGAAAATAATCGCCAGCCTTCCTGGAAACTGAGAGGGGGCGGGCAAAGACTGACTGGGCCGTTTCATGGAGAATCCTGTGGGACACTGCTGCAGAGTGACAGACTTGCTGCAAAGAAAAATTCAGTTTGGAAAACTGCTCACCACACAGGATAACCCTGTTGAACAGAGGATGTATTGGAGTACTAGGACTGGCTGATTTAATAATCTCTTTTATACATTATCGCTGCAGCTTCTAGTAATGTCACGCCACTTTTCACCCAGCAGCCTCCATGTGCTTACAGTAGCATGTTGTAACTTCATGCCACTGAAGGGGAGGAATCCTGTGGACTCTGCTGTGTTAACTGGGTTGCTAGATGCCTAGGAAGACGGTGCCCCTATATACTGAATAGTTTTGCAGAAGAGGGAATCTTTAAGACTGTATGGGCAGCTTTGGCACTGTATCTGATGCTACTGCTTTGTGAGTGAAAACAATTAACAATAGTAGTTAAACCATAATTTTTATATTGGGAAACAATGTGTATGGGAATGTTTAAGATATATCAGTTTGTCACATTTTCATCACAAAGCTATATAAAAATGGTCGTAAAAATAGCAGATTTTTTGAGTGCATGTGAAGTGGACATTGCAGTCCATTGGAATGTTTCAGACCACCCCGATCTCTGCAGAGCAGTGTGAGATTCCAGGAGTCTTGGCACACCAGAGACTGTAGTGTCTTTATTAAATATGGTTTATTTACACAAATTTACACCTGAGTCCATCTGGAAAGAGGGTTCCGGGCATCACATCTCAAGAGGGGCTTGCTCCCCACAGCAGCGTAGCATTGGATTCAAAGGTAGCCAAAACACCATCTCTCTGTCTCCTCCACACAGCTGGTCTAACCATCAGCCTGCATGGCATCTTGTTCCCTCCTCTTTCCCCAAATCCTTGCTAAAATGCAACCCCCCGCCCCAATTTACAGTTTAATATTGTAGAACTCTGTCATACAATTTTGCTGAACATGCTTATTGCCCCTAGAGTTCAGCACTTTAGGATGAACAATAATGGTCCTTATCTGTGTGACAATTATGCTAGAAAATATAACCTACCATTTTGTTGTTTTTAAACTGAATGGTTACTCTTTTAAGATACTTTTGAGTGTGAGACACAACACAGTGTTGGGATGTGGAAAGTCATGTGAATCTGAAGCTTTCCATTTGCTCACCATAGAGAAATCGCTACATAAAGAATGCAATTCCAGTTAGACTAGCAGTGCATTTCTTAAGACAAAGACACAGTAGTTTGCCTTATTTTCTTTTAAATAATAAGATTCTGAAGCAAATCTGATTTTAAATGAATATATATTAAGTGGCAGAATGGAGCTGTATTTTAAGTTCTCTTGTCTGCCCCCTCTCCACTCACTCCCTGGTTCAGAATGAAGGAGAAACATTAAAATTGTAGTTTCACAGCTTTATCACAGCTAGGATTATTGCTTTTCAAGAAGGCTTTAAATAATTCTAATGAATTTGGGAATGCTGTGGTGGCGGCCATAGATCAAATTATAGTTCAGCTACTAAAAATAGTGACTGGCTGCTGAGGTCCACCCCCCTTATTGTGTAATTAATCAGAGAGTTGTGGTCCTTGGCATAACATAAGCAAGTAATGATCTATATTTAATAAATAATCTAGAAATCATTTTGTCAAAACACATACATTTACTTGGTATATATTATTTAAATAGAACACTTTCTTAAGATGAGTGCCTGGAACTGTTCTGAGAAAGTGAAGTTGAATAATATCCTCAATTCTTAGAACAGCCTGATCCAAGAGGGCAAGTTCAATGGGTTGTGCTTCAGGGAATTAACACCTGATCCATGTATTCTATTAACCCAGTCCCCATGAACCAGATTGTTATCAAGGGCTGCTGATCCTGCAGCAGTGCAATCTTAATGGATGCCTGTCTTCTTTTAAACCCTTTAAACTTTTATACCATCATCATTGCCATCAATATGTTTGTTACGACGACGACAGTTATAAACTTCTTTCATAGTTGACAGGTGCACCAGTCTCCCTTGCTCAATGTTTTGCTTAACGTGTAGACCAAATACAGGGCCTGTGCTGAGAATATCCTAATGCTAATAGACTCTTGACTTTTGTTATTCCATGTAAGAAAACACATTCCATAGGGGTCATTAATTCTACTTCCTCTGCCAAACATTATTTCTTCTTCTTCTTCTCCTTCTTCTTCTTTTGTTGTCCTACCACAGCTGCTGGCAGAGAATGCCAAATCTAAAAATCAAAGTGAAAATAAATTTGCATTAAAATTTCACATTCCTTCACAAGCCAAAATATGTCTGTGCTGCTGGTATGTTTCTTTGTGCTGGAAGGTTTTGTAGAATGAAATTGTGATTTATATACAAAAATAGCTTGTGGGTAGCTGCTGCTGCTATTAAGAACTCTGGTCTAATTATTTTTAGTAGCTGCATATTCCCACAAGAATAATAAATTGACTGCTATAAGTTTGAAGCTTCTGAGACTATTACTTTATAATTATTTAAAGTTTTGAAAACATTAATGTTCATCAGAATCACAAAACACATGCATTTTTCACCAAATGGATATTCTCTGCCTACTTTCAAGTTATCACTGAGAATATCCTTTTAGCCAGACAATCATTACTGATCTCATTAGATTTTTCAAGCAGCAATGTGTGATTTGTTGTTGTTTAGTCATTTAGTTGTGTCTGATTCTTCGTGGCCCCATGGACCAGAGCACTGATTAGTGCTGGTTATTTTCATGAGCAAAGCACACTTGCTATCAGTAGGTGGAACTTTTTCTCTTGATCCATTCAGCTTCTAATCTTTGACCCACCTTGCTGACTCACTGTAGCTTATTTAATCAGTGGGGGAGAAATTCCTAGTAGTGGTAGCCTACCCCCCGAAATGTTATTGCTCTGTGACCTATGGGTGCAATCTTCAGACCACAATCTGTTTTTGTGCAGTTCGTTGTTTGCTCAGTTATCACAGCCACAATGCTGATAACTCAAAGTACTTATTGCTTTTTCTTCTTCTAGCAATAAGATACTTTTTTATGTTGCACAATTGTAATACATGTTCAAAAACCAAGATTCAGCAGTGTTATTGTTTTCTGGAGGAACGGTAAAGCTCTGCAGGAGATGTGTGTGGTTGAAATTTAAATTCCCTTGCGCATGTAGCTAAGATTTCATTTTCAAATTAAAGGGAACTGCATATGCTGTGCCTTTATAAGGACTGAATGTGTTTTGTTTAACTGCTGGTTTGAGTTTATCAAGACACTTATGTGAGGCAGATGAAACAAAATAACAGAAGATATTAAGCTGAAATAAAAGGGAAGTGCTGTTAAGCCAAGTTGGTGCATTGGGAAGAAATTAGCACTACTATTTTTAAAATTGGCTGGGGGAGTATGTGCTAGCCCACTGAGCCTGCTTTTTGTCTGTGGTGAAGGTGATTCACAGTGTTTGTATTATTCCCTTAAAGCTTTAGTGAAAGCTAAAGTACTGAACATTGCAGGCTTACATATAGGATATGTAAGTAAAATAGTAAATAACCTGGGCAATTCTTTGTATTAAGAAGGCGGCCTGATGTTATAGTCCTTGACTATCTTGGCTTTATTTAAAATGATACATGCATCATTAGACCATGGAAATGGGGAAAGAAACAAAGCCAAGGAATCATTGTAGCTATATTTCAAAAGGGAAGTTGAATAACTTTCCTGTGTTCTGTGGTGGAATCTACACACATTTAAAAACCATTCTGAAAATGCTTGCTTTAAAGCATTTTTAAAAATACATTGAATTTTCCTTAAGGCTCACCATCACCATCTAGTGTCATGTTGTATATTTCACTTAAAACACACTTAAAACATTTTATTTGCAGCTGTATAGCTGAGTCCTGTGTCTTCCATGTGTTTTCTGACATCTTACTTCAGCAACTTTGTTAAAAGATTTAAAAATCTGGTTTAAACACTAACAGTTGATGGTTTGATATGAAAAACTTATTAGGGCATAGTTTGTTTATGATTTTCAGTTTTATACATTTCAATAATTTTACAATCATTTTAACATTTTTAAACTCTATTTCCTTTCCCCTCTTTCTGAGGTTCCTTAACTTTATTTTTAATATTTTCTGCATATCCAAATTAACTTAATTTACTCATTTATTCATCTACTTTAAATATATACTCTTATAAAACTGCAGGCTATTAGAGTAATCCTGCCAATATTCTTATCTGTTTACAACTTGCTGTAATTCCATGATTGTCACCAGTGCATTCAAAATTGTCATTTTATCAATTGGTATTTTAGGTATTCCACTGTCCTCTAGATATTTTTTGTATTTCATCTAAATTGCCCTGTTCCACTTGTTATAATTATGTATAAAATCTCACGAATTGATCTCTTATGTCTTTAGGATTTTCCACAACTCTACCTCCTATATTAATTTTATATAGGATTTCTCTTGCCTTTTTTATTTGCTATACTGATAATTTCATGGCCTTAGGGTATAGGAAGAGAAAGGTGAGCTTGAGCAACTGAATCCTATCTTAAAAACCATAATCCATGGAATAAAAAAAGAGTTGTAAAGCTCTAAGTTGCTTGAGCCAGTTTAGTTGAACATATTACTGTACTCCTAGTCATCAAATCAGGATTGTACTTCCAGCAGAAAATTGTAGCGTTTACATATTGACTGAGAGTCCTGGAAGACCTGCTCCCTGCCTTTTCCCACCTGGCCTGGAAGGAGGGCAGGACCTTGACTGACTCCAGCTACAAAAGCTGAAGCTGCTGAAGAGGCCAGACACCATCTTGACAGGCTCATAGTTAAATGTGCATTCTGTAGTTCACCTCCTTTGTGATGTTTTATTTTGAAACCTTTAAGATAACGTTTTAGTTTCCTGTTAATTATGTTGCTTTGAATGTATACTTTATATTCAACTTTCTTGTGTAATATTTTATTATAGATTGTTTTATGTGAAGTTTTAGTGTAGGTTGTAAACCGCTTTGAGATGTTTTCTTAAAAATATAGTCGTATAGCAATGAGACATGGATAATAATACTGATAATATACTACTACTACTACTAATTTTGCACTTAAATACAATTCTATGCATTATTCTTCAGAATTTCCTGGCTCTTATGGTGCCAGGGAATATCCTTGCCACTTGCATGAGAGCATTATGCATGCATAATTCTTGGTCCCTGCCACTTCTGACCCCTCCATATTTTTCTGCAATAATTGGGGAAGGACAGGGTAAAGATACCTTGTCTTCTCATCCCTCCTAGCCCCAGTGCTACAGAAGAGCCCTATTGGATCTGAACCAAAGGCCCATCTAGTTCAGCATCCTGTCCTGTTCTCATAGTGGCCAGCCAGATTTCTCTCTCTCTCTTTGCTATTACTGCAACTAATAATTATGATAAGTGCTTATCATTACTTATCTCATTTATAAATTGCTTCCTATGAAGCACCTCAAAGTTATTTCAAATTACAATAAAAATATGCAAAACAACTACGTAAAATCCAATACAGATGCTGACAAGGATAAAAATTCCACTTAGAAGTCTTGTTCAAAGAGGAAAGTCTTTAACATGTAGCCTGAGGACAAGAGATGGTGTCTGTCTAATATGTAGGGGAAGTACCAAATGGCAGGTGTTGCCACGCTAAAGACTCAATTTTGACATCATGCGCAATGAACCTCTTCATAGAATGGCCTCCTCAAGGTGCCCCCTTCTGCAGAATGCAGTCATTAGTCAGGTATATAAGGGATGAGACAACTACCTCTGTGAAACCCGCAGGCAGGAAGTGAGTGCAACATCATCCTCTCCACTTGTGATTCCCAGCAACTGGTATTCAGAGGCAGAGTACTAGAGGTAGGGCATAGCCATTGTGCCTGGTAGCCTTTGCTACCTTTATGTCCTCCATGGCTTTGTCTTAATTTATTTCCACTCTGACAATAAATGATTCTTAGGGCCGTAACTTGCAATTACTTCATTTCAGCCAATTTGTATTGTCTCAACTTTTTACATGCATGTGTAAAAGACTATTCCTATCATTGTCACATAAAACACCCTTCGAGTCCAATTTCTGCCTCCCAAAGGATCCTTTTAGCGGTGGTTGGAATTGTTCGCCCCTCACCCAGACCCTTCTGACAGTGATGGGAGCTTGCACCCCACTGCAAATGATTTGTGGGGAGTTACTTGTTTTGTGATGGACTGTTGCTTTTCCTAAAAAACAATAAAATATCTGGCATTTTCTTTCTTTGTAACAGGAAGAGGCTTCACCATATTCTCTGCTTGACATCTGCTTAAATTACCTAACTTCCGACCTAGAGAAGTTTTGTACAGAAAGGCATGATGGTTCACTATGTTTGCAAGAGCCTGGAATATTTCCACAAGAAGTGGCTGACCGATTGCTGCGAACGATGGCATTTCACGGTAAACGAATTCACCTGGCGGTTCTGATTAAATGGAATGTTTGGAAATAGTGATTTGATTTACCTGCATGTTTGGACACATGACATCGTTCTTTGGCGCTGCTTCAGCAGCTGTGGCACAAGTCAGATTTGTGCCATTAGATCTAATTGAGCCCTCTGGGTTAGGCAAGTAAGGCAGAGTCACAAGACTCTGCTACACTTAACTACTGAAAATTCATTTGTGCTGTTGAAAATCCTGGATGCAGAGTTGTCATTTCACAATATTTAGGGCTCAGTTAACTTCAGTATCTCTCCCTATCATGTCCCCTCTTTGCTTACATCTTTCTCTGCTGGAAAAAAAGCCCTTGCATTGTACAGTTGAGACTGCACATTGATTCTATGGGAGTCGTATGGGCACTGCGAGCTGGATCCTGTATGGCAATCTTATCTTTTCTATGCTGAAACCTGGCATACATTGTGGGTACCAAGCTTCAGCATGGCAAATGGTAGGATTATGTTGATGATGTTTCTCCAGTACCACATGCCTGTTGAAACCACTCTTGAGGGGGAAAAGGGAGGTTATCAGAATCAGGAGTGCATAAAACTCTCTCCTCTTCTCTGGCAAGCCTGTCCTTCTGTTCTAGGCCCAGTCTCTTTTTTCCAGTTTAAAAACAAAATCTCTGATAAGTTTGTTTGTTTACTGTTCTTCCCTCCCACCCCAGGACTGCTGAATGAAGCAACAGTGGGCATTTTTCGAGGGAATCAGATGCGCTTGAAACGAGCTTGTATCCGGAAAGCAAAAATCTCTGCAGTGGCTTTTCGGAAAGCGTTTTGCCACCATAAGCTGGTGGAGCTTGATGCCACTAAAGTGAATGCAGACATTACGATCACAGACATCATCAGTGGACTTGGCAGCAATAAATGGATCCAGCAAAACCTTCAATGCCTTGTGCTGAACTCATTAACTCTTTCCTTGGAAGACCCCTACGAAAGGTGCTTCAGTCAGCTGATGGGTCTCCGTGCTTTGAGCATTACCAATGTTCTCTTTTACAATGAAGACCTAGCGGACGTGGCTTCGCTTCCCAGATTAGAAAGCTTGGATATATCCAACACCTCAGTCACCGACATAACTGCACTGCTCGCCTGCAAGGATCGCCTCAAGTCTCTCACCATGCACCACCTGAAATGCTTGAAAATGACAACCACTCAGATTCTGGATGTCATCAGAGAGTTAAAATTCCTGAATCACCTTGACATTTCGGACGATAAACAGTTCACATCTGATATTGCGCTTCGTTTGTTAGAACAGAAAGACATATTGCCCAACCTTACATCTTTGGACATTTCAGGAAGGAAGCATGTTACTGATGAAGCTGTAGAAGCATTTGTTAAACAGCGACCCTCAATGCAGTTTGTGGGCCTGCTGGCTACGGATGCTGGCTACTCATTATTTCTCTCTGGCGAAGGAAACTTAAAGGTTGGTATTTGTTTGTTACACAATTCTAAATAGTTGTCAACTAAGTTTGACTTGCCGGGGGGCGGGGCTCAGAGCTTCAAATCCTGGTGATTAATGGGTCAGTTCTAATGGCAGTGTGTGTGTGTGTGTGTGTGTGAGAGAGAGAGAGAGAGAGAGAGAGAGAGAGAGATCATTGGCTTCAGAGTGCTGCTAAACCACCGAGCCCATAGATCAGCAAAAGGTCTACCACTCTGACAGTGTCATCGTTCACATTTTGCAGCATGAAAAGAACTAAATCTGCCCCCTCCACCAAATCTTGCAGCTGGGACTGAGGTGGAGCCCTGCAGGCTTTCCTCATTTCCAAAATGTATTGTTGGGAAATCAAGCCACTGCCATCCCTGTCTCTCTGTCTCTCAGCAGCAATTTACTGTATTCTGCTTGTTCTACTGCCCTCTTTACTCTGGGATTCAGTTGGTTGGTTCACTAAGGCTCATAGCTGTCAAAGTTTCCCTTTTTTAAAGGGAAATTCCCTTATTCCGAATAGGATTCCTCGCAAGAAAAGGGAAAAGTGGACAGCTATGCTAAGGCTCTGGGCACTGCTTCTTCCTCGTATAAACATCACTCATTGCCTGTTAGATTGGGTTACTGTTGTTGTTTTTTCATTGTAAGTTCCTCAGAGGTCTCAGTGGGAACATATGACAGGGTAGAAATTTCATAAATGCATAGTAAAATTATGCGCATGTAGAACATGAATCAAAGCAGCAGGCATGCCACCCCATTTTCCTGAGAATCTTCCACTCAAAGGTATTGCTACAAAAAACCTCTCAAACGGCCCTTTCTGCGTAGGAAATAGAGGCTTGTTTAGAGGGGAAATGGCACGTGTGCATGTATATTATTATTTTCTTTTTCTTTTTCTGCTCCTTAACAGTTCTTGAGGAAAAACTGTGGTGTATAGGTTTTGAGGCGCATTATCTGATTGTTTTGCAGTTTCTCTGAGATGCCGCTTTTAAGGGTAAAAGTTTAAGAGAAATGGAAGTGCTCATAGATGGTGTGCTGTCTTTGCCCCGTAGAACACAGCATGAGAGAGGCTAGTCCCCCAAGAGTGCTTACCTCTTCTTCTGCAGCCTCATTTGTCAATTTCCTTTCCTTATGGTGTATAAAATTAGTTAACCTGTTCTTAAAAGCCCCAGCACCATAGCAATGACCATAACTTCAGCTGCTTTTATTGGCTGGGAGAGGACTATTGCTCAGCTGTTCCCACCACCCACCACCTCCTGCCAAGGCGCACAGCAGGGAGAAGTGCCTGGTGCTGTGCTACTCTCCTTGAAGAAATGGAGAATAATTCCTTGCCCAGCAGCAAAGGAAATAGTGAAATGGTCATTCTGTACCTGTTAGTATGTTGTCTTTTGCAGCCCATGATCAACGTTACCTCTCTGCCTAGTTGATAATTCTTGAAATACTGCATCTACATTTATAGAACTGTACTGCTCAGTTAGTTCTGTAAAGACATGATTGGTAGCAATTTGTTAGCCGTGCATACAATATATAAATGGCACTGTAGATTGCATGAAGAGCAAAGACTGTTTTACTTATGCTTGATTGTCATATAAAACTGAGTGGAAACCTCAGTTCAGCAGAAATTGTCATACAACAAGAAGAACAAGTCAACCTTGAAACATTTATATTATTTAATTACTTCAGCTTTCTTTTGCCACTACTGCAAACTCAGCGATGGAAAGAGGAGAAAATGCTGACAAAAGTGGACTGGCAGATGAAATTATTAGAGTATGCAGAGATGGCAAGATTGACAGGGAAAATCAGAACTCAGGAGGTTCAAAACTTCAATAGGGAATGGGACAAATATAGACTGTACTTAAAAGAACACTGTAATCACTTGAGTTCTATGACAGGCTTTTAGTAACTCTTGCAATGTTACAAAGACTTGGGATATTTTGGAGGACCATAATGTGGAAGAACTATAATATGCAGTTGATTTAGATATGTAAAGCACCCATGGAGGGGAGGAGGGAGGTCCTAAGATTCAGAAGAATCTTGTTTGATTTTAAAATTTAATGTGGTAAATGTGAAATTTATTTTGTAAAATCAATAAAAAAGTATATATTTAAAAAAACTACTGCAAACTCCAGTATGTTCTCTAGTATTTGTTCTTCTGTTCAAGGTGTCTGGAGAAGCCAATGAAACTCAGATTTCCGAAGCTCTGAAGCGTTACAGTGAGCGAGCGTTCTTTGTGAGGGAGGCACTCTTTCATCTCTTCAACCTTACGCATATTATGGAAAAAACCAAACCAGAAATTCTAAAGGTAAAGCTATTTGAGACTGATAAGAAATCACCCTTTGCAGGCATCACTTTGTAAAGGTAACCTTGGGCTGTCTTCACTAAACTGCAGATAAAATCCAACAAAATGTGTGCGCACGCTGGTAAATTTGCAGGGGGTGGGAAGAGAAAAGAGGATACATTAAAGGTAAATAGTCAGAAGTTCAGATAAAAATGGATATACTATTTACATGGGTTATACTTACTTGAGGGGCATGAGGGATATGTTGTGGAGAGAGAGAGAGAGAGAGAAGAGAATTAATAAGATTGCCACTGGCATCGGGTTGGCCACTGTGAGAACAGGAAGTGGCGCTAGATGGGCCTTGGGTCTCATCTGGCAGGGCTGCTGTTACATTTTTGTGATGAAATGGTAGCCAACTCCATTTAGTTCTGTCTTTGAATGTGGGTCACTGCCAAACAGCTGTGACCAAAAGTAGAGATTGCTGAATCCTCCCCTCCCCTCTGTCTTAGTGGTTCAGCATGGCTGGGAGGTGGGGAAGAATGCCTGGATGTAATCTAATGTATATGATCAGAAAATATATGCAAGGAGCACAATATACCTGCAGGTGAGTACTCTGGGTTTTCCTTCTCAAACGTTCCTCAGACAGAATTTCTCTCCCACTGCCATAACGGTTTCCTCATAATTGCCACTCCTGGCAAATAAGAAGGAGAAAGGAGAGGGCAGGCCATCTGACTGATGTAGTCTCCATTCAGGGAATGAAATGGTTGCTCTGTTCCTCTTTGCTTTGAAAATTTTAATGGTACTGCAACAGGTTTTGGGTGGCAATGTGTAGATCTGTAGCAATGGCTTGTTTAAAAGGCCTCAGGACGAGTTAAGCTTACTTTGCTTAGGATATTGGTGGCTGATTCTGTGCATGTGACTATGTGTATTAGGAAATTCTAATTTGACCTGTTTTGACTGATTCTTCCAGCTTGTAGTTATTGGGATGAGGAATCACCCTCTGAACTTGCCAGTGCAATTAGCAGCGAGTGCCTGTGTGTTTAACTTGACAAAACAAGATTTAGCTGCAGGCATGCCAGTTAGGGTCCTGGCAGATGTCACTCACTTGCTCCTTAAGGCCATGGAACACTTTCCCAATCACCAACAGGTAAGCCTCCTTTTCTCTTTCAAGATAAGGTGCTTGAATATTTCTGAACACTGAACTTTTTTTTTTTTAAGTATTTTAGTTCAAACTTCTTATACAAGATGAAATTAATGAGATGAAGAAACTAATGTTAAAACTGACTGCAAAGAACAGAAGTGAATGATGTCTAGTTGGAAATGTCTTCAGGCCAAATGGTTTCTGCTTTTCGAAACCATAAGTTATCCAATGTTAATCAATCTCAGGGTAGACCCATAAAAATTGATGGACCTAATTGGTCATATGCATTAATTTCAATGGGCTTACTCCGAGTATGATAAATATTGAAATCAACCCTGTGGATAGAATTCAGTGTCACACTGTGATGAATGTTCTGCCTATGCAAGTACAGTAATCCTGCAACTTGCTAACATTTAACTTGTACGCATTGAGCTCTGGTATACCTATGAGGAGGAGGAGACTGCAAGCTTTTGTTTCTAATTTAAATTAGTTGCATTTCTTAGCGCACTTGAAATCATTTTTATTCAAGAACATCTTTTGTTACTGGTTTTTAAATCTGTGTATATAACTAACTTTTATAAATCCTTTTAGGCATGCTCCTTTTTATATATAGACTACATTGCTGGTATCTTAGTATTTTTATATATACTTCTGTAAGTCACTTTGTGAGAAGATTTTATAAATGATAGAGTATAATTCAAAAAAGTAAATTAAAAAACTTAAGTGCCTGGTAGACTCTGATAAATTATAAAGGTCTATGCACCTGTTCACACCATCCTGTTTCACTGTATTTCACTTCTAAGCAAATACATTTGCAAATGACATTATCAAATCATAAAAGGAATATTTGTGATTACTTAGATTCATCTTGAAAGAAGGAAATGCTCAAAATTCCTGCATGAGAAATATTCTGTTCTGAACCTTGCTTTGCTTTTCTGCAGCTGCAAAAGAACTGCCTTCTGTCACTGTGCAGTGACAGGATACTTCAGGATGTTCCATTTAACAGGTTAGTTTTACCTCCCAAGTTACAGAGAAGTAGGGAAAGTATTTCAGGTTGTTGAATGTCTTATGTCTCATTGCTTAGCAGTTTGTAAACTGATTATTCCTCCTTGGAATATAACAAGTTCTTATCAGAACTTGGGAACCAATTATTAAATAACTGTAACAGTTTAATTTTGACTGCATGTATACACTGTTATGAAATACATGTGTCCGTTTGCTAGATCCAGGTGGATTGCCATTTTCTTTTTGGATGCTGGTTTTAAAAACTTGGTTCTAAGCAAGGGTGTACAGTTTGACTGCACTGTACATCAAGAGACTGTGGATTTTGTGGATTAATGAAAGTGGCTTGTATCATATGCAGAAGTCTGCCTAGTAGGGATGGCAATACTTAAAGCATAAATGCCAATGAAGATTGTTACCTGCCAACTTCTGACTACGTTTGAGCCATTGTCCCTATTTATAGATATTAGAAAATCCACCTACTACCTTATGCTATAGTAGCATGTAATTACATGCTACCTAAAGACGTGTGCATCATAGCTCTTGTAATCTCACTTTTAATGCAAACGTTTCTAGCCTTTTTTGTTTTGAGCACTTACTGGAAAAGGTTTGGAAAGGGGGATGGATATGGTTTCCAGAAGTTGCTTTCTCATGATTCATGTATCCATTCCCTCTTACTCTAGTCTCTGCACTCTTCCCTCTTTTTGACAGAGATCTGAATTTCTAACCCTCAGTAATACAAGAAAAGTTGTTTAATTCTCTCCTTGGTTTTTTGAGCGTATGTAGATGTGCAAAGCACATGTTTGTCCCAATAATAGTATTTTGTTGTTGTTGTTAGTCTGAGGCTAGTAGGAGTGAAAGTGTTGTTGGTTGTGCTTCAAGTCAGACAGCACAATGGGGGAGCAAGGAGCAAGCACACATTCTTGGTGTGTTGAAAACTGCCCCCCCAACTTTGTGGGTAGCCTGAAGCATAGCAGTGGGTTTGGCAAGCCAGCAGGATGAGAGTATAACCCTTGGGAAATATGCTACTGATTCTGACCACAAGCAGATTTGTGTGACCTGGGAGGAAGATGATGTTGGCACGGAGCCAATGCAGGTTGGTTTGCTGACTTTGTCACACCACTGAGGCTTTCTTTTAATCCCTCCCCAGCTGAAGTTCAGGGAGTTTGTGTCCCCAGTGTGTGTGTTTTAAGGAGACTGGGTGCCCATTCCTCCTTGCTTCTCGAAACATCAAGTCTTTAGCCTTGTGGCTAAATTCTATATAGGTACATTATGACAAATCATAAAGCACAACACAGAACCCAGCTCCGTATCTTTCAGTCATGAGGAGTTGCTAAAAAAGTCCATAACTACCCATGCCAAATGTGTCGGCTTAGTAAAAACTCCTTTCATCAATCACTGACAAATTGGGATTTTTAGCACTTGTTGCTTATCAGCTCAATCCAAGGCCATCCCCTGAAGATGGAGACAGTGGGTGGTGCGAAGACCAGCTCTATCACGTTGCTGCACTGAAATGGCGTGCTCCTTTTACAGTCTGATAAAGAAAACCAAACGGAAGCCATTTTGCTTATTATAAGCATCTAAGGCTGGCGTTTTAAAGTTTTTCTGTATACTTTTGTCCAGTGCTTTTTTTCTGGGGGGATGCATACCGCTAAACATTTTGTGAATCTTTGTACTTTTGTCTATTTACTGTATTTATTTTTCCTGATTTGAAGTATTAAATGGCGATTTTCTTGAGTCAAAATGAGAGTATCCCTAAACATTTCTTTTGTAGGAAAAAAGCACTGCTTTTGTCTTTGTAGCAGTAACCTAGTCACTTCTGTTTCACTGCCAATAACAGATGGTATGGTTTTATTCCCCCCACCCCCAGATTTGTGAACTTTCTGTTGCCTTTCAGGTTTGAAGCAGCCAAGCTTGTCATGCAGTGGCTTTGTAACCATGAAGATCAGAATATGCAGAGAATGGCAGTGGCTATCATCTCCATTCTGGCTGCAAAGGTGGGATATTTTATTTTATTTGTTTTAAAAACTTGTTTCCTGTCCTTCATTGTAAGACCCCAGGGTGGGTTACAGCTGTAAACACCTAAAATGAGAAGCATAAAACACAGTTAAAGATCAATTATCTGCTAAACAGTTTCCCAGAGTGAAAAAGGGCCTGGAGAAAAAAAACAAGCCTTCAATTGGTGTTTAAAACGAGACAATAATGGCACCAGCCAAGCCTCTAGGGCCAAGGTAGCTCTCTGATAGTGTCAGTGACCCTCTGACTTCCCTCCCCACTGGCACTATCAGCAAGGCCTTCCCAATCAATCTCAACTCATGGGCAGGGACAGTATGGCGGGAAGCACTCCCATCAGGTGCCTGGATTCCAAGCCATGGAGGGCTCTATATGCCAAAAGCATGTAGCAAATAGGAGCACACATCTTTTAGGACTTGATGCTATATGGTCTCCAAATGCTGAACCTAACAAAACTCTGGCATCTGCATTTGCATGCTGCCACATACAAACAGTATTCAAGGGCAACTCCAAGTAGAGTGTCCATTGCAGTCATTTAGAGAGAGGGTTATTAGGGCACGGTTCACTGTGGCTAGGCTACCCTGTCCTGGAACGGCTGTAGCTGGCAAGCTAGCTGTAGCTGGAAACAGGCCCTCTGTGCCACTGAAGCCACCCTGATTTCCAGAGACAAGGTGAATCTAGGAGTACCCTTGGACTATGAATCTGGATTGGGAGTGCACCCCAATCCAGAATAAGCCACCTACTTAATTCCTGGACTTGGGAACCACTAGTCCAGAGTATCTCCTTCTTGTTTGGATTCAGTTTGTTCATTGGCCTTCATCTAGCCTGTTACTGCCTCTAGGACAGTGATCAAGCATCTACATAGCTTCACCTCATTCAGGTGGCAAAGAGAAGCAGAGCTGGGTGTCATCTGTGTACTAGTGGCACCTTGTCCTCAATCTTCTGATGACAACTCTACTAGCTTCATAAAGATGAAGACATAGGCGTCCCCAATGCAATGTTTGCACTTAAGTCCCAAGGCCCTTCTAGCAGTAATCTGATATTTCTGCTTGTTTGCTTTTTTTGCTTGTAGCTCTCAACAGAACAAACAGCTCAACTTGGTGCAGAGCTCTTCATTGTTAAGGTAAGTGAAGTGCTAGCACCTTTCTGAAATGCTATCGATTTGTAACACTCCATCTGCAATGTTGTTCCAGTTAACAGTGTTTTTTTAAACAAAATAAAAAATGGGCCTTGGTATGACCAACTTAAAAATGTGTATTGGAAAAATGAGAATATTAAATGTTTTATGTTCTTTAAAAGTATTCTAATAAATATTAACCCATATGCCTGGTAGCCCCACTTAGCGGCAAATGTACAGGCAGAAGAGACTGGTGTGATTACTTCAAATCCAGGGTGGGGGCAGAATCCATTGAGTTTACTCCTGAACTTTGCTTTTGACCTCTAGCATCTGTGGATGTATTGCTGTTTCTGGTGTTGAAAGGTTAATCTCCTTTATTTATTAATCATTGTGCTCAAGAGGACAAAGTGCTCTTCAGTGTTTTACTTAGCAGGACTAACAGTGTGACATTAGAGGGGTAGACCATGCTGCTCAAATAAGTTAATGTGCAGGCAGGCAGACAGCCTGTGGACTTGGTACCTGTGGCCCTCTAGACTAACTTCCACGTGACCCACTCCCTTGTCGGCCTTGGACCCATAAATCTGTGATGGATCTAGCGTTCATACATTCAATCTTCTAAATTGGAGGAGAATTTGGCTTCTTGTATTAATTGTGAGCCTCCAACAGCTGGATTTTGAAATGTGAATGTCATTTGCAAAGGCACCTGTTTTTTCCTCTCTATCTCTTTTAGCAACTACTTCAAATTGTGAAGCAAAAAACTAACCAGAATGTAGTAGACACTACTCTTAAGTTTACACTGAGTGCACTTTGGAATCTTACTGATGAGTCCCCAACCACATGTCGGCACTTTATTGAAAACCAAGGGCTGGAACTCTTCATGAAAGTCTTGGAGGTGAGAGCTGACAGTTCTGTCTGCCAGTATGTGCCTGTCTATTTCTGTATCTGCAGATTCCAGCATCTGCACAGAGACCCTGTAGGTTGCAGTATGTAGGTCTGGCTGGGCAGCATCAGGTAGGGTCTCTCTGCTCATGATAGATAGAAACCTATAGCTGCCATAAAATAGTATCTGCCAAACCCACTGCAAATAAGATTGGGCAGGCTACTGCTAGCCCTGGGAAACGGGAGGAAAGCAATTGCAGGGGTTATTGGGCTCAGATGAGGTGCATCCTCTGCTGAACATCCTCTATGCCCACCCAATTCCCCTTCCCGAAACAATTGTTTCATAGGCTAAGGGGGATTGGTGGGCCTGGCCAAAAGCATTGTGGGAGGAAGGGGAAGAAGAGACAAATTGGGGTTGTCTCACCTCTGTTCTTGCGGCTGTTCCTTAAGAGGAAAATGCTTTCTGGAAGGCTTCTTCCTTCCTCTGCTCTGGGACCACTGGAGGAAAGCAAAGGAGGAGAGCCTTCATGAATGTGCCCATTCCCAAGAAGCAGCCATAGCAAAAGAGTGATGCGCCCCCTTCCATTCCTCTTAAGGCTCACTCCAGATCCTGCTCTTTTCCCTTCCCACAGAAGCCCCCTTAACTAAAAGGCTTGCAAGTGCTCTTTGGTGTATGCTTCTTTCTGTCCCAGCCCTTCTTAGTTTGGGGGCAGTGAAGCTGGGGTGTAGGGGCTGAACCTGCACTGTCAAGCCAATAATGAACTATTTAATGTGCAGAAACCCCACAATTCCCTGAGACTTTTCGCAGGCACCTGCTTGTTCTAAAATAATTGGCTACAAATCACTTACTGAATGGTTGCATATACTTTGTTTTACTTTACAGTCTTTTCCATCGGAGTCTTCTGTACAACAGAAAGTGCTTGGCCTTCTGGTAAGATGAGTGGAAGAATATATATTTTACCAGGGCATTGGAAATGCCGGTTTTCTCTTCTCTCTGCCAACGTCTTCCCCTCACCATCCTGACATTTAACACTACACAGAATAAATTACTTTATATATAAGAAGACACCCCCCCAAGTGGTATTTAACATGTAGACTGAACCATTGGGAGCAGTCATTAGGCAGTTTGGGGCCAGGTGTCATCATTATTTCTGATTTCACTTGGCTCTGTTTCTTCATAACATCTGAATTAGGAGAGGCTACATAGGCTTTGTGCCAGTGTCTAGATGCGGGCAAGTAAATTGAGTTTGAATTCCAGCAAGATAGAGGTGGGAGAGTGATTTCTGTGTCCGAGTGCCAGTTGCACTTCATGTGAAGGAGTAGGTGTGCAGTTTGGAGGTGATCCTGGATCCAGCTCTGCCACTGGAGGTCCAGGCGACCATCTTCCATCCGCTTTGACTGGTGCAACAGTGGCAGCCATTCCTGTGGTCTGTGGAATAACTTGATCACAGTCATCCAGGTATTGGTAACTTCCCAAGAGTGGATTACTGCAGTGCACTTGCGGGGCTTCCCTTGCAGTGGGCCCAGAAGCTGCCATTAGTGCAGAATGCTGCATCGTGATTGCTGAACAGGAGTGAGATCTTGCAAGGATATTGCATCTCTGCTCAAAGGTCCGCACTGACTGCCAATTTACTGCTGAGCCATGTTCGAGGTCTTACTATTCGTATATAAAGCCCTTAACTACTTGGGACCAGTTCACTTGAGTGAGTGCCTTGCGCCCCACTCCCCCAAATATGTCTACTCAACCACTTTTGATTTGCAAAACTTGCACTCTAGCAAGTACCATACAACATGTTCTACCTCTGTGGTGTAGTGGTTAAGAGCGGTAGACTCGTAATCTGGTGAACCGGGTTTGCATCTCCGCTCCTCCACATGCTGCTGCTGGGTGACCTTGGGCTAGTCACACTTCTCTGAAGTCTCTCAGCCCCACTCACTTCACAGAGTGTTTGTTGAGGGGGAGGAAGGGAAAGGAGACTGTTAGCCGCTTTGAGACTCCTTCGGGTAGTGATAAAGTGGGATATCAAATCCAAACTCCTCTTCTCTGGAATACAGCTTTCAGAGTGGCAGTGCCTGTGCTCTGCCTGTGTTCTACCTGTTAATGTTAGGCAGACCCCTCCTTCTGCTAGTTTAGATACCTGATAAAAACTTTGGTTTCTGCAAGTCAGCCTGGACACATGAACAAGTTATGTATAACCGTTTTAAAACTTTGCTCATTTTACTTGTATACTGATAAATGTTTCAAATTGTTCTATGTACATCACTTTGGAGTTATTTGATTAAGCAGGTTTTCAAATTCTTATTTTCAAAAATGACAACCTAGTTTCATTTAGGGTTGTATGCAAATCCTCCCCCCCCCCCCCCGAATTGTACAGTTATGCTCACAGATGGCTGGGAGTGAGGCATTTCCCCAACATTCAGTGTTTATGAGCCAAGATTGTTGCCACTGTGGGAGGCCCTTACCTTTAGCAGTTGTGATGGGAACAGCTTTTCTGTTTTATTTGTTAAAACTATGTTGCTGAAGATGTAGCCACTGTGTTCTTAAACCCCCCTCCCACCGGCAATGGCCTCCAAGCAGTGCCATTCATGGACAGGCGGTGGCAAAGCATGCAGGCCGCTCTGAGTTATCCATGCACTTGTCACTCTGATAACTTATCTGTAGTAATGATTGAAAATGTACAAGTTGGAGCAGGCCGATCCCAGCTTAGTCTAATTTGACATGAGACAGGTTTGACGTTCATTATGGCTTCAGCTTTTATGAAGAGAACAAGCATTTTAATGACAGATACCTTTGTATACACACACACGCAACTGTTTTTCGTTCATTTTGAAATCCCTCCTTCTTGTTCCCCTGTAGAACAATATAGCAGAGGTTAAAGAGCTCCACTCGGAGCTTATGTGGAAAGACTTCATAGACCACATCAGCAAGCTGCTGCGCAGTGTTGAGGTGGAGGTGAGCTACTTCGCAGCAGGGATCATTGCTCACTTGATATCACGAGGAGAACAAGCCTGGACATTGAGCCGCAACCAGAGAACCTCGCTCCTAGAAGAGCTGGTACAGATGCAATTGAAAACACTGCCCATTGTTAACTCCAGAGCAATGTTGTTAACGCTATGAGTAATGGTGCTCCTTCCCTTGTCTTGCAGCATTCTGCCATTTTGAACTGGCCTACACCAGAATGTGAAATGGTGGCTTACAGGTAACTACAGACTTGACATAAACCTTGAGGAAATATGAAGGTTAACTTGCTGCACATTGTATTGTTTCTACCTTAGTTCAAGTGTTCTGGCTTATGACAAAGTCACATTGCTAGTTAACCATTAAAGCAGGGGTCAGCAAACTTTTTCAGCAGGGGACCGGTCCACTGTCCCTCAGACATTGTGGGGGGCCGGACTATATTTTGGAAAAAAACAACGAACAAATTCCTATGCCCCACAAATAACCCAGAGATGCGTTTTAAATAAAAGGGCACATTCTACTCATGGAAAAACACGCTGATTCCCGGACCACCTGAGGGCTGGATTTAGAAGGTGATTGGGCCGGATTTGGCCCCCGGGCCTTAGGTTGCCTACCTATGCATTAAAGCTTCAAGCCTATATACATTTACCTGGGAATAAGGCCCAATGAACTCAGGAGGAGTTATTTCTGAGTGGATGTGTGCAGGATTGCACCGTTCACTTGCAACGCCTCTGCAGTGCAATCCTGTGCATGCTTACTCAGAAGTAACTCCAGTTGTGTTCAGTGGTGGTTATGCTCCAATATGCAAAGTATCATAGCCCTACTGAATTTAGTACTAATGCTGCTGAGACAGATTACAGCAATTAATATAATTGCTGTACATTCTAATGCTATGAACAGGCACATAAAATTACGCTGGCATTTTCTACTTGGAGGCCCACTGCGGCTTTTAGCAGGGAGGGATTGACTGGGCAGGTGTTGAAGAAAGTGGTACTGTAGTATGTGACTCTTCTGAAGAAAACCTCCGTAGACCTTGAGGTGTTAGATAACTGCCGCCCAGCCACAAATATTCAGAACACGAAGGACCATTTAGCTAATAATTAGTTGCTGCTGTTGTAATTCTGCCTGGCAACGTATTAACTGGGGGATGAACTACCACACAGATCTGTGTAAAATGTTTTTGCTTCTCTCCCCCCCCCCCCACATCTGGAGCAATAAGGGTGTGAAAAGAGCTGCTTAAGCTTTACCTTCAGACAGTTTTTCTGTTCAAAATTGCAATTTTTGGCTGATTTCCTTACTGCAAAGAAGATGCAGGCAACCCTTTCCTTGCACCATCCCTCTGCTCGAGGTTGCAGCCTCCAGAGTGTGATTTTTGTTTAAAAAAATACATGCAACGTATTGCATCTAGTTTGTGTCTAAAGATTTCTACCTGGTTTCTCTCCCTTCCTTTGTTGGAAGTACATATCCCTGTAGAAATGATATTGAAGGGGTGCAGTGATGAGATTTAGCTGCACATCAGACGGTGCCAGGCTGTGCGTGGATTCCTATGCCCATAGGTTAAGATGTTGTCTCCTCGTGTACTCCAGTTTGGAACAAGAACTGTAGGTCAGAAGAAAATGGAAGCAGTTCAGGCCTCTTTGATTACCCTCTTTTTCACAAGCTAGGTAGATATTTTAGTACAAAATAGGCTTATGTTTTAATCATGTTGCAAACATAGAGTGATGGCATCTCTGCTTTTTATCCTCGTGAACAGGTCTTTCAATCCCTTTTTCCCCTTGCTTGGCTGCTTCATGACTCCTGGGGTACAGCTGTGGGCAGTGTGGGCCATGCAGCACGTTTGCAGCAAAAACCGTATGTACTGAGACAAAACTCTACATCTTAAGCACCTCTTTCAACCTGTAGTTGGAGTGATTTCCAGACTCTGTATTTTTGCGATCTTGAGCCATGTCTCTGCTTTAACACTCAATTTTCTTTAGAGAAAGCAATCTGACAACAATTCTAGATATTATATGTGAAACTTCATATCAGATAAGCTCATGGGTTTTAACACAGGTTAAAAATGCAGAGTTGTTGTTGCTGTTGGTGTGTGTGTGTTCTAAATATATATGTTTCTATGTGTCAGTGTGAATCAGTGGATGGAGTCTTGGACTTTAATCAAGGCTGAAATTCCTCAGGCTATGAAGCACACTTGACAAATCTCTCTCTCTCAAATCTACCTCACAGAATCATTGTGAGGATAAACTACTGGAATAAAACCTGAAAACAAATGTAATAATAATAATAATAATAATTTTTTTAAAAAGTAATTTATTACAGTGGTACCTTGGGTTACATACGCTTCAGGTTACATACGCTTCAGGTTACAGACTCTGTTAACCCAGAAATAGTGCTTCAGGTTAAGCACTTTGCTTCAGGATGAGAACAGAAATCGTGCTCCGGCGGCGCAGCAGCAGCAGGAGGCCCCATTAGCTAAAGTGGTGCTTCAGGTTAAGAACAGTTTCAGGTTAAGTACGGACCTCCGAAACGAATGTAGTACTTAACCTGAGGTACCACTGTATTTATACCCTGCCCATCTGGCTGGGTTTCCCCAGCCACTCTAATACAGCATCAGACATTAAAAACTTCCCTAAACAGGGCTGCCTTCAGTTGTCTTTTAAAAGTAAAATAGTTGTTTATTGCCTTGACATCTGCTGGGAGGGCGTTCCACAGGGCAGGCGCCACTACCGAGAAGGCCCTCTGCCTGGTTCCCTGTAACCTCACTTCTTGCAGCGCAGGAACCAATGATAAATGCATTGATAAATTGGATCACTTGGAAGTTAGCACTTGTTCAGAAACGAAAAAAAGAGCTAGCACTAACTGCTCACTTGGTCACCCCCCAGGATAGGACACAAATATATTCAACTTACCTCCTTAGAGAAATACTACAGGGGTCCATAAAAAAGAAATAGAAAGCTAGTCCTTGAATGGCAGTCAAGAAGCCATTGCGGGTACAACAGGGGTGTGGTGCCAGCTTTAAAGAGTGGGGAGGCTTAGACTGGGAGAAATGAGAAGGTTCTGTGATGTAGGAAGATGGGCTTGAAAGAGCAAGGAGCTCAATCAGGTTGGGAGGAGTTTAGAAGTTTTGTTCATCACCTCTCTAAATCCACGGAGGTAGGATTGCAGGCATGTGGAAGAATTAAGCTGTCCCTTGGCCTCTTTTGGATTGGATTCTTAGTTATTGTTCTCTCTCTTCTACACCACCCTCCTGAGTCTGAGCATGTGGAAGAGACAGTTTCCATTCCTGAAGCATGTAATCGGCACCTGCGAATATCACCTGAGGACATCCTTAATGGTGGCTTTGCAACTGCTATCCCTTCAATAAGAAGAGCATGGAGGAGGACTGGGGAACACTTGCTTTTACTATAGTTTGCAAAATAATTTTGTAAAATCCCTTTGCACTTATAACCAGAACTTAAATTGGAAGAGTTGTGTGAAAAGTGATGGGAAGTAAGTATCTAAATTCTTGACCTAACTGAATTTGTTTCCCTCTTCTTTGTTGTTGTTTTAGCTGCCAGGTACTGCAGTATGCTGATAGAAGAAGGCGGCTTGCACCACTTGTTTAACATCAAGGAAAACAGCCAGACTGATCCAGATGTTCAGCGAATCGCTATCTCAATCTTAGATAGTTTAGAAAAACATATTTTGCGTCATGGGCGGCCACCTCCATGTTAAAAACAGACAGAAGCTAAGCCAAATTGAAAGAAAAATGTAACAGGGAATAGGTGTGTAAATTATCCTCTAATAATCCCTTATGAAGTATCTCTAGTTGGAATGGCTTCTGTTACATTGATCACCTTTGAAGCTTATTTGCCAGCTGTTGTGGAAGCAGGTACAGCACATGGCTGGCAAACATGGTCTTTAATGGTCTCTGCAATTGAAAGTTTTCACAAGGATCTAGGATTAATTCCTAAACTGGTTGTGTGTATTGGATCACCTCTGGCTGTGGAAAAGTGGAGACTGTACAATTCAAATGCACATCCAAAATGAAACTTCTAGGAATTTGTGAGTTCCAAGTACAGAAATTTTGTTTCTGCTTGCTTCATCCCTTCAGAATAGTTGTGTTTTAAATAGAACTGTTCACCAACTCAGTATTTGAATAGAACTACTTGTGCTTGTAACTTCAGCACTACTGAGCTCAAAACAATGTTATGTATCCACGCATTAAAAACACAACTAGTTATGAGTAAGGTGACCAAGGATGTCTTGTTCCTCCAGGAACCTTTTCAATCCATACGGAGCCTTCAGAATTTGTTGGTTTTACACACACTCTAGCAAGGGCACCTGAGTTATGAATTGACAGTTTATCTTCCCCTAATATGCTGTAGTGAGAATCTGCTTATAGGAAGAAACTAGGTTCTATTTCAGGGAGCCAAAGGCATGGGTGGGAAAGGAGTGAATTGCATATTTTTAATGAAGAAAAAGAAAAAAAACACAACAGTGCTCTTACACTTACTGAAACATTAAGTGTATGCCTAACAAAAAGGGTAGGAAAACTATGGAGCTCTCCACCAAAAGGATGGCTAAGGTGGAAAGAACTTCCTCAGCTTATGGGATCACACAAGACCAAGAATATCTGATCACCTTATTTATGACAGACTATTACTTGCTTTGCTGTTTCTCGTAAATACTCTTTTGTCAGTATTTGTGCAGTGAACTGTATGTGCAAGGCACCCCCCTCCTACAAAATCTCATCCAACATCCTATGTAAAGTCTGGTGTAAATTACATTGTTGTGTGGAGTATTCAGGTTTTACATAAAACTTTCCATGGTTAAAAAACTTACTCTGATGTGTGTAATCTGTGAATGTTTTATGGGACAAAATGGAAATTGTAACAGCATGCAGAAGCATGGTATAAAGTAGAGCTGGTGGAAAGCAAACTATGCCATGAGTTAAGCTTCTTCTTTTCTAATACGTTGCTTTGTAACTTGCTTCACAAATGAGGAAAAAACCAACACCAGTCTTCCCTGCTCATGCAAGCTCTGATTTAGCATGGTACCATATATTGGAGGGATAGCCTTGTTATGGGTGGTGAAAGTGGAATAACTGTTTATTGTGTGCAGCGTATGTGCATGTGTTTAAACAGGACTTTAAAAGAAGGAAGCTTTTTTATTAACTTTTCACACTAAGAGTGCACTTTAATCAAAAAAGCTAAAGATTCCTAAAATAATAGGCATGGCATATAGGGAAAGAGAGCCTTATTTTGTTGTTTGATGAGCTCTGTAGTACTGTGCTAGCTGTCATGGGAAATGGAGAAACAGTGAATAAATATTATTTCAGCCAGAGACTGAAATAATAATAATAATAATAATAATAATAATAATAATTACAAATAACTGTTGCCACCAGCAACAAACTAACAGAAACAAGTTTGTTACAGAACCCTGATGCAATGCAGTTTTATTAATACAAATATGTGCAATTTTAGCAGCCGTGGTTTTAACCTAAACAACCTTATGAATAATTGTTAGAACTGGACCACATATCTACAAGCTTATGAGGCCAGTGAAAATTTATGTGCAAGATTATTTCTGTATACATGAGGGGGGAGAGAGAAAGAAATGCAGTAGGTCTTCCATCTGTCCAGTCATCAAAATAGAAAAATCAGTTTCACATGTTGTGTCCATACTTTTCTAAAACAGGAGTAATTTTGGGTTGCTTTTTCTAGGTCTAAAATCTTTCCTAAGGTGGCCAGAACTGTATACAGTGGTGCCTCGCAAGACGAAATTAATTCGTTCCGCGAGTTTTTTCGTCTTGCGAGTTTTTTCGTCTTGCGAAGCACGGTTTCATTTTTTCCAAAAAAATCTTCAAAAACCTCAAAAAAGGCTACCACACCACGTGCTATGAGTTGCTCCCCGAAGTCAAGTCGCAACTGCACCTCTTCAAGCAATGCACCCTGTATTACTGTAACGGTTTTAAGAAGAAGGAAACAAACTTGCAAGACGTTTCCGTCTTGCGAAGCAAGCCCATAGGGAAATTCGTCTCGCGAAGCAACTCAAAAAACGAAAAACTCTTTCGTCTTGCGAGTTTTTCGTCTTGCGAGGTACGACTGTATAGTATTCCAAACATATTTTACACTTGCTTATGTTGAATTGCATTTGGGATTCTTCTGCCCATTCACTCCATTTGGAGAGATTATTTTGAAGTTCTTCACAATCCCTTTTTATTTTAGCCACCTTGAATAATTTTGTATCATTAGCAAACTTTGCTAACTCACTGCTCACCATGAATTCTACATTATTTATGAAAAAGTTAAAAAGCATGAGTCCCAGTGACAATCCTTGAGGGACTCCACTTTCTATATCCCTCCATTTGGGAGAACTGTTCGTTTTTTCCTACTCTGTTTCTTAACTGGTTTCTGACCCACAGGAAGACCTCTTTTTATTGCAAGATCCCCCCTCATGTATACAGAAATAATATTGCGTGACTGCTAAACTTACTTAGTGAGGTACTTTATCGTAAGCTTTTTAAAAGCTGAAATACACAATCTCCTTTTCAACACTTCCCTCATTCTTAAAGACACTCTTTTAGCTAATAACTGTACCTTTGCAGTTGCATCACTACCTGCCCCATACCTGATGTCAAATGGCTTGAGGAAACCAGCTTCATGGATCACATTAGGACTTCTCATGGACTTAATTAGGCCCGTGGACTGGAGGGTCCTTACCACTTCTCTAAATTTAAAGCTCTGGTTAACTTACCTCAGCTGCTAAGGGAGCTGCTTAGAATGGGAGTTTTGAATAAACATAGATTAAGCTCTCCTAGACTGAGCACCTGAAGTGCTTGTTATTTAACATCCAAGTTCTGATCGTGGTTGGACTATAGGCCAGCCAAGCAGCAATCCTATTGGCATCCAAACTTTGGAGCAGTTATTTTTATTTTGTTGCAAGTATAGGGTTGCTTCATTCTGGTGATCTGTGGCAAAACAGTTTGTGTGACTAGTATTTCTATATATAAAATTACCTTGTGGGTAGGGGCTCTTAAACAAGGCATTGATATGAATCACCTTGCATACGACATTTGTGTCCTTGTCCAGCCCAGATTAGTTTATAAATGAAAGAGCTGCTGTTGTTATTATCGGGGCTATTTTTTCCTAGAAAAAGAGATGCTGGAACTTGCCAGGAACGCCTCCCTTGTTCTCCTAGAATGGCAACGGTGCCCACCTGAGAAGTGAGTTCTGGCTGGGGAAAAAAGCCTATTATTATTATTATTAACCCACCTTTTTCTTTCTAAGGACTCAAGGTGGCTCGCAGATAGAAACAAGGCCAACTTAAAGCTTAGAAAAATATATTTTCAAAAATGAAAAAATGAAAGCAACCTTATAGGAGCCCTCAGGGCTCAAGCATATTCTGGTTTAATAAGAAAAATTTAAAAATTGTCCTGTAGCCCCTTAGAGACCAATTTTATTGGATAATTTTTAAATTTTTCTTATTTATTTCGACTGTGTCAGGCCAACACAGCTACCTACCTGTGTTGGGTTGAAATCACGACAGACGAATGGTGGGTGTCAAAGGAGAGGCATCTGCTCGGGGCAAGTCCCGGGAACTCTCTTTTATTGAATATTACAAACATTGCCACAGGTGTGCTTGTGGCTGATTGGCTGATACAAACACAAAGCATCTTGTTGCTGATTGGTTAACATAGGTACAAGGCGGGCATTACATATTACATTAATCAGTGATAGTTCAAAAGACTGGGAGCGGAGCTGGAACTAGACAGGCATGAATCCTCCTAATTAAATTATAACTAAGATTAATATAACATGACTAAAACAATTACTAATGATTGATCATAAGTGAAAGGTCCGTATATGTGGTCAGCTATGCATTGAGAACAGAGCATGTTGTTTTTGTACATGAACTCAGAATGAACTGAAGAATTGAGGGAATGTCTGGGTGTGCTGAGCTCAGTGTGTTTGGAACAGTATGTGCAGAGCAGAAGGAGACTTCCCAGAATCCAAGAGGAAAGAAGCAAGAGTTTTCATAGTAAGCATAGAAAGATTTCATAGTAAGACTTCCCATAATGCCACAGTTATGTGCAGTAAGAGAACTGCAGAAAGAGAACTTCACAGTGAGAGAACTGCAGAAAGAAAACTTCCCTTCATCTCCCCCTTTCTTTTCTTGTTTGCGAGGCATTCCAGGTGGATAAGGCAAAAATACTTCGGGATTAGTGGTGTGCCAGCGAATGCCCGAAATAAGCCTGCCAGGGTCGATGGGACAAAAGTACTTCAGGATATGTGGTTTGCCAGCGCATGCCCAAAATAAATCCGCCCACATCTCCCCTAAGGTTTACTGTTGGTGTTGCCATTTCGCAATGTAAGCAGCAAGGAGTTTGCTGGGTGGTGGAGGGGGGGAGAGAAGCCGGGAGAAAAGACTCATGAGGCTAGGAACGCATTGGAGGAAACAGCATAGTAAAATAAGAATACAAATTAAATAAGAATACAAATTATGAAAATAGCATATTGAAAAAGATTACGAAGCCAATTCAAGTTTGGCAACCAAGCGGTAAGCCACTGGGTGAAAGAATCCCAGAGGCCAGGAAAACCAATGTCCTGTTTAATGTGATGTGTAAGATTTTGCAGGAAAACCAATGTCCTGTTTAATGTGATGTGTAAGATTTTGCAAATGAGAGATTTGGCTTTGAATGGCTCTTGAATTGTCAGTAATATTGAAGCAACACATGTCATTCACTTGTTCACAGTCATAATGATGAAGCATCAGCAAATAATGATAGCAGCACGATTTCGTAAAAGTCCATTATATAAAAGTCCATTATAAAAGTCCACTCTGTTCTTTATTCAAAAGGTGAAGGGCTTGAGAAGTAAATTTCAGGGGTTTTGCTGCATAACAAGCTAAAGAAATAATGTTCATTCGATTCCGTACAGCCAATCCAGGGACTCCTAAGAGAGAAACAACTAAAGAGATATATTCAGACCTACTGAGAAGAGAGACAAAAGCATCACAATCATTAGTCAATTAAATATTGCAGCGATAAAATGATGGACAAACGGCTTAAACAGCAAGGTGTTCCATGGCTGATGTTTGCAGGAATGTAATTAAATGTATAGCCAGGACACGACCAGAAAATTTCCAGTTGAGGGGAAGTGCAAGCTTACTCATTAAATTGAATGGTAGCTTGTAATTGTTGTAGTAAGTCTCTTCCCCACAGATTGAGGTGGATTTTCAGCACACAGGGCTGGATGTAAGCAATGGTTTCAGAGCTGTCAGGCAGAGAAACAGGCAGCCACTGTACGCTTTTGGAAGAGGTTTGGGGGCCACCCACACCCCAGACTGCAGAAGCAGACTCAAGGGGCCACGTGGGGTCCCAGCAACTACTAGAAATTACAGAAACGTCTGCGCCTGTGTCAATCAAGCCTTCCAGCACAATACCATTGATTTTATACTTACGAAGAAGCTTCTTCTCACCAATCCTCTGGACTACAGCTAACAGCTGTGGAGGGAAAGAAGAGAGCTCAGTGCAAATTAGTATCCATAATAGAAGCAGTAGGATGAGAAGGGAGCACCACCAAATGCGCCCAAGACTCACCCTTTTTAATTGCATGGGCATATGGCTCCAGAGTTGAACCATTATTGTGCCTACATAGTCAGGATCCAGAACTCCAGGAATAACCTGGATTCCTTCCTTTGCCGCAGAAAATTTGGGTAAAATTAAACCTGCGACTTTAGGAGGCAGGGGACCTGCCAATTGAGTGGGCATAAGCACAATTTCACCAGGTAAAACAGAGTCTTTGGTCTCTTGATTGATCAAATCAATGGCAAATTCAGAAGGTTTAGCCTTAGAGGCAGCACCATCCTTGTTTGCCCCCCCGCCAGGGGCTCTGCAGTGCTTGGCAAAATGGCCTGGGCGCTTGCAATTAAAGCAGTTACCAGTAGGCCTAGTGGTTGCTTGGATTGCGCCGGCAAGCAAAGACATCGCATGGCTCTGGCTACCGACATCCACACAAGCTTGAATCATATCGGCCAGTTCATATTTAGGGCGATGTATGATTGACTGCAAAGCTTTCTTGCAATCAGTGTTTGCATTTTCAAAGGCCAATTTTTTCATCAATTCATTTTGAGCAGTGGTGTTATCAATCTGCCTAGTGACTGATTCTTTCAATCTATCTATAAACTGATGGTATGGCTCCGAATGCTGTTGCTTAATATTTACAAAGGAGCTCGGCGGTTGCCCAGAAACAGGGACTTTACGAAAGGCGCGTTGGACACAGGTCGCGGTGCGAACAAAATGTACAGGTGTCAGTGTTGCTTGGGCAGTTATATCAGCAAACTGACCAGCACCATAAAGTTCATTGGCAGTATGTTGAGGATCAGACAGGGCTGAAGCGCTATGTTGAAATTCACTCTCAAACACCACATACTGAGCAGGGGACAAAAGCATGCGCATCAGGTCTTTCCAGTCCTGAGGTAGCATAATGTAGCCAGTTGCTATGCCTTCTAGCATCCCTGTCACATAAGAGGATTTCAGACCAGAATCAGCAATGGCTTTCCTTAATTCCCTCATTACAGAATAAGGAAGCGATTCATAATAAATCTGCTGTTGAGCAGTTCCAGGGTTTGAATAAGAGATAGGGAAAGCAGACGGCATTTCACCTGGCCACTCAGACTCCTCCTCTAAGGACAGGAGCCCTTTTGCCTTGCCAGAGAGAGCGCAGCACGCACAGCTCCTATAGAGCAAACAGGGGCTGTGGCAGGAGGAGGAGGGATGGGGGAGGAATCAGGCTGAGGCGGAGGGATGGGGGGAGGATGCAGGCTGAGGAGGGTGAGAAGCAGGGAGGGATTGGCTGGGAGAAGGAGGTAAAAGTTTCGGGTAGGGTGGGGATTGTCTGCAATGGCCAGAAGAGGAGACGCCTGGGGTCCCAATTGGGGCCCTAATTTAGCAACGGCATCAGCACATTTCTGCCAAGTGAGCAGACAATGAATCGGAGCCCTAGGTTCTGCAAAAAGGGTCTTTCCGATCTTTGCCAAGTCTCTACGTCCAAAGATCCAGCCTCTGGATAAAAAATGCATTGGCAATTTATCTCACATAGCAATTGTTCAATTTCTTTTAAGGAAATATTAACACCCACCTCCCGCTGTCTAACTAAATAAAGCAACTCTTTAGCATGCTCTTTCTGGAGCTTAGTCAAGTCCCCTCCCATACTCACGAAGTAGCGCGCTGAGACTTTTCCAGTCGGGTGAAGTATGAGGTTTGGCTGCGTAAGGGATCTGGCACGTCGGGGGTCACCAGATGTTGGGTTGAAATCACGACAGACGAATGGTGGGTGTCAAAGGAGAGGCGTCTGCTCGGGGCAAGTCCCGGGAACTCTCTTTTATTGAATATTACAAACATTGCCACAGGTGTGCTTGTGGCTGATTGGCTGATACAAACACAAAGCATCTTGTTGCTGATTGGTTAACATAGGTACAAGGCGGGCATTACATATTACATTAATCAGTGATAGTTCAAAAGACTGGGAGCGGAGCTGGAACTAGACAGGCATGAATCCTCCTAATTAAATTATAACTAAGATTAATATAACATGACTAAAACAATTGGATTCTTAGTTATTGTTCTCTCTCTTCTATACCACCCTCCTGAGTCTGAGCATGTGGAAGAGACAGTTTCCATTCCTGAAGCATGTAATCGGCACCTGCGAATGTCACCTGAGGACATCCTTAATGGTGGCTTTGCAACTGCTATCCCTTCAATAAGAGCATGGAGGAGGACTGGGGAACACTTGCTTTTACTATAGTTTGCAAAATAATTTTGTAAAATCCCTTTGCACTTATAACCAGAACTTAAATTGGAAGAGTTGTGTGAAAAGTGATGGGAAGTAAGTATCTAAATTCTTGACCTAACTGAATTTGTTTCCCTCTTCTTTGTTGTTGTTTTAGCTGCCAGGTACTGCAGTATGCTGATAGAAGAAGGCGGCTTGCACCACTTGTTTAACATCAAGGAAAACAGCCAGACTGATCCAGATGTTCAGCGAATCGCTATCTCAATCTTAGATAGTTTAGAAAAACATATTTTGCGTCATGGGCGGCCACCTCCATGTTAAAAACAGACAGAAGCTAAGCCAAATTGAAAGAAAAATGTAACAGGGAATAGGTGTGTAAATTATCCTCTAATAATCCCTTATGAAGTATCTCTAGTTGGAATGGCTTCTGTTACATTGATCACCTTTAAAGCTTATTTGCCAGCTGTTGTGGAAGCAGGTACAGCACATGGCTGGCAAACATGGTCTTTAATGGTCTCTGCAATTGAAAGTTTTCACAAGGATCTAGGATTAATTCCTAAACTGGTTGTGTGTATTGGATCACCTCTGGCTGTGGAAAAGTGGAGACTGTACAATTCAAATGCACATCCAAAATGAAACTTCTAGGAATTTGTGAGTTCCAAGTACAGAAATTTTGTTTCTGCTTGCTTCATCCCTTCAGAATAGTTGTGTTTTAAATAGAACTGTTCACCAACTCAGTATTTGAATAGAACTACTTGTGCTTGTAACTTCAGCACTACTGAGCTCAAAACAATGTTATGTATCCACGCATTAAAACACAACTAGTTATGAGTAAGGTGACCAAGGATGTCTTGTTCCTCCAGGAACCTTTTCAATCCATACGGAGCCTTCAGAATTTGTTGGTTTTACACACACTCTAGCAAGGGCACCTGAGTTATGAATTGACAGTTTATCTTCCCCTAATATGCTGTAGTGAGAATCTGCTTATAGGAAGAAACTAGGTTCTATTTCAGGGGAGCCAAAGGCATGGGTGGGAAAGGAGTGAATTGCATATTTTTTAATGAAGAAAAAAGAAAAAAAAACACAACAGTGCTCTTACACTTACTGAAACATTAAGTGTATGCCTAACAAAAAGGGTAGGAAAACTATGGAGCTCTCCACCAAAAGGATGGCTAAGGTGGAAAGAACTTCCTCAGCTTATGGGATCACACAAGACCAAGAATATCTGATCACCTTATTTATGACAGACTATTACTTGCTTTGCTGTTTCTCGTAAATACTCTTTTGTCAGTATTTGTGCAGTGAACTGTATGTGCAAGGCACCCCCCTCCTACAAAATCTCATCCAACATCCTATGTAAAGTCTGGTGTAAATTACATTGTTGTGTGGAGTATTCAGGTTTTACATAAAACTTTCCATGGTTAAAAAACTTACTCTGATGTGTGTAATCTGTGAATGTTTTATGGGACAAAATGGAAATTGTAACAGCATGCAGAAGCATGGTATAAAGTAGAGCTGGTGGAAAGCAAACTATGCCATGAGTTAAGCTTCTTCTTTTCTAATATGTTGCTTTGTAACTTGCTTCACAAATGAGGAAAAAACCAACACCAGTCTTCCCTGCTCATGCAAGCTCTGATTTAGCATGGTACCATATATTGGAGGGATAGCCTTGTTATGGGTGGTGAAAGTGGAATAACTGTTTATTGTGTGCAGCGTATGTGCATGTGTTTAAACAGGACTTTAAAAGAAGGAAGCTTTTTTATTAACTTTTCACACTAAGAGTGCACTTTAATCAAAAAAGCTAAAGATTCCTAAAATAATAGGCATGGCATATAGGAAAAGAGAGCCTTATTTTGTTGTTTGATGAGCTCTGTAGTACTGTGCTAGCTGTCATGGGAAATGGAGAAACAGTGAATAAATATTATTTCAGCCAGAGGCTGAAATAATAATAATAATAATAATAATAATAATAACAAATAACTGTTGCCACCAGCAACAAACTAACAGAAACAAGTTTGTTACAGAACCCTGATGCAATGCAGTTTTATTAATACAAATATGTGCAATTTTAGCAGCCGTGGTTTTAACCTAAACAACCTTATGAATAATTGTTAGAACTGGACCACATATCTACAAGCTTATGAGGCCAGTGAAAATTTATGTGCAAGATTATTTCTGTATACATGAGGGGGGAGAGAGTAAGAAATGCAGTAGATCTTCCATCTGTCCAGTCATCAAAATAGAAAAATCAGTTTCACATGTTGTGTCCATACTTTTCTAAAACAGGAGTAATTTTGGGTTGCTTTTTCTAGGTCTAAAATCTTTCCTAAGGTGGCCAGAACTGTATACAGTGGTGCCTCGCAAGACGAAATTAATTCGTTCCGCGAGTTTTTTCGTCTTGCGAGTTTTTTCGTCTTGCGAAGCACGGTTTCAATTTTTTCAAAAAAATCTTCAAAAAAAGGCTACCACACCGCGTGCTATGAGTTGCTCCCCGAAGTCAAGTCACAACTGCACCTCTTCAAGCAATGCACCCTGTATTACTGTAACGGTTTTAAGAAAAAGGAAACAAACTTGCAAGACGTTTCCGTCTTGCGAAGCAAGCCCATAGGGAAATTCGTCTCGCGAAGCAACTCAAAAAACGAAAAACTCTTTCGTCTTGCGAGTTTTTCGTCTTGCGAGGTACGACTGTATAGTATTCCAAACATACTTTACACTTGCTTATGTTGAATTGCATTTGGGATTCTTCTGCCCATTCACTCCATTTGGAGAGATTATTTTGAAGTTCTTCACAATCCCTTTTTATTTTAGCCACCTTGAATAATTTTGTATCATTAGCAAACTTTGCTAACTCACTGCTCACCATGAATGCTACATTATTTATGAACAAGTTAAAAAGCATGAGTCCCAGTGACAATCCTTGAGGGACTCCACTTTCTATATCCCTCCATTTGGGAGAACTGTTCGTTTTTTCCTACTCTGTTTCTTAACTGGTTTCTGACCCACAGGAAGACCTCTTTTTATTGCAAGATCCCCCCTCATGTATACAGAAATAATATTGCGTGACTGCTAAACTTACTTAGTGAGGTACTTTATCGTAAGCTTTTTAAAAGCTGAAATACACAATCTCCTTTTCAACACTTCCCTCATTCTTAAAGACACTCTTTTAGCTAATAACTGTACCTTTGCAGTTGCATCACTACCTGCCCCATACCTGATGTCAAATGGCTTGAGGAAACCAGCTTCATGGATCACATTAGGACTTCTCATGGACTTAATTAGGCCCGTGGACTGGAGGGTCCTTACCACTTCTCTAAATTTAAAGCTCTGGTTAACTTACCTCAGCTGCTAAGGGAGCTGCTTAGAATGGGAGTTTTGAATAAACATAGATTAAGCTCTCCTAGACTGAGCACCTGAAGTGCTTGTTATTTAACATCCAAGTTCTGATCGTGGTTGGACTATAGGCCAGCCAAGCAGCAATCCTATTGGCATCCAAACTTTGGAGCAGTTATTTTTATTTTGTTGCAAGTATAGGGTTGCTTCATTCTGGTGATCTGTGGCAAAACAGTTTGTGTGACTAGTATTTCTATATATAAAATTACCTTGTGGGTAGGGGCTCTTAAACAAGGCATTGATATGAATCACCTTGCATACGACATTTGTGTCCTTGTCCAGCCCAGATTAGTTTATAAATGAAAGAGCTGCTGTTGTTATTATCGGGCTATTTTTTCCTAGAAAAGAGATGCTGGAACTTGCCAGGAACGCCTCCCTTGTTCTCCTAGAATGGCAACGGTGCCCACCTGAGAAGTGAGTTCTGGCTGGGGAAAAAGCCTATTATTATTATTATTAACCCACCTTTTTCTTTCTAAGGACTCAAGGTGGCTCGCAGATAGAAACAAGGCCAACTTAAAGCTTAGAAAAATATATTTTCAAAAATGAAAAAATGAAAGCAACCTTATAGGAGCCCTCAGGGCTCAAGCATATTCTGGTTTAATAAGAAAAATTTAAAAATTGTCCTGTAGCCCCTTAGAGACCAATTTTATTGGATAATTTTTAAATTTTTCTTATTTATTTCGACTAGTGTCAGGCCAACACAGCTACCTACCTGTGTTGGGTTGAAATCACGACAGACGAATGGTGGGTGTCAAAGGAGAGGCATCTGCTCGGGGCAAGTCCCGGGAACTCTCTTTTATTGAATATTACAAACATTGCCACAGGTGTGCTTGTGGCTGATTGGCTGATACAAACACAAAGCATCTTGTTGCTGATTGGTTAACATAGGTACAAGGCGGGCATTACATATTACATTAATCAGTGATAGTTCAAAAGACTGGGAGCGGAGCTGGAACTAGACAGGCATGAATCCTCCTAATTAAATTATAACTAAGATTAATATAACATGACTAAAACAATTACTAATGATTGATCATAAGTGAAAGGTCCGTATATGTGGTCAGCTATGCATTGAGAACAGAGCATGTTGTTTTTTGTACATGAACTCAGAATGAACTGAAGAATTGAGGGAATGTCTGGGTGTGCTGAGCTCAGTGTGTTTGGAACAGTATGTGCAGAGCAGAAGGAGACTTCCCAGAATCCAAGAGGAAAGAAGCAAGAGTTTTCATAGTAAGCATAGAAAGATTTCATAGTAAGACTTCCCATAATGCCACAGTTATGTGCAGTAAGAGAACTGCAGAAAGAGAACTTCACAGTGAGAGAACTGCAGAAAGAAAACTTCCCTTCATACCTGAATCTATATTCTGGTTTAATTCATCAGAATTTAGGTCGTTGCCTGGACTAAATTTGCCATTTCAATATTAAACTCGAGGGAAAAAGAAAGAAAATGTAAGAAGAAAATGTGTGCTAAGCAAAGTCTAGCGCCCAAACGACTGTATTTACAAATTCGTGGCCCAAGAAAGGGACGCAATGACTGCTCCCATCGCCCTGCATCCATTACTCTGCAATCTACTTTGCTCTCTAGTGGTGGGAGACGGCTCCCCTCCCCTTCCACCATTCATCCAAAGGAGGGGGAGGGGGAAAACACCCCTACTCGGAGCGCGCATGCGCCTTACTTGCACCCTCTCCCTCGGAGCTTAAACGGCGTTCCTCCCTCTTCAGTCCGTGCTGCGCCGCTTCCGGTGAGCCCTTGCCCGCTTTCCGGTTACTTCGCACCGCGCACCCCACCCCCTCCGCTCCCGCTGGCGGAGTGAATCCCGGCTCCTCGTTCGCCATGGTGCGGTTCCTGCACATCCAGAACCGGCAACGAGCCCCGCTGACCATTTGCGGGGACTGTCCTGCCGTGCAGGTGGGTGGGGAGGCGGGGGGGGTTGGCTTCCTGGGGGGGGATCTGAGGAACGGTTGCCTGGGGAGGGAGGCGAGGCGGCGGAAACAATGGGCGGCAGGAGAAGGAGGGAAGAAGCGCTGGGGTTTCGAAAGGGAGGACTCGGAGGGCGGTGAGGGGCCGGAGCCTTTGGGGAGAAGACTCTGCCCGGAGGAGGAGGAGGAGGAAGTTGCCTCGGAGTAGTTCCAGTAGTGACTGAGCCCAAAGCACCACCGACTCGCACCCCCGAGTTTTTCGGGTTTCCAGAAAAGTGGCTGCATTGGCTGGTTGTGGTAAAAAGAACCCCGAGACTTGGGGTCCCTGAAAGACCCTCGCGCGTTTTGTTAGGGCTGGAGTTCTTGGGGGCTACGGGCCATCTGGTGGGTCCGAGAGGTTGCGCACACAGCCTACTAAACTTGGGTTAAAACTTTAGGGTCCCTCCCACGAGGCTGGCTGGCTTGGGGAAAGGGTTCCTCTTCGTAGGGGAGGAGGAAAAAGCGGGGGTTTCTTTCAATAGGTCCGCTTGCCAGAATGATAATGATAATACCACGCTCATCTATCGGGGTTGCTCTGCTGTGGGCTGCCAGGCGCTGCTCAAGAGCAACCCTAACATGGCTACGCAGGAGGAAGCCCTAAGAAATTCAGTGTGGGGCTTACCCACAGATGGCTGTAGCCTTAGCCACCTGATTGCGACAGCTGTTGGTTTATTTATTGAATTAATTTGTTTTTTAATTTGCTCACATCTCGTCCTTCCTCCTGGAGCTGCCCAGAGTGGTGGATAGACCCACAATTTAAAAACAAAAAGTAAAACACTCTTAAAATAATTAAAGCATTCTCAAAACTCTGTAACGGTTAAAAACATTCTTCCTTCCGATGATCTGGGGGTTGCCAAGAACTTTCCTCCTCAAATGATGATGAAGATTTAGTGGAAGTGCAGAAGATACTTTCTTAAAACCAGATCTTGCCCCCAGTGTATCCCATGTAAGTAATTGGGATCGTCTTCCTGCTGCAGTGTGGCTGGAGACATACAGTGTATTTACTATACCCAGTTGGGGAACGTTAGCCGTATGGGAACTTGCTTTAGGAGTGTTAACAATCCAAGGATAAACATTCTATAATCCTGAGTAGTGACCTGTTAGGAACAGTCATAATAATAATTTGTACTTGCTCTTTTTTTAGTGTTGAGTGCTTCACTTAGTGATGGATACTAAATGCAGATGTATAAGTTTATTATGTGTACTAAATGAAGCCATGTATTAAGCCACTTTGTGATCCTAAGGAGTTTCTTACTGATGTGCTGTTGTTTTTTCATGGGTGATAGGCAGAAGCATCTCCATATTCCTTAGTTGACATCTGCTTGAATGCCTTGGTTGCCGACTTAGAAAAATTCTGTATAGAACGGCCTGATGGGTCACTGTGCTTGAAAGAATCTGAAAGGCTTCCTCAAGAAGTGGCCGATCGCTTGCTGCAGACAATGGCATATCGAGGTAACAGTTCTTTTTGTGCTAGCACAAGTGATCTGAACATGTCACAGACAAGAACAGCTTGTTCTAGCTAGCTCATTCTTCTGTGTTGTTCCCCTTCCTATGTAAAGTATGCATATCTAGACCATATTGGGCTAGAAATCTTATGAAATCCTCAAAGGAGCAAAAAATTGGATAAGGATAACATTAAGAATTATGCCCTAGATATTAATATTTATTTGATTTACATCTTGCCCTTCCTCCCAAAGGAGCCCCAGTCTGTAACTTAGCTGTCACATTAGCTTCACCACCATGTTTAGATTAAAATGTGCTTATTTCCAGTGGTCAAGTAGTGGTCTGAAACATGCTGCTTAGCAATATCCCTCATGCTAGGACAAACAGCAGTAGAATAAACTGTGCAAGTTAAGCATATTTGCATATAGCTCAGTTGGTAGAGCATGAGACTCTTAATCTCAGGGTCATGGATTCCAGCCGCACGTTAGGAAAAAGATTCCTGCACTGCAGGGGGATGGACTAGGTGACTTTTGTGGTCCCTTCCAACTCTATGACTCTGTGTTATACAGTGGTACCTCAGGTTACAGATGCTTCAGGTTACAGGCGCTTCAGGTTACAGACTCCGCTAACCCAGAAATAGTACCTCGGGTTAAGAACTTTGCTTCAGGATGAGAATAGAAATTGTGCGGCGGCAGCAGGAGGCCCCATTAGCTAAAGTGGTGCTTCAGGTTAAAAACAGTTTCAGGTTAAGAACGGACCTCCAGAACGAATTAAGTACTTAACCCGAGGTACCACTGTACTTCTGTCAGGAATAGTCTGTTCACCTTGGAAGATAGTCCATCTGGGTTATACTGCCATCTAGTGTTCACAGGCAGAAAATACAGAGTTGAGGAAATAGTTGCCATTACACTGAATAGTCACCAATCCATTTTCTGCTTCCTGCCCAGGTGGTTCTGTTTCTACTCACCAGTTTCTCGCCTCACTTTTTGAACTGTTGCCTACCATTTAGTAATACAGCCTACTTTACAAATGACCATATTTCAGTAGTTTACTTGCTCTAACATAGGCTTGTTTTCCTTTCCTAATAGAACTGTTGAATGATGGCACTGTGGGCATTTTCCGAGGCAACCAGATGCGTTTGAAGCAAGCTTGTATCCGCAAAGCAAAGATTTCAGCCCAGTCTTTCCGAAAAGCCTTCTGCCACCATAAGCTAGTAGAACTGGATGCTGCAGGGATGAATGACACTGTTACTGTTGCAGATGTTGTGAGTGGGCTTGGCAGCAGTGCATGGATCCAGAACAACCTTCAGTGCCTTGTCTTGGACTCATTAACTCTTTCCCCTACAAATCCTTATGAACGGAGCTTTAGTCAGTTGTCTGGTCTTCGTTCTTTGAGCATTACCAATGTGCTCTTCCGTGATGAAGATTTAGCAGAGGTTGCTACCCTGCCAAGGTTAGAAAGCTTGGATATCTCCAATACTTCAGTCACAAAAATAACTGCACTCCTGGCCTGCAAACATCGACTTAAGTCTCTAACTATGCATAGCTTGAAATGCTTGAAAATGCCTACACCAAAGTTCTTAGATGTAATAAGAGAACTAAAGCATCTGATTCACCTTGACATCTCAGATGAGCAGCATTCCACATCAGATATTGCCTTTCGTTTGCTAGGCCAAAAAGATATTCTGCCCAATCTTGTGTCTCTGGACATTTCTGGAAGCAAATACATTAACGATGAGGCTGTTGAAGCTTTTGTCAGACAACGGCCAACGATGCGGTTTGTGGGATTGCTCGGGACTGAAGCTGGGTACACAGAGTTCCTTTCAGGAGAAGGAACCTTGAAGGTTTGAAGGTTTTAAATGTTCTATAACTAAAATGATACTTGAAAATCTAACAAATGGTTTGGAAGGGCAGTTCTTATTCCAATTTGCTTGTAGCCTTGACCCAACAATGTTTATATCATGAATTGTTGTTGTTTTTTTAATTTGGAAAAATAGGTGTGATATTAAAGAATGAGTTTAAATGAAATAATAAATTTTTAAAGGAAAAGGGAGGTTCCTGTCTGTGTGCACAGCAAGTTGTGCAGCGCGTAGAGTGGAGTAGCTCTGGAAAGAAATAGCACACATTAAAACTGTTCAGCTCCATTTTTGGCTAAGCTGAGGCTAGTCTTCAGGCATATTCACTTACCACTTTTCTGGACCCTCAGAAGTGAGAAGGGTGTTGGCATGACAACACTTTGGCTTATCCACACTGTAGTAGTTCTTTTGGGTCATGCTAGTGCATCACAAGGGATGGATGTATTCCAGAACTGCAACCCCACCTCATTCCAGAGTTTGTTTTTGTAAAACACATTCAGATTAGGTTTGGATCTTCATGCTTGGTGGATCACCATGTTACTGCAAGGCTTTGTTAGCTACTGAATTTATTAGACCTGAAATGACCATTCTGAGCCTAGTTAGTGAAAATAATGAATTATTTTTATGTTCAAAGGTATCGGGAGGAGAAAATGAAATGCAGATTTCGGAAGCTTTGAAACGCTACAGTGAAAGGGCATGCTTTGTGAAAGAAGCCTTTTTTCACCTTTTTACGCAAACATGTTTTATGAGAATTACAAAGCCTGAAATCCTAAAGGTAAGCCAGATTAGTTTGAATGCAATAACTTCTTGCAAACTATTCCACTGTGGTCAAATTTTACAAATATTACTTAGTCCATTAGCTCCTATCTGCATTCCCCAAAGAAGTAGACCTCTCTTTATTCTCATTCATCCATCCTTATTTTTATTGGATTTTTGATTTCATTATGTATTGTGCTGAATTGGTTCTTTGCATATTTCATGCTGCAGCTTGTGATCATTGGAATGAGGAATCATCCTTTGGACTTGGCAGTACAGTTAACTGCTAGTGCCTGTGCCCTTAACTTAACAAGACAAGGCTTAGCAGCAGGCATGCCTGTTCGCCTGCTTTCCAGCGTAATCCAGCTGCTCCTCAAAGCCATGGAAACCTTTCCTGAACAGCAGCAGGTAAGGGTTTTGGGTAGGATACAGTTACAATTCAACAGCCCTAATAAGAGAGCAGATCTTACAACATCTGTTATACCAGTACTAAAGCACAGTAGGAGATTTGCTGCTCAAATCGGGGCACATGAATGATAGAACAAATGGTGCACAAAAAAATTATATGGATTTCTTTTCTATTCTCCCCAACTTTTTGTCAGCTTTTAAAATGCCACCTGTAGCCATGGTTTGGAGTGTGAGGTGTGAAATGTTGGCTCTTTTAGATCCTTGGCTTATAACGTTGTGTTATGTTTTTTACATATATAGAACTGTATTTGGGGGCTGGGGAGGGCAGCAGATGTAGCATGTGTGATGCACCACACATGGTAGAACACACTGGCTCCATTCACACAACTGTTGCCCTCTCCCATGAGTTGGGGTGACACACTCACTGCCTCAACACATACACAGGGTTCTGATTAGCGTGACTGTGAAGTGGCCCAGTGTGGGTTTAATGTTTGAAACTAGAGAATGCCTGTCCTCCATGCAGCTGTTAACTCTTCCAATATATACCTCCTGTTCCATTTAGTGCCCAGTCTTTGACTTCGGGAAAGTCAAGGTTCTGTCAGAAGTATAGTTCAGTAATTGTCTTACCTCTGCTTCCATAATGCTGAATAATCTGATCCTGTCCTAGATAACTATCTGTTTTAATTTGTTGTTCCATATGTTGATGACTTGAGAATGTTGTTTCATTTGGAGGGTTTGAGCTGTAGGGTAGTACTCAACTAAGTTATGTTCCTAGTAGACCTATGTAAACCAATGAACCTAAATTAGTCATACTCATGAATTTCAACGGAGTTCAGATACCTAAACTCATGCTCTTAAGCTGCAAAGCATTGAAAACATGCATTCTTGAACCATCTGTCCTGTAAAAATGGATAATTAGCTTCAAATACTGTAAACTGCCTTTGATGAAGGGTGGTATATAACTTGAATAAGAATAACAAATACAGAACCCTATGGTGCTGAATTCTCTCTTTCCATATAGCTCCAGAAGAACTGTCTTCTTTCACTATCCAGTGTCAGGATCCTGCAAGACGTTCCATTTAACAGGCAAGTGACTCCAATCTGTTACTGTACAGTAGGGATAGACAGCTCTTCCCAGTATAGTCTGTCTGCCACCTCGCTCAGTCTCTAGGACAGGGGTAGGCAGCCTAAGGCCCAATCGCCTTCTCAATCCGGCCTGTGGACGGTCTGGGAATCAGCGTGTTTTTACATGAGTAGAATGTGTCCTATTATTTAAAATGCATCTCTGGGTTGTTTGTGGGGCATAGGAATTCATTCACCCCCTCCCATATAGTCCAGCCCACCACATGGTCTGAGGGACGGTGGACCGGCCCATGGCTGAAAAAGGTTGCTGACCCCTGCTCTAGGGTTTCTCCTTTCTGATGAAGACACACATTCACTTTGAGACATGGGCAAAAAGAACTTTTTAATTTCCCTGCCTGCTCAGTAGGAGGAGTTCCAGAGGCTTTGGTAGAGTGTTCCCTCATGCTGCCTTGAAGGCCAGTGCAAATATGATGCCAGATAAACTAAAGTTTCTTACCCAAATGGCAGTCCATGTGACTCGATTGCTTCTCTGGATCATGCAGTAATGATGGATGAAGGACATTAGCCAGGACCTAGACAAATGGGAGTAAGCGGCCGAGGTGTATAACTCTGACATAACTTCTGTTGCTATTCATTCTCTGTGTGTGTGAGAGAGGGAGGAAGAGAGAAGAGGCCATAGATTAGTGGTAAAGTTTTTGCATACAGAATGTACCAATTTCTGTCACAGGCATCTCTAGTTAAGCACACCTCATGTAGCAGGACTAGAAAATCTGAGACCTTGGAGTACTCTTGCGAGTTGAGTAGACAGAACTGCACCTTGTTCCTTTTTCCTATGCCTTGGGTTTAATGGCTCAGTTGCTTAGTAAGGAGAGACCACTGCAAAAACTTCTGATGCTGTTTGTGCTGATAAGGTGGGGTGGGGAATGTCAAGAAACCCTAGGTACTTATCATGTTTATACAGCAAATACACAGCAATGACTTATTGAAGAGTGGTGTATAGCTCTGATGTCAGTGCCTTGATCAGTTAAACACTTCTTAGGAATGGTCAGTTTGGTTCTCCTTTCATTTCTGCATACAAGGCGGCTAGGTTTGGGTTGTAAGCAGGCCTCTCTCATTTGCACTTTGCCTCAGGACAGGATTAATATCTTCTTAAAAACTGGTGAAAGTGAAAGGGGGAAACTGCTTTATTAATCTTGTTCTTTCACTATGACCTGGTTTAGAGTTGCAAAGTGTATACTCTGACAATGCTTTTAAATTTTAGGTTTGCAGCTGCGAAATTTGTTGTCCAGTGGCTTTGTAACCAGGAAAACCAACATATACAAAGAATTGCTGTTAATATAATCTCTATCCTAGCACTTAAGGTATGTGATTTTACATTTTCATCTAGTTCATCTTTATTATCAGAAGCTCTTCCACATACGGATTTCAAATATGTGGTTTGTTTTTTAGCTTTCAGACGAGCAAGCAGCACAGCTTGCTGCCGAGTTCTACATTGTTGTTGGGGTGAGTTGTTGCATCTCCTTTCCCCATAACAGTGAGCAATATTTTAAGAGGGTTTGGGGAGGAGAGTGCAATGTTGAAATTTGCACTTCATGTATTCTATGTAGTTAATGGTGTCGTTTTCTTCCTTTACAGAAACTACTTGAAATCGTTGAACAGAAAATAAATCAGAATGAATTAGATACAACTTTCCATTTTACACTGAGCGCACTTTGGAATCTCACAGATGAAGCGCCAACTACGTGTGGGCACTTCATTGATAACAAAGGGTTGGAGCTTTTTATGAGAGTTTTAGAGGTAAACGTGGTAGCTACCTTTCTAACCAGTTGACAAATACAACGCTTTTGTTGTTTAGTCGATTAGTCGTGTCCGATCTTCGTAACCCCATGGACCAGAGCACACCAGGCACTCCTGTCTTCCACTGCCTCCCAGAGTTTTGTCAAATTCATGTAGGTTGCTTCTCTAACACTGTCCAACCATCTCGTCCTCTGTCGTCCCCTTCTCCTTGTGCCCTCAATCTTACCCAACAGAGTTTTTTCCAGAGAGTCTTGAGGTGGCCAAAGTATTTGAGCCTCAGCTTCAGAATCTGTCCTTCCAGTGAGCACTCAGGGTTGATTTCTTTCAGAATGGATAGGTTTGATCTTTTTGCAGTCCATGGGACTCTCAAGAGTCTCCTCCAGCTACATAAGCTTAATAATTAAACCTATTTCTCTTTGCAGACTTTTTCATCTGACTCTTCAATACAGCATAAAGTTCTTGGCCTTCTGGTAAGAGCAGAATAAAGTGCAATGTACTAGAATTGTTTTAAAAGTTAATGTGTGCATTTTAAAGGTATTAAATCTGTCATTTATGATTAGAGTAATCCTCCGTGCTGTTCTCTTTTCTGGCCTTCATGAAAAGGTGGGAAAAGGAAGTTGATTTTTCTAAAGTAGAAAAATTTCCTTGAGCGTTAATATAGCAGTGAAATACATACTTCTGATTTTTTTTTATTGACTTGAGATGCATGACACTTCTCAACATATAAAGAGATGCTGGCCCATCCTCCTTTCAGGGGAAATTTATTCAGTTTCAGTAATAAAGTGACAACAAATTAGCATGGCATTTGCCAGCTCGTGATATTCACGGTTGTGTTTTTTCTATCTTCATCAGAACAATGTAGCAGAAGTGAGAGAGCTGCAGTCCAAGTTAATGCAGAAGGACTTCATAGATCGTGTCAGTGATCTGCTAAGCAGCGCCGAAATGGAAGTGAACTACTTCTCAGCCGGGATTATTTCAAATTTGCTCTCTAGAGGCGAACAATCCTGGGCATTGAGTCAAACACTGAGAAGATCCCTCATTGAAAAACTGGTATGGTGACTTAGATTCCATAGTTATTTCGAATATTTTCAGTGTTTATTGAAATGTTGACACTTGGTTCTCTCTGTTACAGCATGCAGCTCTGTTGAAGTGGCCGACACCAGAATGCAAGATGGTAGCACTGCCAGCCTATAGGTATACCTCTAGTCAAAATATGCCTTGGCCAGTAATTCTGTATACTGTATATGGTTACCTGGCAAGCAGGGACCCTCTGGAACATATCAGAAGGGAATAGCCTCAAATGTTCTAAATAACTTGCTCAACATTGAACCCTGTTGCCAATATGTATCTGCCAAGCGAACAACAAACCAACATTTATGACTTGTTAGAGGTTATTAAATAGATCCCAATATATTTATTGGACAATTGTAATTATTTTTACTAGATCAGTGCTATGTACATAAGTAGTTCTGCAATCCATCTTCATTTCCTTGCCTCAAACACCAGTTCCTCCCACCTTTCTCTGCCAGCCTTAATGCCAATCATGATTCTTAGGTAACTTTTCTTCAATCCATAGGTCCCTCAAGCCTTTCTACCCATTACTTGACTGCTTTGCATTACCTGGAGTGCAGATTTGGGCAGCGTGGGCCATTCTGCACATCTGTTGCAAAACCCGTACGTATGGATGGTTTTCTTTTAATAAGCCTATGACTTTCACGTTCAACCTGTAAAGCCTGTTGGGAATGTCCATGTAGCTTCCCCCCACCCCCCAAAAAAACTTGGTAGAAGATGCAATGTATGTTGTAGCTATTCAGACCAAATGCTTTGGTGATCAGCTCTGTCCCTGCATTTGTTCTAAGCTCAGAGGGTGATTTATGCTGCTCCCCTTCTCTCTCTTCCTCCTCCCATTATTGCAATAAGGTATTAATACTGTGGAATTGTGGTGGGAGTAAGTCCCTGCTGCCTCTAACAGCAAATGCATCTTTAGAATTTTCCTGGCAAGTATGTGAGGTCTAACAGGCCCCAGATATGTAGAACAGGTCACTAGGTTTGCCGGTGCCTTTTTACACACATGGACTTTAGTTCTCTCTTACCAGGTAATTGCAGCATACAACATGCTTCTGTTTGTGCGACACTATAATCGCTATTCTGTTAGGAGGGTTGTGTGTCTAGAGAACCCTGTCTTGGTGTAGGGAAACAAACTTTAAAATTCCCTCAGGGGGCATTCTTGCCTTCAGTTATGTCCCACAAACTGCAGCAATGAACACCTTTTAAACTCCGTACTTCTCTGCAAAAATACAGACTGAGTACAGTTGTACCTTGGAAGCTGAACGGAATCTGTTCTGGAAGTCCGTTCGACTTCCAAAATGTTCGGAAACCAAAGCACAACTTCTGATTGGCTGCAGGAAGCTCCTACAGCCAATCGGAAGCTGCAGAAGCCCCTTCGGGCATTTGGCTTCCAAAAATAGTTCACAAACCGGAACGGTCACTTCTGGGTTTGTGGCGTTCGGGAGCCAAAACATTTGAGAACTAAGCTGTTCAAAAACCAAGGTATGACTCTGCTATGTCTGTGCTTAAAACTTCTGTGTTAAATGAGGAATCTCAATTTCCCGAAGTCAGGAGCGAAGTGTAGAAGTGAAGCTAGAGTGGTTATGTTCCATTCATGTTGGATCATCTAATAAACAGATTTTTGTTTCTCTTCAGCTGCCAGGTACTGTTCCATGTTAATAGAAGAGAATGGGCTACAGCATTTATATAATATTAAAGAAAATGACCAGAGCGATCCAGATGTCCAGTATCTAACAAACGAGATACTATCTTACGTGGACACTCACATGAAATATTATGGGAAGCCTAAACAGCGAAAGGAGATACAAGCCAAGTCAAATGGATAACCGAGGGCACGGCTGTTTCTTTCATTTTGTCATGTGCAGAAGCTTCGATGGTGATTTCTTAATGCTTTCTCAGGCATTTCGGATCAAGATGGTCCTCCTTGTAAGATCTGAGGGTACTTGTATGGCATGCACATCTGGAAGTCTCCGACAAGTAGCTTTAATTTGTAACTTGCCTTCTGAAAAGGGAAATGGGGCACCGTCCCAAGAGAAAACTGCTTAGTAGCTGACTGTACAGGTCTTGAAAAGAGTCTGTTGGTTTTGTAAGCCACCAATTTCATATGGTGGTGGTCAAGGACACTGCAAATGGAGGCTTTAAAAGCTACTTGTTCTTGTGCCAGTAATCTTTCTTCTTGTCAGTCCAGGAACTGTTCCATTTTTTTGTCCATGCCTTACCACCAGTAAACTCTGTATTGCTTGTGGTAGCCAAGAGAAAATAGGATTGGCTTAGCCTTGGAGAAACACTTTTAAAATCCCATGCAGTGAAGGCAGAGGGGTTTTGAAAATCCTGGGCAAGGGAGAGGTAGGCTGTTTCAACTAAAATGTTGAATTAGTCTTCAACAGGCTGTTAAGCCAGTCCAAAGCGTTCGTGAGGGGCTTACACACATTCTATGTGCATGTTGTACAGGGGAGATTCTGGCTTTGTCAGTTGTATATTGCCACAACCCAACATAAAAACCCTGTGCATCCACATTGTTTACGAATGTACGCAAACTATTTTTGTACTTGGAGGGGGGAAATCTTTCAAGATACTTTCTAGGTTTTAATACTTAAAATAAAAGGCATGTCCAATGATGGTACAGAGATGTGACTGCAAGTTTTTTCTTTAATCAAACTGGTTGGCATGAAGGGTGAAATGGAGGCTTCACAAGAATTATCATACAACTATGGAAAGCAGCAACTTTGTAGTAGAGCAGGCTTAGCTGAAAAATTTCATCCATTGTGTTGAGCAGGCATCCCCAAACTCGGCCCTCCAGCTGTTTTGGGACTACAATTCCCATCATCCCTGACCACTGGTCCTGTTAGCTAGGGATGATGGGAGTTGTAGTCCCAAAACAGTTGGAGGGTCTAGTTTGGGGGTGCCTGGTGTTGAGTTTCCAAAGGAGTGACAGGTTGTTAGGGCTAAGGTAGATGTTATGTATTAACCTCTCCGCTCAGAAAAACAGATGGAGGCGAGTGGTTTTAGATGGAAAGTGCCGGCTAGGCATAGGCAAACTCAGCCCTCCAGATGTTATGGGACTACAACTCCCATCATCCCTGACCACTGGTCCTGTTAGCTAGGGATGATGGGAGTCCCCAAACATCTGGAGGGCCGAGTTTGCCTATGCCTGGTGCAGGCAGTCAAAGAGCTCCACATTCCTGTGATGTGCTTTTAAATTGTGCCCCCCTCCACTTCATAGAAGAGCTTGCACAGAACAGCTGCCTTGTGCAGCCATAACATCTAGTTTGGCCTTTGCTCACTGATAAAGAGGGAAAACTAGCTCAGGCAAGTGTTTCACCCATTGATGTACTGTAGGCTCTTGATAATTCTGCTCATCTCCCCTCTTATAAATTAAGCACAAGTCATCTTTCTTATTGTGCAATTGGCGTAATGTGTAATAGCTGTAGTTGGTGATGCAGATGCTCATGTATATGACAAAGATGTCCCTAATGGCCCGATTGCACAACTCTTGTTGGAGCCCATTCTAGGCCAAAGTTATATTCCACACTCATATGAATCACAATTATTCAAAGATTTATCTTGTGGATCAGTAAGCAGTCATGATTTTATAGCCCAATTATGAGCAACTTGCTATGAATAAAGGATGAACATCCTAAGACAGGTCTTCTCTTAACATCCTCTTAAAATTATCAGCATGACTTTGCCTTTCTGCTATTGGTACTATACTCAATCCCCAGCATGTATCCAGTGGCGTAGCGTGGGTTGTCAGCACCCCGGGCAAGGCAAGTAATTTGCGCCCCCTAACCCGTGGATTTGCGCCCCCTAACCCTAACCCCCAGATGTTGCGCCCAGTGCGGCCGGCCCCCCCTGCACCCCCCACGCTATGCCACTGCATGTATCTACATTCCTACTACAAGCATTAATTACACACATACACTTCTGACTGAAAAGGAGTAAACAAGTGAAACAGTATGTTTGAATATAAAATTTATGTAGAAAAAAAGTTGCAATAAGACACAGCCTTCTCGTAACTTCTTGCAATTGTCTTCAGTCACCTGAACGATGTTGGACAAAAGTCACTTCCCAATGAACTTAGGTGGCCGTTTCTCTATGAAAGCTGCCATCCCTTCCTCCCGGTCTCTGGTAGGGATATTCTGTATATAAAAGACAGAAACACCAATTAATACTATAGTTCCTAATTGCCACCATCCTTGGGGGGGGGGGAGTATACAAACATATCCCTTAACTCTTTCCTTTATGAAGTAAGTGAGTAACAGATGTAGAGTGCTCAGTCTGCTGATCCCATCACATCTATTTTTCCGATCAATATCATCATCATAGTGGTGTGTACATGTATTACACATTACAGCTCTCAACTGATGAATCCTGAGCAGCCTTATTAGATGCTCTGAGTGTACAGCTGTTTGTAGAGGGATGCTAGAAACATAGCTCTCAGGTAAGAACTGAGGAAAGTCAAATATTCCAAGGAAGTTTCTGAGTGCAGTTCCACCTTTTGGAGCCAAATCATAGAAGCATTTGACTCTTCTCACTGATCTTCAAGTGTTTCACAGCTGAGCACTTTAATATGCATAAAGTGAACACTTAAGTGGGGGAAAGCAGGGTTTAATTAAAGGCTTGCTTACCTGGGCATAACACATTCTTTCAATAGCCATACCGGAGGCAATATCCACCTGGAAAGAGAGAAATCTTAATTGCATGTGAGAAAGAGCGCACCTAGAATAATAGCAATTTTGCAAGATGCAAGTTTAAGAATAGAGCACTATCATGACAGACTTGATGAAGTGACTGAAAGGTATCAGTCTTCACCATTATGTTAAAATGAGTAACTGCACTTTAAACAGCAAGGGCCGTGGGCCTTAAAGATTAACATGTAGTAAAAGCTTTTTGTGGACTAGGAACCCCTTCATCAGATAGAAGCTGTTGAAGCTGCTGTCACAACAGGTCCTTTAGTTTTTTAAGGTACTAAAAAACAGACTAATAAGGTTACCTCTCTGGACCCTACCTTATATGTGCCCAATATAATCCTGTCTTTGCTTAAACAAAACAAATATCTGCCTCACTGTTGCTTTTATTGCTGTCCACCTGTTTTTACAGGCAATATTTAATTGGGTGGAAGTGAAGAAATGACAGGCCTGAGGAAAAGCATAGGAGGGAGAAGGAAGGAACCAAGGACAAACAGCTTCTAATGAGTTATGCTACAAATGAGTTATGCCACTCTAGAAGCAACTTTTGGCGGGGTACTGCTGGTTTAATAATGAACTGTAACAAAGACGGTTATAAAAAGCCTACTTTACCTCACTCCCTTTGTTTATAGCCACTTTTCCCATTTTCACAGCTATGGGAGCCTTTAAAGAGAATATATATAATTTCCATTTATGAATTGCTTCTGATGAAACATCTCAAATTGATCAACAAAAACAAATCATTTCACCTACATTCCAATGCAGAGACAAACTTCTGTGAGTAATTGGAAACACACAGTCATGCTCCATCCCCCAGTCTAGTTCCTGACTGAGTGCCTTATTGAGGACTAAGAGCTCCAAAGTATACCAGCATACGATGAGTCTCTTGTAGATCCAAAATGGTATCATTAGAGATGGGGATAGTTAACACTATACAGAAAGTATGCACAATGTTATCTAAATATCTGTCTGTACCAGTTTTTAAACGAACAGCAAACTAGCTTAATTTTACAGATGACATCAAATTATTTAGAAAGGCAGAAACTAAAGAATTCTAACCTGGTTTACTTTGCAACAGATTCAATGTATTACATAAAGCAACCTTGACATTACTTGGCAAATGCAAAGATATACTGACCCGAGGAACAATCTCTTCAGCCAAAGCCAGCGCTCTTTGGTAAGCTGCATCCCCTTCTTCATTCTGTGGCACTACATGATTAACTAAACCTATTGAGAACGCCTCTTGTCCATCAATCTGTCTGCCAGTAAAAATTAGTTCTTTAGCACGGCTTAGTCCAATACAGCGTGGTAGGCGCTGGGTTCCACCTAGACAGGAAAAAACACCAAATCCACAACATACTTTTAAAAGGATGCACATCTTTATGGTTTCCATGCTTAAACTATACAGTCGTTTTTTCGAACAGTCGTGGTTTTCAAACAGCTTAGTTCTCGAATGTTTTGGCTCCCAAACGCCACAAACCCGGAAGTCAGTGTTCCGGTTTTCAAACGTTTTCGGAAGTCAAACGGACTTCCGGAGTGGATTCCGTTCAAGAACCAAGGTACGACTGTACTGCTATAGTTCAGAGATGGGGAACCTGCGGCTGTCCAGATGTGGTTGGACTCCCATTATCCCTGTCATGGGACTGGTGGTAGTTGGGAATTCAACCACAGCTGGAGGGCATGTTTGTTTGTTTTAAGTAAGTGAAAAATGAGATTGTGGAAAAGCTATTAAGTTATGCCTCAGAGACTGAATTTCCACAATGTAATATCGTAAGATCTTCAAATTCCCTCTCTATATAGTGTCTAAATGTTGTAGTCCTCCAAAATAGCTCGGATTTAGTTTACATTTCAGGAAATATTTGTAGCTACAGATGAAAAATTACTAGGAGGAGATGCAGCATTCCTTTGCTGGGATGATCTGTTAACCGGCGAAGTGACTGAGATGTCAGGCTGCCAGTCTTTAAAATTATATTGCTCTGTCACCTAAGGTCAAAATGGTAAGTATAGAAGCATTTCTGTTTTAAAACTGGAGAAGGGAGTATTCACATATCCAATTTCTTTTTTTAAAAAAGGAAAAACAAAGATCAGATCTTGCTTAAATAACTGGCAGAACTAGGGAGGGGTTTTGGGACTGCTGGGATGTTTTAGCTTAATTATAGCATTATTACCTCACAATAGGACACATAATTAATGTAAAAGCAGCTAAAAAAGTGGATGAAGCTACACTACCTGCACCAGGAAAGAGTCCTCTTGTTGTTTCAATCAAGCCCATCTTAGCCGACGATGCTGATTTATAACAAGAACACAACAAGGGGAGAAGCTACATTAGCACATAGTACAGTGTCAACGTGCTTTAAAGCACTAAATGTTAGCACTTGCAATTTTAGCACAAGGGAATATCTCCAATTGCCAACTTTAAGTGTCATTGCAGTGAGAGTAGAAGACCCCGGTTGTGCTGGTGGACTCACCTGCCACTCGGAGATCACAAGCTAGTGCCAGTTCCAAGCCCCCACCCAACGCATGGCCTTCTATGGCAGCAATGGTAGGCATTGGCAGAGCAGCTGTAAAAATTAAATAGCAAGACATTCAGTGCAGCACCATTTACAATAGTTGGTAAATCTATCCAAGATAGCATAGTGATGAATGGGGAGACTTAATATGAATTAGGCCTTTATTTTTTAAAAGTTAGTTTAGCCTACACAAACAGGGTTGTTTCATTAAATGTTTGTCTTTGAAGCAGTTCTAGGCGACATTTAGGAATTTCAGACAGAAGAAAGAAGTAACTCCATATTAATTCAAATCTAACACCCTGATCTCAAATACTTGGAAGCAATGCTTCATTTAAATGAATGCAACATTGTTCTAGATGTGTTTAGGCTTGAAGAGAGTTCAGTCCTGCAGCGTGCTGCTTCACCAGCATATTTCCTGTGGGGGATATGCTGTATAAGCAAGCCCCATGCGTAAACTGTTGGCAGGTAGGCGGGACCACTTACCTGTGACCTAACATGATGTCAGATGACTGACAAGTGAGTTGTCCCTCCTACCTGTCAAAGTCAGGCCCTGAAGGTAAAAGTAAAGGTACCCCTGACCGTTAGGTCCAGTCGCAAAGGACTCTGGGGTTGCGGCACTCGTCTCACTTTACTGGCCGAGGGAGCCGACATACAGCTTTCGGGTCATGAGGCCAGCATGACTAAGCCGCTTCTGGCGAACCAGAGCAGCGCACGGAAACGCCGTTTACATTCCTGCCGGAGCGGTACCTATTTATCTACTTGCACTTTGACAAGCTTTCGAACTGCTAGGTGGGCAGGAGCAGGGACCAAGCAACGAGAGCTCACCCCGTCGTGCGGATTCGAACCTCTGATTGGCAAGCCCTAGGCTCTGTGGTTTAGACCACAGCGCCACCCGCGTCCCTTTGATCTGGCCTACTGAGTCAAAAAGGTTCCCCAACCCTGTTAAAAAGACAATCACATGCTAAGGAGTTCACGATGAGGTACTTACCAATGCCATTCATTAAGCTTCTGAGCCTCTGAACAAAATGGTCAGTTTCAGTATTGCTCATCTTAGCACGCTCTTTTAAGTCAGCACCTGAATTTACAACAGCAGAAGGCAGTTGGGGGGATAGAGAAAGGAAACACAATGGGTTCAACAGCAGTGCTTCAATGCATTAGTAACTGCCCTGTAAAATACAATGCAGCTCAATCCCTTGTAAAGGCAAACATACCTAATTCTGTGTAGGATTAGGTTGTGATAGTGACAACTTGCAATTTGGTTTCAGGAAGCCTTGTTAGCTTTGGCAGTCTATTAATCAATTTTGACAGAATAATGCATACATGTTCCATTCTCCTCCTACATAATTGATATACCCTAATAGAAAACTCAAATGCCCAGTGTCAATTACATATATTAATTGCTATCATGTTTGTCCTATATTTCACAAGGTTCAAACGATCTCAGCACAGTGTAGAAATCAAGATGTTCTGGAATTTAAAGTTTGCACCGCTGCTGGTAATAGAATGCCAGGAACATGAATGAGGATGAGATACGATGAGAAAAGAAGTAAAACTACCCCCCCCAAAAAACCCCTATCTTTATACCTAGTAGTAAGAATAATTCAGCTTTTAGGTTTAGAGGCAGCAATTTCTGTAATCACAAGGATACACAAGACACAACAAATACATATTAAATCCAGTGGGGGAAAACATATGATTGGTGGGCTATAATTGCTTAAAGTCTATTTATTGTCCTTATTCATATATAATGCCTCTACCCACCTGCACAAAAAACGCCTTTCACTTTGCTCTTAATTATCACCACGCGAATACTCTCATCAAAATGGAGAACTTCAAGGGTTTCAAACAGCTGAGCGGGAGAGCGGGAGAGAGTGGGTGCAACATCAGATTTCAATTAATAGAAAATTCTACCAGTTCATTTGATTTATTATGCGACCATTGCTGAGTACTGAACTGAAAAAATGAAATCGTAAGTACACACAAGCTCGTTAAGCGGATCAAATATTCAGCATGCTGATAGACTGGCTTGTATCCAAATAAGTTTTACTCAGACTCAAGACTCACTGACATTAATGGACCTAAGTTAGTCATATTCAATCATGTCTGTGTGCCTATTCTGAGTAGGACTAGCATTGGTTACAACCCATTGTGTTGCTATTATAAGCATTTCCATGCAAAGTATGTAAATATTAGGCTCTATCCTGCAGATACAGGTTGCAAACCTATCTATATGAAGGATGGAAAAGCTGGTCCTCCAGGCATAAGAGTCAACTCCTAGGGGCCGAGGTTCCTTTGCCCCCTCCCCCCCCCCCGGTTGATGGGCATTGCCATTCAAATGCTGTGTGTGCACCGCGTCTTGTGGTTATGCGGGGCAGGGCTTACCCAATATTTTATTCAAGTTAGCACCACTGCAGGGATCACTGGACTAGAGCTCCCATACCCAATTATTGTGCATGCTATCGCTGTTATTCACACCTATCTGGGAGTAATCCCTATTTAATTCAATGGGACTTACTTCTTATTAGGTATGTATAGGACTGTGCTGTTTGTCTCCACTTCAAAAACTCTAGGTTCTACTAAGGTCTAAGAAGCTACTAAGTTACCTGGGACCCCAATACAAATACAAATATCATCTGTACGATGGAAGACAATCTTCACTCACCTCATCCACGAACACTTTCCCCAGTGAATTTCTGGCATGTGGTCTGTTCATCAGAATTTCTGCAATACCTGTACTCCAAAATAAAATAAAGAACTCTTTTTCATTTATTGTTTAGAGGTAGTTCCATTTCTTATTGTTGATTTTAAACGTTTAAGCCACTTTTCAGCCAGAGCTTTCAAGGCAGCTTACAATACTCCAGGGTGTGTGGAATGCAAATGAGAGGGACACAAACCCAGTGACCAAGGCTAAGCTTAGCCCAGAGACAGACCCAGTGGCCTTGCAGATGTTCTCAGAGCCACAACTTTTACCATCCTTGACCTGGGGCCGTTCTGGCTAGGGCTAATGGGAGTTACAGCATAGCATAGGAGCACAGCAAGCTGCATATGCTGAAATAGACCATTAGGCCTATCTTAACTCAGTACTGTCTACTCTGGCTGCCTGCAGCTCTCAGTGTTTTAGGCAGGAGTCTCTCCCAGCCCTTTCTGGAGATGCAGGGGGATTGAACCCAGCCCTTTCTGCACGCAAGACAGATGCTCTGCCACTGAACTACATCCGAAAAGGCCTCAGGTTCCCCATCCCTGCTGTGTTTAGTGCAGCTTTTGCCACCCAGGTGCCAGGGAGTTGTAGTCCAAAACAACTGGAGATCAACAGGCGCAGCCTTCCCAAATGGATCTCTCATCTATTCCTGAAATGGGTTAGGCGGCTCCTTCAAGCTGCGACGCGCCCAATGGTGCCTTTCATGCACGGCTAATCTTTGTTTACTGGGAGGGTGTTGCCCACGAACAACGCTTGTGATTGGAGGACGGCAGCATAATTGACGGGGCTTCCCAGGTTTTGATAGAAGACTACAGTTGCTCTCTCTTCAGAGATGTTTAAGGAATCTTTGCAGGAGTTTTAATTTGTTCCAGCCTATTTTACTGCGGATTTAACCTCTGTCTTTTATAATTACAGTTGCAAACTTTTTAGTGATGATTTTCTTGCTTTATCTTTTTTTTTGGTAACGCTTTCTGAGGTTCAGCGGCATATACATTTTATGAAATCCATCCATCCACTTTCCATAGCCTCGCTGCAATCCTGCGCCTACTTACCTCGGAGTATAAGCCCCGTGGAACTCAGCGGGACCAATTTCCGAGTTAACAAGCGAACATGCCAAGGGCTGGACGGGACGGGAGGTTACCTCGTCCCTTGCAACAACTTACAGGAATAGCTACGACCCCCCGCCCCGGCCTCGTCGTCTGCGAAGCTCCCGTTTATTGCAGAGCCGCCCTGGGCCTCCCCAACTGGGCCCGGACACCCTCAGGAGGCTGCTGGGCTCCACTCACCGCCTCCAGGCTCTCCGTGCACTTCGAGCAGGATCTCCTTTTTCCTCCCGGCAGACGCGGCTCTCTTGGGGATCTTGCCCCCTTCCCCGGGGGGCTGGGCGGGAAGCGTCCGCAGCAAGGCGGCTGCTCTGCCCAAGCGGAGCATCGCGATTCTATTTTTTTATTCGTGCTTGGAAGTCTGAAAGGAGCGGCGGCGGCGGATCGATTTCAGGCAGCGCTCACTCACTTCCTTGCAGCTGGAGCTGAGGACGAGTGGAAAGGCGCCGCCTCCTTGCCTGCTAACTGTTAAATTTGGGGGTCGAACCAAGGAAACAGCGTCTCTCTCTGCTATGTCGTGGCTTAAACGGGTGCAAGTTTACAGGGCAATGCTAACTACGGCTCCTCAGAAGCAAACCCTACTGAATTCAGTGGGGCTTACTCCCAGGCAAGTGGGGAAAACTATGGAATTGAACCTTCAAGAACCAACTTTTCTTTCCAAAGTTTTTGGCTTAGGATTTTCAAATCACCACCTTTGCAAAAACAACCTTCACAGAAGCTTAACCAGAAGGTTGGAGGGCAGGATTCCTGAGTTTGCAGGAGGTTGGACTAAATGACCCGCGGGGCCCTTCCGGCTCTACAGTCTATGGTTCTTCTCAGGGCCGGATTAGGTTTGATGAGGCTCTAAACTACTGAAGGTAATGGGGCCCTTTATATGTCCAGCTGTCAACAACAAAGGGTCGCTGTTTTTTGTGTTGAATATATGCTATATGGGAAATTATGGACCTAATAGGTATCGAAAGCCATGCAACCAGTCCATGCAGAATGTAGGCACCCTATATATAGAAATGAGCAAACCAGTGATATTTTAGGGAACAGGCTAGCAGGCGGGGCCCGTTACTTAGATCATAGGAAACACAACACAAAACACTGTTGCTGTATGTAGGTTTTATTTTATTTCTTTTTTATCTTATATTTTGGAAATGTACATCCAGTTTTTTCCCCTTTAAATTTTTTGAGGGCCCCCAGTAGAGCGGGGCCCTAAGGTATAGCTTGTTTAGCTTATACGTAAATCCGTCACTGGTTCTTCTAGGTGTACAGTGGTACCTCGGGTTACATACTCTTCAGGTTACGGACTCCGCTAACCCAGAAATAGTACCTCGGGTTAAGAACTTTGCTTCAGGATGAGAACAGAAATTGCGCAGCGGCAGCAGGAGGCCCCATTAGCTAAAGTGGTGCTTCAGGTTAAGAACAGTTTCAGGTTAAGAACGGACCTCCAGAACGAATTAAGTTCTTTACCTGAGGTACCACTGTATATGCAACCACTAATTTTCATCTTTCGTCCTGCACGATTGGTGTTTGTCGATTCAGACACACTGTTGCTTTAAGAGCGCGGGGGGCGGAGCGATAATCTCAACGCGGCCCCGCCCCTGCCGTCGACCTTTGGCTGGAACCTCCCCCCCTCCAGTCCAACAACCCGTGCGCGAGTGCCAGGAAGGAGAAGGAGGACTCGCGCTCGTCTTCTGGTGGTCGTCGGGCTTGCAGTTGGGGGCGCAGGGCGATCCTGAGCAACGGCCATGGCTCCGTCCCGGCTAGGAAGGAGGGTGTTTGTGGTGGGAGTCGGCATGACTAAGGTACGGGATGGGTTGCTCTGTTGAGAAAGGAGTGCAGGGGAGGGGAATGAGAGCGCCTAGAGTTGCTCCCCTTTTCAGGCTGCACCTCATTTCCACCCCTCCCAAGAAACTGCGTGGTCTGCATGGCTTCCAACCCCCTGTTTTAGCCTTGCAATAACCCTGCAAGGTAGGTTGGGTCGGCCCCGCACGGGACCCCCCCCCCCCCAGCAATACTAGCCACCAGCCCCTTTGATAGCTGTGTGGCTGGAAGAAATTCAACCGGTAGAGTCTTCCCAGCGCTGCCACCCCTGTGTTGGGGAAGACTAATTAAAAGGGGGGAATATTATGACAGTGTGAGTGACAATTTCCCCCTTGCTTTCAGTAGGAAACCAGAAGGTTTACTGGAGAAAAGAGAATGCTGTGAATGTTAGTTGACAAGGCAGGGATCCACTGAAATAAATGCAAGCCGACAAACAAAGCAAGGAAAGGCTCATTGGAGGGAAAGGGTATAGGTATAGGCTCTGTTGACAGGGGGCAAGGGGAAATTATGGGGAACAATAGTCAGGGTCCCCAAAAGACTGGAATGTGCATATGACAGTTGTTTATACTAAATTAACCAAATTCATACATGGCTTTTGCCACAGGTACAATGCCTGATATCCAACTAAATCATACTAAAGCACACCTATTGTAACTCACAGAAATAAATTAACTATTTTTTTAGCTGCTATGCTCTGAATATGGCTAACATTAGGGATTGCCCACTATCTGGGATGAGACATAAAACATCTTTGTCTCTCTTTGTCACTGACTTTTAATAAAGTCTGAGATACTTCTAATTTTATTTTGCTGCTTTATTGTCTGACTTGATTGTTTTCAATGTTATTTCCATGTGGGTGTATATGCATGCGGGTCGGTGGGTATATATTATTTGTGCAAATTTGTTACTGTAGCTGCCTTGATGCAAAGTGGAAAAAACGTGATAGAATTACCGTAACTGCAACAATAAATAAATAAATAAAACCACTTCAGAAAGTTTTTATTAGAAGATTAATATGGAAGAGACTAGAGCAGGCTTCCTCAACCTCACCCCTCCAGATGTTTTTGGCCTACAACTCCCATGATCCCTAGCTAGCAGGACTAGTGGTCAGGGATGATGGGAATTGTAGTATCAAAACATCTGGAGGGCCGAGGTTGAGGAAGCCTGGACTAGAGACTGGGTCTGAAAGGCCCCTTCCACATGAACGGGCGAAGTTTCTGTTCACAGGCATAATATTTAGCTCCAGACCTTCCTTTGCTCTAAGCATTCGTATGATTCCTCATTCTAAGTGTTACCTATTGGTCTGGTATATGTCAGGTTAGCATATAAAAAACGAGGAATGTCACAACCTCTTGGAAGATAAGTTGATAGCTTATGCAATAGCTGAGCAAGGACCTTTGGGACTGTTAGCTACTTGTGGCACAGACCTGCATTCTTGTTATGTTGTAAAGTGCCAGGTATTTTAATGGCATTACCACTAGTGCATCAAAAGATAAACAAAAATGTTATAGCTTAACAGAGACATCCTGTCTTCCTTCTAGCACCATGATTTTTTTCTTTAGCAAAGCTTCAGGAATTTTTAACATATAATTTGTTTGCACCACTATATATTGCTGAATTTGTGTAATGGCAAGTGGCTATATTAAAATATGATAAGATCTGAGAAGGCATTTACCATGCGCATGTGTAGTGTGCACTTCCTAGGCCTTTCACTCTGCAGAATTTGTGTGATTAGAAGTTATATGAGTACGAATGTGAAGAAAATAGACTTGCTTTTTTTAATTTAAAAAAAAAATGCTTTTCTTTCTAACAGTTTGAAAAGCCTGGGTCTCGTGAAAATTTTGATTATCCCGACATGGCTAAAGAAGCAGGTTGGTTCATCATAATGGGGTCTGGCTCACAACTTATACTGCACTGGGGGAAGGGGGCAGTGTCCTAGAGAAAACTGAGCACTTTGAGGGGTCTGGAGAAGGCGTGGCTCAGCTGCTGTGCCAGTACATTGCAATGCTGCTGTGAGAGCAGTTGCAACAGCCCTTGGCAAGGAGCCATAGGCCTAGGAAGGCCTATTGCTTGGCCAATTGTTGCTACCAGTGAAGGAGTTTTGCCAGGTGTGTCTGGGTGTTGTCAGGGTTTGGCAGCGTAGGATAACATCAGGGAGGTGGCGAGGATTGCCCTGGCTAGAGTAGCATAAATGTTTATGTAAAACAATCTGTTTTTTAACTTTCTTGAAAACTCACTTTAAGTGTGCACTGATGTCTGCAACGATGAACCCGTCATTAGAGTATTGGTGGGGAACCTCCCCCCCCCAGCCCCGTGAGAGCTAATTAGGCCTGCTAGGCCTCTGTTGTTGTTAATTTATATACTGCCGTTCACAGAACAGTTTGCAACATAAAAGAATACAAATTTGGTCCGCTAAACTGTTTTGGCCAAGCCACACCCAGTTGCCCTACACTTTATATCAGGTGTAGAGCAGGTAAAGCTGTGACTAGGCCAGAAGGGGGTTTGCAAGCACCACTGGTCAGCTGATCAATGGCGCCTGCAAAGCCCTACGTATGACACTTTGCAAGCGCCGACAGAGAGCTGATTACTGTGGCTTGCATAGAGTTTGCAGTGCTTTGCAAGGCCCAACAATCAGTTGACCTGGAGAAGAGGAGGTTAAGGGGTGATATGATAGCCATGTTCAAATATATAAAAGGATGTCACATAGAGGAGGGAGAAAGGTTGTTTTCTGCTGCTCCAGAGAAGCGGACACGGAGCAATGGATCCAAACTACAAGAAAGAAGATTCCACCTAAACATTAGGAAGAACTTCCTGACAGTAAGAGCTGTTCGACAGTGGAATTTGCTGCCAAGGAGTGTGGTGGAGTCTCCTTCTTTGGAGGTCTTTAAGCAGAGGCTTGACAACCATATGTCAGGAGTGCTCTGATGGTGTTTCCTGCTTGGCAGGGGGTTGGACTCGATGGCCATTGTGGTCTCTTCCAACTCTATGATTCTATGATTCTAGGGTTTGCATATCACTATTTACTCTAATGATTAGACCAGAGCTTTCCAAACTTTTCATGTTGATGACACGCTTTTTAGACATGCGTCGCAACACAGTAGTTCAGTTTTGCTAGCAAACCGGAGGTTAAACTAACCCCTTTCCAGCCCAGGGAGTTGCTGAGGGAATGTTCACACCACATATAGCAGCCGACACACTAACGTGCCGCGACACAGTTTGGAAAGCTCTGGATTAGACTATAATTTCGGATTTGTTTAAGAAATAAATTCATTTCTTTCAAGAAAAGAAGCCCTACAAGACTTGAGCACTGCAGTGTGAAAGTCCAAGGGCTGATTATAATCTGCTGCTCTGTGGGGAAACCCCTGCAAGCACATCCCAGCTATCTGCGAATGTGCATACAGTAATAAGTGACCTGAAGTTACACAGGTGCAGCTGCCTATCACTGGCAGTGATTTCTGTAATTCCAACAGTTTGACAAAACCTTTGCCAGTTACTATGGTGCTATGTGAGCTGTATCCATGTACAGTGGTACCTCAGGTTAAGTACTTAATTCGTTCTGCGGGTCCGTTCTGAACCTGAAACTGTTCTTAACCTGAAGCACCACTTTAGCTAATGGGGCCTCCTGCTACTGCCGTGCCGCCACAGCACGATTTCTATTCTTATCCTGAAACAAAGTTCTTAACCTGAAGCGCTATTTCTGGGTTAGCGGAGTCTGTAACATGAAGCGTATGCAATGTGAAGCGTATGTAACCCGAGGTACCACTGTCCACCTAACTCCAATGACTTGGTAACCCTATGAATGTGTCCCTTGAGGCAGTTGGGGCTATTTCAAAGAACATCAGGTACTGTATCTTGCCTGAACTGGCCTAAGTCTTGTAAAATGTAATCCGTTTAGGAGTACAGAAGTGTACTTGCAATCCATTTGCTTTTCAAATGTACCTCTTGAAATGGAGTCCATCAGTGTTTTGATTTGTTATTTAAATACCCACTGAAAGATTTAGTAACTTTTTTTTTCAAATGTTCAGGTCAGAAGGCTCTTGCTGATGCAGGTGTCCCTTATTCTTCTGTGGAGCAGGCATGTGTGGGTTATGTTTATGGTAAGTAATGCTGCTGTTAAGACCTCAACGCTTCGCTTCCTGGGCTTCATCTGCCACTCCTAATGTCTGCTTGTTAACCTAATGCATCACTGAGGCAGCAGTTTTTCTGTTCTGTCATTAACTGCTAGCTGTGGCATTTAAACTGCTCTGAGATTGGATGGCGGGGACAGGATTTGACAAATTTATATAACCATATTGGCATTTCTAAGTGTCTTGTGTCTTGTATGGTTGTAGGTGTAAGATGAATCTCTTATTCTAGTTTTTTCAACTTGTGTCTGGTGATAAAATAGGAAAGGCTAGACTCTTAGTTTTAAATGGCATAAAATACGTGGAAATCAATTTAACCCTATACCTTTTGATTTGTAACTGCATAGGCAGCTGATTATGAAAAGCTTGCCTGAGAAAATATACTTGCTTATGGGCTCTTGAACACTAAATGTATGTACGGTATTGTTAAATATTAAAAACAGAATGAGTGGCCCTCTAGGGTTTTAGTCTGGAGTCTTCTCAGCCTTACCTGGAGATACCTAGGATTGAATTTTCCTGTCATAGTGCTAAGAGGTTTGGAGTACTTTAACAGCTCCAGAAGGAGGATAGAGAATGCAATGCTCCTCTGGCCAGTTGTGTGATTCTGCATCTTCTTTTTAATTATAAAGGTGATTCAACCTGTGGTCAGCGAGCCATTTATCATAGTTTGGGGCTAACGGGTATTCCTATTATGAATGTGAACAACAACTGCTCTACTGGATCAACTGCTTTGTTCATGGCCAGACAATTGGTCCAGGGAGGTGAGTTCTGTTTTAGTTCCTACTGCAAATGCATATGGGCTTAGTGTTATCAGTTCCATCACTATAGGAAATTTAAAAGCCAGCTTTTAGCATGCTGTGGAATATTTTCAGCCAAATGTTTGAAAAGCTTGGCTGCAGGTCCAGGCCTCCTGCCTGGATTCAAGTGTATAATATGAAATTATGGGTTTTGTTTTGTTTAAAAAAATAACATCTACAGTGTAAAGTATTCAATAATTTGTATTTAAGGTATGGCTAACTGTGTCCTGGCTCTTGGATTTGAGAAGATGGCAAGAGGGTCCCTTTCATCTCAAGTAAGTATTGAAGCAATTTTAATGCATGGAAACCAAAGTCAATTTTGCCTGGCATATTTGGGAAACAGATAGGATCATTCCAACTCTCCTTATTCAAATACATCATTTGCAAAATGAAGAAGAAGAAAGCCGTGTATGTAATGATGTATCATCTACACAAGGCATTTACATAAAAAACATTTATTAGGAAATTAAGAGGTTTCTCAATATCCATTTCCTTTTGGCACTGGGCAAACTCACTGTAGCAGAAGGAATACAGGATTTTCTCTGCTCTTGAAACTGACTGTAACCTTCACCGCACAATTTACAGCTGTGAATGCTGTAGGCCCTGCTGAGAGGTGCTTTTGTGCCACAAGGGCAGAATAGATTTTTAAAATAAAATAAGTAAATATTGTAAGCTGCTGCCCTGAGTAGCTTTTTTGTACTTGTAAAGTGCCATACTTCATGAAGGAACTTGACAGTCATGTCATAACTACTACAGTGGTACCTCTGGTTACAGACGCTTCAGGTTACAGACTCCTCTAACCCAGAAATAGTACCTTGGGTTAAGAACTTTGCTTCAGGATGAGAACAGAAATCATGCGGCAGCATGGCGGCAGCGGGAGGCCCCATTAGCTAAAGTGGTGCTTCAGGTTAAGAACAGTTTCAGGTTAAGAATGGACCTCCAGAATGAATTCAGTTCTTAACCTGAGATACCACGGTATTTAGAAACACATTTACAAAGAGCATAACAAAGTATTGCATACAGTGGTTCTTAACGGCAAGATGGAACATGTGGCGACATGGGTTTGTGTGTAGTAATTCTTACTATTCTAATGTTCCTTCCTATAGCATTGCCCAATCTCTAGAGCCTTCTCACCGATTCCTTCAGCTTTCTTCTCATTCTCTAACAACCCTTATATTCAAAGCCACAGCTTCCCACCCCCGTCAAACGTGTGTGATATCTACTGTTTCCACAAAGCACATAGTTAAACAACGGAATTTGCTCCACAGGAGGTAGTGCTGACCAACAATTTGCATGACTTTAAGAGAGGTTTAGAGGAATTCATGGAGGATAGGACTATCAATGGCTACCAGGCATGGTGTCTATGCTGTGCCTCCACTGTTTGATGCGGTGTGCCTCTGAATACCAGTTGCTGGAAACCACAGGAGGGGAGAGTGATCTCGCACTCAGCTCCTGCTTGTGGACTTCCGATGAGCCACTGTAAGGATGCTGGACTAGATGGGCCTTTGACCTGATCCAGAAGGGTGTTTTGTACAGTGGTACCTCGGGTTAAGAACTTAATTCATTCTGGAGGTCTGTTCTTAACCCGAGGTACCACTTTAGCTAATGGGGCCTCCCGCTGCTGCCGCCCCATTTCTGTTCTCATCCTGAAGCAAAGTTCTTAACTCGAGGTACTGTTTCTGGGTTAGCGGAGTCTGTAACCTAAAGCGTCTGTAACCTGAAGCGTCTGTAACCCGAGGTATCACTGTATGTGTGTGTAGTGAAACCTTTCATAAATCTGGTGTTCTATTCTTGAGGCCCATGCCATTTTTTAAGCAGATTTTTGTTCGTAAGGTTTTTTGGTTTTTTTAAAGGGTGAAAATTATAAATAGAGGCCACTCTATAAACCCTGAACTTGCAGGAAACTTGGGAAATTTGGTTTGTAGTGTAGTCTCATGCAGCTTGGGTGGTCCCAATGTTTCAAGCAAATTGGTTCTGTACGTTCAGAAGGAAGGCTTTGAAAACGATGCATTGAAAATGCTAGGGGGTTCTTGCAGTATTTTCTTCCTCTCTTGGGTGATCTTGATGTACAGGTGCTGTGGTGTGAAAAACGTACAACTTGTCTTTCAATTTCAGTTCATGGACAGGGTGAATCCCATGGACAAGCATATGGAAGTGATGATAAGCAAATACAATCTCGCAGCAGCACCAGTTGCCCCACAGCTTTTTGGAAATGCCGGCAAAGAACACATGGAGAAATACGGTATTACTTATGTTTGTCAACTATATTACCATTGCAAGAAAACACATTCAGTAACCTCCTTCCTGTTTTAATTAATGATGTGTTGGATGATTGTCTGAAGACCTGTGTGTAGAAATAATTGACTCCCAGAACAGGTCGTTTTTGAGACTTTAGCCCCCATCTGCAATATACATTTTAAGGAGTTTCATACCACTTTATACAGTCGTGACCTTCCTCCCAAAGAATTCTAGGACGTGTAGTTTGTGACAGGTGCTGAGAGTTGTTAGGAGATTCATATCCCCCTCACAGAGGTACAATTTCAGAGTGGTTTTAGCAGTAAATCCTTCTATGGGAACTCTGGGAATTGTAGCTCTCTGAGGGAATTAGGGGTCTTCTGACAACTCTCAGCACCCTTTAACAAACTTCAGTTCCCATAATTCTTTGGAGGAAGAGGACATGGCTGTTTAAAGTGGTATGATACTGCTTTATATGTACAGTATGGTCTTCCCTCTTGCAATTTTTTTCCAGTGGTAGCAACAGCAATCTTTGCTGCCTGCTACAGTGGTGCCTCGCAAGACGAAATTAATCCGTTCCGCGAGAGTCTTCGTCTAGCGGTTTTTTCGTCTTGCGAAGCAAGCCCATTGACGGATTAGCGCTATTAGCGCTATTAGCGGTTTAGCGGCTATTAAAGGCTTAAAGGCTTAGGGGATTAGCTGCTAAAAGGCTATGAAAGGCTATTAAAGGCTTAGCAGATTAGATAAAGGGGGGGGAAAGCGAAAAAAAAATTCAAGACTCGCAAGACATTTTCGTCTTGCGAAGCAAGCCCATAGGGGAATTCGTCCTGCGAAGCAACTCCAAAACGGAAAACCCTTTCGTCTAGCGGTTTTTCCGTCTTGCGAGGCATTCGTCTTGCGGGGCACCACTGTATATCTTTTGCTTTTGCTCTGTTGGCTATTACTTGCTTTTCATACAATATAGCACCTGCAAATGTGTAACTGCTAAATTAAGCACCTTGTGAGCTGGAATTGAGTCAAAAGCAGCTTATGACATAAGCATTTAATAGGAAGCTTTTATACTAGGTCTATGAACATTTTGAAGTATGGGGTTATCATTTATATAAGTAATATTGTTCCACCCCCCAAGCTTTTTGACTGGTTTGTCTCTCTCTCTCTCTATTAAGGATCAAAACAAGAACATTTCGCCAAAATTGCATGGAAGAATCATAAACATTCAACCAACAATCCGTAAGTACACTATTTGTGCAGTATTCAGGGGAAAAGATAGATTTAGGGTTCCATCCAACTCATTTCTACCTGCAGTAAGCCACTAAAATTAATGGAGCTTAAGTTAGTCCTGTCCATTAATTTCATATAGTCTATTCCAAGTATCGTGAATGTTAGGTAACAATACCAAGAAAAGATTTTGCATGATAGGAAAACGTGAAACTTCAAAAGATTCCAGTTTTATAGACAGACCAATTATTTCCTCATCGCTGAAAAGCATAAATTTAGGACGTTTTTATGTATAAATGGCTAGCTATATACCATTATAGCTAAGTTTCACAGCAGCAGCAGTTCAGGCCATAGCTTTCAACATTTCCCTTTTTTTAAGGGAAATTCCCTTATTCCGAATAGGATTCCTCGCAAGAAAAGGGAAAAGTTGACAGCTATGGTTCAGGCACCCTCCACCATGCCTATATGCACCTCCAGCTGAGAGTGCCCTCTCACCAGCTGCTGAGGGGAGAGGAAGCAGCGGCTCATCTTTTGTGCTGAGATTCAGGTTGGACCTGCTGAATTACTATGACCTTCTGGAATGTGTAACTAAGGTCTAGATTCCAAGTTTGTTTTTCCCCCTTTCCCTTTCCTATCATATCTCTTTCAATTGTAGGCCATAGGGTAGGGGCCGTCTTATTTCTGATCTTGTAATGAGTTCCAGGAGCCTTTTTCCTCCCTGAAAAATACTTAAATGATGTAGAGAAGCAGTGGCACACAGAAAACAAGAGTCAGAGAACAATTGACTCAGGTGGGCCATAACCTCCATGCATGGCTCGGGTGTGCCTATAGACTCTAGTATATGGGAGAGGGAGGAAAACTCTTTGTCCATCATGCATAATGTTATTTTGGACGAGGTGGACTTTGGCTTGATGTGCAAAGTAGTTCCTATGTTCTCACACTCTGTTCACATAAGGCTGTTGTATTGTAGAATAAATAAAAGGTGCCAATTTCTCTGTATTGAGGAGTATTATATTAATTGAGATGCAATTTCCCTTTGTATTTTCCCCTTAGGAATTCTCAGTTTCAAAAGGAGTACAGTTTGGACGAAGTGTTGCAGTCACGTAAAGTTTTTGATTACTTAACAATACTACAGTGTTGGTAAGAATAGTGTTGCACTCCTCTCAACTTCTTAATTTTATTCTGCTAGTTTGTGGTCTTATTTTTAGAAAATACTTTTTCTCACTGTATCTAGCCATAGATCAAAATACGTGCTAGGTCTTCCTAAGGAAAAAAACGTGATTCCTTCTATCCCTGTGCAGTTCTTTCTTCTGTTAAGGATTCAGTGCTCTCAGAAGTAATATTTCTGAGCTACCTATGATCTGTTAAACCGGAAATCCTGGAGATGGTACCTGGGGCATTCTGTATGCAAGAAATGGGATTGATGGCCCATCTCTACGTGCCGTCCCTAAGGGCCTTATCCATGCATTGCTTGTGTGTGGCATAAATGTATAGAGAATGGAGCAGGACACACAGCAAGCCCTGCTCCTGATGGGGCATTTCTCTCTCTTCCTTACCCTACACCTGTGCATTGTGCACGATTGTGGTAGAGAAGAAAGCGTAATGTGTGAGCTCTTGCTCATGAGTAGGAGTGCCACATGTAGGGGGCATCCAGTTGTGCAGTAAAGCGGGGGGCAGGGGGAAGGCATATATTATAGGGAGCCCTTCTGGTCTGCAAAGAAGTACTGATTTCTGCAACACATGAAGTGGCCCTTTCTCTGGAGATGAAAAAGGGAGCTTCTGCTTGAGCTCCCTGCCTAAATTTCAGTTCACTAGCATTATGGAATGCCATTCAACTTTTCATTGACTTAGGAAAGCTCGCTATAACATAATTGTCTTTGTTCCAGAAGCTTTTGAAATAATGACTTTTATAGCACATGTAACTACCGTATTTTTCGCCCTATAGGACGCACTTTTTCCCCTCCAAAAATGAAGGGGAAATCTGTGTGCGTCCTATGGGGCGAATGCAGGCTTTCGCTGAAGCCTGGAGAGCGAGAGGGGCCGGTGCGCACCGACCCCTCTTGCTCTCCAGGCTTCAGGAAGCTATCTGCAAGCCTTGCGCGCCCAGCGGGAGTTCCCCCGGGCGCGCAAGGCTTGCGGGCGGCAGCCCGGAGCACGGGGCGCCCTCTGGAGGACGCCCCGTGCTTCGCGCAGGTGTCCGCAAGCCTTGCGCGCCCGGCGGGAGTTGCTGCCGGGCTGGCAAGGCTTGCGGATAGCAGCCTGTTCTGGGGGCTGGGGTCGGGGGAAGCTCGGGCTTCCCCCGCCCCAGCCCCGCAGCTGGGGGGGGGGAATAAAATTTTTAAATTCATTCCCCCCCCCCCCAAAAATGAGGTGCGTCCTATGGGCCAGTGCGCCCTATAGGGCGAAAAATACAGTATATACATTGGATTCTATCAACTAAGCCTACTCACAGTAGACCCACTGAAACCAATAAAGTTAGTTATGTGTATTGATTTCAGTGTGTCTACTTGCAGTATGATTTGGTCACCGACAACCCCATTTCTTTGTCTTGTGTGGATTAAAGTGTGATTGCTTTTATGATCAGTTTGATCTTCAGAGTGATGCTGTTAAGCTTCTTTGGACCAGTAATTGACTTTTCTTTTGCTCCTAACGGGTAATTCAATTTGCATTGTGAATGATAATTGCCCCTTCCCCCTCTTCTGGATGTGAAATTCAGTATATATTGATTAAGTGACTCTCAAACTCTGCATCTCTTTCAGCCCAACATCTGATGGGGCAGCAGCAGCGGTGCTGGCTAGTGAAGAGTTTGTGAGGAAGAATGGGTTGGAGTCAAAAGCCGTTGAAATTGTGGCCCAGGAGATGATGACTGATCTTCCAAGCACATTTGTAGAGAACAGCTGCATTAAAGCGGTAGGCTTGCTATTCTAACATATGCATTGGCACTTGCTTTCAGTTAATGTGTTCTGCATTTGAGGAGACTTAGAAGTGGCGAGAAAGGCGCTTGCAGCTGACGCACAGATAATGGTAGTCCTGGTAGCCACAAGGTACTTGCGTGTGATCTCTGCGGTAGTGGGGTTGGTTGGTTGGCATCTTTCTTTCTTGAGAGACAGTGAAGTGCGTCTCCAGGGGTGAAGTCAAACTTTTGCATTTGCAGCACCCAAGTAACCTCCCCCTAGTGCATGGGTAGGCAACCTAAGGCCTGGAGGCTGGATGCAGCCCAATCACCTTCTAAATCCGGTCCACAGGTGGTCCAGGAATCAGCATGTTTTTACATGAGTAGAATGTCTCCTTTTATTAAAAATGCACCTCGGGGTTATTTGTGGGGCCTGCCTGGTGTTTTTACATGAGTAGAATGTGTGCTTTTATTTAAAATGCATCTCTGGTTTATTTGTGGGGCATAGGAATTCGTTCATCCCCCCCCAAAAAATATAGTCCAGCCCCCCACAAGGACTGAGGGACCGCGGACCGCCCCCCTGCTGAAAAAGTATGCTGACCCCTGCCCTAGTGCAAGCCTGAGCAGTGTGTATGGAGGTCCTAGACAACAAGACCCCTCTCTTGGCCTTGTTGATGTGGTCCAAAGGAAAGCAGAGCTCCACCAGCTTGATTGCAGGAGTTGCTGGAAGGAGGTGTGCAAGGCGCCATCCACCTGTCTTAAGGTTTGCACTCCGGATTTTTGTAGCCTTTACTTCTTAGCTTTTTCTTCTCCTGAAGATGTCCTGCAAGACAGCAGAGCTTTAGGATCAGAGTTTTCCTTTTCCTATGGCCTACCTTCCCAGGTTGACAAGCCCCATCTGCCCCTCACTTCCCTCCACAGCACGTGCAGAAACCACCTTCTTGTCTCGTCTGCTCAATCTACCCAAGCCTGTCTTTGCATGCAGGTGCCATTTCTAATTCACTGAGGGTTTGAGACCCACTGGCTAAAAAGAATAGTTTATTTATTGCTACATGCATATCCCATCCTTCTGCCAAGGATCTTAATGTGGCACACATGGCTTTTGCAGCATCCCTTGATTGGTGAAATGCCTGGATACTGACATTTTGTATTTGTGCAGGCCATTTATTTGTTACAAATATTATAATGATGGGATATGTCCTGGATTTTCAGAATTTGCGAAGCATTAACTTTGACAGGAGTTGAGCGAATAAGAGCTATTAGTTCAAATACAAGTCTGTTATATTTTGTTAATAGGTTGGCTTTGATATGACAAAGGAGGCTGCAAAAAGATGTTATTCAAAAGCAGGCCTGAGACCAGAAGATGTGGACGTGATAGAACTTCATGACTGTTTCTCTGCTAATGAATTAATAACTTACGAAGCTCTGGGACTTTGTCCTGAAGGTATTCTTTAAATATTAACATTGGGCACAATCCAGCCTACAGTTTAATTCACTTAAGTCCCCAGTTAATTCCTCAAAGCTGACCTCTGGAGGAAAGGTAAGTTGACAGAAGCATACAGCCTGAGGCCCTGCCCACATGCTTCCTGAAGTTGGGCTTATTTCTCTTTCTTACTCGTTTCTTTCCAGTTGTGAATAATGTGTAGCTTTAGCAATGGGGGAGTATTGAGCACTAGCCTTCCCCCCCCCCCCCCGAGTCTGTATTGAGACTAGGGAATTTTGCTTCTCTAAGTGTCTCATTTTTCCAGACTTAAATTTAGTTCTCCACATTTTGCACCAATTAGTGACTTTTTTAAAATCCTCATTACTACTCACCAGTATTTTAGTGCAAATCTCTCCTAATAAACCCGTTTCCTGTGCTGTTTTGACTACTGTAGAAATATTTTTGCAGACGATTTCACTTAATATAACCCATTTTTGTGTTACTTTCACAGTACATTTTTATGCGCACTTTCCCTTTTTGTAACAAATGTTGCTTGGCAAACTGCATAGCAAAATTCAGAGGTGTGAATTTCAAAAGATAGCTGTGCTGCAGTTTGCATTTTGTTTTGGAAAGTGAGAATTCAACAGATGAGATTTGAAATGAGGCCTGAATCAAATTGCTCCCCCAACCCTAATTAGGACAGGTTCTATTCAACTTTTTAAAAATGCTATTTAGTTCGCAATGGCTAGTCCTCTAGCTAAGCTTGCAGAGGACACAAAATGATTCAGGATAGAAAAATCCAAACTCTCCAGACTTGGATGAACAGGCAACAAAATGGCAAATGAGATTCTATGTAAGTAAATGCAAAGCATTGTGTACACACAGGGGCAAAAATCCTAATTTGATTTATAGCATGGATTTTGAACCTTCTGAGATAGAGGTCCACAATCTCTCATGGGAAATCTTTGTGGGGCTGACAGGCTGCTTGTGTGGACATCAGAAAGCAACCTTTGCAACTTATATGCACTGTGCTAGTATGGTGTTCAGGACAGAGTAGTGAATTTGGACTAGGGAGACACGATTAGGCATATAAGCACAAACCTGCCATTTGCAGAATTATTCCTGGCTGTCATGTTCAATATGACCTGCACATACTTAGGTCTATGGTCAATACAGTGGTACCTCGGGTTAAGTACTTAATTCGTTCCAGAGGTCCGTACTTAACCTGAAACTGTTCTTAACCTGAAGCACCACTTTAGCTAATGGGACCTCCCGCTGCCGCCGCACCGCCAGAGCATGATTTCTGTTCTCATCCTGAAGCAAAGTTCTTAACCTGAAGCACTATTTCTGGGTTAGCGGAGTGTGTAACCTGAAGCGTATGTAACCTGAAGCGTATGTAACCTGAGGTACCACTGTAATCCCTTATCGTTTACCGAAAAACAATTATGAATGTTATTCCTCTTCATGCCACTAGGGGGGTACGTGGTCATAATAAAGGAGAACACTTGGAAGCCAACAGAAAAGGCTACATAAGCATGATCTGCATCTATTTTTCTTAGCAAAACTTCAAGTATCTTTTAGTCAGTGACTCATCAGTGGTTCCCCCTCCCCTTTAAGTTGGGGTGTTAGCATCCCGTATGGCTCAGATATTTTCTATACTTATCAATATATAAACACTCCTTTTTCCTATGTTGATGGTGAGTTATCTTAAAGTGGTTGGCTTTGTAATCCTCTGCCAGCCATTAATCCTTTCTCCCTGCATTCTGTGGAGTATGTCAGTTTGGTCCTTTCAGTGTCTGGGAATTGTTGAGAAATGGCACTTCGTTCAGTGCACATGTCACTTTGTTCTCTGTGTTTTGCGTAGGTTGTTGATGATGTGGCATCTTGTATAGGCAATGCTAATCCCAGCCAAAGTCCTTCAGTTCTGCATCCTTGACAAATGCCTTGTGATTGTTTTCCCCAGCACAAAGCTGCTTTGGGAGTGGATCACCTGGAGCAGAGCCAGTTTGGACTGAAGGGATGCTTAACCTTTTTCCTGCCTCTTGCTCCTCCGTCCCAGTTTTCTCCCTGCAGGGTTTTTAATTGTGACAGGCAGGCAAAGGGTTGAGAACTTTCCCAAAGCTTCTGCTTCTCAGAAAGGCTTCCATAGGCTTAGCTGTAACATTTCTCAGAAATATTTTTTGCTGGAAGGTTTATTTCCAAGAAAAACTCGGTGGCAGGATCACAGGCTATATGCTTCAAATTAAAGCCATTATGCCATAGTGCCTAATGAAGTCCTCTCATCTCCCCACTATTACATTGTATTAACTGCAAGAGTGTCAGATTTATTGAACTTAATGCAAACCCTTGTGCCTTCCAGGATTTTTCTTAACGCAAAAAAAACCCCAAAAACAAAAACATAAGTTGCATTAGAACAGTGAATTGAAGTGTGGCTTGACATCTGATCATGTGTGTTGGACAAGTTTATGTAAGAACATAAAATGAGCCTGCTGGATCAGACCAGTGGCCCATCCAGTTCAGTGCCAGATGCTTATGGGAAGCCTGTGTGCTAAGAGAGGAGCTCAACAACTTATACTGATGAATAGGGCGAGTCTTATAATCCTTTCAACTGGATAACATCTATGTGTACCTAGGGGATTTAATTTAAGATGCACGTATTATTAATCTATCCTGTCTCTCTCTCTTTTAGGAGGAGCTGGTGAGCTGATTGACCGAGGAGACAATACCTATGGTGGGAAATGGGTCATAAATCCAAGTGGTGGCTTGATTTCAAAAGGACACCCACTGGGTGCCACAGGTAACTCAATGTACCGGTAATCTTTTTATCTAGTGCTTTTAGTATTTGCATATGGGAAACATGTTTGTGTGTTACTTTGAGCGAGGTTTTTATTAGGCCACCTTTTATTTGATTTAGAACAGTTGCTAGTAACTACTGGATTTGCTGATCTGCCATTTTGACAAGGCTGAATTGCAGAGACTTTGTCGCCTGCCATAGTCTCCAGGTACTCCTGAACTACAGTCCTATATTCTGTAACCTGGGAGTAAATCCCAGTGGGATTTCACTTGTGAGTAGGCATGGATCAAACTGCACTCTTAAAGCACAGGGCCGGTAAATCCTTATTTAGGTGGAGTCCAACATAATGCTAAGTGAAAATTCCATCAATGCAATGATTTCTGCTTCTCTAATGGAGTATTCTTTCCCTCTCATCCCCAACCATCTGAAGCAGATTTGCAGAGGGGCACACATTGAGGGCAAGGAAGTCCCCTGCAGAAATGGAAATCCTTGCACTGATGAAAGGCAATAATTGAATACCAACCTTTGTTTTCCACTCTCCTGCTTTCACGGGCATCTGCTTCTAGTAGGCTAGGGGGAGGCAGGTTGAGTGTCTTGCCCTGGCAACTTTTGGACCAGATGGACTGGGAGTGCTGCACAGGCTTCTGAATTATTCAGCTTTGTTCCATGCTTTAACACTTCATAAAAGGTAAAGGTAAAGGGACCGCTGACCAGTAGGTCCAGTCGCAGACGGCTCTGGGGTTGCGGCGCTCATCTCGCTTTATTGGCCGAGGGAGCCGGCGTACAGCTTCCGGGTCATGTGGCCAGCATGACTAAGCCACTTCTGGCGAACCAGAGCAGTACATGGAAACGCCATTTACCTTCCCACCAGAGCGGTACCTATTTATCTACTTGCACTTTGACATGCTTTCAAACTGCTAGGTTGGCAGGAGCAGGGACCGAGCAACGGGAGCTCACCCCATCTTGGGGATTTGAATCGCCGACCTTCTGATCGGCAAGCCCTAGGCTCTGTGGTTTAACCCACTGCGCCACCCACGTCCCTTCATACATTAGCATTAATCCTAGCTGAGTGTCACTGAGAAATGCAGCATGTCTCTTTCTGTCACAAGTCCACCCATGGAATAGCAGTGGGAAAAAATTTTCACACATCCGTGTTTGATGTTTTCATCCTAAACAGAAACTGATCTGCTTGCCAAAATTTTTGCATTTTGAAGCTCTTGCAAACTCTTCATCAAAAATGTGGTGCTTTTTAGCAGATTTAAGCTGCCCTTGTTTCAGGGAAAAAATCAGACAGTGGCCCAACTAGTTCAGTATTGTCTACACTGACTGAGAAGTCCACAGCTGGTTTATTAGTAAAGCACAGCCCATAACAGGAACTCAGAATGAACTGAAACATTGCAGATAATTTGTGACTTTTTGCATGAGTTTCAGCACAATGCTGATGTTTCTCCAGTTTCCATCCTATTCACCCTATTCATGGACATCATGGATGGATAAAGTTGTGCTTATTCTAGAGTTAATCCTGTTTTAAAGATTGCTGTAAGATATGATTTGATTTTGTTTTGGAAAAACTTTCAAGACTTGGGACTCCTGGCGATTTAACTTAGATTGTTTATCATTTCTTCCACCTATTTTTGGCCTATTTTTGCAGCCATGAGCCCTGTGGAACGCTGTTCCTCAGGGTGGCTCACCAGGCACCAACACTGATATCCTTTTGGCCACAGGCAAAGATGTTTCTCTTTCCCCAGGCATTTGAGTATTTTGTTTATCTTTACAGCGGTATTCATCCTTTTGAGGGCTGTCTCTTGTGGTTAGACCTGAGATAGAAGGGTTGTTGCTATGGCCTGATTACTGTGCTTTGCTTTTAATTAACTTGTTTTTCATATATTGCATATTTTTCTATTATTTGTAAGTTACTTTGAGACAGTGGTGTAAAGTGACTAACAACCTTAAACAGTGATAATAAAAATTGTAAAAATAATACTGGAAACTTTTTTTAAGAAAGCCAAGTTCTTAAAATTTAATAGGAAGTTGTAGAAAGGTCTAAAGTAGAAATGTCACATTTTGCCCCCCTCCCCATTACTACAATAACTTAAATTTGGACATGGATTCTTTGGACTCTTGTGCTATGGTAGATTGCGGTCTACCTCCTCAATAAGCAATGTGGCCCTCTAATTTACTATCTGTTCTTTCAAAAGTGGTGGCAGGAATTTATCAGTTAATTTATCAGCCCTTTAAAATATTGAACCATACATTTGAACTAGTTTGTTAGCTTCGTTATGATCTGTGGCATGGAAGAATTTTTTCTGTGCTTCCTTACTGGGCCTCCTTGTAATCTGAACATTGAGGGCTAGAGTGTTAAGGGTGTCAAGGATTCTGCTGGTGTGCAGAAAGTTGGACTTCAGCCCTGCAGTTCTGTGCAAACAAGGGTTTGACAGAAGTTGCATGATTGTTTGGGCAGACTTCAGCATTGATCTTGGAGGGAGATCACTCTTTGGTCAGAGTGATGCAATCTCCTATGCTATAGAAACTTTGTCACTCCGCAGCTTTTTTAGTGCTTCGTATATGTGCAGGAGGTGATGTTCCTCCACCTCCTTGAGCTAGTCTGTTGGCAACATCCTGAGAGCTAAGGGCTCCCCCCTGAGAGATGGGATGTACAGCACACAGTAGCATCTTGTCTGCTTTGTCATTATGGTTTGGTTTCTAGTCTTTATAGTAGATACCCTCCACTTGTGTAGTTGAAGGTGGGGAACTGTGACCCTCTAGATGTTGTTGGATCCCAACTCTCATGGGAGTTGAAGTCCACTAACATCTGGAGGGCCACAGGTTTCCTATTCCTGATGTCCTGAAAGAGATCACATCCTGGCCAGGAATAGAGCTGGATGTCTTCAAGAAGCGATGGCCTAGTTTGTGAGCTACTATGAGAAGGCAGACTTGCTTTGGGTGTTCTAATAATTGCATTCTGGCTCTATGGGTGGTTCTTGGAAGGCAGCTATTTTATTTCGTCATGTGTCTTGGGAGAGGTGACTGTCTTACATCCTGCAAGGTGAACTTGAAAAGCTCTGGACTGACATTGGCGTAGCCTTGACTCTCTAATGGATCGCAGTGGAAATTGAGGAGGCGCTGTGATGCAGAATAGGATTTAGGACCACCACATCTCATTGCCAAGTTTCATTTACCCCTAAATAGCTGAAATGTGATCACAGCTGAAGTTAAGTGGCAGATCTATTGTTTGCAGCAAGGGTGGCTAAACTGTGGTGACCCAGCTGAGCATGCCAGATTCCAGGGTAGCCAGTGCTCAGAGGTAATGGAAGTTGCCGTTCAACTATATATCTGAGGACTACAAGCTTTGGATTAATTTGTTTAAGAATCCAACCTAAGGAGACTGATAGGACGTCTTAGGAAAACAATGTATTAGCTAGGTTATATTCACTAGAGTTGCCTCAGTGTCATGAAAAATGCTTTCTAAAGAATACCTCAACTCCAAGCGTGCTGTGAGTCAGAAGGCTTGATTTCTGAGGAAAACTTTTAGAGGCTTTATTCAGAGTCTGTTTTTTCACTGGTGGTGGTGGTGATTTTTATTATGCTTTCTTTTGTGGTTGTGTGTCTGAAATAAGCTGTTCTGAAATATGTGGCAAGAAGAGGTATCTATCTTAAAATTTTGAAGTTACTAAAAACTTGTTTGGAGCATTTTTAAAGACTTCTGTCTGACGCACATTTAAGCTAGGTGTGAAGCTCATTGAACAAAACGAGCTTACTTCTGAATAAACATGTACAGACTTGGCCATGAGCTCCAATATTTTAATAAACAGGAAAAATATACTACGATCCAGCCTCACATGAAATTTGGGACGGCATTTTGTTTCCCAGCCACTCGGTATATATTGAAACATTTACTGTTTAAAGGCTCGTGTTAATAGCTGTTGTTTTAATGTATCTTTTAAGCATAAAGGATTCATTCTGATTTGCTCAAACATTTGACCCACTTCCTTTTGCTTCCTCTTGGTTGGGCGTAATGAAACAGCATGATGCTCTTATAATACAGCTTGATCTACATTCTCTGCATTTGATGCATTAGGTCTGGCTCAGTGTGCTGAACTCTGCTGGCAGCTAAGAGGAGAAGCCGGAAAGAGGCAGGTTCCCTGTGCAAAGGTTGCTTTGCAGCATAACTTAGGCCTTGGAGGTGCTGTGGTCATAACTCTGTACAGAATGGGCTTTCCTGAGGCTGCAAGGTGAGCTTTTAATTTTTGTGTGTGTGCACCCTCTTTTCCAGACCTATTATTTGTAATCTTACTCAGTTTATCTCATTTACTTTGAATATAGAATCTTATCCAGACAACTGCCATACAGAACTAAATAGTTTGAAATCCCATGTCCTGTTGCATGGTCTTAGTGGCTTATTTCTGCATATGTGTTCTGCTTTAATACCAAATTAATTAAACAAGGAGAAAGTCGGGGGTCCTTTTGTTTCTTTATAGCAGGCAGGATATTGCTTGTAAATACAAATCTGTGGCTCAGCATTTTATTTTTTTAGGGCTAGCTACTCTGGTTTCTTCAGCCGCTGGAAACTTTAATTGTGGTTTTGGTTATGGATAGAATTGCTGTGTCTTAATCATGTTCTCTGAAGTCTGGTTCCATGTTGAAACAAGAAAACAAAAACTTAAAAGTAAACAACAGTTAAAGGAATGTGCAGAATTGGCAGTTTCAAAACGGTTTAGAAAACTAAAAACAGGCATTGGAGATGAGGGCTATAAACTCTGCGTGCTTTTTTTTTTTTTTAAAATGTCTCAATACTTCTGCATACATAGTAAGGAAATTGACTTGCAAATTACTCACAGTTCACTGCCTGTGGGTTTCTATTTTATTTGGCTGCTGAGAAGATTCAAATAACATCCTAAAGGTTCCACATTAAAAGCCATTAAAATTAGATTGCAGGAAATATACCTAAGCTTCATAAATTCTTTTGTAGATTTTTGTGCCGATAGTGAAGCAAGTCACAGGTGTTTGTCGTGTACTTTTACACTGCAACCTGGATTTTCCTCCTCCTGTATTCCAATTTGGGTTTTGTGGGCTCTTGGAAATGTTTTTCAAGTCAAGTGAGAGCCACCCACGCTAGAAGATAAACTTCTTTAGAGACGTTTGATTCATATGAGCAAGAGTAAGAAACACTGATTGATTGCTATCAAATTAATGAAAGGTTTCTTTGAGCGGAGGCTGTTTGGGTTTGGCTGTTTCAGGGTTGGAAAGCCCTTAAGTGTGGGAGTAATTGCCAATCTTCAGCTGGCCTCTCCTAAGGACTCACATTTGCACCTTTGTACACACGTCTGCACACTCACATGCACATTCATGCGTGCAGTCTGGTCTCCATTTTCATCTATAGATCTCTCGCTTTCAAAACTGGGTTTAACAGTACTCATAACACTGGATTTGTAGGCTTTCGTTCCACAGAAGTGCTTTGCTACTTTGCATTTTAGAGCAGAGGAACTTGCTCTTCAGCCCTCTGAAATGTTAGTGCTGGAATCTATGCTAATAATTCTCTTTATTGATTCACAAATGCTTCTCTTTTATGGCACAAATGTTGAAAGGCATGCTGGACTATAGGCTTGGCTGCTCTATAGTTCATAGCAGGCTGCCTGAATAAGAACTGGCCTACGATACAAAATCAGTTCTTTTGATGCCCTATAATTTGTTTGTTTAGAAAACTTACACTCCACCCTTCTAACATATTTGCATTTCCCACCTTAACAACAATTAAAAACAAAAACAATTCCTTAAAATAAATAAAACAGCTTGGAAATGGAACCAAGCTTAGCAGATAAAAACATTCCAAAATGAGGGTTTGCGGCAAATAAACAAATCTACGAGAAATCTCCTTACTACAACAGGAAATTTTTAATTTTAAAACGACACTTCACCATCTAAGGTATTCCACAGTCTGGGCAATCAGCTACCAAGGTCTACCAGAAAAGCAAGCATGGAAGGGTTAAAAGAATGGCTGGGGAGCAGTTATAAGTTGGGACTTGAAACCCAAAGATGTAGCATAGTGCCAGGATATTTCCTTGAAAGGTATGATGAAAACACTGAAAAGGTTGACCTACACATATAATGATGCTCACAGACTTGGATGGGTTTAAAAGAGGAGGAGGACAAATTTATAGTAGCTAAGGCTATGTTCTTCCACTGTCAAAGGTAGCATGCATTTGAATACCTGTTGCTAAGATTCACAGTTGTGGAGAATGCTGTTGCAGTAAGGTCCTGTTTTCAGGCTTCCCATAGTCCTCTTTTTGGCCACTGAGAGAACAGGTTCGGGCCATTAGCCTGATCTATCATGACTGCTTTTATGTTTTGAGGCCACTATCTCCATGCGTAATGTTCTGGATTTTAAATAGTCCTGGGATCATATAATTGCTGAAGTCTCTTCATCATAGCACAATATATGGTGTTTCTCATGCTGAACTAGTAAAATGAACCTTTAAACATTTGATGCATTTAGATTCTTTCCCAACATATATAATGCAATCTATCCTAAGTTCTTGATATATTTCCCAAGGGTTTAGGATAGATTGCATTTTCTCATCACAGAATCCACTGAGGAAGATGAGGCTCAGAGATGGTGATTTGCCAAATGTGAATTTCAGACATCTAAATCAAGTGCTTTTTCAGAAGATAAAACCAGTTAGATTTTGCTTGTATTGTAGCTGCCTCTGGCTATCTAATTGCAAAATCATGTTGTTAGATCTTCCCTGATTATGCAGCTTGGTTATGCAACTGAAGCTGGGAGTTAATAGCGGGTAATTAGGTGAGAGGTGACTTTGTTCCACAGTTTCATTGTACACTTGCCATAATTACTGTTTACTGTTAAAGTTACTATGCTGAGATTGTTTACCTCTAGTAATTAGTCTAATCAGTATAGAAAATTGGATTTCGCTTATGTGGTGTGAACAGACAGAATTGTGTGTCCCCACACCCAATATTGGTATATTATTTTTTTCTCCAAAAAAGCAAAATACTCGTATTAGGGTGAAAGGAATATGCAAAATGCCTCTCTCATCTGTGTTTTTAGTGAGTGCAAGGGCAAGCACTAGAGAAATATCTCTCCATCCTTCTGAATTACAAGGATGATAGAAGTTCAGTTTCTTTTAATGTCCTTTTCCCCCCTGTGGGATTCTGGAGGGATTTCAAAAACCCCAGCAGAATTTGATGATGTGACCCTTATTTGTTTGCATGTGGGCAATATTCTGAGAAATATAAGTGGAGTCATGGTTACCCCCTTACTACACTTCTTGGATCATATTAATTGTCTAGCCACCATATCACAGAGACATCTATGGTTCTTCAATTTGAAATAATTGAAAGAGATGACATTCCCATGCTTACACATGGGTACACAAAATACACTTTGGGGTTTGTGCTACAGTCACTCAGGTAAGCTTAACAAATCTTTGTGTGACTTTCTCCCATTTCAGGAATAGGCAAATCCAAGCTATTCCCACCAGGGCAGCTGTGGATGGGTTTAAGGCAGATTTTGTCTTCAAAGAAATTGAAAAGAAACTTCAAGAGGTATGTAAAGTAACAAAACATGTTTATGGAATAATTTTGCAAAGTTGCAGTTCATGTTTTGGCAAAGGATTAACGGTAAAACATGCAAACAATTACTTTCCTTGAAACAAACTTGTTTGCCAATTATTGTTCCGGTTAGAAGTCAAATTAATAGTCAAGTTGAACATTTTTATTTCCAATGATTCCTTGCCCCCTTACCCACAAAAAAGGTTATCCAAAGCAGGGCACAATTCTGTCCTAAGACAACAACATAGTGATTTTGTATTTAGATAGATAATAGCTGACTGAGGCCTCTGACGTACAACTTGAACTTTACAGCATTTTTAAAAAAATTCAGCTATTGCAACTTGTGCAATAGCAGGCATCATACTAAAATAACCCTTTGTGGGATTGTCACTAATCAATTTTGAAAGTATAAGTTCGGGAGGTATGGGAATTGGGTTATATGTGGAGAATTCAACTTTTGCCATGGGAGGGGCCCCCACTAACCTACCCCTGGAGGCAACCTCTTCACACACACACACACACACACACACACACGGCATCTACAAAGAATCCCTCCTATTTTGCATATGCACATCCTGCTGCCATGAGAAGTATTTGACATGGTTGCATAGCTGCTGGATCCAGCTCCCCATCTTCCTACAGGCTATATGAAAGGCAGACTCCACCATGCACAAGAGTTGGGGGTAAGCTGTGTCCTCTGGCAGGCATTATGCGTTTACATAAAACCATTCTTCACATTCTTATCTATTATCCCTATTGTACTTTCCCCCCAGAGATTAAGCTTGCAAAATGCTATGTCAGGTATTTTGTCCATTATGAACTGGCCCTAGCAAATGGTTGCTTTGCAGATGGTAGTGAAGTTTCTCGTGGGTTCTCTAAGTTAGATTTCTCAAACAACTCTAGTTAGAATTCCAGTCCCGAGGCAGCAGCTTTATATAATGGTGGAGTCGCTTCTGCATCCGTAGCTCAGTTGCTTACACCGGCCAGGGTGGAAGGGCAGACAAATCCTACCAGCCTTAAAGCTGGTGCCATGAATGCGTCTGATACCATCACGTGATGACGGCAGTGGGGCAAATGAGGATCCAGCAGATCTCGGGCTGGCTCAGCCTCTCCCCTGGGGCAAAGGGGGTTTGGATTGCAGCCTCAGCATGTCAGCAGCAATTCAAACTTAATTCAGAGTGTTTGGTTGCTATGCTTTTTGTTCAACCTCGGAACTCCCCTCCCCCCATAGCATTTAAAAGAAAACAAGTATTAAGAGACCCCTGCGCTTAATTTCTCCTATACTTAATTTCCACTGGTTTTGTAAGAGAAGCCCAACATTTAAAGCGCCACTTTGCATTAAAAAATGCTTTAAAACACTGGCCTCAAGTTGCTGGCATGTGTCAGTGTTTCCCTAGTTAATTTTCCAATTTATCTGGGGTATGCCAGCAATCTGATATGAACAGCTTGGGGGAAAGATTACATGGATTTTCCTAGGCTTAGAATTCAAATACTGGGAAAGCCTGCGATTTTTCCAATAATAGAAGGAGGGGAAAACACTCAATAAGCAGTGTGTGTAATGCTGTTTTTCAATCTTGGCACTTGGTAGAGCTTGTATACATTGCTTACGCCATCGCTCTGCATATCGAAAACCTGTAACGAAGAAGGAGGGTTCTAAACCAACCTTCTCCGCTTGCATTCTCTGCCGTCATTGATTTAGCCTTGTTCTTGCCTGAGCATGAAATCTGGAGTTGGGAAATTAAGCAAAATAAATTGCTACCTGAGTGGTTTCAAGTTTAGCATAGAAGTCATAATCCAGATGACCAAATGATGCTTCACATGTTGCCTCAGAGCTAAATCCTATTACCTTCCATGGGGCTTGCTTCCTAGTCTAGGAGTAGGAACACATGTGGTGCTTTCCAGATGTTCCACAGGACTGCAAATGTGATAATCTTTGACTATTGGCCATGCTGTCCGGGGCTGATGGGCGTTGTAGTCCGACACCATCTGGAGGGCACCATTTTGCCTACCACTGCACTCGAAATCTGCAGGGGGTTGCACTGTCCGTCTGCATTCCCTGCTGAGCTTTTGATTTTGAGGGGGAGGTGGGGCTAACAGCATCTCTGAAACAAGGCTTTTCAGGAGGCTTCCGTGGTACAGCATGCGATGGGGGGACGACTAGGCTGCAGTTCAAGGACACAGAAACTAAAGTCCTTCTGGGCCTTCAGACCATAAAAGAGCACATGGGGCAGTCCAAGCATGCAAACATTTAGCATGGTGTGGAAATACTTGATGCATTCTGTAAGTTGAAAATGCTGTTAGTCTTTCGTCTGTGATATATTATTGTTTCATGCTGATTGCAGGAAGGGGAACAGTATGTCAAGAAAATTGGTGGTATATTTGCCTTCAAAGTAAAAGAGGGCCCTGGAGGTAAAGAAGCAACTTGGGTAGTTGATGTGAAAAATGGTAAAGGCTGTGTGGATTTCGACTCAGGTCAGTACTGCTTTTGCCACCACAAAATATTAATATTTTATTGCAATGTAAGGTAATACTACTTTAAGTACTGTAGGTTTGGTTGCAAAATAGGAACATGTTTAATTAAAGGGTGGCACGTGAGTAGCAACTGTATATTAATTGTGCAAAAATAATCATTTGAAAAGAGCCAGTACTGCTGTAGGGAAAGAAATATGTACTGCATTTTTTTTTCATTGGACTTTGGATTGGGCCCCATTTATCAGGCGAAGATAAATGGCGATTTGCCCTTGGACATGGATCAGTTGCATTGCTCGAAAATGACATTGGCAAGATAGCATCTGTTCAAAGAACTCTCTGCAATCCATAAATGTTTATGCAATACATGTGGTTAAAGAGCCGCAAGAACAAGGTCTGCCTGTTCTATTAAATGCCAGTAAGGCTGCATTCCTCTGTACACTTAACTAGGAAATTAATCCCATTTTGCAATCATGGAATCCTGTGGATGATACTGCTGTTAAACTAGTAATGAAAAGGTTTGAAGTGCGTTCTGGTTACTGCTGCAGATGAAACTGATATTGACACTCCTATCTCCACAGCAGGGTGAGATTTCAGGGGGTTCCAGGCACTTACCCCAGGGCCCATTTTCCCTTTGGTCTTTATGCTATATGGTTTATTTACACATATATACAACTTAGTCTAGATTGTGGGAAAACAGCACTTTCACATGCCAAAGGAGTCCTGTTCCTCCCATTGCTGCAGCCTTGGATTCCAAGAAGCTCCAACCATCATTCAGTCAAACCTTGCTTAATTCTAACTTTCTGAACCCAAGAGTTACGGGTGACTTGCACTCACAAACTCTGGCACCCAGAACCTATAACAATGTAATGGTTTAGACCCAGAGTGTCCCTTCAGCAAGCTCCTTCTGTTCACAGGTGAGACTGAGATCCTACAGAGGCTTAGTAAGACCAAAGCCGGTTGAGTTTTCCACTGTGGCCAACCAGGTGCCCATGAAAAGCTCACAAGCAGGACGTCAGGGCTTTTCAGAGCAGTTTTTCAGGATACACAGGTGTCTGCAGGGGAGTGGAGAAATATGAGATAATTCCATTTTTCTCCCTCCCCACTTCCTCCGGCAGGAGGGTCCCATGAGTGGAGTTTCTGGATCCAAGTCAATGACAATATTTAAATGAGCTGAATTTTACAACTTGGCTTCTGTGGCTATGAATCGGCAGTATCAGCAATGTATGAAGCTAAAAGTTACTTCCTTGATAAGGGGAGCGGATCTGCATTAAGGCTTCTCTGTTAGAAAGCAAAATAACCTTAAAATAGTCCTTTAAAAAACAAATAAATTTCCTGACCGTTTTGTTTCAAGTCATCTGTCCGCTTTTTACAGATAAGAAAGCTGACTGCACAATTACAATGGCTGACGCTGATTTGCTGGCTCTGATGACTGGCAAGATGAATCCGCAGACAGTAAGTGAAATTCAGAGGAAGTGCCATTATCCTTCTAGTTTAATTGTTCTACAGGCTTATTTTATAGCAGAAAACTAATGAGAACAACCTGTGTTCCTTTGCCTCCCAAGTTCTTTAGACTGAATGATGGTTGACTTAATTCACCACCTGTTCACATCAGAATTGCTGCAGATGGGCAAACACAGGCTATTTTCATTAAAAGTGTTTCCAAAGCATTTGGCAAAGCACTTAGCTGGCAGTCACTTTTGTGCAGATGGAAATGTTCCTTTTTGAAAAGGCTTTTTTATTATTAGTTGGCTTGATTTACAACATTGTTTCTTCAGTATGAACAAACAGAAAATTCTCCTCTGAGGTCACTAATGCCAGTGATAGAACTCTGTGTGATTTCTGTCCAATAATGAAAACTGTTGGCAGTCAACATGGTGCCCTCTAGATCTTGGTGGACTTAAGTCCCATCATCCATGATTATTGGCCATGCTGGCTGGGGCTGATGGGAGTTGGAGTCCAACAACACCTGGAGGGCACCATTTTGAAAAGTGGAAGGGTTTCATCAGGTGTAGACAAACTAGCAGCTTTTTCTCCTTGGCTGCATTTACACCTCATGGTATGCCAAGTTTTGTTCGTGGGTTACTGATTGTGGTTTGTTTTGGAGAAGCAAACCATGAGCACTGGTTTGCATGTCAGAGTTGGCCAAGGCCTGTAACTTCTTGCAATTCAAGTGTTCAATAGTCCCCCACTAGTTCACAGTAAGGGCATTGTTTATGTTCTACAATGACATGCAGAAGGGGTCATTGTGTATCTCAAAGTCATGTAGTCATCACAGATGACTATATGCAATTCTATATGCATTTGATCTTTTTCTCCTTTTTCATATATGTTGTCTGTGGAAGGTTTTGCACGCATTTAGAGAAGACAATCTAAAATATTTTATGGCAGTCTCTCAAATTACTTGGATTTGAACTTAGAAGAAGTGATCCAAGGAGGAAAAGTAAGAAGCATTTACTTGGAAAATGTAATTCAATCTCTTTTTAAATTTCTTCCAGGCTTTCTTTCAAGGCAAATTGAAGATTTCTGGGAACATGGGCATGGCTATGAAGCTACAGAACCTACAGCTTCAACCGGTCAAAGCTAAACTTTGAACCACCGACTTCAAGATGCAGTTTAGATGTGAACAACGTGTTTAATATATATATATAAAAACTAAGCAGGAACTAGATGTTGGAAGTAGCATGGGACAGGTTTTCTGAATAGGTGTGATCAACTCTAGCTTTCCTGAGGCCTCTGTTCAATGGAAATTTTGGCACTGTGTTCCATAAATCAGCCTAAACGATCGCAAAGTGAATAAAATATTAGTGGTTGGCGTAGCCTTAGACTGTTTATAATGGTTAACACCAGCATGATGTATAACAAGCCCTGATTTTATCTCACCTGAAACCATTTTTTTTTTTTAAATCTAAATCAAGGGATCAGCCTCCCATAAATTCTTGTGAAGTTTAAAAAGTAGGAAGAGTGATGGAGAATATCACCTGTTTGGCAAAACAATTCTTAAACAATTTCATTTGTATCTTAAGAATACTTCCATAGCAGCTCAAAGAAATACTTTTTTACTTTGGCTGGGATCCAGAGAACTATTTTAGGTAGGCCCTAGGGCTTGGACATACTCAAGTGAGGTTCTTTCTTTCTTTCAGTAACAGGCACACACACACATGCCTGTCATATCAGACCGCTTTTGAAACACTACCTGGTTTCGAAGGTGGTGGTATTGTGGGTGAATGCTGGAGAAACAGAACTCCAAAGCTCCCATAGGTAAGGAGAACTAGTTATATTGATTTCTTTGGATCCTAGCCTTCATTGAATAGAATTTCCAAATTCCCATGTGAAGGGTTGTTTTATCATATTGGAAATCAGATGGTTCGCATCAATTGCAATAACATTTAATTGTAGTGCTTTCTCCGTAACATAATGCTTACAAGGGTAAAGGGTAGCACTTTTTAAGCATTTGTTTGGTTTTAACTGTGCTATACAGAGTTCTGGAAACTGATGATTCTTTAATAAATTCATATATAAATACTATTCATTTTTAAGTCATTCTGTTTGGCAGTTATGTGTTCTGATCTGTAAGCTCCCATACTAAATTTAAATCTATTCTTCAGTTTGAGCTGGGTTTTTTGGGCAATTTTTATTTGATAATAACAGAGTGCACAGTACATAGAAGTTGCATGGTTAAGATCAGATGACACTGAAATGTATGCAACATTTGGTCCAACAGACTGTTACTTTCGTGTTAGCATGGAAAGCCACTGCAGTGCTTTGTAGATTATGCAGGCCTCTGTGTTACAGTTCATGGAGTAGGCTGTTCAAAACTGAAACTGCATTGTAGGCCAGTGAAACAAGTTGTTTTTCCTTCTGTTCTGCTCTAAACAGCAGCCCAGGGTCAGAAGTCAAATGCGTCTCTTAAATGTTATTCCACATTGAAGTACCTCTGGAATCCCTAAGCATTTCTACATTCTGTGCTTTAGTAATCCTCTTGCCAAAAACATTTCCCTGCTGCTGCTCTGACAGGTGTGATGTGAATATATATCCTTTTCTTTTAATGCCTTTGCGTTGTATAATTATGAGAATCTTGGAAAAAGAGAATCTGTACTCAGTAGTAGACCATATATTATGGTAAATTGAAAACAGATGTGTATAAACAGAATGTTTCAGCAGAAAAATACCTGTCTTCATGTTAGGTAGAGAATGTAATGGACTCAGGAACCAGCTGTTTAGCATAGTTTAAATTGTATTTTTAGGCACCTGATAGCCATGTTCCATCTAAAGACGCATGAACTTTAGACTAGGAAATGATTGAATCTCCTCTGTAATTTAATGGAAACATGGTTGGTTTTGTCACACAAATTCATATATTATGATTCGGGTATCTGTATATCAGTGCAGAACTTGGTGTGAAGCAACAGTAAGATCATGGCTTGGGATGCTGCCTACTGCATTACAGAACTAGGATGGCCACTTTTCTTAGGTTATATTTGACCACACGTTTTTGACCCTGGTAAATAACGATGGTGTCCTTATACCAATTGAAGTCAGATTCACATGAAGTTTGTGCCTCACATCTTTATTTCATTTTCTAGCCTCCTAAAATGATAATAGTGATGGGAGCCCAACATGCTGACGTTCATGTGCCTCTAAGCGCAAGCTTCAGGTTTCAAAATTTTACGCTAGTGAAAGATCATTTTGATAATAATTTAACTTATAATTCAGTGCAGCCCAGTCCTGCTTGGATTTTCTGTTATGCTCTGTTGGAATTAAAATTTGCTTAACTTGATATCCCCTTTAAAATACTATGAGAGGGGGTTGAATACATGGGTATTATCAGCATAATTCTAGATTCTTTTAAAAAATGTAACTCTACCCTACCGTTTAGCATAGCTGCTTCCATGCAGCTAGCAAAGTACTAAAACATTAGTATTAATTTGCATCCTCAGGTGTCTTCCCTATAAAGAGTGGTGTGAAACAGGGCTAAGTTCTCACCTCAACTCTTTGTTATGTTCTTTTCCCTGTTGCTCTCCTGTGCCTTCAGCTTGACTGAAGACGATGTGTACCTCTATTCTGTTCAGCCTGGCATGTCTCCCTGCCAAGACAAAAGTGTGGCAGCCCAAGAGATGTTGTTTGCAGATGATGCAGCCTTGACAGAAGGAAGCTTCAAGGAAGCTCTTTAGAGACGCATCAACCGTTTTGCCCAAGCCTGCATGGAGTTCAGCCTCACCATCAGCCTGACAAAGACGAACATTCTGGGTCAGGATGTCACCAGCACTCCATGCATCATCACTTGAGATTTTGTTGTCCTGGGCTCCACCATAACCAGCAACCTCTCCATCGATACTGAGTTGGACAAGCATATTGGATAGGCAGCTACAGCAATGGCTTGCCTCTCCAGAAGGGTATGGGAGAATGTGATGCCAATATCCAACACCAAGATGAAGGTCTACCATACTTGCATGTTGAGCACGCTGCTTTATGGAAGTGAATTGTGGGGAGCTTACACTGCTAGAAGCAATGTCTCAGTGCCTTCCATATGCACTGCATCAGGAAGATTTTGGGCATCACAGGGTCTCAAACAAAGATACCCTCTCCCAATCTCACATTCCCACCATGTTCTCCGATGTCAGCTCAGACACAATACTGTACTGTACTTTGCAGTGAAAGCAGCTAATGTGTTTGGGCAGCAGTGATTAAGTGGTAAGAGACTAAGTATGAAGGTGTATGTACAGGTGCAGGCTTTGAAGAGCAGACTGAATTATTTTGCTTAAAGCTGTGCACAGCTCTCGACAATCTAAACCTATGATCATGTTAAGCAGAGAAAACGTAAGGAACCACTCACTGAGGTGCTTTCTACCTATATATTTTGAGGGGAAGAAACTGCATTTAAAGCTGGTAGAGCTTTTCTTTTTTTAATTCTGGCAAATTAAAAACAAAAACAAATTCTTGTAGATTGTCTGATGGGGAGACCTTACTATGTCAAAGTCTAAAAGCTTCAAATATAAGCTTTCTTTTCCTTTCAACATGTATGCTGATATGGTCACTAATATTTGAGTAAAAGCATCTTTTTAGTGAAAAGCTATTCTTTCTGGTTGTGATAAAAGTGCCAACTTGGGTGTTAAAGCTACTCATTCAACAGGGACAAGTAAGATTTCCACATGTGGAAGACAAACACTGAAAACAAATCCCATGTAGTCTGGAACCAATTTGTGTAATCCTTCGCAAACACAAACAGATGTGCCACTTGTCCAGGCGGCACTAGAGTTTAGCTTGAAGTTTCTGTAACTTGTGAAAAGTGGCAGCTTAAAATGCTGGACACCTTTGGCCTTGGTTGTGCCACAGCTTGGCATTCTGCTCTAAAGGTGTTGTAAAGGTGGTCAGTGTTGGTACAACAACTATGGTAGAAGACCCATTCTCAACCTCAGAAAAATAGCATTATTCAATCTGCCAAATAACCATCTTCCTCTCTCAATCCTATGTGGTAGAGACTTATGCACAGCAACCGATTATTGCCCACTTCACACATTAGGAAAGACTAATTCTTTGCCTAACACATTTTTTGCAGCTCTGTAATGTGTCTTCCTTCCACACAATAAATCAGATGTAGTCATTTGCCCAGGAACTCAGCCAATTCCACACTAGCGCGCTTCAAGCATTCTGCAATCCGTTGGAAGAGAGGTTTCAGAACCCATTTGGTACTTGAGGTAGTGATATCGTCCCTGTTATAAACTTGTAAGACCTGTTGCCATGGCAGAAGCAAAAGTATGCAGCACAGAGTTGTAATGGGCAAAAAACTTCAAAAACATTATGTATGCAAAATGAGAGGTGTGTTTAAAAAACAAAAAACTATAGGTGCTGACTCAAAACTGACCATCAAAATACAGTGGAACCTCTGTTTTCAAACTTAATCCGTTCTGGAAGACACTTCGACTTCCGAAACGTAAACCAAAAACTCAATACGGAAGCCTCAATACAATAGGGAAACTTAAAACAGAAGCCGCGTAGCAAGTACGGCTTCAGAAAATCGTTCAAAAACTGGAGCAGTTCTGGGTTTTTGGCATTCAAAAGCCGAAATGTTTGATTAAGGAGATGTTTGACAACCGAGGTTCCACAGTATTAAATAATGGATGTAGAAAGCAGATAGAAATTTTACTGTTCAAAATAAGGACAGTAGAATCCCAGAATAATCTTACACAAAGTTCTAGCCCAGGCTTTAAAGGGTATAAGATGAGATGCTTATAGGGGGAAGCAAGGCTGGCCCACAACATTTTACTGCCTGAGGTAAAATAGAAATCATGTAATGACCCTGCCAGCACTCCCTCCACACTTACATTATGCTGCTCGCTTTCTAGGCACAGGTATGAGCACACACACCCTGGCGCTTTCCCCACAAAAGCCCGCTCTTTAATGCTAAATTGGAACAAATGGCAATTCGGGTTTCCCAAAGTAAGTGCTCAGATGCAGCACTTTGCCGCATGGACCTGTGCCTAGAAACAGCACAAAATATAGTATGGATGAGCCCTTGGTTTGCCCATATTGAGGTGTGGGCAAGAGGAAGCTTAAAAATGCTGCTTGGGTTCAAAAAGTTTGAGAAATGCTTTTAAAGCAAATGCCAACTGAGGGCATCTTTTTCATGCACTTAGTATGATTAAGTCAGGTGTGGGGAACTGGCTAAGGCTATACTATACCAAATTGGCTGGCTAAGGCTATACTATACTATACTGTTAGCTAGGGATGATGGGAGTTGTAGTCCCAAAACAGCTGGAGGGCCGAGTTTGTCCATCACTGATTTAAGGCCTCCTTGCCCTCCAAACTCACCATACACACTCTGTGTCTGTGTGTGTGTCTCTCTGTGTGTGTTTTCTGATACTGTTGCATGTGTGGTCCTGAGGTCATAGAGTTCAGAATAAACCTTAGATCTGAGTCATTTTGCATCAAGCAGGCAGTTTGCTTTAGACAAATATGCACTTCCCTCACACCAGCTTTTGGGAATAGCTTAATGGTCCAGAGGTGGATCCATTCCAGTTAAAGTAAGCCAAGATTCTGGGGGTGGGGAAGGTGGAGGGAGAGGAAACAATAAGACTTTAGTCTGAGCAAATGCTCATGTGAATTGGGAAAGGAAGACTGAGGAATTTTTGATGCCCAGCAAGGACCCAAAGGGGAGTGGTTTCCTGAAGACTTCTCACAGGTATGTTAAGGTTACAAGAGGGGAAATTATTTGTAGTGCATGGTGTCTTTTAATGCATGCTGTTTCTGTGAAAGAAATTTCTTTCCCATTTAAATTTGCATGGTCTCTGGAAGTGCCGCTGTGACTGTGGCTCACAAATCATGTTACGTTACAGAGAAAACGTAGCTCTCCCATGGAAAAAATGACAATGTGGAGATAGTGCTTGCTGCTGATTATGGTATCCCAAAGAAAAAGTGGCAAAAACAGGATAGGAGGGAAATGTCTCACTGAGGGAAATCCCAAGTTGCCTGAAGTCTCATATAATAAAGACCTGTCAGTATACCGAAAACCTAAAGGAAAGGGATAGGAGGAATGAATGAATGACATCTATTCCCTTTTTAAAATTCAAAAACAAAGAGAAAATATTGTGACACCTTAAAAACTAGCAAGAATATTACTTTATTCAGGCAACCCAAGTTGGGTAGCCACCAAAATGTAGAATCCAGAATTTGTCAGGCAAAAATGTCAAACAGTTCAGGAGGCAGGACTGTCGAGAAAACACACACTCTTTGAAACCCTTTGCTCCGTCCGCCTCATGTATAGATTTCTGCTCCCTCTCCTTTTCCTTGTTATTCCTACGAGTTGTGCTGATAAAAAGTGACGGGAAGTTTAATCTTTGTCCAAGCCACTGAATACATACAGCTATTAATTTCTCCTGCCCCCTCTTCCACTCTCTGCTCTTACATTTTCCCATATGGTGACTTTGGAAAATTCCTCTCTGCATAGGAAAGGACAGGAAATTCTCTTTGGGAGAGAGAGTTGCCTATTCCTCTCTCCCCCCCTCTCCCTTTCTAGTTCTGCTGATCACATCTGGAAAGGATCTGACTTGGGAAAGGGGGAAAGTGTTCGGCGCTTCGAGTGTGTAATTGACATGGCATGAGCAAGCGGAGCCTTTGGGGGGGCAACAACAGAAACGCTTTTCTCCAGACACTCATCACTACCAGCTGAACAGAGGTGAGTTTTTGTTTTCTGCACTTTTTACTCTCTGACAATAGCATGACAACTTGGAGGGCAGAGAACAGCTTCTTTGGTTTTTTGTTTTTGCCGTGGCTGCTTGAAAACTCATTATGCACACCTAAACATGCATAACCTGCTAATTGGAGGGTGTAACAGCACCTTACAGCAAGAGAGCCACAGGCACTGTGCATGTCTAATTGCTTTTTCTGGAAAACAACCCCTGAACCTTCCAAGCGCTGCTGGGCACAGAATTCACCACCGGTGCTGCAGATACAGGGCTTTGGGAGGCAGAGATGCTATTCTGGACCTCAAAACAAAACCAGTATGTTTTGGCTTCTTAAGCAGAAGAAACTTTATACATCTCGCTTGCTGTACTTTGCTGAGACAGGCGCAGGATTTGAGCCAAACTTTGGTGGACTCTCTTCAGAGACAAAACCAAAGTGAGACAATAAACCTAGGATAAGTTTATGTAACAACTTAAAGAGGAGGGGGGAAACCCATCTTAAGGCTTTCTTCAAACTGCAAAAGAAATCAGAATAGCTTGCCGGGTTTGTCAGTCTTGCCAGCAGATTTTTTTTTTATCCCAAGTGTCTTTCTTTGGTACCGGAGTAGTGACTGCTACAAAAGCTCAAGACAGATTGATGTCAGTGGCATGGGTTCCTTCTAGCTTCATAGTGGTGTGGACCAGGCAAAACTCTGCCAAGAAGGAAAATTGAATAATCTTTGTATGACTTTATACTCCAATAAAGCACACCTGAGGTCAAATGAGATGCTCCCACTTTGAAGTGAGTGCAATTGCCATTAAATACTCATCTGACACATTCAGAAATTTACAAATTTGCTGCAGCATACACAGCATGTCAGGAAGATACGCAGTAGTGGGTGTTGCAGTCCCAGAAAAGGAAGTCATTTAAGGTTTGATGATAGAAACTGGATTGTGGACAATAAACAGCTTGGATCTGGTTCATGAAACTTAGCCGGAACAAAATCCTCCTCTTTGGGGATATTCTGCAGACAATGGTTTAACTATTTGCTCTGTCACATGCTTACTGAGTTGTTATGGGCAAAAGCCTCTCTCTCTCTCTCTGAAAATGGAGAAAACAATAAACAGGGAAGTAACATGCAATTGTTTTGGTGGCATAGAATCACAGAATTGGAAGGTATCCTGAGGGTCCTCTAGTCCAACCCCCTGCAATGCAGGAATCTCAATTAAAGCATATGTGACAGATGGCCGTCTGTTGCACATGGTTAGATAAAGTTACAAGCTGAGTTACAGTAAGCCATGAGAATCAGAAGGTTGTATGAAAGGACTTACAGAAGAGGTGGGTTTCAAGGAAGAATTGGAAGAGGCAGCACCACCCAGGTGTTGGAACTGGAGGAGCAAAGCTCGCAGGCAGCAGGGATATATTAGGAATGTCAGTGAAAAAGAAAGATAATGCAGTGGCAAGGGCAAGGAGTTTGTGCTGGATCTGGGAACAGACAGGATGTTAGTGTAATGATTTAAGGAGTTGGGGACACGTGGCCAGAGTAATGAGAGGTGAATGATTTTGGGAACGAAGTGCAGGATACAGGTGAAGGGACCAAGGTGAGACAATGCAAGACCAAATATAAGAATGCATTAGCCTAGTCAAGAAAGATGCAGATCAGAGTGATTGCAAGGGAACAGATAGGATGCAATGCTGCAACAGGTGATGCAACACAACAAAAGCGGGTTTAGGGCAGCGTGACTGGCTCTGCCACACTGGGCTCTGAGCCTAGGGGGCGCTGCAGGGTGTTGCTATGATGTGGATTGAGCAGAACGGAAGGTGGGGGGGGGTCCGAATTTTGGCCCTACACAGGGTATTGCTGAAATTTGGAAGACCAAAGTCTGTTGCTGCAACACGCCGTGTCTATGGCTTGAGTATGGAGAACAAAGGCAACAGGCCTGTTCAACAGGGTGGATGGCAACATTGTCAATTGATAAGGAAAGAATACAAGGAGAAGAGAAAATGGGAAGAAATGTGAGAATTTCAGTCTTGGACATACTGAGCTTCAAATGAGGAGGGTGTCACTTGTCAAATCCTAGTGCTGCAGCTATAAGAAAAGCTACAGCTGTCAACATTTCATCTTTTGCACAGCTGCTAAGGTAAAGAAGCTTTTCTCTTTTCTTTCTGGTGACCCCACTTGGGAAAGGGAGAAAGCTAAGCATCTTCTTGTATTTGCAAATCGTCCTATGTCGACCTGTGACTTAGCACCAGGTTGGGGAATCTTTTCAGCCCAGCCTTGAGGTCCCCAACTCCTGACGGCATCTGCAAAGCTGAACTGAGAAGGGAGATCCAAGCAAAGCTTGAAGTCCTGCTTGGATCAGCTAGACTGGAGTTCCCATTCCAAAACTCCTAAACCCTAGAGTGTTGCCATGGTTTGGTAGCTCCTCAGGGGAAAGAATCCCAGTGGGGCTTGCATTTGGTGTCAAATTTCAAAAGCATTAAATACAAGCTCCACTTGCCAAGGGACAATCAGAAGTGCATTTTAAGACTTCTGACTGTTTCTTTGCAGGTGCAGTTGTATGTTGTCATATATGGGGGGTGGGGTGGGCATGGCCAAATCAGAACCCACCGACCCCCCCAGGCATGATGGGGCCAATGGGCTGGAGGTCCCTTACCAGTGACTTAGCAATTAAGCCACACTTCCAAGCATTTAATCTTCAGGGTCTGGTAGTAAACGAATTGTCAGATGTCCATATTCCTTTGTGCCATTGTACAGGTTCAAGCCTACCTTTAAGAAGAGCTGCTATTAACTGATCCCCAACTCACTGATGTTTCCTTGATTTCAGTGGAAATGTACTTAAAGTTCGGATCCCTGTTCCCTGTGCTATGGCTCTTGGCACTTAGCTCCAGCAGGATTCAAGCTCGGAAGAATGCAGACAGCAATGAGTTCCCAGAAGATTCATCGGAACTAATCGACCCAGAACGTAATTCTTTGGCTCCAGATTGTCCTAAAAAATGCACTTGCAATCCAGAAGGAATTGTGGATTGTGGAGGGTTTTCACTGAAAGAATTTCCCATAGATGTACCAGAATTGACAAGCCACCTTTCCTTACAGGTATTGTAAAACTAAACATGGACTGCAAACTGTTTGTGGGATCAGGCCCACAGTTTTCTTGTAGCTGTTTGTAATGATGCTTGTACAATACAGGGCCTAAAGCAAAGGTATCAAGTCTGTCTAAAGGAAAAGGTATTATGAAAATATTGATTTGTGGCCTATTTGTGGAAGAGTGCAGTGTGAGCTAAGGCATTCTTAGCTTATTGTGCTAGTCATACAGGGTGCTTCCAGATAGCTTGTTTACTGCACATTCATCCTGGTTTGTTTGCAGGGAGACTAGATGACAGCTATTTAATGAACTTTCATTCTGACTTATTTGCAGGAGGTTAGATAATGTAGCATCAAAGCAAGTGTTATCACACATTTCCCAGTGTATTTCCCCATCACTTTTCTTTTCGCAAGAAGTCCAGTCTTTTGGGGAGATGGGGTTGCTGTGCAAGTCCTCCACTCAACTTAACATCATGTCAGTGTTGCTGTTGTCAGGCTGCAGGATTCAGTCTGGAAGTGCCCCCAGACACTCAGCTATATTATCAGTCAGGATGCAAAATTCTGCACAAACATACGTTGTAAATTTAGTAACCTTCCACATCCACTATGGCCTGCATCCAAAGAACTGCACAACTTGTCTGCATGCTTAAGGAATGCTTGGGCTTACATAATAGCCACCCACAATCCTCTTTTTGAGCTGAAGGGGGTTTTCAAAGCAGTTTGAAATAGGATGTGGGCGTTTGCACTTCAAAAAGAAAATACTCTTTTTTTAAAAATCAGCTCGGCTTGCCCAAGTTCTTAGGTGCCTCTAAAGCAACTCTTTGATTCTGGCCCACATGATTTGCCTGGTTCTGTCTTGTGCTCTCTGTGTTTGCTGCAGCACAAGCAAAAGCTTGTGCTCCCAAGCAGCTGCATCAGCAGGACAGAAGGCTGAACAGTTCCATCCCACCAGCCCATTTTAGAGAGAAGCGATCCTGCCATTCAAATCCAGGTGAAGATTCTCGGAAGCGCCCTTTCGTTTCAGTGGGAATGTTCCCATGTGCCTCGAGGTCCTGATAAATCTTTTCACTTCTTTCAGAACAATCAGATAGAAGAAATCTTTCCAGAGGAGCTGGCACGTCTTTACAGGCTAGAAACACTCAACTTGCAAAATAATAGACTCACTTCCAAAGGTAAGCTGCAAAAATCCAGACTGGCCTCTTAACTCCTGATTCGCTGTCTTTCATTGGACTAGGAGGAATGTTGATGCTTACCAATGACTAACACTGCATATCACCCACTAGGAGGAGTGAAATGTAATTCGATCCCCTCTTTCCTTGGCTTAAAGTAACTCTTGATAGTATTGTGAAGCCCTAATTTCCAGAACTTTGTAAGTTTGGTGCTATCCACATGCATGATATGTAAAAGAGCTACGTACATACAGATATACAGAGAGAAGAGGGTGGGAAAGACAGAATGAAGGCAAATACTTTTGTGTATACTCAGAACTCAGTTATAGCTGGGGAGGAACACAGGTGGCACTGTGGTGTAAACCACCAAGCCTCTAGGGCTTGCTGATTGTAAGGTCGGCAGTTCGAATCCTGGCAACGTAGTGAGCTCCCATTGCTCTGTCCCTGCTCCTGCCAACCTAGCAGTTTGAAAGCATACCAGCCCGAGAAGATAAATAGGTGCTGCTGCGGCAGGAAGGTAAACGGCATTTCAATGTGCTCTGACACTCATCACGGTGACCCGTTGCACCAGAAGCAGTTTAGTTATGCTGGCCACATGACCCGGAAAGCTGTCTGTGGACAAACGCCGGCTCCCTTGGCCTGAAAGCGGAGATGAGTGCCTCACCCCATAGTCAAATTCGACTGGACTTAACTGTCCAGGGGTCCTTTGCCTTTACCTCTACCTGTAGCTGGGGATGAAGATTGAAGGGATGTGGGTCACATGGAAGAAGTGGGTTTTGAGGAGGGGTTTGAAGTGGGGAGAGAGAGAGCACGTGCAGGGACTGTGGAGTTGTTTAAGATAGGCAGAAGGCGGTTTGGGAACTTCTGGTAAGATCTCATTGAGACAAAATGAGGCAGTTACCTCAGGCAATGGGTGTGTGTGTGTGGATTTGCATTCCCAGCCTCCCTCCCCCTCACCCACTGGCCTTGCCAGACAGCTACTGTCTGCCCACACAGCTACTCACATTGCATATATGTAGTTCTGCAGAGCCATTCCCTGCTTTCCCCCTCTCTGCCACCACCATGGCCCCCACTTGCTCACCTCTTTCCCTCATTAACTGCTTTGCTGCTACTAATTTAGCAGTGGCAGCATTGGCCATACCTCTGCTCCCTCTCCTGTTTGTCTTACTCTGAGGAAGGGCCAGGGATTATTCATAGAAGGTGTTCTGGGCAAGATGGAGAAATCTCTATCCAAAGTTCTGATGGCGCAGGAAATCTGGGCCCTTCAGAGTGAGGCTGAGGGGAGGAAGAGCCAGAGGCAATAGCATGGCCACTGGTGCCAGCTCATTAGTGGTGGCAAAACAATTAACAGGGAAGCCGGGAAAGGAGCAGAGAGGGATGCTGGTGGAACACTTTGTGTTGCCTTTGTCTCTGGATGATTTGTAGCAGACTGACATAATTTTCAGAGGTCACATCCACACTATAGCTTAACTCTAACCGCACCCCTTCCCAAATTATGCTGCTGCAATTAAGAAATCTTGAGGAGAATCCAGGTGTGTGCTTATGTGTGTTCAAGTCTGGGACTGAAAACCAATTAATAGTCCAAGCTTATGTTTGGAAGCACCTTGTTACTTCCTTCTATGTGAAGGAAGCAACATTCCAAAAATTCAGTTGGTGGAGAAACTTCAGGTCTACGCTCTCAGTAAAAGGAAGGCCTTTTACTGGAGACCACATTTAAGAGAATAGGAGACCTTTGGTTGTCTGAGGGCAGGCATGGCCAGATAGCATGGGCTTCATGTATATGTCGGTCTTTAGAGATCCATTAGAAATGCTTCACTGCAAAAAAAGAAAAGAAAAAGAAAGAAAAAAAAGAAAATAGTACCCTGATTATGGACACAAGTACAAATGTTAACCTACACCAGCCTACTCTGCAGACCCTTAAAGGCTAAATCTAATCCACATCTTTTGTAACGACTTGTTTTTATTTTGGGATGCCAGCATGCTCACAGCATGCAAGCATGCAAGCATGTCAAAGAGGGCTTTGGGCTTATATTTGGGGCAGGGGTGGGGGGAGCTGCATAGGAAGCTACATTTGAAACTGAGGGGACTTTCAAAAGCAAATTGTAATCTGGAATGACCTGCTGCTCAAAACACGAAAGAAATTCTCACTGGAAATGATGAAACCTTTGGGTGTGGCTAAAGTAGCTCTTTGGGTTTCAACTTACGTAAAGATAAAAATTAAATATGAATCTGATATTTCTAGTCATTTTTTAAAGGGGAAGAATGATGATCATAGATTAAAATCCTTTAGTTGCTCATTGGCGACTCCTGAGGGGTACTAATTGTCAAAATATTCCTATTATTCGAAGGACTTCCAGAAGAAGTGTTTGACCAGCTGGAGAACTTGAATTACCTGTATCTTGCCAATAATCAGGTAAGCAAATGTGGTCTTACAAGAGCTGCTGTTGGTTATGTGTGTATGGACTGGGGACCAGGAGCCCTTTTCAGCCAAGGGCCACATTACCTCATGGGGAACCGTGGTGGGAGCATTAGATATTTCTTTTGCACTTATACTGTATTCACAGGGTTTTACACCCACCCACCCAGGCAAATAAGAAGAGCGATGACATTTCAAGGACACAATCTGGGCAGGCAAGAGCACACAAGGAGAGGGTGGAGCAAAATCAATGAGGGGTATGGCATGGAGTCTGGACAGAGAGGCCCAGAGGGTCACATTTGGCCCCTGAACTGGAGGTTCCCCACCCTTGGTTGAGATAAACACTTCACCTGGTTTCTTCGTTCAGTATTGCTTGAGGAATTTATTCTTTGCATGAACTGACTGATCCCAGAGAGACAAATGTGTGAATCAGGACAGAGTTATCTATGTCACAATGCAATTCTTGGCTTGAAAAACATATAAAACTTATGAAATGTCCATTTCAGAACAAAATACATTTGGAAATGAATATTTTGTGAGAAAATATGTTGAAAAATACTTATTTAAATTCACATGTTTTAAAGTTAGAAATGTAGATGAATTCAGAAACAAGACAGAACAGACTTATGAAAAAGCACCTGTGAAACGGACATGAGTTGAAAGAGACCGAATCATCCCTTTCTTCGTAACTAAAGAGTAGTTTGACAGTGGCTTGCTTTTCAACTGTAGTCTTTTGGCTTAGAGTGTTACAACTTTAAAGATGCAGTAGGGACCGTGACGTGCTACAGACAGACAGCAGTAAAACAGTTTCATGGTGTTCCATAGCTGTGGCCATTGAAACTTCCATTTTCCACAGCACCGACTGTATTGGTGTAGTAGTAGCTGATCATTGACAATCTTAGTGGTCATCGTATCAAAGGAAACTGCATTGACTCCACCAACTCTTTCAAATGAGTTTACCCTGTTGTGGGTTAGGTGCAGTATCAAACTGCTTCTCCAGTAACATCATGTCCTCTCCTCCCATTTACAGCAATTTTCCATGTAACAGTTTTGGCAGTGAACAGCTGCAAAAAAAAGAACACGAGCCAGGCTGTGACTAATATTCCAGAATGTTTCTGTCCAATTCCACACACCCCCCCACCCAGCTCTATGTGATAAAATGGCCATTAACCTCCCTGTTCCTGCTGCAGAAGAAAATTGTATCTGAATAATAGAAGCAAAACTTTGAAGATGGTATACACATGCAAACATAGCTTGGTAGCTTTACATATTCAGAACCATGGTGAAAATACTGAGAACTGGGAGACTGAAGTAAACAGTGCAGTATAGCCAAGGCCCATAGCATGAGGGCAAGGATATGCTGGAGAAAGGGTGCTTTCACGAGAATCATGTACTGTTATGTGCTTGGCAACTTTGACTAGAAGACCACATATAAGGCATGACGATAATATATATACCTATGCCAAATGGAAATAAAAATCTCTGTAGAAGGAAATCTAAAATTCATCCGAGAAAATGTAACTTCTGAAACAGTATTAGAAGTGGGACCTGCAACAAAATGTTGCAGCGTGGAGTGTTTCTGGTTGGGATGCCAGGCAGCCTGCCATGCCCTTCTCCTGGATTCCATTTTTGTCCCAAAATGTCAACCAGCATTCTATGAAAACTGAGCATATTCAGTCTTCATTGGACTCTTTGGGGTGAATCACCCTCACCTCGGTGGTCCCCCCCCCTTTGAAATTGCTTTTGTACTTCTGTAAACCTTGGAGCTTCACTGAGCCTGTTGATACATTATTTTGGGTAGTACCATTTTGGCTATGAAAGCAAAGCATTAAAAGTTACATAAGCTGAATGTAAAAAAATAATAGTGGGAATACTGTATTGTACACATATTTGCAATTTGAAACTCCAGAATTTAATTTCCCAACTCATTTTTAATTTATTTATTTTTAAAGAGACAAATTCTTGGGTCTTTCCTGTTGATAATATATGTTAAAACTTAAAGCAATTCAGATCCAGTTCCCCAGCCTTGTGTTATTGGCAATGTTATTAAGTAATCACCTTGTCAAATGCAGTATGGTACTAAAATCTTAAAACTAACAGGATTCATAAGTAGGAATTTTGAAAATAAACCACATTAGAAGAGCACACATTTAAATTTTCCGCAAGCAAATTTGTATTAAAAGCATATTCTCTCTGAATAATTTTATTTCTTTCACAATGTTTTTCCTCTGTTCTGTACAATGCTCAGCTTCCAACAGACACTACATAAATATTGAATAATATATTCATAGTTTGTCCATTACAATCCAACATGCCTGCAGACAAGGTTACAGCTCACAAAGTAAACCCGTGTCTTTCAAAGATAGCGTGAGAAGAAGTCCCCTTCAGAAATTTGATGAAAACTCAGAGGGGGAGCCTGTCATATACTCTTGTTTTCTCATGAGATTTTTCCAGGAAAGGTCACTGAACTATTTCTTGAAAGGATTATAAACGTAGCATAACATTTATTTACTCTCTGAATCCACTATTTCCCCCCAATATTAACAAAACAAAATATGTCTCAGTACAAACAAAACTCTTTCCAGGGATGCTGAAACAAAAAAATTAACTGTTTCCTACAGTGTTTACTTATATTTGTGAGGAAGACAGAAATCCTCACTGCTGTGAGGGAGCTCCACTTTTCGGAGCTTGACCTTGTTAGGTTTCCTCATTGAAACAAATAGCCTGATAATCTTTTGTTGCAAAACTGGCAATGGTGGCGGTTTGAAGCCTTGTGTCTCAGACCACAATATCCTCTTCTGGCACCATATTTTGTTTTCCAGCTCACGGCGGCTCCGAAATGCCTCCCGAGGACCTTGATCAGTGCTGATTTTGCAGCCAATAATCTCACTAAGATTTATGAGCTCACATTCGGACAGAAGCCAAACCTGAGGTAAACAGAGGGGTTAAGAGGCAACTGTAAGAGGAAGAATGTCACACTGCTTCTGTGGCAGATGGGGGAAGCAATTGTTTAGTAAAAACCACTTGCGGCCTACAAATTGTAGCCGGAGGAAGAGAATTGTTTATCTTTGAAGCATAGCTGTCAAGTGTCCCTTATTTGAAGGGCAAGTCCCTTATTCCAGCGCCATGTCCCGCTGCTGTCCCTTATTGATGGATGTCCCTTAAATGTCCCTTAAATGATGTCCCTTAAATTTCAAAGGAAGCAGCTCCTCTCCCTCCCTCCCTCCCTCCCTGCCGGCCAGGGAGGAGGGAGGCTTCAGCTGTGTTGCTTGGCTGTGTTGTTCACCTAATAAGAAGTCTAAGAACGACTGGGGGTGGAGCTTGCATGCCTTGTGTTGATCAAATCGGCTGTGATCACTGGGGACTCGCCTTTGCTCAGCGCTTCCCAGCAGAGAGGTGACGGTGGTTTTCCTTGAGGCTTGAGGCTTCATTTGGCTGCTGGCTGGGCTTTCTGCCTTTGGCTCAGAGGGGCTCAGAAGTTGAAAATACCTGTGCTGAGTGCTTGGATCGGAATCGGGTGGATACATCATCGACAGCCCACTCACCCTTGCCGGCAAAAAGCTCTGCTGGAGCGGGGGCACAGGGTGGGGGAAAAGGAAAGGAGATCTTGTGGGAGGGGGGGAGGCTGTGTGTGTGTGGCTAGTTAATGCAAGCTGAGGGGTTTTTTGAATGTTGGACGCCATTTTGTTGCACGTGCTGCTGCAAGCTTTGCAGTGCATAGCCAGGTCGGGGAGCCATCTTAAGGTGAGGCTGCATAGGCCTTGTGGTGCATGTGATTCAGATTCTATTCAGTTGAACCTCTGGTTACAAAGTTGGTTGGACAGTGTTCTCGAAGCTACCAGCATGAGTTTGACCAGACTGCAGGAGGACAGGAAGACTGGAGTGCAGGTGAGGCTGCAGGTCCCTTATTTTGGCTGCTGGTCCCTTATTTTCAAGGCTGCTGGTCCCTTATTTTCAAATCTGTAAGTTGACAGCTATGCTTTGAAGACAAATTAATTCTGGTGGCTTCTGTTGGATATCGTTTGCATGCAAATAGCAATTGTGCTGGAAAGTGTCTCAGAGTACTGTAACAGAAATTCAGCTCATTGGTTTTGTGGTCGGTTTGTTCAGGAGTAGAGGTTCCCAACATCACCCCGCAAAGATTTGCTAGCGAATACTTCATAAACAAGAATAAGGAAGACTACATAGATCAGGTATGTGGCCCAGCATTTGTTGGACTGTAGCACACATCATGCCTGATCATTGGCCAAGCTGGCTGAGGCTGATGGGTACAACAACATTTGGAGGACCACATTTTCTCTATCTAGTAAAGAACTCTGATACAGAATTCTCCTCCACAATTTATAGTTGAGGTTACCTTCAGTTTAGGGAGTTTGGTTTTGGGGGGTAAAGCTTTCTATTGGGACTGCAGCAGGAATAAAAAAACTAGGTGAGTATCAGAGCTTCAGTCTTATGTAGTCTTTAAGGTTCAGGATCTGAAGGAATAAAACTAGTGGATCATAATGAAAAGCAATGAGTGGCTCCTTAGGAGGCCTCAGGGCTCTCAGTACTCCAGCAACCAGGGTGGGCTAGTAGCCCCGCATCCAAAAGGATGGCAATGGGTAGCAGTCATCAGCCTGTATTTAAGGCAAGGGCAGGCAACATGACCTGGGGGCTCAGCCCAGCCCCCCAGGTTTCCCATCTGCATCCTCACAATTGATCCCAAGGCTCAACAAGGTGAGGAAGAGCTCCTGATCAACAGTTTTTAGAGGTCATTTTCAGAAAACTTTATGAAACAAACCAAGTAGCTGTATCTGCACTCATTCCCAACTTAGTCTATTTCCATTTCTGGTAGGTCAGTGTACCTTCACAACAATAAACTGGAAGATGCTGGGTTACCAGAAAGCATGTTCAATGGTTCTGATAATGTGGAGGTCTTGATCATGTCCAGCAATTTCTTAAAATACGTTCCAAAGAATTTACCATCAGCACTGTATAAACTACATCTAAAGGTAAGATGGCAATTCTATTACAGTAGTTCTTCTCCTTGGGGATGGGATTGTGTTTCTTTACATGGCAGGAACTCACACTTTGTACCAGTAAATCTGATTCCTTTGAAATCACCCCATGTCTATCTGTCTATCATGTTTGTGGGTTGTGCTCTCTGCCCAAGAGTATCTGAGGTATTCTATGGCTATGAGTGCTTATGTCCAGCTTAGGCTTGTTTGCCAGCTACAGCCATTCCTGGACTGGCATAGCCTGGCCTCAGCTGTGCACAATCTAGTGACCTGCTTTGATACTTTATGCACTTTACATGGGGCTACCCTTGAAGGCTGTCTAGAGGCTGCAGCTAGTAGCTGTCAGCTAGCGTAGAATGCAGTTGCTATGCTGGAAAGTGGGGTACTTCAATGGGTCCATGTGACACAGGTCCTGAAAGCACTGTACTGTACTGGCCAAATTCAAGGTGTCAGTACTAGCATATAAATCATCATCATCATCATCAACTTCCACAAATTGCTTGGGACCCAAGTAGCTAAAATAGCACCTTTCCCAATACCAAACACCTCAGACCCTACAACTGGCAGAGAAGGCCTTGCTGGTAGTACCACCACTAGAGGCTGCCCAGTTGGCGTTGACCTGTAACAGGGCCTTTTCAGTGGTGGTTCCCCAGTTGTGGAATGCCCTCCCTAGTGAGGTGCATCTGTCTCCATCGTTATTAATTTTCAGAAGGAATTTGAAAACATTTCTATTTATCCAGGAATTTGTTAGCTGCAGAAAACTGTTTTTGGCAACTCTAATATCACTGTACCACCTCAGAGATGTCCACCTTTACTTTGAGGACTATGATGTTAGGATGAACAAATTCATGATCTACTTCCTGTGTTTTTTATGGCAGAACAACAAATTGGAGAAGATTCCTAAAGGAGCTTTTAGTGAGCTTTCAGGACTTCGAGAGCTGTATTTGCAGAACAACAAACTGACAAATGAGGGCATGGACAATGAAACCTTTTGGTGAGCCTGTTGATTTTCTTTAGTGGATGTCAGCCACATGTTGCCTTACAGCTATTCTACTTTGTTAATAATTTGTCAACACATTAAGAACAATAACAACGCATCCAATAAGCTCCTATAAGCTGTGTTTTTTGTGATATTATGAAGTACCTCTTCTTTCTTTGCTGCCCATGGCACCCATTTTGTGCTGGCATGCACAACATTTTTATCAATATATGAGCATTGACACTTTTTTTTTTATACCCAAAACAGTGCTGCATATGAGAATAACTTTTCCTCTATTTTTGTTAAACACTGCGATTGAATTGACTCAGAAATCGATTAAGTTATCTCTGAAAATAACTGTTCATTTTCTGAGCCAATGCAGAGCTTGGAAAATAATCCCACACTCTATGCTTCCAAGCACCCAGAATCAAACTCTGATTTTATTTTCTAGTTTAGAGCTGAGGATTAAACCACACTTTCCTGACTGGGATATAAAGGGAAACTATGGCTTAATGAGTATGAAGGTCTTTAATTAGATTATATGAGTAGTTAGAGGAGGGAGCATAAATGTTTTTGCAGAACACTTAAGTTCAAATCATAAGCTACTAAGTTGTTGCTGTTGTTTAGTTGTTTAGTCGTGTCCGACTCTTCGTGACCCCATGGACCAGAGCACGCCAGGCACTCCTGTCTTCCACTGCCTCCCGCAGTTTGGTCAGACTCATGTTTGTAGCTTTGAGAACACTGTCCAACCATCTTGTTCTCTGTCGTCCCCTTCTCCTTGTGCCCTCCATCTTTCTCAACATCAGGGTCTTTTCCAGGGAGTCTTCTCTTCTCATGAGGTGGCCAAAGTATTGGAGCCTCAGCTTCACGATCTGTCCTTCCAGTGAGCACTCAGGGCTGATTTCCTTAAGAATGGATAGGTTTGATCTTCTTGCAGTCCATGGGACTCTCAAGAGTCTCCTCCAGCACCATTAGGTTAGGCTATAAAGTGGAGGTGGGTCTAGTTTTATCATTAAATGGAACATGTGGAAGATATGAGCAAAACTCACCTCCCACCCTTGCCTCCCCCTCTCCTTGTTCTAGCTGCTTGAAGATTTTTTTCATAGCTGTCTCACTTCCAGTATTGGAACAGTAATGGGTGTGACAAATTTAAGCAGCGATGTAAGGTAGGATCCTTGGTGTGACAATGATTTGCAAGCTCAGTGGGTAGGAAATATAGAGCAAGAGGCTCAATAGATTCATACAAAGGGTAGGGATCATGTTTGTACCCCAGTTCAGGAGTAGCCAAAGTGATATTCTCCAGATGTTGTTGGATTACAACTCCCATCATTCCCGATTGTTGGCCATGCTATCTGGGGCTGATGGAACCCAACAATCAGCTAATCTTGCTTCTGATATTGCTAGACACCATCTTACATCAACCCCAGCAGCTTGCCTAAAACTAAAAGGTCAAGGATGATGAGAGATGGAGCCCAGCAACAGCTGGAAGGGCACAAGTTTCTCACCCCACTTTATAGATTTCCATTCATTTTTTTTAAAAAATGTTTAACTAAGAACATTCATTTCACCCCTTTTTCTTCCAAGGAAACTTTCAAGCCTTGAGTACCTGGATTTGTCCAGCAATAACCTTTCCCAGATCCCAAGTGGCTTACCTCGAAACATCGTCCTTCTCCACCTAGAGAAGAATGCAATTAAGTCAATAGGCAGGGATGTCTTGACCCAGATCAAGAACCTGGAATACCTTCTGCTTCACAATAACAAGTTGAAGGCCCGGGGGATCCACCCTCAGGCTTTCCATGGCCTGAAGAAGTTACACACAGTCCACTTGTACAACAACCAGCTGGAAAAGATCCCCAGTGGGCTGCCCAGACGGGTTAAAACTCTTATGATTCTTCACAACCAGATATCAGAAATTAACAGAAATGATTTTGCTACCACTTATTTTATGGAGGAGCTAAACCTTAGTTACAATAAGATCACCAGCTCACAGATTCATCGGGAGGCTTTCCGTAAGCTGAGGCTACTGAAATCTTTGGATCTTTCAGGCAATAATCTCAATACCATGCCTTACGGCTTCCCGAAGAACCTGCTAAGCCTGAAACTGAAAGTGAACGATATCAGCTCTATTCCCAGGCGCACGTTATCTGGGATGTCAAAGCTGCAGGAGCTGTATTTGAGCAACAACAAACTGAAAGTCGGTTCAATATACAGTGGGTCGTGGCAGGATCTCACCAGTCTCAAGGTACAAGCATATCACTGATATTGTGTGACTATTTCATTTAGACATAAACACAGGAAAAAGTCAATACATCAGCAAAGAAATCCAACTTCCGTAATTGAAATAGATTTTTCAAAGAGAAAAAATTATGCAAGTATACTTACTATGAAAAGAAAAGGAAGTAGAATGTTTTGTTATTTCACCACAAAATCTGGAAGCTTGGGGAAGATCTAAGGGCAGTACATAAAGGCAAAGAGGGGGGCATAGGTGTGTTGAGATGCAAAAAAATGGGTAGCAAGAATTATAAAGAGACAAACAGTTGGTGTTGTACAATAGCATTTCAAAGAGAGATTTTCAAGGCCTCCAGTTTGTTTTATGAGACTAGCAATTATATGATTAACAGTACATGCAAATGAGTTTTCAAGTGTAATAATTTAAATTTGAAATTGGTTAGAGGTAATGGACTTCATTTGCAGAAGTACACAGTTTTCAGCTAGGATTGTGAATCTCTGGATCAGAGTGAACACTGTGTAAAACTCAAGGAGATGGAAGCAGGGAACTGGGAAATATTTATCTCCTCTGATCTGAAGATTGGTCCAAATGGGCTAGTTACAGATGTAACAAATTCTACCAGGATGGCATAGTATTGGTGCAGAAAAGCTGTATGTTTTGGAAGTTGGTTTTCAGATGGGATGTTGGAGAATTCAATCAAAAACAGAAACAAGAGTGGAAATCCCCACAGTTTGCATGTTCATTAGAGGTTAGGAACAGAAATCATGTAAGTGAATATGAGCAGTGTTCAGTGTCATTGGGTTTTTCTGTACACAAATGTTAGGTACATAATTACATTATTTGCTGTATTGTGTTTGTCATTTACCTTCCAATGAAATGCATTTAAATTAATTATGTAATTAATTTCCTTAGTTTCGGCCACAGCAGATAGTGAGACTAATAATAACATAGATTTTAGTGAAAGCTGAACTGTAGTGCAAAGGAAACAGTGCTGACTGCAATGAACCCAGGATGGAACGGAAGTCACTGCCTCCTTACATCTCTACTTTTCACTCAGATGACAAGCCTGTAGAGCTGTTTCCAGATATGAAAAGAAGAAAAATATCAGAAGTTTTCTCAGGAAAAGGTGTCTTCAGAGATATTTAAGCTCAGCTCTAGAACCTACTGGTTTCCTGAGACAGGATGGTCAATGGAAGACTCCAGCATCTGCACAGATTTCTTATGTTGCTCTTCCATAAAGATCTATTGAGAAGGTCCTGCTGGCATAAAGTTTAGAGAACCAGGATTATATGAAAATACATTCTTGGTGGCTGCTTCACAGCCATTAAACTCTCCTGGAGACCCTCCAGATTCTGAACCTGAGCTTTTTTGGGGAAGTATTGCAAACCCTTGTCACTAAGTATAGCTTTCTGTAACTTTGGTTAAAATGGTGAAGAGGAGGGCATATGTTAAAATGGCTCACACACTAGGCTCTATAGTTCATTAAAACACACACACACACACACACACACACACATACAACTTTGTGGTCTTGCAATCTATATAAAAAAGTTAGTGGTTATTGAAGGCGCAGATTATGACACTGCCCCACCCCCGCCAGATGAGACAGGTGAGAAACAGTAAGTTAATGAATATGGGTTTAGGTGTCAACCATAGATTTTATTGTTATTTATTTTGCCTTTTAAACAACTCTGCTTTTCTTGGCTCCAGTTGGGACCAAAAAGCAAAAGTGCCCAAGTGGCAAATTTAGCCAGAAACAGGCTGAACTAGTTTTTCATAGAAAGATGTTTTTGCGTGATTTCCAGCTCTGTTTCTCCAAAGCCAAATATATTGAGTAATCTTTGTGTGAGAGCTTGAACCTCTGGCTGCTTCTCCAATCTGCTGATTCCAGTCTGGAATGTTCTTCAGAAAGGCAGAATCCTTTAATTATATAAATTTAATATTTAGCTCATTTTCTTTTGAGTAAGGCCCTGTAGGAATTGGGGGGAATTGGAGCACTGCCTTTTGCAGAGCTTTGCTTTGCCTATACCCATAGGATTTTTTTGGGGGGGGGGAATTGTTTGTTTAATAAATTTGTGAGAAGACAGACAATGACACCGTTTAAAGAATGACGCTTGTTTAAGCCCCCAAAGGTCTGCTCACTCAACACTTTCCCAGATTGAGGGTGGATTTTTCATGATCACAATCATTTAACATCACCAGTCCTGAAAAAAAATTGGCCTGGGAGGAATTCAGTGTTGCTTTATGTGTAAATCATTATGTCAGCACAAACATTTCAGCTTGCTAGGTGGAATTATCTCCCCATGTATATATATATATGTATATATACATATATACATAAATACAGGACGTGGGTGGTGCTGTGGGTTAAACCACAGAGCCTAGGACTTGCTGATCAGAAGGTCGGTGGTTCGAATCCCCGCGACGGGGTGAGCTCCCATTGCTCGGTCCCTGCTCCTGCCAACTTAGCAGTTCAGAAGCACATCAAAGTGCAAGTAGATAAAAAGGTACCGCTCTGGCGGGAAGGTAAACGGTGTTTCCGTGCGCTGCTCTGGTTCACCAGAAGTGGCTTAGTCCTGCTGGCCACATGATCCGGAAGCTGTACGCCGGCTCCCTTGGCCAATAAAGCGAGATGAGCGCTGCAACCCCAGTCGGTCACGACTGGACCTAATGGTCAGGGGTCCCTTTACCTTTACCTATATACATAAATACACACACACATTGGATATTCATTTAATTCCTGATGTTCATCGTTAATTTTATATTAACTTGAACCTTGCATAGCCTATGATGTAAGTTAATTGGAGTTGAATTACCATACGATCAATGTTAATGTTGGCTAATGGCTAACTTCATCACCTCAACAGTCAATCAATGAGGCAGAAGTTAAAGTGAATACACATTTCAGCTGTACCCACTTAGCAGACAGTTAAGATCAAACTTTGACGGTGGTGGTAGCTGACTAAAAATATAAGAAAAGATGTAATCATGTTAACAATAGTCTAAAAATAAAAATAAATCTGATATTGAGACAATCTGCAGGAAGTCACTGAAAGCAAGACCACTTCATAAAGATACCAAGTAAGCAAACTCTGGGCTGGCTGAGACCTCAACCCACTTGTAGCAAATTTCTCCACCATCCCTACACCTCACAGAGCTGCAATCCCCCCCCACCTTAGCAAACTACAGTTCCCAGGATTCTTTAGGGGAAGTCATGGACTTTAAATGTATGGTGTATACGCAGACTTAGACTTACTTGCAAGGAAACAAGTGTTTCCTTCTATAATAACATTTGTTTCTCTGTAAAAATGCTTCATTCAAGTATGTGAATTGTGCTCTTCATGAACTACCTCACTGGCCCAGGCTGGAGAGGTTACTGTGAGACAGCTCACTCAGGAGGTTAGTACAGTGGTACCTCGGGTTAAGAACTTAGTTCGTTCTGGAGGTCCGTTCTTAACCTGAAGCACCACTTTAGCTAATGGGGCCTCCCACTGCCGCCATGCTGCACAATTTCTGTTCTCATCCTGAAGCAAAGTTCTTAACCCAAGGTACTATTTCTGGGTTAGCGGAGTCTGTAACCTGAAGCGTCTGTAACCTGAGGTACCACTGTATCTGTTTTTGGAGAATATTCAAGTTTTTGCCTGGGGAAAAGCCCTCAAAGTCCACAGTAGGAGCAAACAAGCTTCAAATGCATAGCTTGAAGTCACAAGTCACAAGGCCATTCTCTTCCCTGGGCCCTACTCATGTGTCCAGAATTCTGAGAATTCTCAGAATTCTGAGCATCAAATGCCAAACACTGTTGTGCGCGCTGCAGATTCAACAGCAGCTGCAGCTGTTACTGTTCAGCTGGCCAGGCTGTCAGAACAAAGCTACAGGAAATGGGCCAAGAGGAAGAAAGCTGATGCAGAGGCAATCAAGGAGGGAAGCTGGGACTGCTGCTCACTTGTTGCTATGGCCACATTTCAATACAAATGTCCAACATTAGGTGGGCCAAAAGGAAGGGTAATTGACTAGGACGAGAGACAGGGACCTGAAAGAATGGTTTACAAGGCACAGGAGAACATGTAATACAGTGGTACCTCGGGTTACACACGCTTCAGGTTACGTATGCTTCAGGTTACAGACGTCGCTAACCCAGAAATATTACCCTGGGTTAAGAACTTTGCTTCAGGATGAGAACAGAAATTGTGCTCCTGTGGCACGGCAGCAGCAGAAGGCTCCATTAGCTAAAGTGGTGCTTCAGGTTGAGAACAGTTTCAGGTTACGAACAGATCTCCGGAACGAATTAAGTACTTAACCCGAGGTACCACTGTAATCCAAAGGACCAGAGAAGGTGAAAGCAAGGGCCAAAGGAAATAAAGCTGGGTAAAAGACAGCTGGGTAAGGGAAAGATGATACATATTCAGCTACAGGGCACTGATGTGGCCACATTAATGAACTTGCTTCCAACCATTTTGTGGGCATCTCACCAGGCGCGTGTAATGAAATTAGGCTGCAATCCTAGTATACTTCCCTGGGAATAGGGGAGAAATCCATTTCAGTTCACACTTAAAGGCGACCTTACCTAATTTGTGCTTTCCAAAACAATACACACAATGCTTGTTTTGCATGGGGGTTACCGGTACGTTCCGGACCCTGTGCGTGTTAGCAGGACCTGCATAAAGAGTTCAGCCAGTTGTACCCTCGCTTACACAAATTTCAAGTGCCTAGGTACTCATCATTTTTGTACAGTATAATCAATCTAGCCCATTTCAAAGCAAACTGATTTCCATTAATTACTTCCAACTAATGTTGTGCTGTCTGTTTTTCCATTCAGATCTTAGACATAGCTGGCAATCAGCTGACTTCTATTCCCTCTGATTTGCCAGAATCTCTAGAGTATCTGTACCTCCAGAACAACAAGATTACCACAGTGCCAGAGAATGCCTTTGAATCCACACCCAACATAAAGGGAATTTATCTCAGGTTTGTAATCCAGAAGAAAGGTTCTCCTGCCTGACCGAGATGCATCCAGTCAAGGGCAAACCTGAGAAAACTCTTCTTTGGAATACCTAAAGTGTTTAGACAGGCCTGGTGGGATTTGTTGCATGTTAAATTGAACAACGGCCTACCACCCACTCAGTGCTGTATCTAAAATTATCATTAAGAGTCTCCTCTGTTTTATAAGCGGTTGGTTATGTGGCATGAGGAGATGCAATTCAAGAAGTCTAAAGCCCTCTTGGTCATGCAGAACCTAGCTGTGTGATTGTTGAATTCTGGCCATAGCCCTTTCAGGTAACCAGAGTACAAATGACCAACGATCCAAACATTCAGATTACTTTTACCAATCCAGATGTGAACATAAGGAGCGTTCTACTGGATCAGACCAAAATTTGATCTAGCCCAGCATCGTGCTTTCAGAAGTGGCCAACTAGATGCCTATGGGAAGCCTATAAGCAGAACACGAGCATGATAGCATTCTCCGAATCACGTTCTGCAGCAACTGGTATCCAGATGCATTCCGAATCATGACTAGTCAACCAAGTTGGGAGCCATCACTAAATTTTGTGAAAGTGAGTTCCATCATTTAGCTATGCAGTATGTGAGGAAATACTTCATTTTGTCTGTCTAGGAGACTAGATGGATTGTCTCTAGCAGGGCTGTCCAGAAGGTAGATCAGAATCTACTGGTCAGTCTTCGGGTTAATAACAGTTTGATTATGATGGAACAACCTCCCCCCTCACTCCTCCTCCATGTGTTCTCCTGGTGGTTCTCCTGACGTCCCCACAGCTGATTGAGGGGACTTGGGGGGGGGTGAGGAGAATTGTACAAACAGGAGCACTTGCACTGGCTCCTGCTAGTGGGACTACTTAGTTGAATCCAGCCCCTGGAGAGAGCCCTGGGGTTAAGTTCCAACACCAGAAACACTCTTCTTTTATCTTCAAGGTTTAACAAGATTGCATTCAATGCAGTAAAAGAAAGCACATTCCAGAGGCTGAAACATCTACAGGTATTGGACATAGAAGGAAACTTTGAATTCAGCGACCCTTTGAAGAATAGGGACCATTCGGAGGAGGAAATGGAAGAGGAGGAGGAGGAGGAAGAACAGGAGGTCGAAGAATAATGAAGATAAACTTTGATTGAACCAAGTGTATCACATGGTAGAAAATTACTTTCAATGCTTTTCTAGTTATACTGTCTCTTTATACAACCTGTTTTTCTACGGCACCCCCAGCCTGTACACAAAATAATATTTGTGACCCAATTCTGTTAGTGGTTGGGTTGACAGATAAATATATATGAAGGTGCATGAATGTGTGCTGGTACAATGTCAGAAGAGGATACATCACCAGGTGACCAAGTGTTGCATAGGGATAGCAATATGTGCCCCAACAGTAATGCCTAATCCCTTGTGGCTTTTGGGAATGGCACAGTTAACTCACACATGGTGCTTGTATGTTTGCTGTAGTTACATCAGTTTTCATTCCTGATCCTGTAGCTCAGGTGTACTTTCAGTTCATAACCACTGTGGGATAGCATTATTCCTATATGAGTATGTCCCGGGAGCATAGAAAACAGCCTCTCTGTGGCTATCTCTATGCACTGGCCATACTTGCAATGGCTCATAAAGAGGTATTTCTGTGGCTGCTGTGCAGCATTAAATGTAAGAAGCTGTTGTCTCCTGAATCAGATGAACCTTTGGTCCATTTAGCTCAGTGCTGTCTACACTGATTGGCAGCAGCTCTCCAGTGTTTTTGAAAGGAGTTTCGCTGGCATCTAGCTGGAGATGTCAGGAATTAAACCTGAGCCTTTGGGCATGCAAATGCTCTACCACTGAGCTATAGCCCTTTCCCAGTTTTTAACACTTCTTTTTTCCAAAGGCCTGTAAAAGCCTGAGTCTGGGGATTATTTGGAAGACTTGTTTTTATTCAAGCTTTTATTTTATTTTTTGTTTTTAATGAGATTCTTAAGTCCTTTGCTTCTGATTTCCTTGTTACTAACCACCCTGGATAACTAGATAAAGGTAAAGGTAAAGGGACCCCTGACCATTAGGTCCTGTCGTGGCCGACTCTGGGGTTGCGGCGCTCATCTCGCTTTATTGGCCGAGGGAGCTGGGGTACAGCTTCCAGGTCATGTGGCCAGCAGGACTAAGCTGCTTCTGGTGAACCAGAGCAGCGCACGGAAACACCGTTTACCTTCCTTGCACTGGTGTGCTTTCGAACTGCTAGGTTGGCAGGAGCAGGGACCGAGCAACTGGGAATTCGAACCGCCGACCTTCTGATTGGCAAGCCCTAGGCTCTGTGGTTTAACCCACAGCGCCACCCGCATCCCAGATAACTGGATAGAGCAGGCTTTATAAAATCTAAACGAATACATTTCTGCCTTGAGTTCCCATTCTTTGCTTAAGTTCTTGACTGCATTTTGAAAGGTAGCTGCCAGCATTATGAACTGGGATAAAAATAAATGAATAATAAGCTGGGATGAACATGCAACAAATACATGATAAAAATTTTGATTCTCATGTTTTTCAGGAACTCCTTCAGCAAAGCGGCATGCATCCCTGTGTTTATGTATCTATATATATCTGTATCTCCATAGATATACAGAGAGCACTTAGCAAACAGTGCAATGAATTTCATGCAGGCGGTTGGCTCATGTGATGGTGCTTGGCCAGGCCAGCTGAAGAGAGTCTGCTCATGTTGGGGGGAGACCTCCAAGTGCCACCCCACGTCTTATACTTCATCTTGTCCAAGTACTTTCTGGATCATCAGGGATTCTGGGGGAATTTTCAAAAGCTGGCTTTTGTTCCCCTTCTTTCACTTCTCTCACAGTTTTCCTATGCAAATGAAAGTGAAACTCTTTAAAGCAAGTTCCCTCAAACAGTGTTTCTGTGTCACTGCATTTCAATGAACCACTGTGCTCAGTGATGGGAGAAGGGAGAGCATCCCGTGTGGTTTTGTTTTGTAGAACAACCTGAAGCATCTCAGAACCATCAGATGGCAATAAGACTGACTTACCACACTGGACATTTCTGTCCCCTTTTTTGGTTCAGTTCAGTATGTATATTTGGATTAAGAAAGAAATCCTATTACGGCTGGATCCCATATATAATTTATCCCCATTCCCAAAGCCTGCAATATGCATCCACCTTTATGAAGGTTTAAAATATCAAATTATTATGTTTTGTGAAAATTAAAATATATTTTTGCCTTTGAGAGATTTGTCGAAGTTCCTTTGTGTGTGTGGGTGTGGGGCGGTTGCTAATATCCCTTGGACAAAGGAAATCATATGGACATATAAAGTTAGTCCCTCTAACCAACTTTATTGGTCTTCAGTTAGTGGGTCGGGACCTACCACTGGATTACAGTCTGACCTAAGGTGGGTCACAACAACACTGTACAAATATAGGATAAAGAGAAGTGGATCCTCAAGTATATTTTTGGAATGTACCTCTCCCTACTTTTTCTTTAAGAAATATTGTCTTTGATGCCTCTTCTCATTTGGGTTCTCAGCTTCCACACATGGGCACACACTGAAAAACAGTGTTTGTTGACAAATCATGTCTTACGTTAGCTTGTTCAGGCTGTCTTAACAAATGGGTAGATCCACACCTTCCATGCAGAGCACATTCAAAGCCCATGACTTGCCCCATAGAATCCTGGGAACTGTAATTTCCCCTTCACCAGGCAACAGTTCCCAGCAGCCTTAAGAGAACTACAGGATCCTTTAGGGAAAGTCATGTGGTTTAAATGTGTGTTGAATGTGCATGTGACTATAACTGTGGAAATCTGATTTTACAGTGGAGAGTTGTTTCTTTTTACCGCTCACAACCTTATTTGAAGCTCCTGTGCACAATTTCTTAAATATATATATTGGTGTCTCCCCTCCTTTCTTCCCAAACACAGTTTAGCTTTTTACATCTCTTGACTAGTGGATAAGCAGCACTGTTTCTGCTGGGGCTTAGCAAAGAGCTTGGAACAAGAGGAGCATTTGAAATCCAGAAAGAGAAGTTTCTAACTGTAGACCAGCAGGGAAAACACCTGATAAAAATCTGTGCCAACCAACCTTGCCAATAAATCTTGACTTTAGGATGGCCAGCTACTTCCTTTCCAACCTGGGCCTCTCTGAATGATCATGTTATTGCACAATGCAAATGCAGCTGTTACTCAATTGACCAAAGGATATGGGGCAGGAGAGGGGGGCGTTTCTGTTGTAGGGACGTCTCATGTTTCTTAACTCTTTAACTATAATATTTTCTTTAGGAAATGTAATATCTGCTTGCAACTACAGAGCCACTTGCAATCTGAAGGGCAGGGTAGAATGTGGGTGCCAAGTGTCATTTTGATGAGTTTCAGTGATACCACCAGTGCACTATTTCAAAATTTTGATGCACATGGTCACAGATTATGCGAATTGTAGCCCAAAACATCTGGAGGACAGCATGTTAGCTGCTCCTGTGCTATATTTCAGCTCAGTATTCCCGCTGCTTTTTCCTTAAATTCACCAAAAAGTTCACTATGTGTGTAAGTGTTTGTTTAGACTTTGGGCTCCAGACAACCTCTTTATTCAGCATTCAACCTGATTTGCTTGCACAATGCTTATGTGGTGGTTAGACTCTATCTAGTCTTTATTGAGAACTGATTTTGATTTGTTTCGCAGGACAGTTATTCATCCAGCATCCATCCAGATCTGCAGGGTGTGTTCACATCTCTCTGTTAATCATTAGTTTATCTCACACATTTCACCTTCACTTGCATTTTTTTAAAAGCAAATTTGCTGAGCTAGGACAAGAGTGCTTTAATTATGCCAGCCTAAAAGTTTGACATGCACTTGAATTCTTCCTGCAAAGTACCAACATCCTGGAGACACCCATACATAGTGATAGACCTCTATGTACATCTTGTTTCTTCTCTGTGTGTCACATAGGGACATAGCCTATGTGTGTCACATAGCCTAGATATCTTTAGCAGCCACAAAGAATACTCCACAACTTGATCCCAAAGTCCCTTAAGTTAAGCCCAGAGAAGCTGAGCTGTGGTAGTCCTAAAGCTAAGGGCCTCATTTGTAATCCCCTTTGCCAAAGGCAGCACACTTCCAGCCCTGACCATCTGCTGACAATACAGCACTGCTGCTATTAGTAGAAGAGAAATCTGTATAACAATGGATGTAAACAACCCTTTTAGCCAGATGGGTTTTTTTGTCTAATCTATATTTAGATGCTCAATAATATCGTGACACCAGTGGACAAATTTATTTGTTATTTGCTCAATTTATTTAGCTGGAGTTCATCAAAATATCCCAGGGTGGCATACATAATAAATACAAGAATAAATACAATGAAATCATAATAGCCAGATCTCTCAGCTAAATATATCACAATATCTGATGCTACAATACATCAAACATTCACAGATCCTTGGGTAATGAGATGTGTCTTCAGGCGCTGTCTAAAACTGAGAACTAAGGAGACCAATCAGATGTCCTGGGGGTGGGCATTCCAAAGATGGGATGCCACCACCCAGAACACCCTGCAGTGCATCAGCCTGTGGTGAACTCCATGTATTGCTGGGGCTGCTGCAGCCTCCCACCCTGGCAGATCTTAAGGCTTGGGTTGGTAGATATCAGGACAGGCACTCCTTCAACTATCTGAGATCCAAGAACCTTAAACTGGGCCCAGTAAGCTATTTGTGCCAGTGTAGTGTGCGCAGGGTCAGTGCTACATGACTTCAAATAGCATACCACTCAACACCCTGACAGCTGCATTCTGCAGCAGCTGCAATTTCTGGAGCATCTTCAAGGTCAGTCCCATTTGGAGCACAGGACAATAAACTAATTAGTAAAGCATGAAGCACCATGACAAGGCTATCCTGATCCAGGAATGCTGTTGCTTGTATCTCACTGGGAGTTGAAAAGAGGGCCTCTATGAAAGAGATGAATCCAGAAGCACTCCCAAGCTGCTTACCTGCTCTTTCATGGGGAGTGCACCCAGGACATCTTCCCTGTTCCTGGACATGAGAACCATCCATGCCTCTGTCATGTTGATGTCCCTTTGCTGACTCTCATCTAGCCCCTTTCTGCCTCTGGGCACTGGCCCAGCACCTGAGGAACCCCACCTGATTCCGATGACATGGAGAGATAGAGTTAGATGCTGGTGATGCTGCACCCCAGGTCCTCAGATGACTTCTCCCAGTGGCTTCAAGTAGCTGTTAAGCAGTATTGGGGTGGCAAGAGGTTGAACAATGGCTGAGCAGAAGTCCTCCACTGCCACTCTCTGGAAATATCCCTGCAGGTAGGAGGGGAACCATTTCCCACTCCTGCTGATCTACTTGGGAGGATACCATGGTTGATGGTATCAAAGGCTGTCGAGAGATCAATGAATAACAACATTGTACTCTTCCTGTCTCTCTCAATACAAGTAATAAGGGTGATCAGGGCAACCAGGGCTGTTTAAGTCCTGAAACAAGGCCTAAAGCCAGCTTGAAATGAGTCCTCTGTGGTGCCATAGTAACCTTGCTTCTGGTATGAATCTAGGCCTCTGTTTTCCTCCTCATTCTTAGCTTCAGTGCTTATCAGCTATGGAAGAGTACAGTACATTGGGTAGAAGGCAGACATCACAATGTACTAGGCTGGCTAGTTGGCTTCCTATGCTTCCTGGAGCCAGCCACCTGACTTACTGCTACCACTAGCCCAATAGTTCTCTCCTCTGAGCAGTCCTCGCCTCCCTTGCAATCATGCCAGATGCTAGCAACTGGAGTAGTGTATTAGGCAGGTGTGTGTGTCTCTCAGTGTGTGCAAATGGTTTTATGAGAGAGGGTGTTTGTCTGTTGGTATGAAAGGGTTTGTGTGTGCGTACAGCAAGTAAATATTTTTCAGGGGCTTAATTCCTTGAAGTTATGCCGTGTTGTGATGACCTGTATTCTGTGGTTAAATTGGCTCACTTTTGCTTTTCATTGGTTTTGAAATCTCTGCAATAGGTTCACTGTCCTTTGCACACAAGAAATGCTTCGCCTAAGTGTTTCTCATGTGTAAAACGAGTAAATATTATTTTTAAGAAATTAAATATTTAGATTACGTTCTAGGCAACCATTTTGTAAATAGTTTGCGATAATGTCTTCTAAATGCTTGATTCCTTAGTACTATGCTGCAAATGTGTGTGTAACACATTTGACTGCAATCCTATAAACACCAGGGAGTAAGGTCCGCTCAACTTGATGGGACTTACTTCTGAGTAGACATGCATAGGCTTGTGCTGTTGATGTATAATCTGCAGGTCAGTTTCATTTGGTTGAATTGTGCTCTTTTAGTCCATGGTGGCGAGAGGACTTATAAGCATAGTCTTCAGCTTTACACCTTAGATGAACAGGTTATTTTCAGTGGAGTTTCCTTTACTACGGGGCTTTCCTCCTGGACGCATAGATTCTACTGTCTCTTGACACTGCTGGGCTAAAACTCTGTGTCTTAGAAGCTTTTGATTAAAGTAATAAATAAACGTGTTTCGTCTTGCATTGGCTTACAAAGACAATTAATTATTCCTTCTCTCTTTTTCTTGTAAGCAAACAAGCAAGAATTAACAAGCAAAGCTGTTCATATAAAATATAATTTTAACACAGGATTATCCTCCTGGGAACCACAGTGTGGAATTTTTCAGGCTTTTTATCTTTGAAGAAGACTCTCTGCATTCTTGCTTGCCTTGCTGCACACCCACTTTCCTTTGTAGAAGATGCTGGGACGTGTTCTCAGGTGCACAGTTAGCACAGGTCAGGCCTGGGAGACTTCATCATTGCTCACATCAGAAATGGGGAAGCTGTGGACCTTCAGGTGCTGTTGCATTTCAACTCCAGTCAGACCCAGCCAGCATGACCAGTAGTCACAGAAGATGGAAGTTGTAGTCCAACAACTTCTGTAGGCCCACAGGTTCCATATTCCAGCCCCTTGTGAATTGAGATTGCTCCAGCTGCAGCTTGCAGGGGAAGATTAGTAGCCTAGTGATAGGCAAGCTGTCTTTTAGCCAAGCTTGTCTACCAGTCATGTTTATCAGTCATGAATCTTTGCTAAGCTTCTGAGGAACACTGGAGTTCCCTGGAGCATGGTTTTATAAGTACTGGGTTAGTAGGTCAAAATAATGCCGCGTCATTATTGGAATCATTGTTGTCCCATAAAATGTCACTGGGAAACAGGAGAATTCTAAGTTTGAGTGCTAGATGGCTGCCTTTAGTTCACTCAGGAATAGATGAGCAACCAGCCAGATACACTTAAAAACCACATGAGAAGAGAAGGAAGGGAACTGTTCCTGTCTCTGCCCCCCCATCCTGACCTTCACTCATCCTTGACCTGCCTGAAATTAGAGCAGGGAAAGAAATATCTGTGGAATAGCTATAACAACCCTTTTTTGTGCCTCAGCCTAGCTACTCCTAGAACAGGGAAGGAGTGGCTTCAATATGTGGCATGTTCTCCATCTCTCCCTCTCTCTGTTTAACTAAAATCTGTACAGTCCACCAACACATCCACTTTAAAAAAACAAGAATGAACACTCAGGATCTCTTGACAGTTAATCAGTAGCTAATGTATGTGAAGTTATCCTGAGTTTGCACCCTTACGTAAGAATATTGAGAGCTGAGGCCCACACAGTCACCCAGCATTATTTGAAAGAAGCCCAGAAGCCCATAGAAAGTAGGTGACCCACTGGAATTTGGCCAGTGGTCCACTACTAAGTTGACCGTGGCCTGCTTTTGACCTTCCCCTGCTGTAGAACAAAGGAGGCAAACTGTGATGTAGTCGCTGACTGGTGGAAGATACATTTATTGATCCTAGACAGCATCCCAGAATGCCTGAGTTTTAACTGCAGTGCAGCTAGGATACCCTGACTTAACATGGAATTAGAAAGACAAAGGGAATTCTGGGATGAAGAAGGAGGGTGTCTGGGTATTAAATCATAGTTTTCATCTCGTAAACTGAATCATGTCTATTGTTTCTTAGGCTCTCAGTGCATCAAGACACAACATGCGGATCTTGAGCTCAGCTCCCAGAAAGTTAAAGAAAATTAGTAAAAATAGCATTGAAACAAATTCCTATCATGCACATACACTTGGACGGGTCCATTCATCACTTTCCCCCAGCTACATATGCGATCTAACTGGAGAGAAGCTAGAGAGAATTTGCAACACCTAGTCTGCTGCAGGAAATATTGGAAATCTTTCAAGACAGGCATTGAAAGCTGCTGCCGAATTCACTTTTATTGCTCCACTTGTAAGGCAAATGAAACTCCAGCCTAAAGTTTCCCTAATAATGAATTCTTGGAGTGTTACATTGCCTATTTAATTGATCTGATTTCCTCTATTATTTTCTCCATTTAGTATTTCCCTCTCCTGTTTTTCCTTTCTGCGTTCTCCAAGCCTGTTTATATAAAATGTAAATTACTTTTTCAGTTTGGGGGTGGGGTTTAAGGCAGAAGGAAACAGCAGCAAACGTTGCCAATTCAAAGCTATTTCCCTTCCATTGAGCGGTATGGTATCTCCCGTACAAAATGCAGTTGTGATTTGCAGATGGTTTGCTTTATATTATCTTCTGAGCCTGCGGGGATCACATGTTTGTTGTCTCCTGGAGAACATATGAGAAGCATTTTCACCAGTACAAAGTGTCTACACATACCACTTACATAATCAACAGCTGCAGTGATATATTGCAGGAAAGCGAGACCCGAGCCATATGCTTTAATGTGAGACTGAATTCACAGTTTGCCTACCTAACTGGGCCCCCTCTTCCACACTACTGAAATGGTTTCTGTTGGGCGTGCACAAATAGAGAATAGAAGCAAATTCTGTGGCAGCCATATGTTTCAGGACTCTAACTATAGATCTCTTAAATAGTAAACTGTGGGAAAATATAATTGTGGAGAGACATGCACCAAATCCATGTCATAAAGGAATAAGCAAAACAGCCTCCCCCCCTTTTTTTTGCAGAATGGAGTGGTTTTGGTTTTCATACTAATAATAGTGATAAAATAATAAATGCTACTAGTATGACTAGTATAAGGACAGTTTCAGCCCAATATGTATCTGATGAAGTGTTCTGCAGTCCACAAAAGCTTATGTCAACCAGTTTAGTCTTTAAGTGCCACAAGACTCTGCTGTCCTATGCAATGATATCTCACAATTCAGGCAACTTTCTCTGCATCAACCAAAAAAGCTCTTGCATATTCTAGAATGATCTGGGTCATGTCCAAGAGTGAACTCAGTTCACCTGGGCCACTGTTGGGCCTCACTACTGTCCACTGTTAACTGAGAATGTATGATAGAATACATCTAGCATTCTCTTACAACTGTGCACGCCACTGGAAAATTAGTAGTTATGTACACAAATTTATTTTGTCCTTCATTAGTTATCTTCTCATTGAGGAACTCAAGATTCCCCAGAAACACTCTGAAAACCACTTGGTATGTAACATTTAACTGTATTTGATGGCAAACAGTAGCTTTTAATATTGAACAATATTTGGTAGTTATGATGCAATGGTATTAATCTGACATCATTTCATTAACATGTAATTATATGTAGTATCTGACAACTTGTTAGATTTCATATGCAAACCCTGCAAAGATCAAGACAATTGAGAGATGGCAACATGTCCAAAGTATTCAAATTTAAATTTTCCAATAATAATAATAATAAATCCTCTCTGAGAATGCAAAATTGAAAGCTATATTCAAAATATCTAATTCAAGAGCTGTAGAACATCTTGTCAGATATCTGACAATATTAATCTCTGTTTGAAGGTGAAAAATCATCTCATTTAAGTAGCACATAGGCAAACCTCTTCACAACGGTATGTTTATTAAAAACATTTCCCACTGAAAACACTGGTAATCAATATATGGTACAATTGGTCATACTGGTTGTACAGGGAGAGTTGTTTTATAATTTAAGGATTCGAGAAATAAAGAAAACATTCTTAAAGTATCTCAACCTATATATAAAAATAAGAAGCCAGGGTCCACAGCAAATTCCCACCAATATAAAAATGTTAGGGGTGGCTCTGATGTGGCAAAGATCGTGTCATCGTTTCCTCCTTCCCCCAAAGGCCCCGTCTCTATTTCTCATCAAACGATGTGACATAAAAGTTCCTCCCTCCCTCCAATGAAGGAATAAGGCAGGGGTGGGAGACCAGCAAAACGCCAGCGTAGTGAGTGATCCGTGAGAAAGTTTTTTTAAAAGAAAGGAAGGAGAAGTGAAAGAAAAGAGAGCGAAAGCAGATGCAGAGGGAACAACTGTGAAGTCAGCTCAAAGTGAACAGAAGGGTTTAGGGAAATAATCTTCTGTGAAGGACCTCTCTTCTCCAACGCAGGCACTGAAAAGGAGAATAGCTTCCAGTCTCAGAAGCAGGCAGCTTTCCAATCACTCAGTCACCTCTTCTTCAGAATCCGACCCTAAGTCATGGCCTACCAGATGAACCTGCTGATCCCACATCTGCTGTCCAGAGGCAGAAGAGAAAAGGGTTCCCACACTTTTAACGGTTCCGCAGAGGAGAATTTTGGCAGATGTACCTTGTCATCATGCAGGGGGCAAGAATAAAGCTACGTCACCTGCTAGGTTTCTAATACATTTTTATTCTGTCTTTCTAAGGAGCTCTAGGTGGCACACTTGCTTCCTCCCCACCTTTCTAATCTTAAGAATTTTTTTAGGCTGAGTGACACCAAATGGCCCAACCTTAGCTAGAAAGCATTTGAACCCGACTCTCCTCAGTCACAATCCTAGGGTTGTAGACACCTAACTTTTACTCGGAAGAAACCCATTGAAATTAAGTTCAATATGGTCATTAATCTCAATGGGCCTACTCTGAGAAAAAGTCACTTGAATACAATCCCTACATCACACTAGCTCTCAGAGTAGAATCAATTCCATCTTCTGTGCAACAAGACTATGGGAGTCTTGGCCGCCTCTAATAACCTTCTGCCAATTAGACTGAGAAATTGGCATAGCCTATTCAACAGCCACAGTCTTCCCCCATCCTTCAAGCTGCTTCGACTTCCATTCCCATTATTAGAAGCACAGGAATGTGTGGCTGGCTACTTGGAATGGAGCTGAAGGTCTAGCCCTGTGTGTGTGTGTGTGTGTGTGTGTGTGTGTGTGTGTGTAGCATGGTTATTAATTCAGAAAAACAAGTTTAAGGGTGGGAGTTCACAAGAACATTTACTATGGAAGTGAGGACAGCGTTACAATGAAAATGTGCCAGTCATGTACACTGGATCCCAGCCTATGTTTAGTCTGCTCTCTGACCACAAGCTCTATATTAGTCAAATGATCTGGGCCATAAACGTCATGGTATATATACAGTCTATACAAAGAAGAGAACGTTACGTACTCTTCTGTAGCACCAGGTTTTGTGTGTATGTTTGGACTCCTGCAGTCTAGATGCTGTGAATACTGTTATAGAATGGAACAAGATTTTTTAAAACGAAGGAAAAAGAAGAAGAGAAGCACATGCATCTGGCACTTGGAAGGCAAAAATGATGGGATATTTGTAGACTAGCTTAATGCCTACCTTTGAGACCCTCTTCCAAATAACAGGTTCGTTAAAGAAAGAAACAAACAACCTTCTCATTAGTTCCAAAAAGGTAATATACATGGCAACATACACATGAAAAACTTAAAAAAGCGATTAGCCAAGTAACAAACACTCTGTATTGCAAAAGAAGTAAAAGAGAAAAGGATTTTGAGAATCCCTGATTTGCACAGATCCCATTTTTGTACTCAGTCATTACCATCACAGCCAATGGTGATACAGGAGAATGTAGCTACTGAAATGCAATGAAATTGCCATAGGGCTCCTCTAGAAAACCAGTTTATTGAGTTTGCTTGCACAAAGCTTATGCAGAGGTTAGATTATAACTGGCTTTTATTGAGTATTCATTCTGTTTTATTTGCAGGGCAGTTATACAACAATGAGTATCAGTCCTGCATTCATCCTGATCATGATATTTATACATCTTCCCGTTAGTCATTTGTTTGTCCCTCACTTTTCAATACATTTCTGTCAGTTTCCAAACTGCAAAGGGCCTGATTCTTTAAAAAAAAATGGATTTGATGTGAAGTGGTCCTTTAAACCACTTTAACTGCACAAATCTAGAGTGCTTGAATTCCTCTCACAGAATAGTGAATCAACCTGAGTACAGAGAGACTAATATTTCAACAGAATAATGGATAGCATGGAGAGTTGAATTGCAATTCAGAGTGGTTTGCTACATAATAACTTACTGGCGTGATTCACATGAACCACTGAACCACTGTTTCATATGACACACATGAGTCATATGAGTCTTCTCTTTCCTCCTCTGGCATGCTACAAGGAGGAGATGGGAAGCATCCCCCTCCATTTTAAATTAACCGTGGTTTGTTTTTATGTCCCAACCAGGAACTGTGGTTAGCATTCCTATCGTTCATTGAAATAAGCCAGGATCAATAACCATGGTTTAAAGTTGAGTTCTTTCAGTAAACCATAGCAAACCCTAACCACAGTTTGTCAGGGATTGCATATAATGACAATCAGCAGTTGGCTGAAAATGAAAGCACATGCTTATGATCTCCTTGCAGAGATCATGATCTCTGGAGAAGAGGGAAGACTCCATGAGCTGATGTTGCCATGTGCAAACATACTTAATTTTGTAAGGTTTATAATAATGACGTCCCATTTCAAATGGGAAATATTATTACTTTGGCCTTTCGCTAAGATAAATGTCTTTTTGATTTGTTGCCCTGTTAATTGAATGCAAAAGTTTTACTGTTTGAGGCTAATGTTAATTTTGAAGCTGTTCAGTGAAATAAAGGAATTGTGAATATTGACGTTATCTTCATGATTAGGAGGATGGTGAGATGGTTAGCTCTTAAGAATCATTTTGAAGGGGTCAGAGTTCTTTTAAAGAGCATCATAAGCAGAGTCACATAAGGTTGCCTAGAGTAAACCAAAGTTGTCCACTGATCAGTTCCTTTGTACCAAAACCAACCAAGCTACTGAAAACCCCCATGCTTGTTGAAGCCTTCTTTCTTCTTCTTCACAGATGTTCACAGCTGGCCTCACAGCCGTAGTTCGCACATGGCAGTCATTCCATGTTTTCCCATTCAAGGCAAAAGGCTGTCTCCCAATTCCAGCTGCGAGGTAGTCATTAGGTTTCAAATACCTCCAGAATAACAGTTACACATTTGTCTCCAGTTCATTGATTTCAATAGTGCAGTGGTCCTTACTGCTAGATTTCTCTGTATGAGTTTCTGTCGGGTTTTCTTCTTGCTCCACTTGAACAGGTATTTGATGCTGGAATGTCTTTGATGGTTCAGGTCCATGAGGCTCATTCATGTTCTTCACACAGCCATTTCTCTGGTAAGCCATGATCTGGTGGATACTGATGGGTTTTGTTTCACAGATCAAAGGCACCTATGAATGGAACAGGGAGATTCCCATTACTATTTTAGAGATGGTAAACTATTGCATGTGGTATCGTTAACATGTATGGAAACTTGGGACCTTCAAAAGCTGGAGAGGAATTAAACCACACTCACTTTTGTGTGCTGTGAATTATGGTATATATTTATGGTCACAAGGGACACAGCTGTCAAAAGCCAATAGGGCATTGCCGTGTTTCAAAATGGCAGGACTTACAATCCCTACAATCCAGATTGGAGCTACAAATTCAGAAATCTAGGACCCTTCTGGAATTGTACCAGTTCAGATTAGGGGGGTGGTGCATGTGCGGGTGTTCCCTACACTAAAACAACAATAACTTCCTGCACATTGAAAGGCACACTATAAAGCAGGCTAGTCTAGAACTCTTCTTCCTGACATATAGTTATCCAAAAGCATAGCATTTTGAAGTAAGGGGAATCATTTCAACACATGGGGGAGGGTCATATTTCAGTGGTTAAGCATCTGCTTTGCATGCAGAATATCCCAGGTTCAATTCCACGTTGAGTGATTCCCATCTGAAACCCTGGAGAGCCATGGCTAGTCATTGTAGACAGTGCTAAGCTAGATGCACCAAATGTCTGACTCAAGACAGTAAACCTGCAGCTTACGGGGGGTTATGTTCCAGGGATTGCACCTAAAGCCAAAATCACATATGGTCAAAGCACATTGGGGTCAATGGCACGTGGGACTGCCAAAGTCTTTCCCCCTGGAACCCTGCCCCCCCTTGGCCCCTTTTATTTATGTTTCGCCATGTGTGTAAAGCTGACTGCGCATAAGTTAAATGCACGTAAATTGCAGGCTTATGGTGTAACACAGCTTCCTGTATTTGCGCCATCCTCATCTGCAGTCTGAAGTGCTATAGTGCAAGAAAGGCTGTTACACAAAAATAGGGGCAGTCTGGAAGCATCCCATGAATGCCCCAAAAAGTAAAAGGATATCACCCCCAAAAACATTTTTGTGCCTTCCATTTTTATTATTGTTTTGGTCTGAAGTGCAACACTATAACTCCATGGTTAAAATTTCTCCCACCTCAGACCCATCCTTGGTGAATTCTTTTCTGCAGATGTGAGCCATGATTCCAGCAGCCAGAGCATCTCCCAGCACGTTGATCATTGTCCGGAATCTGTCTCTGTCAAAACACAGTGGGGGCATTAAGGACGCCATTTCCTTTTGTTATGCAAATGCTCACAGATTTAGACTTCTCTCTGTTATACTCCCATGCAAAATAAAAGTCCATGAATATAATCTGATATCATGCTAAAACAACCAGATATGAATAGGAAATAAAGGCACCTACTGAGTGTAAATTCATATATCACCATATTAGACCAAATGGGCCAAATATGGAAGCACCTTGAACTGATCTTATGATAGATTCATTCCAATTTGCTTGCAGGGAGGTGAGACAACAGTGGGTCAAAGCAAGTGTTATCCTACACATTCCAGTGCATACCCTCATCACTTTCCTTATTGCAAAAAGCCTAATATTTGGGGGATGTGGGTTTCTTGCACAAGACCTTCCAATCAACCAGAATTTTCTGGTATGTGTGTTAAAACCATTCAAAAATAGGGGCAGTCTGGAAGCATCCCATGAATGCCAAAAAAAGTAAAAGGATATCACCCCAAAAAACCATTTTTGTGCCTTCCAAACCTGTGATTCTATGCCATGACTGTCTGTTCTTCTGCACCTGCATTTTGTATTTAATTCCCCCATGTATTTTTTTTTTCAAGGATCAAAAAAGTCAATTCAGTGGGGCAAAAACTCATATATTTTGTTTGCTCTCCTCTTTGTCATTCTAAATATTGGCATGCATGGTAGAATGCAAAAGCAAGAAACATGGAGCAAAATAGCATTTGGGTGGTAGATGAGTGTCTAAATTCACTCCGGATTTCCCTAAATCAACCTCCTTCCCCCAGCTGACATTGCACTTCTGGTCTCTGGATTCTATTTCAATGGCACCAGAAATCTCTTGAGTGGGTTGATCTGGAATTAATTCTGTAAAGTGTGGAATTCCGTGCAGCAGCTTTAAAGAGTTTGTAAAGAAACCTCTATCAGTCCTGAAATATTAAGGACCTTTTGTGAATAATGAAGGAAGCAATATTGAGCCAAGGATATAAAAATAAAACTGGAATGTGTTTTAAAGACAAAAACAGGAGAACAAGGAAGGAAAGTGTACTTTGTATGGTGTGTTTGTGTGTTTTTTTAGAAGACATAAGCAGGAGGAGCCATTAAGCACGTCCAGATGGAGAGTAGAACACATTCTGATTCCACAAAAATGCACTTGGACATTTTCAGGGGCCAGGAGTGTGTTGGTTGAGCTAAGACAGGGATGAGGAAATGTTGCCTCTAATTTAATGTTTGTGGTGGTGGGGAGAGCTCAGAGAGGAGAAGGAAGGTGGGAGGCAGTGGTGGCTAGTGGCCTTTAGGACTGGTGGGGCGAAAAGCAAGGATGCCAACTGTATCAGTTATAACCAATGACAGGCAGAGACTACTAGTTCTTGGTTTGTCTCCTTGCTGAGTCCTACACAAGCAAAGCTGAGACTAAGGAGGAGGAAGCTGACAGCCAGAGCCACCTGTTGGATTGATGGTAAGAAGGAAGCAGCGGTTGGGCAGCTGGCTGATGGCAAACCGAGGTTGGCGGAGCAGTGCTCCATTTGACCTAAAGGACCAGCTTCCACTGGTGAGAAGGGGAAAGTAGAAGGGCATCAGATGTAGACTGAGCAATGGAAAGAAAGCTCTTTGCAAGTGATCAGTTCAGTTCCTCGAGTTGCTAAAGGAATGAAGTGGGAGAAGATATAGTATGATCAGCACTGCAGTTTACATGACTCTCCATTACTAGCATTTACTATTACTGCATGTATTAGCTCTTGGTAACATTTTTGTTTTAAAATGATATATTTCCCACTTTATTTTCTTTGCACGTAGGTTGTTTTGTAGTCATAAGGTAAAACCCATTTCATTTTCACAGAGCAAAAACTGAAAGGGAAACATTTGTAAAATGCAGCTTTTAAGCTGCTTTGAACATGCAAAATTGAGGTGAAAGGGCAGGTGTATTAGCTGGAACTACTCTTAGTACATTATTTGAAGCCGAGTCAAATTCATCTTGGCAGAGCTGCATTCAATCTGAAACACATCATGTGATTTCCTTATTTTTCCAATGCAAACAAGCACATCTGAAAACTCAATCACATTGGTTAATATATTGATGTGGGTCATAAAGCTGAAATCCAGGAACATCCAGATGTTTGGCTTAAAAAAGCAAAGGGTGGTCCAAGATCAGCATTGTCCAGGTTTTCTTTTCTTTCTTTCTTTCTTTCTTTCTTTCTTTCTTTCTTTCTTTCTTTCTTTCATCTTAATGGAGGTTAGGTTGAACCAGAAAGGTTTTCATATGTTGTTAAGTAGAGATGTGTATGTGGGTGAAAACATGGATCTGCCACTGCAATGTTTAGATCTGCCCACAGTCACAGCCTGTCCCACTGTCAAAGCTGTAAGCCAAAAAAGATGTAAAGGCAGCCCTCAGCAAAGTGCTCCCCTCCCACATCCATGAGCCCTAGTGGCAGTGAACAGCAGCATTGCTAGCTGCCATTTTAGTTTCCCATAAAGCCACGGTTCTATGCCAGAGGCATTTCACTTTTTAAATTTGGCTCTTTTTCCTGTCACCGTGAGGCAACAGAAAAAGACAGCAATTTCTACAATTGCATAATTACAGCTGAAAATGAAGAACGGCTTTATGTTGTAAACTGCCCTGTGATCTTTGGATGAAGGGTGTTATAGAAATTTATTATTATTATTATTAACAACAACAACAACAACAGGGGACATACTCAGAGTGCATTCCCATGTCTCCCTTTGCAGCTGTAGCTTGAATTCAAGCAGACGCTTCAAGTAAGAATAGTTGTGATATGAATTCTTCTTTTAATTCAAGACAAGGTCACAAACAAAGAAATGAAGAATCAAGAGTGTACTATTCTTCCTTTGCAGGCCACAGGTTCAGTTTAATCATCTGATGTCATGTGATTGACAGGTAAGCAGCCCCACCCACCCGTCAAAGTGACCTACAGAAGGTGGCAGAGTTTTGGATCAGCCCACCATCCAGATCCAACTCCTTCCCTCTCCCCATCATAAAATCTATGATCTATTGGACCTAATTTTCAAATTCACAATCAGTATGTCTCATCAAAGGATGATTGCCATGTCTTGCTTATGGGCATCCTATGGGCATCTAGTTGGCCACTGCTGGCAATAGTGTCCTGTACTACAGATCTTTGGTTTGATTCAGTCAAGCAATTCTGTGACTTTCATGACATGACCACCGTCTATTGCACCTTTCAGCTCACAGTGTGCTGTAGGTTGCTATGAATGCAGCTGTTCAATAGTCACACATTCAGTTTGGTTTGAAGATGAGAGAAAAGTCTAAAAAAACCACACCACTCAGTTACTTACAAGGCCCAGTCGACTGCAATGATTAGAGTGATATCATCTGTAGGAAGCCCCACTGATGTAAGAACGATAACCATAGTCACAAGGCCAGCTTGCGGGATTCCAGCTGCACCAATGCTGGCAGCAGTTGCTGTGATACTTTTATGAAAAAGAAACAGAGAGAGAGAGAGAGAGAGAGAGAGAGAGAGAGAGAGAGAAGGATATTAATGATCTAACATGAAAGAACACATATTTGGAACCAACAGAGAGTTTTCCTCCATGCTTATATTTGATCCACACCTATAAATGACTCTCATATGCTTCAATCTGAACTGAGCTGGAACAGAAGTCCATTGAATAGGCTGGATGGGGTTTTTTTTTATGTGAATGGTGATGCACATCACTATCTGGGGCCCACCAGAGCTATTTCATGCAACAGGCTTCACACTAGTAGAGCTGGATTGGGGCCCTCCTTCACAAGAAATAGTTGATGGGGAAATTTTGTGCCACTGTCCCGCCACACGAAGCTGCCAAACTGGACTTGATATTGTGTGAATACAATTAATGTGCCAGCCATGTCGCTGCCAGTTCATTTCCAGGCCTAATTCAAGGTGTTCACATTAGTGTTTAAAGCTCTAAATTACTTAGGCCCCAAATATTTGAAAGACTGACTCCTTCTGTACAGCCGCCAATAATTCTCTCAAGCAACACTGTTAAAGTCAGTGGGACAACATCAGCAGAAGGTTTCTGCAGAGTATGAATCCAGTTCCTTGTTTTCAATACACCTTACACACCTTATTACACATTAGTGCAACTTGTGACCCATCAAGCTCAAATGCAACCAACCAACCAACCAACCAACCAGCCAAGCAACCATGTATTGTGCCATACTAATACTTGGCTGCTGCCAGACATGACCCACATTTGTCTGGCTGGGTTGCACACTGGGCAGTATGACATTTAGCATAGAACAAAGCAATTAATTGCAATAAAATTAATGGCAGGAATCCCCCTGCTCTTAACAATAATCCCAGTGAGCACAAGAACCAAAATGGCAAATCACAGCTACATAAAAACACAGTCTAACATGAAGCTGATTACTTTGGTTCAGTCTGAACAAAATTATGAAGGATCTAGAAATGACACAGTCATGGATTTAAATATTCAGTAGTGAGTTGTTTTGTTTTTGGTCTGATAATTCATTTACCACTACTTTACTGGAAACCTGTCTGTTTTACCTCCATCCCAAACACCAGACATCCTGTGTTTAAATTACACACTCCACAGTTTGGACTCTTAGCCATTAAAACTTGTGAAATTTACAGCACTTAACTATGAAGCTAGGCTTCACCAGGTCCGCCCTTTAGCATCCCAGGATTCAGCCCTGGCACATGCAAAGTAATAAGAAAATCATAGTATGTCTTGGAGCATGAAGAGCGTCTTTCTCTAACCACTGTGTGACCACAAGCAGCCACACACTTCTGGAATTATGAGAAAGAGCTTCCAGATCAGATGTTTTAGCTCACAGGCTCATTTGATCCTTGAGCTTTTTTCAATTTAGAAATTCACAACTGGGAATCTGCTTAGAAGACAAATGTAAGCTGGGCCTAGTTTACAAGGATCAGAGCTCAAAGCACACAGAGTCTTCTGGCAGGCAGGGTAACAGAACGGGGCAAATGAATGAAGCTATCTCCAAGTCTCTGAAGGTACATGCAGTTTCAGAGAATACCTATGGTGGTGATCAAAGGTTGTATATTTTCTTACTACATTTCTTTCTGGTCTGAAGTGCTATCCCTTGTATGTTAACTCAGAAGTAAGTCTCATTGTGTTCAGTGACGATTACTCCCAGGTAAATGTGCAGCTCAAGAATTTGACCCCATAAAAGCATCACAGTGCTAACAGAGAGGCTTACCATGGGGCATCCAATCCAAACTTTCACTTCCCATAAAGCACTGTGCCTTCCTAACCAATTCACAGAAATATACTCTACTTTTCCCCATATGTGATTATGAATGAGGATGCATGGATCATGTATCAGCAGTGTGCACAGTATGCAGATTTGCAGGAAAGATCCGCAAGTCAAGCTTGCTAAATATGGGACCCCCTTTGTAAACTGGTTTTTTACCTTATGGTGATGATCTGCCCAAAGTCCAGCTCGTAATTGTTTACTTGAGCAATAAAAATAGCTGCTACTGCTTCATAAAGGGCGGTCCCATCCATATTGATTGTTGCCCCCACTGGGAGCACAAATCGGGCAATCCTCCTGTCCACATGGTTATTCTCTAACAAGCACTTGAAGGTTATAGGCAGAGTGGCTGAGCTGTGGAGAAAAAGAGAGTGTGAAGTCAGCAAAACTATAAGGTCTGAAGTAGGGGGGCTATCTCAAACCTGCAGGTGGCACTGCCAAGATGCATCCGTAAAAAACTATAGTCCTACTGGCAGGGTCAGTACTGACTGTAGCCATACCCAGGAGGATGAGCTGGCCAACAACAGATGGCAATAAAAGTTGGTGTTCTCTCTCCCCATTCCCAAAATTCAGCTGCGCTTCCTATCTACTGTCATTACCTCTCATTGCCTTTCATTCCAGTCATTTTGCATTTTTTGTGCAGTTCAGATAACTAGCTGAAGAAGCCTTGCTGCAGGTAGTCACTCTGGAATGCACCAGGGAGAACAAGTCTTTCAAGATTTCTTTTGCCATCATATGAGCTGTGATGACCTAATGCCAAATGAGAAGCCAGACTGAAATGGATATAGATAATCAGCTTCTGTGAGGTGCTTAAACATGAGCCTTAGTTCTTCTCTCATGTTACCGAAAAACACGGAGACGGAATTGAGTAGCAGCTTGTTGTCACACTTGCAGAAATAGGGGATCAGCCATTATGTGTTTTCTCTTTTCCAGGAGGCCTGGGTGCAACCCCAAACCTGCAAAGTGCCTGATATGACCTAACTCAAATGTCTCCCACACTCCATCTTGAGACTTAGCAGCTGCAGGCACAGATGGAATGATCAGCCATTACTGGTCTTTCCGCACCCCTTTTGTAGTCTTTTTATCTTCAAGCTGACAAAGAATTCTGAGGAACTCAAAATCTTGAGCACTATTTTTTGATGTTTTGCTTGCCCTAATAAAGATATCGCTCTAATAAACAAAAAACATAGGTCTGATTTTTTAAAAATAAGAAGAATGGGTGCGTATTATTTTGCACAAAATGTACTCAGGTCCAGCAGTCATCCATCTCAATATAATCAAAGCAAATGCTTCCATTATCACAACTACCTCTGCCCTTCTCATGGCTGTCTTTGGAACTCTACCAGGGCATCATCAGCACCACATAACAACCTCCCGCCCCCCCCCCATGCAAATAGGACTTTTATCTCCAACTGGGCATTGGGATGTTCTTATAAGAAGACTACATATGCTGGCCATTTGCATTGCTGCACTATTTCTCAAACTGCAGAAGACTGCTGGTATGAGACACCTGGTTTGACCCTGATCTCTCTATTTATAGTTTGGATTATGAAGTTAATCTGCAGAGCAGCTCTTGTGTTATGGGAATGTGGAGAAGTATTGCAGGGACTGGCCACAAAGTACAACATTGGGCTTCTTGCCAGGACCCTTCTTGAGCTTCTGTTTGTCTAGCGACACCACAAAGGATAATTTCTATGGGATGGGCAGAAGATTTCCAGATCAAACCTGGCTACATACCAAAGTGGCAAGAGGAAGCCCCCTGCAGATTAGTGTCCCCTATCCAAGTAATCCAGAAGGATTGCTATGAGTATTGAAGCCGCTGACAGATCCAGGAAAATTCTCTGAGCAAGGCAGGGAGGAGATGGTGGGGCCGGTGGAGAAAATGCCAGTGCTGTAGTCAGATGGATTGGACATGTCACTGTCTCAGTTTAGAATCCAGGGATTGGGAGACTTGGATTTGGGGACCCTGCAGCATGAGTGCAAGGTAAATAAGGAGTGCAAGGTAAAATTGCGCCAGTGTTTCATTCATTATATGGTACCTGGATGATGTGGCCAGAGCAATAAGCAAGGCTTGAAGAATCCCTCTGATGAAAACAATGGGGTTCTTCTTGGTGATGAAGAAGTATGTCATTGGCAGAATAAAAAGTCCATGTACCACCAGGCCACAAACCACAGTAATAGCGTAAAAGCCTAGCTTCTTCCCGATGGCTGATGGATCATCCATTTCCAAGATCTTACCAGCAATAAGGAACACTATTCCAAATGGAAAATACCTGGGGAAGGAGACAGTGATATTCAATGTGAAAGAACACTTCCACCCAAAAACTGAAGGAACTTAACTTATGTGTATGTATACAGAACTAGTTCTGTGACACAGGCCATCTATTACGATATCCCCTCTAGCCAGTTCTAGAAGTTTTTAGAGTCAAACTGCATGTGAAACAGGAGAGTTGTGATTAGTTAGTCTCCTGATTAGTTTTTTTAATCCGAAATGCACCCTTGGGAGCATAGCAAATTTTATTTTGCATCATCATGTGGTGTATATGCTGAACCCTTCTTCCACTACAGGCCATTTTTGCAGTCCAAGTTGAGTCCCTAAGCCACTAATTTTCCTCCAGTGATGCTAGCGTGTGTGTGTTAATAGCCTCTGTGGGTGATTTTCCCTGTGGGTGAGAAAGCAACTGTAATGGTGAACTTTGCTACAAAAACTGCCCCCAGTTAAAAGGTTAAGCATGCAGCAGAACTGGCTTACCATATTTTGAGGTAAATGAAGTAAGACACAGTACCATCTAAAAAGCTACTTGCCCCACCCACTGGAGTAGATTGTTACACCCAAAGTCTAAAATTACCTAATTAATAGCACATTGATGCACACCCAACAGCTGCTGCTATAATTAAATTTGTGGTTCCCAAATAACACACTGTGGTTAAAAAAAATAAAATCAGAACCATGAGTCTCCCATATCACATGTAGTTTGGCCCATAGAACAGTGGTTGTGGCACACGAAACTAACATAGCGCTTGAGTTCCTGTTAATAGGTGCTCTCTTAACAATTCTCAGTACCATTAACAAACCACCGTTTCCAAGATTCTTTGAGGGAAGTCATGGCTGTTTAAAGTGGTATGATACTGTTTTAGCTATTGTCATGGACTGGCTGGATGCAGATGAATGGTGGGAGGAATCAGGTAGGGAACCCCAAGGGAACTCCAACAGAAGAAGGCTCAGAGCCAAGGGATTGGTGGTGGGAAGACAATGAGTAGTCAGAGGGAGAAGAGGGAGGAGGATGTGTTGGAAGCTGAAGAGGCAACAGGGTTTAGTGCACAGGAAGAGGCTGCGGCAGACAGCAGTCCAGAGTGGAGACAGGCTGCTGAAGAAGCCAGGGAGTTTCTCCATCCTGTTGTGACCAGCTCTCCTCCCCCCTGGTCTCCCAGAACCAGCAGAGGAATGAAGAGGGCGGTGGAAAGCAACACAAGAAGAAAGGAGCCTTAGGTTGCTGGGGAAGGACCCTGGAGGAGCCTTAGAGAGCGGCAGGAAGGTGAGGCCCTTCAGTCCTTGCAACTGCTTCAATGGGGAAATACCTACTGAGAAGAGTTGCTGTGATCACTAGGCCTGAGCTGTTTTCATTTCTTTGAATAAAGAGTTAACTTCACTGACAGCGGGTGTTTTATTGCTGACCTGTGCCTGACCCCAACCACTGAAAGTTATATATTGCAGATGGGGGCCAAACTTTCACTTGCAAGTTTTATTTTTCCCTAACGCTGCATTTACTTACCATACGGAAACAGCCACTATCTTCATGACAGATTCATTTAAGCACTGGCAAAAGCTAACCAAGGGAACACCACTGTTGCCCATCCTCCCCAACATTATTCCTGCAAATAGATAAATATTGTTTCATTTTATTCACCATCATATGGATTTACATCACAGGCCACATTAGCATATAAAACTTAAGTGTGTATATCTATATCTCTCTATCATCTATCTATCATCTATCTATCTATCATCTATCTATCTATCTATCTATCTATCTATCTATCTATCTATCATCTATCTATCTATCTATCTATCTATCATCTATCTATCATCTATCTATCTATCTATCTATCTATCTATCATCTATCTATCATGAATTGCTGGACTCAAATTTGGGACCTAAATTCGTGGGCAGGAACTGCTTCACTCTGTTTGACAACTGTAGACTCTGACCCCCCCAAATACCCCATGAGTCTAATTTTCACTTCCATTCATACTATGCTAGTACATTTATTATATAAGTATATTAATACCAACATAAAATTCTATATTTAAGTAATTGATGCTACTGTTCCAGATTTGATTTAAGCTACTACAGTGGTACCTCAGGTTACATACGCTTCAGGTTATATACGCTTCAGGTTACAGACTCCGCCAACCCAGAAATAGTACCTCGGGTTAAGAAATTTGCTTCAGGATGTGCTCTGGCGGTGAGGCAGCAGCAGGAGGCCCATTAGCTAAAGTGGTGCTTCAGGTTAAGAATAGTTTCAGGTTAAGAACGAACCTCCGGAACAAATTAAGTACTTAACCTGAGGTACCACTGTACATTTTTAAAATTAGCATTTATTTGGATTTTCAGTTCACAGAATTAGAAATGTTACATATGAGCATTGATGTCCAACATATGAGGGGCTGCAAACCACATATGGTACCACAATACCCTCCCAAGGGTATTTTTTGTGCCCTCCCAAGACCCCCAAAAATTTGTCATATGTGTGTGTGTGTTTGACTGCTGTTATAGGTTTCCCACTGCAATGCCACAATACCAAAATATGCTGTGTCCCCCAACATTTTAAAAATGTTTTTAAAATTTCTAACCTTTTTTTAACCAGTTGAAAAAAAATAATCTTAAAAAACTAGTAACTCCTCCATAGGTACCCTGACATTGTGATGCCAAAAGTTGTTTTTTTTTACCATGCCTACTTTGATATGTGGCACCCAGAGGATTGACCATGAGTCTGTGCACCCCTCAACCTGAAAAAGGGCAGAGGTTTCTGCAGTAATATAAGCCAGTCTCTATTATTCTGAATGGAATGTAGGCTTTTCTTCATTGTACTGCCCAAAGGAAAAATACTGCTGAATCTCATGCATGTTTATCCAGAGGTAAGTTATGCTGAGTTCAATGAGATTTACTCCCAGGTAAATATGTACACGATTGCAGTGGGACTTATTTCTGCATAGGAGTAAACCTACATTGGACTTAACGGTAAACCTACTGTGGGAATATCACTGACCCATAATACCCATTAGACACAAAATTATAACTTTGTGGTGTCTGTAAAGTGAATTTGGAAGTTCCAGTCCAGATTCTAGGTGAAAACTAGGTGAAAAAAAGCCAGCATCCTATTCCTAACTGCACTTGCCTTTTTTGCTTGGCAACCTTAGCAGACATAAAGGAACTATGTATGAAATCCCAGATGTCTAATTTCTACGCAGCAGAACAGACAAACAAGAACTTGACAAAGGCCAGGAACTGCTACAGGTAAAATCATTATAATTAAGTACTGCTGGGTTTCCATATAGTAGGGTTTAAATTTGAGGGATTTGACACTCCTGTTTATTCATTTCAATAAGCAGTCCATCTGCTACAAAGGGTTGTGGCTGGTAGCAATATGTTTTAAAAAGGCATCACAAACTATAAAAACAATAATGTGTCTGCTTTAACTATCCAAAGCACTTAATGGTGGTATTCATTGCCCATGTTGCGCCAGTGCTAGGGTTTCCATTTGTGCAACAGACCTTTCTCCTCCCTCCACACGCAGCCCATACCCTCCCCAAATCTGTTCCAGGGGGTTGGGGTAACCCCTAGAACAAATTTAGGGGGTTCACGGGGAAGGAGATGCGGAGAACGTCCCATTGCGCAACCAGAAATCCCTGTGGGGATGGAATGAGGGGTTTAGTGCTAGGTTGGATTCCACCCAAAGTGTCTACATGACTTCTGCAGGGTGAGTCCTTTAAAAGAGTATAAGATGCCCAGGTTCAAGCTGAAGTGACTTTCTGACAGAAGGCAAATATCATGACTAAACACCTGAAGGAGCCAGGACTGAACATGTGGCACTCCAAAGGGCATTATGACGTTGTGTACTTGGCTAACTGCCCATGCCATTCAGCATGGTACACAGAAGCTGCTATCAAAAAGAGAATAGCTCTCTTGTAGCTTAATGTCACTGCAGTCCTGAGAGGAAATGATCATTGTCTGAGGGAGGCATCTAATGCTAAGCATACTCAGAGCAGACCCACTGAAATCAGTAATTTATGTTCCTTGATTTCAGTAGGTCTACTCTGAGCGGGTGGCACTGTGGGTTAAACCACAGAGCCTAGGACTTGCCGATCAGAAGGTCGGCGGTTCGAATCCCCGCGACGGGGTTGCTTGGTCCCTGCTCCTGCCAATCTAGCAGTTCGAAAGCACGTCAAAGTGCAAGTAGATAAATAGGTACCACTCTGGTGGGAAGATAAACGGCGTTTCTGTGCGCTGCTCTGGTTCGCCAGAAGCGGCTTAGTCATGCTGGCCACATGACCAGGAAGCTGTACGCCGGCTCCCTCGGCCAATAAAGCGAGATGAGCGCCGCAACCCCAGAGTCGGTCACAACTGGACCTAATGGTCAGGGGTCCCTTTACTTTTACCTTGCTCTGAGCAAGACTTAGTTGGATATTACCCTGAATGCTTTGGACATCGCCATTAAACAGAACGTGGTCTATCAGCTTGGTACTGTCACCTGCCTGTTGCTTAACCCACCACACCCCCTTTCCCCCCAATCTTTGGTTGAAGTCAACAGAAACTGGAGGTTTAGGGCAAGAGCTCAATGGACGCCTGGCAACACAAACCTGTTCAGCAATTCATGCAACCACACCTGTGGATTTGACTACTTAGAGTGGGAGGAACAGAGTCACACTCATGGGCCACACTTCCAACCTCCACACATTCATCGGTAGGTCAAAGCAGAGCATATCAGGGTACAAATATGTATGTGCAGGCTGCAATCACAGATAATCACTGGAGAAAATGCAGGGTCCCTATGTTTAGGGTGAAATCCTACAGGCACACATTAGTATGTGTGTAGGCTCTGAGTCTATCCTGATAAACATGGGGCAATAGAGGGGAAAATAAAGAGATAATAGATCCATGATCCAGCAGCAGGAAACGAAGTTAGGTCCCTTGCCAAGAACCAAGTGGGGACAGTCTGAGAGGAGAAGTCCATAGATCAGTCACTGAAAATAATGCAGGCTCCACATTCAGGGAACCATTTCAACAACAAAAAGAATACTCTTGAAAATGATTTAGTGAGAGTGATTTTGGTTTTTTCTAAGTCTCAGTGAACTCTCATATCTGTCTGTACAGCAAATATATCCCAGCCAAGAACTGAGTGTCAGAGCTCACGTCTGTGCTTGTACAGCAGGTTCCAGGTCTCAGCACTAGTCTTGATTTAATGGCAAACAAGCTGATCTGCTGTCAAGATGCAGCCATTTCACAACAACACTTGCTAATCTCTGGCTCACCATAAATTTCAAATCTGCAATATGTTTTTTGAATTATGTTGCTCCTTCCTCTTAACATAAATTTGAAGGGCACTTCAGCATTTTAATCCAGTCTGGGCTTATTATGAAATGGCAGCTTCAGGAGAACATGGATATTCCATGTTGAAAAGTGGAAATGGTCCCTGTCCATAATCTAAAGGTGGAGGGAGAAGACAGAGGAGGCAAGGCTATAGGCCACATGAAAATGAATAGCAGGCCTGGGCATATTTCTCAATGTGACTGACAGAAATGTCCATGTCTGTAGTTCAGATTCATATCACTTCCATTCAGTTTGGCCAGTGGGGATTGCTCCCTCCTCAACATCTACGTTTCATATCTCCTTTTCTTCCACTCAAGACATAAAGCGATGAATGGAAGGTTTGGGTGGATGTGAGTTCAGGGTTGGAGAAGGGATGCAGGTTCAGGGCCGCCACTGGGATTGCAGCCTAAATCCATTCCACCCCTTCTCACAACTGCCCTTGTTGCAATACTCTTTGCATGTTATATTTCCCTGTCATTCACTTTTCTGAAAGAATCAGTAAGCAGGGAACAGTTGTGCATAGCCAAACTGAGCAGGGTTCAATCCTGCCCCGCAATCAGTTGTGAGGCTGGCTTGGGATCCAGTGGGGTGTGGGCTAGTTTAGCCCCACACCCTCCCTGTGAATGTCCTGTTTGGGGGCTTTCCACTTAACTCATCTGGTGGGGATATTGGCAGAGGGCCTCTTGCCCACCCATTCGGTGAGCAGAAGAGGGTGGTTGAACAGGAGGCCAGCTGGGCTGGCAGAACGGAGTGGAGGGAGGCCTCTGCTCAGTCCAGCAGCCCCACAAAGGCCAATGTAATGTAGGGGATGGGGGTGGACTGCAGCCTTACTCACCATTTTTCTAACCAAAAAAGGACCAAACGTTGTAACCTTTCCTCACAGCAGAGTATTCTCCACCCCCTTGATCATTTTGATTTCCCCTTTCTGAACCTTTTCCAACTTCACAATATCCTCTTTGGAAAGGGCTAAACAGATTTTCATTTTAGATTAATCTGCTAGCATGCTTGCTCCAGAAACTGAATTTTACTTTAGGATGCTACAAACTTTTCCTCTTTGTGAAGTTGCAGTCCAGCACATGAATCAATCTTCAGCGTGACAATCATGTGATAATTCATGCCAGCAAGATTTATGCTTAAAATAAAAATGACATCATTTTGATTGGAGCCAATGCGTTGGGGGTAAATCAAGGAGAAGAGAGTGCTCGGCTACTGAAATATTCCACTGCTCCCTGCAGGGCATTCTGTGAATTATTACACCGAAGCTCCTAATATAGGAGTGCAATGAAAATTCACCAACAGGAAAATGTGAAGGACATTTCAGAATCTCTAGGCACCAGGCAAAAACATTCCTCTTAAACCAGGCCTTTCGCTGATTGACATCCAATGCCCTTTTAAAATGTGTGTGTGGGGCGGTGGTTATTGGGTTGTTTCTGTTTTTATTTTGATTATGTATTTTGTGATTTTATGTTGTGACTTTATGTTGTAACCACCCTGAGACCTGAGGGTATAGGGCGGTATACAAATGTAATAAATAATAATAATAATAATAACAACAACCTCACACTAACTTTCTACCATTTGATCATGATCTCACAGCCAAACCTACCTCACAGAGATGTTGTGAGGGAGGGGAGGACAATGTATACTGTCTTTAGCTCTTTGGAGGAAATGTGGAATATAAATGCAGTTATTAACTAATAGTAGCAAATAGTAAATATTATTGAAAACTGGGCTTGAATTGGGATGGGGCAGACTGGGGGGGGAGGTGTTAATAGAATCCACAAGCCATTCCTCCCACTTTTAGCCAAATCATGCCCCCCTGTAGCGTTTAAAATCAGTAAGTATGTAGGCAATCTCACAATGTATGGGAGACTGGTCTTCACTGTTCCAAAATTTGAAATCCATAGAGAAGAACTTAGTGATGACTAGCAAATCCATTTCACTTTAATGGGGATAAGTCATGACTTGGGTCTGCTATATTTTTCAGTGCAGTCCCCTAGCAAACATGAGACATCCTCAGGGTTTCCATGAAGAGATGTGGCCCTCAGGCCCCTAGCCCTGTCACACAAGCTCTATGAATTACAGAGGGAAGTAGAAATACCAGATGAGGAAACTACAGAGCAACGTAGGACAGCTGAAAACTGCAGCATGCTCTTTCGCAGGTGACTGGAAGCTTGGCTCCAATGCTCAACTGCTCAAAGCTATTTCAAGTGGGTACTATTGACGTGGTGAAAGAACAGAAACGGCATCAGGGGTTCCAAACAGAAAGGTTAATTCTTCTACATCAAAGGACAACTTCACAGATTACAACCACATACCCATGGTAGCAGAGAATATTACAATCCCCAACACGTTCATGCCTTCGCTGGTGCCTGGTTCTGACTTGTAGATAACTTCGGGTGGTGGTGTGATGTCCAAGGCAAAATTCTGGATGTTGGATCCATTTTCATCCTGAACCCCGTAGATAATGATTCGGCGTGTGGTGCTTTCAGACGCAGCTTTGTTGGCTTTCACAATCGGGGTGCTTTTGGTTCGGTACTGAAAGAGCGGAAGAGCATCTCCATTACATGTAGAAGGATATTTTCTTGCTTTGAAGTTCACTTCATGAACGGAACTTTATCAACAGATAACGGAATACCTCTGAAGATTCATTAACTCTTTGCCTATTTGAAGGGGAAATTTCCCTAGTGTTCAAACTAATAGTGGTCCAGACACTCACCTGTTTAAAAGTGGCCTCAACAAGGTTGGCAGGGAACATGTTCCTGAAAAGAGATAAGAAAGATGTTTGCCAAGGTATTAGGTAAGAACTGAACTCATTGGGCCACTAATCTTTATAAGTTACTTTCTCTTTTAGGTGGCCATTTCTATCTGTGTAGCATTTTATTTGGGAATCAATCACATTCCAATATTTCCCGTTGTAATATCTGCAACCTGCAATATGTGCCAAACAGGAGCTAAATGACATTCTGTTAATTGAAGCCTTACTACAGCTTCTTCAAAAGCTTTATTCCTCTGCTGTAGACACACAGAAGCACTGGAATCAAAATGCTGGAAAAAGTCTGAAAACCATCTAGTCCTATTTCAGTAGGATCCTGCATGCCCAAACTTAGCGAGATACTACTGTCTGTCCATCTCTATTTGTTAAAATACTTATATACCACCCTTCTGGTGCAAAACTATCACTAAGAGCAGCATTCATCATGTAGACATCCCTATTAAACAACAGTATAAAACAATCAACCAAAGAGATAAGGTCAGCTGTTAAAACCATAGAAACATAACCTTTCACATACAGCAAAAACCTGCTGGAATAAAATGGTTTTCAACAACTTTTGCAAAAAAAGCAAAGGAAGAAGCCAGCCACATTTCACAGGGCAAAGTCTCCACAATCAGGGAGCAGACACTGAGATGTTCCTCTCTCTTATCGCAGTCAAACATGCTTCCACCCTAGAAGGTACACAGAGAAGGTCCTCCCCTTTTGATCTTAGGAAGCAGTCAGAATGATTTAACTCTATAGCTCTTCTACAACGATGCGACTGAACATACAATGGAGACTCAATCAAGTCCTGGCATCTTAGGCAAACATGTCAGACAGTTTTACTTACATGCACGTCTGTTCAGAAATTAGTCCCACTGAATTTTCATAAGACCATAAGAAGAGCCTGCTGGATCAGGCCAATGGCCCATCTAGTCCAGCATCCTGTTCTCACAGTGGCCAGCAAGGTGCCTGAGGGAAGCCCAAAAGCAGAACCTGAGCGCAACAGCATTCTACCTGCTTGTGATTCCCAGCAACTGGCGTTCAGAGGCAGAGCTATCGTGGCCAGTCGCCATTGGTAGCCTTATCCTCCAATGGGAGTTTCTCCCCATGGAGTAAATGTGCATAGGATTGCAGCCTGAGTTTTGTTCATACATGCATGTTCATTGCATGACAACTGCTAGTTAATGTGCTGTGTCACCTGTGTGGATGATGAACCATCCAAGAGCAAACAGCATAGGCACAACGGTCTTATCGTCTGAAACAGTGCAGTCATGTCACACATTCTGCTAAGAGTCATCCAACACTTGAGTAATCCAGAAATGGAAAAAGCAGAAAAATATATATATTGTGGTATGAGTGCTAGAAAGTGTGATGTGAAAGATGTCGAGTTTCTCCCCAACATCAAGAGAATAACATCTGTGCAATTAATTACTTCTTGAGTAATAAAATACAGTGGTACCTTGGGTTACATACGCTTCAGGTTACAGACGCTTCAGGTTACAGACTCTGCTAACCCAGAAATATTACCTCGGGTTAAGAACTTTGCTTCAGGATGAGAACAGAAATTATGCAGCGGTGGCGCAGCGGCAGCAGGAGGCCCCATTAGCTAAAGTGGCACCTCAGGTTAAGAACAGTTTCAGGTTAAGAACAGACGACCGGAACGAATTAAGTTCTTCGCCCGAGGTACCACTGTAATTATTTGAGGGGGGGGGATGCATGAACATCTAGCTACACCTTTACAAAATGGAGAATTTCCCTTTAACTTGCCTCTCAAATGATGCTGACTTCACCAGGACAATTAGTCCCCATGAAACCTGCACTCCATCCGCACACATTATCTAATTCATGCTTGTCATGCAATTTTCGGATGCGAGGTGCTACAGACGTACAAAGGATTATTGCACTGATTAAATTAGTTTGCGATGGATAATTCATCTGGAGCAGCAGATTCCCATTGAGGATTTTCCTTCAACCTGAACTGAAGAAGAACGACACAAGTGGCCCATGGCAGCTCTGAGAGCAGAAAATAAATTGAATGTGGCTTCGCTCCCTAAACCATAATTGGCAGCATTAAAATGCAACTGGGACTCCACAGGAGAAGAAATATCAGATGGTTAGTAGCTAGATTTAATGTTAGCCAAATTTGTGGAGGATTACAGCATTTTATTTCTTGATCATTCTTTATCCTGCAGGAATTACAACTGCTCCTCTTAATACAGGGATCTGGAATACTTCCACTATATTTTAAATAGATTGCTGTTTATTTCTATGGTGAAGAAACATTCTTTGAGACTAGCTTTTTTGAAGTGACCAAAAACAGATCACTTCCAGGTAAAAGGATGGCCTTCATATGATTGCAAAATATATGAGAAAGAAAGAGAATTTGCACTACTCCGCCTGGTACACCACCGTAATATCACGCCAGCAGCAGAATGTAAAGTCAATAAATAAAATAAAATAAAGTAATTCATGTTGTACTGACTATCTGATGCCTCAAGGGAAGAAATGTGGTCTTGAGAGAAAGTCACATGTTTAGGTATTGTCTGGCTTGCAGTGAAGCCCAAGATCAATAAAAAATTAAGAAATAAAAAATATTTTTATCACATAGAAGTACAGGTGAGGGGAAGGAAACTGGTGCATAAAACTGAACAGAGTTTTTGTTGGCTGAAATTCCAGACAAATGCCCAGTTTTAGCATGAAATATTAATTTTTTTAAATATAAAAATGTTTTATTCCCATTTAGTAAAGTTAGGATGATCCACGCATCTATTTTAACACTCTCCTTAGCATTGTTTGACCAATACTGAAACCTGTATACCAGATACATGATCAACTTCTGTTCCTCAGCACTTTGTAGCTCTCACACATATTGGAATACATTAGGAAACAAATTCCAGAATGATGATTCAGGATCAACAGTTGGCTATCAGGAAGCATAGGGGCAGTTTGTTAATCTGTATTGAGTAATGGTGACAATACTCTTGTGGAACAGGGTTCTATGTCATTTAAAATGTGCTTGTGGGAGAGGATCTTTGGTTTGTTTTTGTTTTATTGTGTATTTTGTGTTCTCATTTTTTATTGTTATGTTGTGAACTGCCTTGTGCTCTTTGGATGAAGGGCAGTATACAAATTTTAATAATTTTTGACACTGGGAGCCGGTGTGGTGTAGTGGTTAAGAGTGGTAGTCTTGTAATCTGGTGAACCAGGTTCGCTTCCCTGCTCCTCCACATGCAGCTGCTGGGTGACCTTGGGCTAGCCACACTTCTCTGAAGTCTCTCAGCCCCACTCACCTCACAGAGTGTTTGTTGTGGGGGAGGAAGGGAAAGGAGAATGTTAGCTGCTTTGAGACTCCTTAGGGTAGTGATAAAGTGGGATATCAAATCCAAACCCCATCTTCAAATAGACCCTCCTTCCAGATGTTACGTAAACAGTATGAAACCCAGTCATAAGAAAGGTTCCTGTGCCACTCTGTCAGTACGAACCAGGCTTTAGTTCAGTCTTCCTCAACCAGGGGTCCCTAGATGTTGTTGGATTACAGATCCCAATGTCCCTGATGATGGACCATGACACTTGGGGATGATTTGTTTACTTATTAAAAGCATTTATAATCCTCTTGTCACCCAAAGGTGCTTGAATGAAGAATACATAACTATTCAACATCAAGTATTAACACTATGTGAACGCTAGTAAAACAAATGATGGGGATTGTTTGTCTAGCAACAATCTAGAGGGTCAAGATGGGAGGGGTGCTTTAGTTTGTGCTTCCTCAGGCCTTAGCAGAGACCCTGCTGTCCCAGGCAGCCAGCTATTGCTGTCACTTCATATTTCGAGAGGCTTAGCCTCCTCAGCAGGAGTCTAGCTCTCAGCCAGGTCGATTTCTTCTCTGTCAGCCGAGAGACAGGCCACTTTCTCTTGTCCTACCAGACAAGGTCAACTTAGATGCCCGGGTTACAGGTTTTCATTTATTTAAAAGCATTTCCAAACTGCTTAGTATTTTTCAAAAGTCTCTAAGTGGTGTACAACATGAAAGCAATCAACAATACAGTGGTACCTCGGGTTACAGACGCTTCAGGTTACATACACTTCAGGTTACAGACTCCACTAACCCAGAAATAGTACCTCAGGTTAAGAACTTTGCTTCAGGATGAGAACAGAAATTGCACAGCAGCGGGAGGCCCCATTAGCTAAAGTGGTGCTTCAGGTTAAGAACAGTTTCAGGTTAAGAATGGACCTCCAGAACGAATTAAGTACTTAACCCGAGGTACCACTGTATTGTTAAAACAAAAGCATAACATAAAAGTAGTATAAAAGCATATAAAAACAACAGGAGTTGAGGGAATTCAAACAAATAGAAGCAGGGCCACCAGCACAATGGACCACTTCTACGTTCTCCTCATAAGTTGCAGGAAGATAATAGCCTGCTATCCTCCTTCAGCTGTTAAGACAAATGGTGGCCACAAAGAAAGAAGGGACTTCCCATTCAGGACATCCCATTCTCCGAGTTAAGCACAGTTCACACAAGCTAAAATCCTGTATGCAAAGCAGTCTCACAGTTACAGCTGTCAATGCCAGTCATTTAGGTTCTTGGTGGCAATTCACATAAACACAGGATGTAAAAATATGCCTCGCCCCGAGCATTTTAGAATTATATTGCCTGTATTTTCAGAATCTGGTGATTATTTTGAACTACCCTACGGAGAATTCACAGATTTCAAAATGTATCTTAAAATGCCCCACAAAGTTACAGGATGCGTAAGATTTTACCTTTCATAAAAGCAGTAAGAATGAATGTAGTTACCGAATTAAGTCCAGCAAGGCATCTGCAGAGCTCATGATTGGCTTCCCACTTTCCTCCGTGTTCTCCTTCTGGGCTGCCCCACCAGGATGGATAATGGAGACCATAATGATTCCCACAATAACAGCCACAAAAGTGGTCCAAAGGTAGTATGTGACTGTTATGATGCCTAATCGACTAGATGTCTTCGCATCGAGGGCTGCTAGCCCAGACATTAAGCTGTTGAAAGAAAAGGCAAGATACGTGTTACCCTTTCCACATGTTTTCTGAATGAGATCTATTGCTCTAGCCTGTGAGAAGAAATGGACATGGTAAAGATATATCTCAGATGCTAGTTAACTTAGACTGACAGTCCTGACAGATTTGTACACTGTAAGTTATAAATGCAAAACTCATCCTTAAAAAGAAAAAAGGCAATAGGCTGCATCTTTTTTTAAAAAAAATATTCTAATAACATAAATATTATTAGAAAAAACGCAACTATTAATTTATGTTGCTCCCTAGTTTTCTGCATTTTTCTTCTATTACAGATTGAGTAGTGGGGCTTGGGATGCTATTTCTTTTCAAATGTGGGCTGATATGAGTACAGATGTACAGATGATTACAGCCCCTTCCCAACTCAAACATACACTGGCACATATCTAAAAGAAGCACCACCTTGTGCAACATGACCTAAATCACAGGTAAGTTTGAAATATTGCAATTTTTGCATCTCTGTAATTCCTATAACTTCTGTAAGCTATAAGACCTCAGATCAGGCCAACGCGATAATGTGATTGTGTACACAAACTCAGCCCGGAATTAGTATTTTTCTGGGAACACAGTGAGGCAACACCGTACGGATTTACGTGGAAGTAGGATAGGAAACTGGAATGTGAACTTCTAGCACTTGGCTTTTAATCCATGTGCGCACAAAGTTGCCTGAAATGCATTTATATCCTGTGCTTTGTCATAAAAGACTACTGAATGATGCACCCTTTCTTAAACCATTTGGAGTCCTAATTTCTGTCTAGGCAAGGTTTGAACACCTTTGCACAGGGTAAAGACACCCCTGCCCGCCAATACTCCTGGGTGTCTACACAAACAGAAACAAATCCGACAGTAATGAAGCCATGTTGATGTGAACATCCGGGATGGGCAGAGAGGGGGATATTAGAAACTTGCAAGGTATGGGATATTGAAAGGAGCACCACTCAACCTTCCTTTTATAAGCAAAAATATGAATGGGTGGCAGGAAACAGCAGCATGATTTGGTAAGATGTGTAACAAAGCTTCCGGGGTGGGGCTGTCTTCTAAAGATTTCAACACTATTTCAACAATAACCAAACAAACTAGCAAACATTATTAATTTATTCTAGACACCAACATTTCCCCAAACATGACAAATGTCATTTGATGAATTTGTCTAGAGGTCAGGCTGAAAGGCAGCTTAACCTTTATAACAAATTTGGTGAAAACATAGTGGTAGGATTAAGCCATCAGGTTCCACTCATCCAGTAAATTAATTAAGAAAATGCACTGCTTAACTGCTTGCCAATCTTTAATCCTGCAGGTTTTGTTTTCAGTTCGATGCATTGGGGGGAGGGACAGGGGGCGGGGACAGAGGGAACAGAGGGAACAGATTTTTAGCTTCATTGTATTGTATTTTTACTCTCTGCCCTAGAATTCCTCTCCTTTAAGCCCCAGGTACTGGAGGGGAACTTGTGATTAATTCACAGTTATATTTTAACTGCTGTGTTCAAATGTGGCAAATGCTATTAGATGCAAGTTAAAGAGATACCTTCTTAAGAGATGGCATTTCTCAGATTTTTTTTAAAAATGAATCTTGCAAATTGCTGTTTACTCAAATGCATTAAAAACATTAGCAGAAGTATTGTTCATTATTTTTGCATTTATCGGCATAAGTTTAAAAAGTGAAATAATAAAAGTCATCCGAATACATTAATAATCCAAATGCATACAATATATAAAAGACTAGATTGTATCGCTCAATTAAAGAGATAAAAGGAAGAGATAAAAAGCAAAAGGATCAAGGCCTTGGAAACAAATTTGTTAGGTGGTCAGAGTGTTCCTGCAACATTTTTTTTTTTTTTGAAGTCACTATAAACCCTTTCCAGAAAGTCTGTTTAACATATTTAACTTCTGAGAACATCTGCATTATAATCCGGCCTGCCAGGCTACTCTGAAAGAAAGTAAATCACAATGAGGTTGTTTTGTGCCATAATGACATCAGTGAAAATAAGCAGAATGTCTATTCAGTGAAACTATGCAGTATACGTAAGTCCACCAATGCTCCCCCCCCAGTTTTACTGTAATCCCAGTAGCATTTCATGTCACTTATTTGCAATGTCTTCCTGTTTCTGCATGAAGCGTATTTGTTTTACGGTCAGATTGCCAGGATATGAACACCATGCAATCCAGAGTGACTTTACTACAATCACATGGTCATAATGCGGAAGTAATAAGGAGCTGTTAAACAAGTGGCTAATCCTGGGAACTGTAGTTTTTTAAGGCTGCTGGGAATTGGAGCTCTTGGGGGATAAACTACAATTCCCAGGATTCTTTGGGGGCGGGGATGTGCTTTAAAGGTATGACATGTACACAGCCTTGCAAGAGGACAGGTCCTGCCCTAATGGAATAGGTAAAGCGTAAAGGGACCCCTGACCATTAATTCCAGTAGCAGATGACTCTGGGGTTGTGGTGCTCTTCTCGCTTTAATGGTCAAGGAGGCTGGCGTTTGTCCGCAGACAGCTTCCAGGTTATGTGGCCAGCATGACAAAGCCGCTTCTGGCGAACCAGAGCAGCACACGGAAATGCCATTTACCTTCCCGCTGGAGCGGTACCTATTTATCTACTTGCACTTGTCGTGCTTTCGAACTGCTAGGTTGGCAGGAGCAGGGACCAAGCAACGGCAGCTCACCCCGTTGCGGGGATTCGAACTGCCAACCTTCTGATCGGCAAGGCCTAGGTTCTGTGGTTTAGACCACAGCGCAACCAAAAGACATAGCAGAGAGAAAAAGGAGGAAGCGGAGGGAAATGGAGACAGTGATTTCTTCTTTCTCTTTTTTAGCCCATGGCAGTACTACAGTTCTAGTCTCAGAAAAGGAAAAGAAAGACAAAAATAAATTTTCGCATGATATCCCACCACCACGGGGACTCCAGGGATAGACTTTCTGATGAGTTAAATTTGGATATAAAAGGTAAAGGGACCCCTAACCATTAGGTCCAGTTGTGACTGACTCTGGGGTTGCGGCACTCATCTCTCTTTATTGGCCAAGGGAGCCGGCGTACAGCTTCTGGGTCATGTAGCCAGCATGACTAAGCTGCTTCTGACGAACCAGAGCAGCACACGGAACCGCCGTTTACCTTCCCGCTGAAGAAGTACCTAGTTATCTACTTGCACTTTGACGTGCTTTCGAACTGCTAGGTTGGCAGGAAAAATTGGATATAATTCACCCCAAATACTAAAACAAGAAAGAAAACGTAGAAAATGTTTCACTTTGACCTATCAGATTCATAAGAACTTAAGTAGAGCCTTGCTGGATCCAACCAAAGGCCCCTCAAGTCTAGCATCCTCTCCTCGTTCTGGTCAACTAGATATTAATGGAAAGTCCAGAAACAGGACATGATCACAACAACATTCTCCCCCCTTCTGATTCCCAGCAATTGGTATTCCAAGGCAAACTGCCTCTGAAACTGGAGTTACTACATAGCTATCATGGAAGAGAGTCATGGGTAGACTTATCCTCCACAATTTGCAAAGAACATTAAGGTAGAAAAAAATGACGGCCAGTTCAGATACTAATCTAACATAAGGTGCAGCATGACCTGCCACATCTCTCACATATTTACAGCAGCTTGGTTACAGATGATGCTTGATCACCAATCATGGTATGGTCTAGAGTTAGTGTCCATTCATATATTAGCTTCAACATGACAAATCCTAGAGGGGTCTAATAATGAGATTGCCCAGTCTTTGGAGCATGTTCATTAATAAGATCATCATCTGTAATAAGATTACTCTGTCACCAGATAATGTAGTGAGAAGAGTTAGAATTGTAAGGGGCAAGTCCACAAAAGTAATTAACTGTTTAGAAGCAGTTAATTAGGGGTGCCTCCTGAAAGGGTGGAGAGTCAAACTAAGGCTAAACGCTGCTAATCTAAACGCAGAATTCTGTAAATAAAGATGCGGAACCCAGGAATAGCAAACCAAATTTTAAAAACAACGCAACACAAGGTGGGGGGGGGAGGTATTTCTCTCTGTGGATGTATGCATGTATATCCAGTATGGCCTAATAAAGACAGATGGCTTACAATGAATAACAAAGTAGTAAATCTACTTGCCATAGATGACAATTAAGGCTACTGCATATACAGGCATCCTTGTTTTGTGTGGGGGTTATGTTCTGGACACCACCACCCTGTGTGCGTCAGCGGTGCCCGTGTAAAACATTCTGCCCTGGCACACCCTTTTAGTGACCTTTTCGGGTCACTTTAGGGTTTGGCACCACACACACAATCGCATGTCAATCAGACACGTGTAATAGGTTGTTGTCTGTAATGCATAGTGCTAAGACCACATTCATGTTATACATCTAAAATGCTATGGTATCACTTTTAACAGCCATAACTTCCCACAAAGAATTCTGAGAGCTGTCATTTGCTAAGAGTGTTGAGAGTCCCCCTCACAGGGGTACAGTTCCCAGAATTCCCGGTGAAGAGGAATATATTACTGAACCATTCTGGAAATTGTAGCTGTGATGGGAATAGGTATCTCTAACAACTATCAGCACCCTTAACAAACCAAATCTCTGAGGGAAGCCATGACTGTTTAAAAGATACCATAGCGCTTTAAATGTATGGTGTGAATGTGGTCTTACAAGAGAGTACATAGCAACACATATAGAAAAGGAAACGTGTGTTAAATTAAACTCAACTCAATTGTCACATATTCACACTTGGCTTCAAGTATCTGTTGACACATGATGGAAAAAGAGCCCAATCTGCATATGTTTGTTGTTGTTGTTGTTGTTTAGTCGTTTAGTCGTGTCCGACTCTTCGTGACCCCATGGACCAGAGCACGCCAGGCACTTCTGTCTTCCACTGCCTCCCGCAGTTTTTTCAAACTCATGCTGGTAGCTTCAAGAACACTGTCCAACCATCTCGTCCTCTGTCGTCCCCTTCTCCTTGTGCCCTCCATCTTTCCCAGCATCAGGGTCTTTTCCAGGGAATCTTCTCTTCTCATGAGGTGGCCAAAGTACTGCACCCTCAGCTTCAGGATCTGTCCTTCCAGTGAGCACTCAGGGCTGATTTCCTTAAGAATGGATAGGTTTGATCTTCTTGCAGTCCATGGGACTCTCAAGAGTCTCCTCCAGCATCTGCATATACATCAGCCTTAATAAAGGCATCTCCTGGCTATTCCTGGTCTACTGCTTTGACAATGACAGCTGGCAATACTTTCGAATTGGTGACAGAATGATAATGGACCATCTACTTGTCTGTTCCATTCAGCTAAAAGGTTGTTGGAACATGGCAGATATATCTTTACCTGGAAGCTCCTGGTTTGGAAACCATTTTCAGGTGCTGATGTGAACACAACCATCATTCTTGCTTTTCTCACATTATTTCTGAATGTGACAAAAAAACTGGCCAAATGATTCACAAAGTTGAGCTCCTGCACTTTTAAGATTAAAGTGAGTTTATTTATAAAGTGCAGTTGTTTTAATCTGCATGGCTCTCTGCTTAAATAACTGTCAGTCTCTTTCTGAATGGGGTTAGCCTCAAATGCCATAAACCCTGGGAAAGGGAAACATAAGGAGCTGACTGCAAAGCCCATTCATCTCATGCCTCTCTCTCTTGCTCTCTTCCTCCTCCATCAGAAGCCATCTGGATATTGCTTTGAAATAGATGGATTATGGATACAGTTGTCAAAGGGGATTAATGTGATTAGAAAGGCATTAATCTTGTCAAGAAGTAATGGTCAAGTATTAACCACCAGCGCAGTCGCTAGAAGATGCTTGTTTGTTTTCATTCATTCACCTCCCGGTCATGTTCTCATTTCCTAATTGCTTGCTATGGAAAAGCCCTTCCTAAGTAAGAGGTTACTAGCGAGGTTCCCCTTTGTCAACAACATTAGTGATGATTAAATGTAGCATGATTATCATTGGCAGAACAGAAACACCAGCTTCCCTGGTTTGCTACTGCAAGGTCATTTTTTAAGGTCTCGGGGAGGGGAGAGAAGGATGTATTTCATCTCTGGATCATAACCAATTCATATAAAACAGGAGTGGGGAACATGAAGTTCTCTGGATTCCAGCTCCCATACGCCAGCATGGCTAAGGGCTGATGTTCCCCACCTCTGACAAACAGAAAGAGTTTGTAGGAAATGCCTTTATTTGTCCAAAGACACTTTATTGTCAGGCCAGTTCAAATATAAACATACCCGCAAAACATTTTACAAAATGTGGCAAGCCTGTATTTTACTAGTACACATGTTAGCAGCTTTGGACATGGAGGAAAAAATGTTACTCTTCACATATGGTTGAAGGAAGCAATCCAAGCTTATGTACAACAGAAATACAACTCCCCCTATTATGAGCATGTAATTTGCAAATCTGCAAATATGAAAAGGCCACGAGAGATATGCTGGGACAGAACAAGTGCATATCAGTGCTGTAAAACATTACAGAGAGATGCTTAAGGTGGTGGAAATTTTGCTTAACTTGGGGAATCTGAGCAGAAATACAGAGGATTATCACCATCACAGAATTATGGCCAATCTTGTAAAAGAAGATTGCTTTGCATTTAGCTATCTAGAATTTGGATCAAGAAACAAAAAGCCAAATGTGGCTCTCCTCATTAGCATGTCTCTGAAGATTTCAAGCTTGCGTACTATACATATATATTAAGGATTTTATCAAAATCACAACTTCCTCTTATCCCTGGTGAGGTGTTGAAAGTTGAGGTGTGCTGGGAATGGAGAGACCTTCTTGGAACAATGGACTGTGGCAGGGATGGCTAACTTCTGGTCTGGGGGCCTGACCCACAACCCCTCTCCCACAAATTTTCTGCCCCCTCCTCAAGACTCCACCAATTTTAAATGCTTTAAAAGTAATCTCACTGCTAGTATAAACCTCTCCATGCACCCTTCACCCTAATGAAGATGCACATCAGCTCTACCTCATCAGCAGAAGGTAGGAAGAAGGGGGTTCTGTGCCTGTGTGTCTTGTGCATGTGAAAGTGTAAGGTGCTAAACTCACTTCACATCACACCCACCAACCCCAAGAAGGTTGGCTAAGGGTGACTCTGATCCTCAGCCTATAAAAGGTTAGCTACACATGGACCAAGAGAAAGTAAGGTTTGCAGGATGGGACTCCTTTTACCTTCAGATCTCTTCATTTACTTTGGATGTGAATAGGGTAGATAAATTAATGATGGACCCATTACATACAGTTTGTAGTAGTGGGCTGCATGGTGGCCCCTGACCTCCTGATAGCTGAGTTGCTGTTGCTTACAAGGAGGGAGGATGGAAGGGAACAAGGAGGCTGGCATAATACAAATGCACCATCAGGAGCACTCTGCTGGTGCATTTGCACCACACTAAACTCCCTGCCACCTTGCCCCTCCCCCTCTTCTTCCCGGTAAGCAGCAGTGACACTGCTGTTGGGAGGTCAGGTGAGCATCACCAACACATCACACTGTCTGCTATTGCCAGTTTGGCTCCAAGTGTCTCCAATGCACAAATGTTCATTTGACCCAGAACTTTATATGCAGGATTCTAACTTCCTTTATAAGCGTGTCCAAAATAATTCTAAGTGTTGTTTATTTCAAATATATAATAATAAAGATGATCATAAGTATTATTGCAGGACTGGGTAGAAGATTCATACTTCTTTCAGAGGTACGGTACACTGTGCAGGCTTATTTGCAAGTAAATCCCATTTATTACAGTGGCTCCTACCCCCACATAAATATGCCTAGGGCTTCAGTCATTTTCTTCAAAACTACTACATTAAAATGCACTTGCCCTGTTTAATCAGTTTCCTTTTAGGGACATGGGAAGCTGTCTTACATTGAATCAGACCATGGCTAGATGCGGGTCTGCATCTAGCAGCTGCTCTCCAGAGTTTCAGACAGGGTCATTCCCAGCCCTGCCTGCAGATGCTGGTGACTGAACCAGGGACCTTCTGCATGCAGAGCAGATGTCCAACCACTGAGCTGTCGCCCTGAAAATAGGCTATTAAATTACCAAATTGTAAATGCTGCCAACTGCATACAAGTTTTCAATGTATGCCTATTTGATAAACATTATGAATGGATCAGCTATTAGTTCAAGAAACCTGTTTAAAAAAACCATTCTGAAGACACCAGTGCTAATCAGATGCTCGTTACGATGAAACTCATTCTAGCCATCAGGCTGTGTTTGACTGGATGCTTTCCTTGTCCTGCACTCACCTTTGGCACAGGGCATCTTGCTCCCATGAGGTTTGAGCACATGGCTGTTAGAAGTCTCCATCTCAGAGGAGATAGACAAAATTCTAAACTTGGCCAAGTGACATTATAACTGCAAGGAATTGTTAGATACAGTGGTACCTCGGGTTACATACGCTTCAGATTACGGACTCCGCTAACCCAGAAATAGTGCTTCAGGATAAGAACATAAATTTTACTCTGGTGGCGCGGCGGCAGCAGCAGCAGGAGGCCCCATTAGCTAAAGTGGTGCTTCAGGTTAAGAACAGTTTCAGGTTAAGAACGGACCTCCGGAACGAATTAAGTACTTAACCCGAGGTACCACTGTACAGATAAGGGTCTACAGAACTGCTCTTTGAAGGGTGAAAAGTTGTTATGTCCTAGTATGGACAGTTTACATTTCATCACTGAAAATTAATGATAGCAGATGAGGTCTCCTGTTAGTTGAGGATCTCTCTTGAATATTCTGAATGAGACATTATCAGAGCTTAGGTGACATCCCCTCCAGCTAAGGTGAGGGGCAGAAAGGCCTTGGAGTGCCAATTATCAGATGGAGTATCATACTTCGCATGGGCATAGCCAGGATTTTTGTTAGAGATAATAATAATAAACATCTGATGGGAGGGTGTTCCACAGGGCAGGCACCACCACCAAGAAGGCAGAACCTCAGTTTGCTATATATTTTTATTGATTTTTATTGATTTAGGTGGCAGCTTCCCCTCCCTGTCCGCCCCTTGGCTACGCCCATGCATGGAAGCATGCTGTGTATCTGTAATTGTTGCTGAAATCTCTGGTTCAAATCTTCTGCTGAGTGTGTGCTGCACAAGTATGAAACAACTACCGTATTTGTTGATATGCAGTGGTAGTTTTCAGTAAGTGCATGCATAGGCAGGCATAGAACAATGAAATTTTGAAACTCCAATATGATGGTGACTGCAGTACTAACAGGCAGGAGTAGGAATTAAATGTCAGCCAGTGGCAGCATGTTCCAAACTTAAGAACTTTGGACCCAAAGTTTGGAGCCATGAGAGGTGGCAGACTCTCTTTCCTTGGAAGTTTTAAAGAAGAGTTTGATGGCCATCTGTCATATATGATCTAGCTGGTGTTTCTGCACTGCAGGGGGGTTGCAGGGGGGTTGGACTAGAATCAGCGGTTCTCAACCTGTGGGTCCCCAGATGTTGTTGGACTACAACTCCCATCATCCCTGAGCTCTGGCCTTGCTAGCTAGGGGTGATGGGAGTTGTAGTTCAACAACATCTGGGGACCCACAGGTTGAGAAAGGCTGGACTAGATGAAGTCCCTTCCAACTTGACAGTTCTATGATTCTATGAAAAGCACTAAAACATTCTGTACAAGACCTACATTTTTTATGTTAGTATTCTGGAGAAGAAAGCATACCTTTGCAGGAAGCATCATAGAATAGGTGTGGTATATTGTACAATTGCAATATCCACCTTAATAATAATTCATTTGTGTGGAAAGACAAAGTTTGTCGCATTTGCATTGTTATGTACAGAATTTCTTATGACTTATTTGAAGTCAAATACATCCAATATTTATCAGTACAGTATACCCTTAAATACAAGCCACACACCATAAAGCAACCAATCTTTGTCAACTACTAAGACACCATAAGTGATATATTACAGTTATATTATATCTATGTTATACAGCAACAGATGGGAGCTGGAACAATGTTGTTGGCCTTGTAATACATAGTGGCAAACATTATATAACGTGTTTTCCTCTCAGTGTTATTACCTAAACAAGGGATTATTTAAAACAACAGCAAATTACATTTTCTATATAACAGTCTGTGTTAGTTGACATACTTGATTTAAGCTTGCTAGGTATGCATTATATCCAAAACGCATATAGGAAGGTGTTAATTATAATACACTGCAAGCACAGGCAATGAAGCACTAACTACATTTTATGTGCAAATGCATTTATATTAGAGACCCCACCTAATATAAAACAGTCTTAGGAGAGGGAAGAAGTGGTAGCAAGAAAGGAGACCCTGACTTTTCCTTGTCCCAAACCACTCCTCTTTCTCATTACTTCTCCCCCCTCCCAAGTCTCAAACACATGTTTGCCTTGAGTTACAAGTAATCTGATTTAGTTGTGAATTGCAACTATATTTTCTACATGTTTCTACAGTATTATCATACCCTGCGTGGTAATCCTGTGACATTTTCAGCTAAGACCATAACTTCTTGCTGAATCAATTGATCACAAATATGCATGTGCCTTTAAGGGACAAGCAACTTGAATTATAGCTGAAAGTTAATTTTGTTTCTTTAATCAAAGGAACAAAGTTGGGTAAATCATGCTACAGCTCGCTATCCACTAGCTTACCTTGAAACAACCAGTGGTAGAATCAACATTTTCAGCATTCTCATCAGTAACTCCCCAGGAAACTGGAAATAGCTTATTTCCTATAAAATAAGGAGGTAAATCGGTTATTTGAAGATATACACGTGTATCTCTTTGTTGAACCACAGTTAAAATGTGCTGAACTCTTTACTGCTACTTTCATCTCATTTCATCGCATATCATTTCAAATGATGAAGAGACATGAAAATCAATAGGAGATAGCACTATGGCTTGGGGGGAAATAACAAGGTTTCTCTCACAGTTAGATAATTCAAAATAATGAACCCAGTCTTTACTGCACTAACTTGAAAAGGTTTTCAAAAGCGATCAGATGAACGCCATGTGTTCAGTGTGACAGACAATCTGAATACAGAAACGAATTTGATCTTAAGCGCTGTTAGGAGAAATAACACTAAAGCTCCTGCCAATCAAAGACATCTGTCCATATCTCTACTAATATCACAATGACCTGAAGGATAGTTTATATTAATCAAACTTAATCCTGAAAATGAAGCGCAAAACAAGCAATAAATAAGGGTATACTTCTGGCATCAAACACTACACATGATTTTCTTTTGGCTTAATGTTTACTCTGTATGAACGACACCCCTTGGAATGAAATTCAGTTTTCAGTTACCAGTAACAAATAATTTATGTCTAGATATATAATACATTCAAAACAGCAACACAGCATTCCTATTATATGGCAAAAAACATTCAACAGCCTATTTCTTTCTGGCTTGTTCAATGTTTCCAGTTTATTCTGAATGGGGAAATCCGTACTGTTAAACTGATGAATTCATCAGATTGCTCAAACAGCTGGAATGTATTTTTGAAATAATTGAATTTTGTGCCCTGATTCCAGAATAGTATTTTGGCTACAAACCAAACCACTGACCTTGAAGCGTTTTCCCTAAAACCTTATTGAAATTGTAGGGACTGCTCTGGGGTAAACAGCTAGCTGGGGGCATAACCATTTTACATACTGTAAACCTGTTGCCACCAAGACAAAAGAACTTAGTTTTCATTAAAAATTAAGACACCCAAGCGTACCAGAAATGCACCTTAAAGATGTTAGGAATCATTTCTCCTGCAGTTTCTTCTCTTCCAGAATCTAACATGTTATGCTCATGTTGGTGTTAGTTGTGAGATCCTTGTGATACCTGCGGCTTTATAGTCTATATAGCCAACATATTAAAAACTCTAAAATCAGCAATTCACGTTCTTTCCTACAGAGTAACACTATTACCAGACAACTTGCTTCACAGATTATCATGTTCTGCACTGTGACACACTGTTTTATTTCCTATTTCGTTATGTAACAAAGACCTTTTTAAAAATACACCGCTGCAACACCTGCTTATGTCACTGACCTGCTGAGAGAGGCGTCTGGTCCTGAGGAAGAACCCAAGGAGACATCCCACTATGACGGATAACACGGAGAGAATGAGCAAACCATTTCTTTTACAAACATCCTTGACCCGAGCCAGCATTGCATCCAAAGCCACTGCCATGCTGTCCTCAGTGCTCTCTGGAAGAGAATCAGCATCCCATAGAGAAAGAGACCTCACCAGCCTCTCTTGTTAGAATAGCCAGCTCTGGCTTGGTATAGATTAGATCAAAGCGTTTCTAGTGCTGCTTAGCTGACCTGCAATGTCACCTCTTCTGCCAATAGCCACCAAGCATGTAGCTGGCATTATTTCCAAATTAATACCAACAATCCTATTAGTGACTACATCAATAAGAACCTGGAAGAAGATTACCGACTCTGGAAAATTAGAACAGAGTAGAGTAGTACTTTTGAAACAAGAGTGATCTCTAAGCAAAGCAACACCCTATATGAAAAGCAAGCACAATTCGTTATTCAGCCCTTATAAGCTCAGTTTCAACGTTAGCTATAAAAGGAACAGAAAAGGGTATGCAGCAATTCAAGCGCTGGGTGAGTAATGCTGGATTATCACAATAGGACAGACTAGGGGAAGAGACTGGGCTTCTTTAATCAGGTTTGCTTTCCACTATTAGTATCAGGATGAAAAGGGCAAGTGCACCTGTAAATGCATGATATAAGACATATCCTAACCAGTAAAAATGCATATAGAGGCTACTGACAAAAACTGGCATTTGTGGTTAGTTTGGGAGAACAATAACATTAACTCAATAACCATCTTCACTTAAAGCAAGAGAAGAATTTAATTTATGAAGATTATCAGCCACAAATATGGCTCACATTTTTCAAAGGGTTTGTCTCACTTATTTAGACAATGATTACTATGGCATTTAGGGAGCCTCTCTTGTAAAAAGTATTTGCTGTTATTTCCCCCCTCCCCCACTGGTAGCCATCCAGCAGAATTATTCCAGTGGTGAGGGCTTTTTTTTTTAATCATCAGCCTTGATCAACAGGTTATTGGAACACTCAAGATACCTGCAGGGACAAATCCCTCATCTCTGTGCTGAATTGGATGCTGTTTAATACAGTTCTTAACAAGCACACTGTCTAGTCCTGACCAAGCAGATTCAATATCTGGTGAATGCCTTATTGCATCCTGAAAGCAGTGGTAGTGCGACCACTCCATAAGGGCACATTCTCAATTTATGTAGCAACTACAGTGGTACCTCAGGTTGCAGACACTTCAGGTTACAGACTCCGCTAACCCAGGAATAGTACTTCAGGTTAAGAACTTTGCTTCAGGATGAGAACAGAAATGGCACGGCGGCAGCGGGAGGCCCCATTAGCTAAAGTGGTACCTCAGGTTAAGAACAGTTTCAGGTTAAGAACGGACCTCTGGAACGAATTAAGTTCTTAACCCGAGGTTAACCACTGTACCAGCCAGTTGCTAATATCCCCTTTTTGGCAGGGGGCTCAAGAGGGACGTGGTGACACTGTTCCAGACGTTCTTGGGGGAAGCAATTGCCTAGACCAGCCTTTCCCAAGCTTGGGTTCCTAGATGTTGTTGAACTACATCTCCTGGCAGCCTCAGCAGCATGGCCAATAGTCAGGAATTATGGTAACTGTAGTCCAGCAACTTCTGCACCTTTGCTAATCTGGGTTCAGGCTGGTGTTTGGGACTGAAGCAGCCTTCCTTGTCCTGACCGATGGATTGTTATTGTGAGAGGGACAGGGGAATGTTACTCCTTTGGTTCTCTTTGAATTCTCAGTGGCTTTTGATACCATCAGTCATGGTATCCTCCTGGGATGTGACTCAGTAGGATGTGAGTTGGTTGACGTGGTTCCACTCCTACTTGCAGGACCCCTTGCAGGGGGTGCAGGCCCTGGGAGTCCCAAAAATCACTATGGAGTATATGATGTACATGCACATGTTGATGCACTGCCGCTACTGAAGGATGATTAAACATGGGAGAAGCTTCCCGTCCTTCTTGCACCATGGCACAAAAACATGCATTTCCCCCCCTTCCTCGTCGCCTCAAGTAGTTTGGTTGCGTAAAATGACAATTTTTAATGTGGTTGTGGTTATTGTAACAAAGTGATTTTTTCCCCGGGATGTGTGTGCTGATACAGTCCCTTATCAAGGGCGCAAAGGACCCTCGATATGCCTCTGCACATGTTTAAACATGTCACACAAGATCAATGCTTTTCAGCAGATAAGATGCTTGTGCATCACGTAGGTTTCCAAATGGTGGGGAGAGCCTACAGGTAAGCACATAAGAACAGCCTGCTGCGTCAGGCCAAGGGCGGGAAGAGGAAACCCCAGGACTAGCGACCACCACGGATCAGAAAGGGGGATGTCGCCGCCAAGCATTGCAAGGCTCGGTGGGCGCCTTGACGGACGTCTGTGGATGTAGCCGGATGACGAAGGGGTCGCCGCTTGCGGAGCGCTCCTCGGAACTCTGTGGCTGCCGTCGAGCTTTTCTTTTTAGCAGGAGCAGCCAGCGAGAACGGTGCTCCCCGGAAGCCAGCCTGAAAACTCTGGAAACTGGGAAGCAAGTTGCCAGCAGCGGCCCTTGCCCGCGGAGGGCGCGGAAACCTGCTCAGCAGCTTCTTTCCTGCCCCGCTGACTTATAGGGCGCTGAGCGAAGTGCGCCTGAGAAGCAGAGCAAGCCCCGGGCAGGGCGCAGCGCTGAGAAGCCCGAAGGCAGGCCCTGGTGGCCGCCTCCCAGCTGAATAAACAGCGGCATCCCCTTGCGGGAGGGAGGCCACTGCTGAGAGCTGCTCCCCGCCCCTTCTCGGCAGCACGAAGCGCCCAAGGCCTCTGCAGTTTCAGGAACTGGGAAGCTGAATGCAGGCGGGGCAAAAGGGTCTCGCGTTTGCCATGACGCTGGGTAGGCTGAGTGTCCCGGACCACCAAGCTATCCCTAGCCCTTTCCTTCTCCGAGGCTGCGGCCTACAGCTGCCGCGCTCCTGCTTCCTCCTCCCAGGGAGGCCCAAGCTGACTCCTCCCAGGAGCGGCGCAGGAGTTGGCTGCGGCGCGGAGGGAGGAGGAGGAGCTGGCGGCGGCCGCACCGGGAAAGTGACGAGCTCAGCATGGCGACGGCGGCGCTGCTCTTCTCTCCTTGGCCGCGCTTCTGCGGGGCGTCTGCCGCCCTGCTCCCGCCTGCCCTGGCCGGGCCGCGGAGAAACTACAGCCAGGACGGCTCCGTCTCCCAGTATTTGCACCGCAGCCTGGTGCCCACCATGCATTATCAGAAGAGCCTTCCCCGGTAAGGTGGCGCTTCCGCGGCGGGAGGAGGAGGAGAGGGCTGGGCTTGGCCTGAGGCGCCCCCGCTGCCGGCCAGGTTTCTTGGCAAGGGCGCCTCTAGAGCAAGTTTGGTTCCTGGCTCCGCCTCCTTCCTTCTGAGCAGGGCGGTGCTTCTCGGTGCTCAGCCTTGCCAAGATGGGAAGCGGAGCGCGGGTCTCTGGAGCATGTGCAGGGGGCAGAGTGGCTAGAGCCTGGGAGAGGCCAGAGTTCAAATGACCGCCCGCCACCGCCACCCTCGGCCGCGAAGCTCGATGGGGGACCTTGAGCTAGTCACTCTCAGTCTAACCTCCTTCCCTCACAGGGTTGTTGTGAAAATAAAATGGAGAGGAGGAGGAGGATGACAACCATGTGCACCGCCTTGAGCTCCTTGGAGGAAAAATGGGATATAAATATAATAAATCAATACATGCAGGGCTTTACAGGGAGACTGGAGGCAAGGCACGTTGTAATTAAGCTGGGCGTTGAAGCATTTCTAATTAGATGTTGCCAAATCCAGGACACAAGAGACCTTTATTAAGAACCCCATTAGGTGAAAAAGAGAATGCTGTAGGATCCCAGTTCTCCATCACGGTGAAGTGCTGCATTTTTTACAATCTCCCTTCAATGCGAGTCTTAAAAGGTACAGGTGTGCTTTCACATCTGGACCTTTCAGCTGTAGCCCAAAGAATAGTTTGCCTACCCTCTGAGTGGATGTCACAAGCAGATCAGCGAGGGGGACATTACCTACTGGATGTTGCTGACTGAGGCTGATGGGAATTGGAGTCCAATAGCATCTAGAGGGCACAGGTATCCCACAGGTTTTTTTAATAACTCAGACAGCCACCCACTGGAGGACTTCCTCTTTGCCTGAAAACTCCAGGTGTCTCTCCCCCTGCCCCCATAGCGCACCTAAACAAGATTGTGCCCTTTTTACTCAGTGTTCAATCAGTCAGGAAGCACTATCACCCCTGGGTTACATTCATTAACTTGACATAGATAAGATCCCATGGATTGACTCACAAAATTACATTGCATGGATAGAAATGGTACAGTGTTTCAGTGAGTACAGCAGCAAAAGGATTTGCTATGTTAATGTGATCTGGAGAGGTTCCTTATGTTAGTTCCTACCCCTTTCAAAAGCAAATTAGTTCTGGAAGAGGGCACAGTTCCATTGCCAGAGAGAAAGAGGAGAAGCATATGTAATACAACTGGTAATGCAAAGCCTTCTGCCTTCATTTAGGCTGAGATAAAGGTACAGTATGTAGGTGAAAGGTCAGTGCTAAAAGCAGGGCGTGATTTTCATGATTGCCATCTATATTTAAATTTACACTAATATATTAGTTCCCTCATGCTTTTTTGCCTACTTTATGAGTACCAGGCGAAAACATATGGAAAAGTTTGGAGACAATGAAACTGTTTCAGCTTGTTTGCTTTGTGTATTGTTTGCTGTGATATACTTTTAAATAAACATATTTAGGATCAAACTGTAAAGATAATAGTTATATTCTTAGTGTGCCTAAGTACCAGAGAAATTCAGTGGAATCTACATTTCTTTGGATTGTGACTAATATGTTTTAGAAGTATATTTGTCATATATCAGTTCCTTAAAAGCAGGTAAACTTCCAAGGTACAAAAATTGGTAAAAGATCTGGTGATTTGGTGCCCCTTAAATATTAACATAAAAGTAGAACCTGCAGCAAAATATTGCTCATGTTCAGAGTTCAGCTTTTCCAGGATAGTCCATTCCATCTCCTCCCTGTCAGTATTCTGTGCCCACTGAGAATGGTCAAGTTTTTTGTGGCTGTTTTTTGAGCTGTAGATTCAGGTAGGTAGCCATGTTGATCTGACACAATTGAAATAAAAATAATAAAAAAATTAAAAATTGTCCAGTAGCACCTTATAGACCAAGTTTGTTCTGGTATAAGCTTTCATGTGCATGCACACTTCTTTTGAGCTGTTGTTTTTGATTCCTCCCGTTTAGGTTTTTCCTGCCAAATGTTTTTTTCGGGGGAGGGGACTTTAGCAATCCTTGGGTTTCCCCAAGGCTTTGTTGAAGGTATTTTATTGGTTTGGCTACGTGAATATTGGCACTTGAAAAACAAGTTTGCTATTTGTATATACTAGGATACTGTATATTGTACCATAAACTTTAATACAAAGTAATGAACATTCTCTGTAACTTTCAGAACCTTCTTTATTTACTCTTCTAACTTCAGAGCAGCTAATTGGGATTTCAATTATAGCTATGGGAGCTGTCATCCAAAATGTCTGGAAGATACCAGGCAAAGCCTGATCTAAACAGAAATGGGGTCAGTGTACAAAAGGTTAATGTGTAGTTAGTAAGGGATTATTTTAGACTGAGGTCCTTTCATACCTGCAATTGACTTATAATAAATTGCTAGGGAAAGACTAGTTATTACCCAGAACAATATTATTCTTGCCTTTTCCTTTGGAATGTTTAACATGGTGTGGCCTTATATGGTTTTGCTTCTCTTCTCCTGCCTTATTAGTTTGCCTATTCCAAAACTTGAAGACACAATCAGAAGATACCTAAATGCTCAAAAGCCTCTTTTAGATGATGCCCAATTCAGGTAAGAAAAAAGAAGACATCAAAGACAGTATATATATCAACAGTAGCAATGTTGAAGGATTATGCACCTCTGTAGGGAGGGAGTTACACAGTTTGGAGGCCACCACAGAAAGGACCTTGTCTCTCAGGCCCACCAGTACCATCAGCCTGGCAGGTGGGCATATGAGCAGAGCTTCTGAGGCAAATCTCAATACAGTCGTATTGGATCCTGAACACCTTGCAAGTCAAACGTTTTGGCTCCCAAATGCCACAAACCCATAAGTGAGTGTTCTGGTTTGCGAACGTTCTTTGGAACCCGAACATCTGACGCAGTTTCTGATTGGCTGCAGGAGCTTCCTGCAGCCAATCAGAATCCGTGCCTTGGTTTCCAAAAGTTTTGGAAGTCGAACGGACTCCTAGACTGTATTCTAGGAGACTTGTATTGTGTTCCTGGTCTTTTAGAGGACATGGGCTCAAGCCACTGGTGGTTTAAAGGTCAAAATCAACACTTTGAATTGGATTCAGAAACACAACCTGCAACCAGTACAACTGGTACAGAATAGGAGTTGCATTCTGTGATTACTGTGCACCATCTAGCAACCAAGCAGCAGCATTCTGCACCAGTTGAAGTTTCTCAACTTAGAGGCAGCAGTCAGCCCACAGTTGTCTGTCCTAGATGTGAATAGTGTGTCGATTACTGAGGCAAGGTCTGATCTCTCTAGGTAAGGCAATAGCTTGCATCCTAGCCTCAGCAGGAAAAAGGTGCTCCTAACCACAGATGTAACCTGTGCTTCCACAGACAGTCCCAAGTCCAGGAGAACCGCCAAACAACAAATGTAGTCGTTCAGGAGAGTTCGATCCTATCTCTTTAGCCAGATAATTTGGCTTCCCCACCCAGCACAGGTGTCTTGCCTAGATACAGTTTTAGCTAATTGCCCTCATCCAGTGAAAACTGTTTCCAGGTACCTGTTAAGGTTTCACAGGCTCCTTGGGATTAACAGCTGAAAGAGAGAGGTAGAGCTAGCTGTCATCCACGTATTGGTGACACTCAACCTCTGGGTGAGTTCTCCCAGCACTTTCATATAGGTGTAAACCAGAATAGAACCTTGATGCCAAAGGCCAAGGGGCACAACTTTCTGGAACTGATCCTCCATGAGAGACTGGCACCAACACAATAGTGTGCCCCCCGTGCTAACCCAGCAAGATGGCCCAGAAGGATACCATGACTGATAGTAGCGAGTGCAACAGAGAGATTCAAGGGGATCAATAGAATTGCACTCCCCTTGTCCAGTTCATCATACATCACCCAGCAGGAAAACCAAGGCTGATTCTGTCCTGAATCTGGGCTGAAAACTGGACTGACGTGGTTTTTTAAAAAAAATCAGTATTCTCCCAAGATTGCCTGGCTGCTCCCTGAGTGGCAGGTGTGAGCCTAGAACATCAAACCCTCCATGAAATATTAACCATTTCTGAAATGCAAGTCTTCAAACTGTAGACTTCAGTTTACTTATATCACACCAGGTTGCCTGAGCTGACAGGTATCTATGATAACATAGTAGCACAGTGCACCAGTCCAAACTAGTTCTTGTATCCTTACACATTCAGCATAGTGATTACAGAACCTTCTTCCAGTATAGATCCAGAATGGATCAACTTCAGCCTTTGAATTAACAGCAGCCTTTCCTCATTCTTAGCCAGGAGCATTTGCAACATCAAGGGTGGGGAAGGGAGGCATCATACCAGTCCAGCCACACGGGATGCTTTTCCTCTTGACTCTCAGAAAGGCATCACAATTTTACTTAATTTCTCTCTCTCTCACTCTCTCTTTTTAAAGGAAAACAGAACAACTCGCTGTCAATTTTAGGGATGGAATTGGTAGAGAATTACATGAGCAGTTGGTTGCACAAGACAAGCAAAATAAGCACACTAGTTATATTTCAGGTAAGGAAGTAATTGTGAAACCTGCTTTGCATTCTTGCTATCTGTTCCTAAAACTGCTTGCTTGAGAACAGACTAGAATTTGGCATGTTAGAGGGCACACTCTGATCATTAACTCTTGCTGCAGCTTGCTTACTTGCATGAATCTTTTGAATGCTCAACATTTGATTCTCTGTGGCATGTCTAAATTGATGTCATTAAAGTTCATTCACACCTGCAAGTCACCCGGATGCTTTAGCCAGCAAAGTGATAAACAGGCATGTTTATCATTAACCTTAGTTATCATTAACCTTAGTTTCAGGTTAATGAAGCTGGATACTCTCTGATTTGAAATGCTCTTTTCGAATGTTACAATCAGTACTCCAAAACAACTGACTTATCTTTTTCCCTGAAATAGCAAGATGTCATGGAAACATCTTCACTTGGCAAGTAATGTTGACCCAGACATATTCTTTAAAGTACAGACAACCAGAATCAAAGTATCAACAACATAAAGAGTGCATGGTCCCCTGATCACAGCACCATTCATTACTTTAGGCACGTTTGGTTCTGAAGACTTCATTCTGCAGTGTCTTGCTTCTTGGTTTACAAAGTCTAATATGGACTTCTAATCCCATAAGAATATGATGTCTTGGACTGAAAGGTCATTTTATGCAGAGAGAGGGAGAAGTGGTTGCATAGGCAGATTCCTGGAGCTGTGTTGATGGCTCCAGCGTTGGAACTTGAGGTCATGGCTAACTGCTAGGTCACTGTGCATGCTGAGGGCCTCAGGTTTAATCCCTGGCATCTCTAGTTAAAGGATTTCAGGTAGTACATAGGCACCACCTCTGCCTGTGACGTTGGAGAGATGCTGCTAATTGGAACAGACAGTAGTGAACTAGATGGGTCAGTGGTCTGACTTGGTATAAGACAACCTCTTGTATCGCATCTCTTGCCTTGGAAAGTGGTGATGAAGGAAATGGGAAGGAAAGCTACCACTACAATAAAATATCCTAAGTTGTATCCAATGTAGTACTAAGTGAATGCTCCATCAGTGCAAGGATCTCTGCTTGTGCAATGGAACAGTCTTCCCCTTTGTGCCCCTTAAATTTGTTCTAGGGGTTCCCCCACCCTCTGGAGCAGATTTGGTGAGGGCGCAGTGTGGGTGGATGGGATAAATTAGCTGAATGCCCCCTGTGTAATTCTTGAACAGAAAGCACAATGAAGGGGAATAGTTGCTGCAGTGATCCAATGAATGACTCAAACCACATGTAAATCTATTTCAGGATGTCGAAGCAAGTCCCATCTTTGGAGAATCCAGCTTAGTCCATACTATAAGATTGCTTGCCTTTGAGAAGGCAGGCAGGATGACAGAGAGAGAACAGCATTTCTTTTATCAAAGAACAAGAAAGATGAAAGATGCAGACAGCAAGACCAGAGAATAAAGAAAAGGAGAAATTTAATAGGACAGAAGTGATTGAAAGAGACATAGACAGAGGAAAGCAAGCAAGAGAATGTCTAGTGTTTAGGTTAGTGATTTTTATTAATTTAGCCCCCTAAGGCGTGTTGTTGTTGTAGCTTATAAGGAGATCGATGGAGAGCAGAAGTGTTTATGTACAGAGCAAACCTGGTATCTGTAAATTCCACCATATTCTCCACTATTGTAATTCCTCATCAAATTAGCTCACTGACTACTGCGTGGTAGCAATGCCTGACACCCAAGATACTCAGCACCGCACATAAATGAATGTGAAACTAGTGAGTGTGAACTGTAATACTTTCTTTTCCTTTTTTGATACTCAAGAACGTTAAAATGATGTTGAAGGTGAGCCAAAGGGTGATGTCCATGCTATAGCCATGGATTTAAAGGTTCTTCTTCTTCTTCTTTGGCGATCACTCGTAGCTGAGTAAGATTGTCTTCCATTTTAACAATGAATCCGTAAGTGACTGTGGAGGCCAATTCTGGACCCACACGTCCTTCCACAGTGGGGACATTGGTTCCCGGGCAGGAGTTGAAAAGGTTCTGCACTGAATATGGCTGACATTCAAAGGGGGGGGGGGGAGAGAATTTACATGTTAGTTCTGCTGTTGCAGTTGTCATGTGAAAGAGGAGACTCCTGTTCTCTTTTTTTATTCATTTGATCTTACTTGAAAATGAAGTAGTGCCTGACTATTCCTGCATTGCAGGGGTTTGAACTAGATGACCCGTGGGGTCCCTTCCAACTCGACAGTTCTATGATTCTAAGACATTCATCTATTTTTCATTTGTCTGTGATGAATAGGAGAATGAAAGGTAAGGGTCTCCCTTCCTAGTAAACAGGCAGTGACCTAGTTGATGTTGATACAGGGATAAGTGGGCATTTGCAGATGAAAGAGCAAATCATTCAAGCCTAATGGCTGCAAATAATTCAAGCCATCACCACACAACATAGAGCTGAACTATTTTGCAGTGAAGGTGTAAGTGTTGCCCAATCCCCTGAGGACTGGAATTGGTGGGCTAAATATGTGCAATATCATCATCATCAAACCTTTTATTGGCATCACATACAAACATCCAAAACAAATCAATACAGAATTACCACTTCCCCAGTGGCACAAAACATTTGCTAAAAGAAAGGAGGCAGAGCAGTTTCTTGGTCTCCAGGGATATGTGCAATATGTTCCATTGCCCCCCATCATTGCCACTCTTTTGTCATACGTATCTCATACCATGATTGCTTGTATATAAAACATACAGCTCATTGGTTTTGTTGATACCTGTGGTTGATTTTCTTAAGTATTTACTGAAGTAATTGTGTGTGTGTGTGTGTGTGTGTGTGTGTGTGTGTGTGTGTGCATATGCCTGCTGTATTATTATTCTATAAAAAATGAAATGGCTGATAACACACACACATGAAAATTTAAAATTGAAGACCACCCACTAACGATTATGGAAAGATGCTTTCTTAATTGCCTGGATAAGCCAGGCAGCATGGGAAAATTTTCAGCAGGCGTTTAACGGTTGAAACAGAAGGTGGCTTGTGCATCTCTGTTGGCAGAGCATTTCACAGGACTGGGTAACTTCCTTACCTAAGATTTAAATTTGGCTTGGGCTTTCTCTGGAATGCTTTATGACTGAAAGAGGGCATGCTAAACACTAAAGGGAATGTTCAATTTTACATTTCCCTAGGCTTTCTGTTGTATTGCTATTTAAAAACTATCATGCTGTAAACTTTGAACGTTACTAAGCTATAAAACTGAAGAATTTTCAAAGCATCAGCTTGAAAATTATTCTAATGCATTTATGTTACTGCTTGAACTGTGTAGAGTGTTGCCTTTCATCTCCCACTAAAATTTACTTTGCAGCCCCTGTATTTGTGAAGAAAAACCACAGGTTTTAAGCCAAGTGTAAAATTCAGTTACTTTAGTGGCTAGAATGAAGACAGGGATTAGACATGAAACCGTGGCTGAGGAACTGAGACTTGTTGCAGAAAAGAGGAAGAGGAAGGAACAGAAAAGGTAAAGGAAGATGGTGAGGAAAGAGCAGAAGTGGATAGGCAGGTAAACAAGTAAATGTTCTTTCTCTCTTCCCCCTCCCCTCACCCAAGACGACACAACACAATGGTATGTCAAAGAGGAGAACAAATTGTGAATGGATCATAGATGCAAAATTGTAGCCCTCAAGCAATAAACATATATTATGCATGTTAATTCCACAAAGAAGAAATCAGAAGGTGTTATATTTTGGATTGCAGGAGCTTAGAAACCTAGTGTATTTACCATACCTCCTGGCCCACAAATTAAAAAAAGAAGGTTCCTCTCATAAACACTTGCCCACATTTCATGTTTATGAGCCTTGTTTGTCTTGTGGTCTTTTGTGTTGATCTGTTCTGTCCGCCTCTCGATTTTAGGTCCCTGGTTTGACATGTACTTACGGGCACGTGAATCGGTGGTTCTGAACTTCAATCCTTTCATGGCTTTCAACCCTGACCCCAAAGCTGAATACAACGACCAGCTTGTGAGAGCGACTAACATGACTGTTTCTGCTCTGCGTTTCTTGAAGACCCTCAGGGCTGGCTTCTTAGAGCCAGAGGTTTTTCATCTCAACCCATCCAAAAGCGACACACAAGCTTTCAAAAGGTTCATTCGGTTTGTGCCTTCCTCTCTCTCGTGGTTTGGTGCCTATATGGTGAATGCCTACCCACTAGACATGTCCCAGTACTTCAGGCTATTTAATTCCACACGGCTGCCTAAGCTCAACAAGGATGAGCTGTTTACGGATGAAAGTAAGCGGCACTTATTAGTGCTTAGAAATGGAAACTTCTATGTGTTTGATGTTCTAGATAGAGATGGGAACATAGTGGCGCCTTCAGAAATTCAAGCACACCTAAAATACATCATTTCCGACAGCAGCCCAGTTCCAGCGTTCCCTCTTGCTTGCTTGACTAGCGAAAACAGGGATACATGGGCACGGCTGAGACAAGAGCTACTTGAGAATGGCAATAAGGAAGCTTTAACAAAGGTGGATTCCGCAATCTTCTGCCTGTGCCTTGATGACTTTCCAATTAAAGATCTCAACCACTTGTCCCATACCATGCTCCACGGTGATGGAGTCAACAGGTGGTATGACAAATCCTTCAACCTTATTTTAGCCAAAGACGGCACCGCAGCAGTTCACTTTGAGCACTCCTGGGGAGATGGTGTAGCTGTACTCAGATTCCAAAACGAAGTGTTTAAAGACAGTACCCAGTCGCCTGTGATTGCTCCTCTGTCTCAGCCTGCTGCGGTTGATTCTGCCGCAGCTGTACAGAAGCTGAGCTTTAAATTGAACGATGCCTTAAAAGAAGGAATTACCAAGGCCAAACAGAATTTTGATGCCACTATGAAAACGCTGACTCTGGAGGCCATTCAGTTTGAAAAAGGAGGCAAGGAGTTCCTGAAGAAGCAGAAGCTGAGTCCTGATGCTATAACGCAACTTGCCTTCCAGGTGGCTTTTCTACGGCAATATGGCCAAACTGTTGCCACCTATGAATCTTGCAGCACAGCAGCATTCAAACACGGTCGCACCGAAACCATCCGTCCTGCCTCAGTTCATACAAAAAAGTGTTCAGAGGCTTTAGTCAGGAATCTGCCCAAGCACAGTGCCGCAGAACTGCAGCAGATGATTGCGGAGTGCTCCAAGTTCCACAACCAGCTCACAAAAGAAGCTGCTATGGGTAAGTGGCAAGGTGACTTGCGAAGCCGCCTCACTCAGTTCGTTTTTTAGCATCGGATGCAGTCCCTCTCCCCAGTGGCTTCAGTCAAGGTAGACAATGGGTTCAGAGCAATTTTCACCTTGACGCATAGTGTCTTGCTGGACCTTTGCATCACATTCACTCACACAGCTAGCGTGTTTGCAGAGTTAAATACGTTCCCTACATTTAAATAGCATTTTGAAAAGACTTATCCAGAATCTGACTTCATTATATTAAAGTTTGAAAAATACTTATTTGCAATATGCAAAACAGCCTTTCCACGTACATTTTAATTTTATCCTTGTGTTACTGTAGTGAGTTGGATCTAAAGATGCTTTTCTATTCATGACAAGGACTTGTTTCTGTAAAGGAGGTTGGGGAGTAATTACCACCAATTTCTCCATCCCATTTCCCAGGCTATTCTGAAGGGTTCCCCCAGTCCTCTGGAGAAGATTTTCAAATGGCTGAAATTTTTTTTGGTACTCCCTTGTTTGCTTGAGTTTCTACTGCAGCCTTCTCAGCCTGGTTCCCTTCAGATGTTGTTTGATTACAACTCCAATCAGCTCCCCAAGCCAGCATGACTGATGCTCGGGGTGATGGGAGTTGTAGTCCAAAACATCTGGAGGGACCCAGGTTGGGGAAGAGTTCTCTACTGCAAGGCCTTTCAGCAAAGAAAAAGGGCAACTTTGGATAGTTTAGTTGTGGTTTTAGTATTTGTTTGAACAAATGAGAAAGAAGTCACATATTTTGGCACAACAGCACTTTTTTTTTAAAACCTAGCAAGAGCAGCTTGTCTATTAACTTTGTGGCTTTGGAAGTGGAGTTAAGCCAGGGGTAGGCAACCTAAGGCCCATGGGCCAGATGCGGTCTAATCGCCTTCTCAATCCAGCCCATGGACAGTCCAGAAATCAGTGTGTTTTTACATGAGTAGAATGTGTCCTTTTATTTAAAATGCATCTCTGGGTTATTTGTGGGGCATAGGAATTCATTCATCCCCCCCACCCCCCAATATAGTCCGGCCAACGGCTGAAAAAGGTTGCTGACTCCTGAGTTAAGCCATAAATACAGGCAGTGTCATTCATTACTGCATTTTGTCTTGACAGGTCAGGGATTTGATCGACACTTGTATGGCTTGCGGCATCTGGCAGAATCCAAAGGTATCCCTCTGCCAGACTTTTACCAGGACCGAGCTTATGCCCAGATTAATCATAACATTCTCTCCACAAGCACTCTGAGCAGTCCTGCTGTGAATATGGGTGGATTTGCACCAGTGGTGCCTGATGGTTTTGGTGTTGGATATGGAGTTCATGACAACTGGATTGGATGTAATGTTTCTGCCTACCCGGCTAGGAACGTGCAAGAATTCCTCCAGTGTGTATACAAGTCACTAGAGGATATTTTCAATGTTTTGGAAGGTAAACTTGGTAGCAAGTAAGACACATCAGGGCTGGTCTTCTGAAACGAATCTTCAGCCCAGAATTTCTGTACAGCACCTATTGCTTTGTAATTCCTCGGGGGGGGGGGGGGAGCTTTCCAGGGGAGAAGATCATGAATTTGATTCTGATGCACAGCTCATTCTAATAATACTGATTATAAAATAATTCTGCCTTTGTGAGAACATGTCTTTGCTGACAGGTACCAGAACAAAGTTTCCAGCTTGCACGAGGTATGGCATAGTCTTCGTTCCTCACAAATAATGTATGTGGACTTACAGGACGCAGACTGTTAATATATAGCTAATGCTCTTATCGTCATTCAGATGTATCAGACCAAAGCCCATTCAATTCAGCATTCAGTTGGTATTCAGAGGCCACCTGACTCCAACACTGGAGATGGCACTGCAGCTGTCATTACCAGTAGCCACTGATATTCTTATGCTTCATGAATTTGTCTAAATCCTCTCTAAAGCTATTCAAGTGAGTGCTATGGCTACATCTTAAGGTAGCAAATGTGCTATATGAATTAGTACTTCCTTTTGTCTGTCCTGACTCTTCCAATATCCAGCTTCATTAGATGACCCCAAATTCTAGTGTTATGAGATGGTGCATAATTTTATACACCTCTATAATGTTGTTCACCTTTTTTCTAAACTAAAAAGCTCCAAATGTTGTCACATTTCCTAATAAGTGGGTTGTTCCAGCCCAATGATAAATCTTTGTTGCTCTTTTCTGAACTTTTTCCAGCTCTACATTCTTTTTGAGGTGCACTGATGACCAGAAGTATATTTGAAGTGTGGTTACACCGTAGATCTGTATAATGGCATCATGTCATCGGCTGTTTTATTTTCAGTCCCTTTCCTAATGATCTCTAAAATGGTATGTTAGTTCAGACTCAGGGATCTGCCCTCCATCTTCAACAGTGAATACAGATGCAAAGAATTAACTCAGCTTCCTGTAATCTCTTTTTCTTCCCTTGTCTTTAACAGGTTAGCTGCCTCCCTAGTCTTTTTGTTGTTGTTGTTGCTTCTAATGTATTTAAATAATTGTTTTGTCAGTCTTTGCTGGGATGGCATGCTTCTTTTTAAAATTCCCCATTGTCTGCTTGCATTTCTTTCCCCCCCAATTTTATGTTTCTTTTGTTCATTTGAACAAGGCTTCCATTTTCAGAAACTTCTTACCTCTAACAGCTTCCTTGATTCTGCTAGTTAACTACACTGGAATACTCTCAGGCTCGGTGATATCAGTGCTATTTTTCTAGAAAAAGAGGTGCCAGAACTCACCATGAACACCTTCCTTGTCCTTTTACTGTATACAGTGGTACCTCGGGTTAAGTACTTAATTCGTTCCGGAAGTCCGTTCTTAACCTGAAACTGTTCTTAACCTGAAGCACCACTTAAGCTAATGGGGCCTCTTGCTGCTGCCGCGCCACCGGAGCACGATTTCTGTTCTCATCCTGAAGCAAAGTTCTTAACCTGAAGCACTATTTCTGGGTTAGCGGAGTCTGTAACCTGAAGCGTATGTAACCCAAGGTACCACTGTAATGGCAAATGGCACCCACCTGACAGGTGCCGGAACTGAGTTTCAGCCCTAAACGTTCCCATGTAAGAATCTAAATACATGCACATGAAATATATGTATTTAAAAAAACAGCTGCCTTATTTTTGTTGATCAAGCAGAATGTTAATCTAAAATGTGCCTTTGTTGGAAACCATTTTGCTTCAGAAGGTTTAAAGTGAAACTCAAATGTGAACTGTTAGCAATCTTCCATCAAATATTCAGATGGTTGCAGAATGTACTTTTATTATAATAAACAGTCTAAAAAATGCTGGCCTGGATAATAACATTACTTGCATGAACTTCAACTTTCCCATCTTCCCCTCCCTTCTACAGTCATCTGCATCTCTCACCCCAAAAGCCTCTCTAGAAGGCCTGGGGCTGCACCTGAACAATATAGAATTGTATTATTAATTAAGACTGTTTAGTCAGCTAACCTTGGAAATCTAATTAGATATATCCAATAGCTTCTTAAGATTTCAAAATACATTTCTACCTAGAAGGCACTTGCAATTATACATAAATGTGAGAGAAGCCAAGAACTTTAATGGCAATAATAGTTATTACAATAGGTGAGCAATCATCTTTCCCACCCTCCTATGAAAGCTCTTGGTCCTTACATGAATAAACAATCAAATTCTTTGAAGAGGCAATCCCAGCATTAACCTAACTGTAAGCATGATAAAAACTAGTATATTTTTCTACATAAATATTCTTATTTGCATTTATTCTTTAGAGTTTGGTATAATAAAAAAGATAAGCCCACAAGTGTTGAAAAATAAATCCTGAAGAAAGTATAAGACTTTTATTCTAGGTTCTGTAAACACAATTTAAACATGGCCACATAGAAAATTATCCCACACAAAACAAAAGCTTCAACATTTGACAAACCTATGTGTCACTTCATAGATGCCAACAGATTCCTTTATTTTTTCATCGTAGTCATTCCAGTCCTGTGGAGTTAAATACACATTACAATTTTAGAATTCTCTGCTTAGGAGTCCAGCCTGAATTTCAGGCACATTATGAACTTCCTTGCAACCCTAGTATTTTTTAAAAAAAATTAGCTTCAAGTTGAACATTTTTAGCATAAGGAATCAGATTTTCTGTGTGTGAAGTCCACAATCTTACTAATAGACAGGCTTGCCATCTCCCCTGGTTGAAAGGATTAAATTTGTTGAGCTATTGGTGGGTCACCAGACAGACTGATCTTTGTGCCAAGAAATGGAGCTGATCCAGACACTGCTGCTCACAGCTGAGGAAGGCTATGAGTGAAGATTTGCTAGCCTGAGTTTTCCAAGAGTTTATCTGACACCATCTAACACTATAGAGAACAACAGTGAAGTCAATCTGAATTTGTATTCCCGGGACTTGTATTTCTGCATATATTAAATACTCCAGGGCTGCACCTGTCCCTACATTATACTACCACAAAGTTGGAGTTTCTCTGGAGCTTCTCATGCCGCTCCCATGGGATCTTTCTTTGGTACATAAATAGCAGTGTTAGAAAGGTATTCTTGCTGATATTGTGATTGAGAAAGCTCACACCCCCCTTGCCAGAAATCTTGAGGCTGCCCTGTTATCATTCTGGCTGCTATTTCTGTAATTAAAATATGCCCTTTATTTCCGTTAACATTACATCTAGTTTGGCTGCAAGAAGGTAAAAGGAATATCGAGAACCACAAAGCCCAAAGAAGAAAGATTGCCATCTAGAACTTGTCAGATGAGAGGTTTGATTTAGTAAAGTCATCCTGCCTTTACTTGAGAGCCTTCCCGTTTTGCACGAAGCAAGCAGGATAACCTCTTCCGGCCCCAAAAACTTTATAGTGGTGGATACATTTAATATAAGGATGCGGGGCTAACTTTTCAAATGGAAAAGTTTGAAAAGTCTGTTTGGGTGGGTAGAGGGGCAGGTGAGGTTATTTTAATAGATTTTTTTTTCAGAGACAGTACCTTTTCCAACAAGTTGATGTCATCAAAACGTGTGCCAGATTCTGCGCCTTCTGCAGAAAACCCAGCCTATAAACATAGAAATCTCTTTAGAACACAACAAAGGAACTCTCCTGTGTGACAAAGGGGATCTATACATAACTATATAGATCTATATAGAACTATACATTCCTGCACCAGATCTGAATTCCTGGAAACACATGGCTGAGATGCCATCCATGGGGACAGCTGTGTGGGAAGGACCATTTCTCATTGGTTCAGCAGCTGTGTTGCATGAAGGTAGCCCCTGAAGGACCAGGTGCGCAGCCTGGGAGTCATTTTAGACTCACAGCTGTCCATGGAGGCACAGGTCAAATCTGTGTCCAGGGCGGCTGTCTACCAGCTCCACCTGGTACACAGGCTAAGACCCTACCTGCCCGCAGACTGTCTCGCCAGAGTGGTGCATGCTCTAGTTATCTCCCGCTTGGACTACTGCAATGCACTCTACATGGGGCTACCTTTGAAGGTGACCCGGAAACTGCAATTAATCCAGAATGCAGCAGCTAGACTGGTGACTGAGTGGCCGCCGGGACCACATAACACTGGTTCTGAGAGATCTGCATTGGCTCCCAGTACGTTTCCGAGCACAATTCAAAGTGTTAGTGCTGACCTTTAAAGCCTAAATGGCCTTGGTCCTGTATACCTGAAGGAGCGTCTCCACCCCCATCGTTCAGCCCGGACACAGATCCAGCACCGAGGGCCTTCTGGCGGTTCCCTCATTGCCAGAAGCGAGGTTACAGGGAACCAGGCAGAGGGCCTTCTCGGTAGTGGCGCCCACCCTGTGGAACACCCTTCAGATGTGAAGGAAATAAGCAGCTATCCTATATTTAAAAGACATCTGAAGGCAGCCCTGTTTAGGGAAGTTTTTAATATTTAATGCTATATTGTTTTTAACACTTGATTGGAAGCTGCCCAGAGTGGCTGCGGAAGCTCAGCCAGATGGGCGGGGTATAAATAATAAATAATAATAATAATAATAATAATAATAATAATAATAATAATAATTTCCTGGCATGTCTAGGGAAGGCTTTGAAAAGACTCCATGCTGAAACCCTGGAAGGCTACCTGTTGATCTGTCGCATCAAAAAGTAGACTCTTGTGGCACCTTGAAGTCTAAATCCCACATCCAACTAAGTTTTGCTCATCCTGACAAGGATGAATCTAACTTAGTCTACATCTATGACTAGCACTGGATTCAGCCCTAACAGATTTACTGCAGCATAACTTAAGTGTTTATTGCGTAAAGATGCTCTGTGCTACAAGAAGTCTTAAGTCTTTGTATTATGTAAGATTTTATAAAGAGATCCAAACACTGTATTTTGTTTAGTAGAGAACTGAAATTTTTGCTAGAGTGTCTTGGCAGGTGGTTGGACTCGATGGCCCTTGTGATCTCTTCCAACTCTATGATTCTATGAATGGGCCAGCTGCCCCCTGCTGGCTGTTAAAGGAAGAAGCAGCATTCAGACATATTACAGAGGAAATAGCAATGATCAATGTAAATAATTTAATGTATAATTCCCAATACCTAGACTCCTTGTTTCCTGGTAGATGCTAATAGAATGACTACACCACCTCCCTCTGCAATATACAGTACTTTATCCATTTTTTTAAGCAGGCTGCCTTTGGACAAAAGGAAAAAATTCAGGGCCACTGACCCTGCAAGGTTTGTGACCTGTGCAGATATAAAACTAGAACGTATATCTACATGAACATGTGGAGTCTCCTGTGCTGATTCTCCCTTATCCAGTCTCAGAATTTCCTACCACCTGCTGCGTGCTGAAAATTCGTAGGATTTTGGGTGCTGCATAATTTCAGGATTTTCAGAATATACTGTACTGGGAGGAATTCAAGGAAGCACTAAGCAGTTTGCTCCATCAGCAGAAGCATTTATGCTTGCCTAACTGAACAATCTGCCCCCTCCCCCCTCTGTCCCGGGGATTCCTCAAGCCTCTCCATTGGCAGCGTGGGGGGGGGGGGAGTCCTGTTGTGCTAGCAGAAGTCCTTGCGTGAGCTTCCACTGTTGGTGGAATCCTGCCCAATAGCTTGTAAATGTACCTATTGCACATGCCACTTTATCAAGAAATACATGTCTAGGAAATCACCATCTGCCTCTTGCCTCCTGGCTGTGTTACTAGGTCCCAAAGGGACTATTTACTGAAAAGCAAGTTGAATTATAATTCAGGGTTCATGTTCAGCAGAACATTCATGAGAACTTGCCTGTGGTTGAAAGTCCACTGGTTCAAGGCCACGGCACTCAAACTCCACTATGGTCTTAAATGTCTCATTGTCTTCAGCCTAGGATGAAGCCAAAGTAACAGAGGAATAAAAATAGGCAGAACACAAAATTTCCAAAGTTATCATATCCCATAAAGATACAAAATAATGCAATGATTCTAACACTAATAAGTTACTCAGAAACTTTTGTTGGTCTCCATTAATAGTTTCAATCTCCCAGGAAAAGGAGATAAGCAATCATTCAAGTGTTATTTAAAAAGGAAAAAGGAAATGTACATTCTACCTTGAACACTGAAGCTTATTTTAAGCTACAGGCTGTAGTGAAATAATCAACAATCAAATATCTGTTGAATCAAGCATGCATTGAGTAGGACAAATTAATAAAAATAGGTTACATCTTCCTATCCAATGGATTTGAAATATCCTCAGAATGTATCACTACATTTCTGTAGAGTTCTGCATGCTCAAATAATGCTTTCATATAAAGCAGCACAAATATTTTCCCTCTCTATCCTAGAGTGGCAAAAATACAAACATTTGGGAAGGTCCTGTGACTGAATCACCTACAATGCAATTCTAGGCACAGCTACTCAGAAGTAAGTTCCAAGTTCAATGGAACTTATTTCCAGGTAAGTGTTTCTAGGATTGAAGACTAAATTAATCTGCCCAATTGTCTTCCTCACACTGCAGAATCTAAGGGGATCTCACTACACATGGAAAACAAGAACACATCCACCACTCAGCTTTCCATGTGCAGACAGAATATCAACACAATACGAATAATTAGTATCCATCATAATTTGCTTGGTTCTCTATGGGCTGAGCTCCAACAAAATTGTCAGGGAGAAGAAGAAGAAGAAGAAGAAGAGTTTGGATTTGATATCCTGCTTTATCACTACCCGAAGGAGTCTCAAAGCGGCTAACATTCTCCTTTCCCTTCCTCCCCAACAACAAACACTCTGTGAGGTGAGTGGTGCTGAGAGACTTCAAAGAAGTGCGACTAGCCCAAGGTCACCCAGCAACTGCATGTGGAGGAGCGGCGATGCGAACCTGGTTCCCCAGATTACGAATCTACTGCTCTTAACCACTACACCACACTGGCTCTCAATGGGAGGTTTACAATGGGGAATCATAATACAAACATGAATGTATACCCATATGTAATTCCAGGTACTTGTGTTTATATCCCATTTATAGTACTAGCCACATGCAGAGAGTCATTCAAAACTGTGGCTATGTGGATCAAGCCCAAGAAGACCAGTATACCACATCCACAATAACAAAAATACAACAAAACTTACATTGTAAGGCTTCATTGTATGACTTAAGATATCTGAAAGAAGTGGAAAATACATAGCAATGAAGCACATCTATGAAAGAACAGTGGAAATCACATTGTGTGCATCATTTCCTTTGGTATCAACCAGTTTTGAAAACCAGATGTCTCCACTTATAAATCCAGGAAAGGAGAAAAAGTAGATGACGTGTAGCTGTGTACTCCTAACCAAGTAAGTTCTACTGAATTCTGCAAAGCGAGTTTAAGACTGCAACCTGAGCCATCTACAGTGTGATCCTAATTCCCCCTCCTGCCAGTGAGGATGCCCACATACCCTGTAACTAGAAGTTTTTTTAGCTAGTAAAGCAGAGTGGAGGGGCTCCTTTGCTCGATCCACCACCACTTCCTAGCCCGGCATCGGGAGAGATACAATTGGTTTGTTCTGTTGGCTCTCCCTTTCCAAGAATGGCAAGCTTCCTAAGGGAGGAAAAAAATGGCAACAGTTTGGCAGGATGCTTGTAAATCTTAGTTTAAATGGGAAATAAAATCATTGGAATATATATATATACACACACACACACACACACACACACAAATATATATATATATATATATATATATATATATACATACACACACACACACACACACACACACAGTGGTAGCTTGGTTTAAGAACAGCTTAGTTTATGAACAACAATTAAGAAAGCTGCAAACCCATACGTAGTTGTTTCGGTTTGTGAACTTTGCCTTGGAAGCAGAACATGTTCTGCTTTCTGTTGAGTGTGTTCCATTTGTAAATTGAGTCCCCCGCTGCTATGGGAAAGCATGCCTTGGTTTAAGAATTCTTTGGTTTAAGAACGGACTTCCGGGACGGATTAAGTTAGTAAACCAAGGTACCACTGTATACACATAAAAACAAACAAAACCGCTTAGCTACTTCACATTTGGCCCATTCAAAAATAGAATGTGAACGAATACATGGGGGTAAAGGCTGCAATCCTATACATACTTACCTAGGAGCAAGCCCTATGGAACTCACTTCTAAGTAGACATATACAGAATTGCACAAAAAGACCTGCACTGGAACTACTGCTGAGCATTATTATGCCAAACAGTGAAGTCCTGTTTAGCTGTGCAGCACTTAGTCACTTGGGCCTTGCAGTCATTTGCTGTTTATTGTCAGTTCCACTTACACTTTCCTTCAACATTTAACTGAGCGTTTACTATCTGTACTGCAAACATCACTGCTGGCATGCTCAGCGCCCCTTAACATGGCTGCCTGTCAGAACTAGGCAAACTTCATGGGACTTTCGCTTGTCAGGGTACAAAAAAAATGTGTGTGGATGGGAATGACACAAACTGGGTCTGGCTGTTTTCCACAGGCTGCACACGGTGTCCTTATGAGACAGCATTTCTTACCTACTTCCCCTTTGCCCCTTGGATGTCATACAATTGTGCTTGTAGCATGGCAATACTGCAATGTCTGTGAGAAAATGTTGATAATAATAGAAGTCCACTTGAAAGGGGGTGAGGAGCGAGGCGAAATAGAAGTGCATTCAAAAATAGGAACAAGGGAAGAATAGACAACTAGGCTCAAATACAGCATAAAGCAAATGGAACCAGCAATGCTGGAGGCAGAGGCTGCATGGTAAGGATGATTTTAATAGTGACACTATACAACAGAAGTGAAAATCCTTATAAGGTTAGCAAAAATGGAATGCCATTTCTTCCAGCTTGGAATAAAGCTTGGAAAGATCGTACTCAATAGTCCCTGGCTTTGGGGGAATATTACCCCCCCCCCCAATTGTATTTTCTTAGAAGATATCCCTCTAATTTAGTATATTCTGCCCTCCATTTTGAAAATCTAACTAGGTCCCACAGCCTGCAGAGAATCAAGTTTTCGGCTTCTTTGTGCCTTCATGCCAAAGGCATGAGGTGCATGAATAGGCTTACCTATGGAGTTTTCTCGGGAGCACAGTTTGCATTTCTGCACCATTGTGGCACTTCCCCTGCCCCCTTTGAGAGGGTGGCTGTCCTAAAAAAATGTCAAAGGGAGGCATCAACATCAAGGCATTCACAGTTTAGAGAAGAGACATCAGGAAACAAAGTTATTTTCCCCACCAGTAATGGCTAATCCTAATCCTGTAAAGTGTTGGCTAAGGCTGATGGAACTGTAGTCTAAAACATCTGCAGTTACCTGAGAAAATGCCTAAAAAAATAACCCATTGATGTTTGTTTGTTTGTTTGTTTGAACTCCAGTCCACCTTGTACATATAACAAAAGTCCATTTCCCTGTGTGTTGGAAGGGATGTTAAGCTTCCACATGCATGTAGTTAATTTGCAGGAGATTTTTTGAACATATAAGCTATGGGATATATAGAATGCTGTGCCAGTTGGCTTCCACAGCATCAGCTGGTTTTCTATTTCCCCTCATCCTTGTGTGCTCCAAAGATCTACTCTGGAGCAGACTGAAGCTGGAGGGGCAAGAAAGGAAGAGAAAGCTCTGTTGCACACATGCAAATCCATTGCTACAATGGAGCTGTAGTGTTAGATACCATCTTATATAAATGGGTAACAATTATACATTTTTTATATTTATGAAGATCACACCTCCCAAGGGCTCCTTCTAGATTCAGGCTGAATCTGTTTGTTCAGACTTGTTAATTTGCCACCGAGGAAGATTTATATATAATCATTTTTCCAGAAGTAACTTCATCATTTTCCAGCATCTTTTGAGTCAAATATAGATCTGTGTATGTCACACAGACAACAAACGGATAACTCAGCATGCTTGTGTTGTAGTTCCGAGACCTACCATTAATCGTAGATATTGCCATTTTTCTGAAACCTCAGCACAGTTTCCACACTTCAACTGAAAAAGAAAAGAAAACCAGACACAAACAATGAGACACTTAGAGGAGTCAACAGCAGAACAGGTAAACAAAAAATAATAATTTTGTTAAGATTCAAAAACAAAGGTATGTAATGGACACGAATCGCAGAAGTAGCACTCTCATGAAAAAGAAGACCACAACAACTTAAACACCACAACAACTTAAACCAACAATTTTCATATGGTCGGAAATTAGCCCCAGATATAGCATAAAAGCAGTCTCACAGATTTGAGAGGCTTCCTAGAATGAATTATATAAGGGAAATGTGCTATTATGGTGCACAAGGATGGAATTTCCATCCTTACGTTGAAGAAATGACATACAACTGCATTTGTTGCAGCCTAAATTGGTCCAAACCTGTTAGTGTGCACTTTCACTATAATCATGACTACAATATTTATATATCAGACAACACAATCATAGGTATGATTATCCAGAAACAAATCCCATTGAGTTTCCAACAGTAAGTGCACAGGACCCATAGGTGTGGTGGGGCAGCATGAGAGTGCATTGCTTGCATATTCATTTGAAAGCATGCCAGTTGCCAACTGCATGGCAGAAATGCTAACAAAGAGCAATAAGATGGCAAAAGAGAACCAGCGAGATGAACATAGTACACAATGCAATGGTGACAAATTTTAGGAAAAAAATGTCTATAGCAGCATTTTTAGTGTCGGGGCTCAAGGCAAGCTATGAAACAATATCCACTGATTTAATAAAATGATCCCTGATCAGAAGGTCGGCGGTTCGAATCCCCGCAACGGGGTGAGCTCCTGTTGCTCGGTCCCTGCTCCTGCCAACCTAGCAGTTTGAAAGCATGCCAGTGCAAGTAGATTAATAGGTACCGCTCCGGCGGGAAGGTAAACAGCGTTTCTGCGCACTGCTCTGGTTCGCCAGAAGCGGCTTAGTCATGCTGGCCACATGACCCGGAAGCTGTATGCCAGCTCCCTCGGCCAATAAAGCGAGATGGGCGCCGCAACGACTGGACCTAATGGTCAGGGGTCCCTTTACCTTTAATACCAGATGTATGGGATATTGGTTGTGGTTAGTGAGGAGAGAAAGGCACTCTGCAAAGACTTACAATGTACCAAGAGCCAGCAAATCCCACTAACTGAAGGCTTAGGTCATGTAATAACATTCCCTGCCACTTTTAACACTGCTAAATTTAATGCGGTTTTAACGAAGAAGAAATCCTTCGGCCAGTTAACAACATCGACGTGCACGTTAATAGCAATACAGGAAATATTGTCATTGCAAACCAAGTGCATGGAGCGTTTGCGTGTGTGTCTAGCGTGCCCAGGTAACATCCGTCGAAGGCCCTACCTTCAGATACCATCGGAAATCCTCCCCCACCGGCCGGAGATTTGTAATATTTTCCAGAGTGGCTTTGAGCTGCAACCCGATCTTCTGCAAAGAGAGGTCACCGTGTCAGCTCATGTACTCGAGGCATTCCCTGCCCTAGCCCCTACTCACGTCGTCTTTGCACAGGTGAAGCTTTCTCTTACCCCCATGGCTTCAGGTGGCCAGAGGAAAGCCTCGGAGGCGAGCGAGCCTGCTTTCCTTCCCAAACACTTGCAGGATCACACGGAGGCTGCAGGGGCTTTGCAGAGACCCAGCGTCTCTCAGAGGGCGGGGCCGCTGTGAAGCAAGCCTCACGAGACTTGATACATTGCCGTTTTCTTGCGCCTCCCGTGTTCCTCAGCCCTATTCGTCTGTAAGCGGCGCCGAAGCTGGAACTTGCCCTTACTCAAGATGGCTGCCTCTCAGCTAAACTAGATAGTCGATCCATTAGCCAGCCTATCCTGAGGAGGCGTCCAGGAAACAAGGATGAATTGCTTGAGATTCAATACTGCGTGAGGTGGATTACATGCCAGCGATAGATAGCCACCCAGAGTTTAAACAAGAAAATGCCTCTTGTTTTAAAAGCACTTGCCTTCACACCACACACCACTGAACCCAAAGTGTTTTGACTATAGCGATTCTGGCTTTAGGCGCTATCCTTGGAAGAATCCCAGCATAAATTGAGTGTCACCTGTAGTTACATTTGCAGCACTTTTTATTTTTTGTAAAACAACTCTCACTCTGCAGTCCATTTCCCTGTAAGATTCAACTCTTGTTTTTACTTTTGCAATTTTTGAGGTGGAGGATGGATGTGCATTCTTATCAAAGAATAAAAGAAGCCTAGAAAATAGTCTGCAAATGAGCAAATGCTTATTGATGTTTTATAATCTACACAAACTTAAGCAGTGTTCCTGATAAATTATCAGTTTGCTTTACCAAGTGGTTGCATAGAGCTACAACTCTTAGGCATACTTGCTTCCTCAATTAGGCTTTTTTTTTTTAAAGAAGCATACTTACGATTCAGGATATTCGGATTTAGCCAGTTATGATAAAAGATTTCCAGCTTAAAATACTGTAGACCTAGCTACCCTGCTCGTACAGTAAATCACATTCTCCTTTCCTAGCCCTTCAGATATATAGTGGTACCTTGGGTTACATACGCTTCAGGTTACATACGCTTCAGGTTACATACGCTTCAGGTACAGACTCTGCTAACCCAGAAATAGTACCTCGGGTTAAGAACTTTGCTTCAGGATGAGAACAGAAATTGCGCGGTGGTGGCGCGGCAGGCCCCATTAGCTAAAGTGGAGCTTCAGCTTAAGAACAGTTTCATGTTAAGAACAGACCTCCAGAACGAATTAAGTACATAACCAGAGGTACCGCTGTAATAGTCTCTGAAAAAGTGCATTCCCCAGCTAGTGCTGCCATTGCAATGAATACAATGTGGGCAGAAATGTTGCAGACATGTTTTGCATGGTATACAGTATCCCCAGAGTCCCACTTCCCTAACAATACTTGTGCCGTTTTTGTTAGTTTCGAAAGGGAGAGGGTGGTTTTTAAAACATAGGTAACACAGTCCAAGTGCACTTGCACCCAAGGCTGGTACAGCCGTTTTATTTTCAGTCCTCCTGCTAATGATTCCTATCATAGTATTCACCTTTTTCCACAGCTGCTGTATGTACACTGGGTTGACATTTTTGAGATATCCACAAGGTATTACAAGGTCTTGTTCCTGGTCAGAAACCACCACTTCAGAGTCCATGGGCATATATGCAAAATCATTTCTTTTGCCCCAGTGTGTAACACTTGCTTACACTGAATTGCACTTGCCATTTAACTGTCCATTTGCCAAATTTGGAGAAATTCTTCTGGAGCTCTCTGCAACCCCTTATTGTTTTAACCACTCTGATACCAAAGCAATTTCGTATCAGCAGCAAACTTGACAACTTCACTGCTCATCGATCCTGTTATGTATCAGACAAGTTTCATATCTATTTTCCTTTGGCACCTAAGAAACACCTTCTTTCAACAATCTTTTAGTGGAGATTGTTATCCAATCCCTGCAAATTTCTTCTTTTTTCACTTTTCTGGAACTCTGGAGAAGGGATTATACTCCCAACTGTAATGTTTCAAAGCAAGTAGACAAACATTCATTGAAATGTATGAAACAGCTCTTCCATGTATTAATGGTGCTGGCATCCGAGAATCAGCCTCAATACTGCACAGGGATATCAAATATCTAATCCTCATTAAAACCTCACTAAAAAGGGAGGGGTTAACAGATACATAAAAATGTCCATATTGTTGTGTTGCTGACCCTCCTCTTCCCATCCCAGCAGAAATTAAGCCAGCCATACTTTTAAAAAATCTTAATGCTTTCCCAAAAGTTTAGTCTCGATAACAAACACATTTTAAATAAAAAGGAAAAAAAAGCTTTTTAGCATTTATTAAATTCACTCTGTAAAAAATCTGACACACATAAAACCAATGAGAGATAAGGAATGGAAAGTGACCCCACCGAAAGAAACTTTACAGTACAAATTTAAATCCATACAATTTAAATTGGCTTAATCTTGAAGTGTAATCCAATGAGACTGAAGACGAGACACTTGAGGTCCTGGACAAGGTAGTAAAACACTCTTAGACCTTCTGGATCCCTGAAGTGCAAAAGGAAAAACAAATAGAAATAAAATATTTTTTAAAATAGTATTTGACCAACTCATAATCATTACTCTGTGTCAGGAACTCAGTATGAGAATCCCCTAGTCACTTATCAAAATTCAAGCATCTTTTGGTAGTACAGTGGTACCTCGGTTTACGAACTTAATCCATTCTGGAAGTCTGTTCTTAAACCGAAACCATTCTTACACCGAGGTGTGCTTTCCCTAATGAGGCCTCCCGCCGCCGGTGTCCTTCCACCGTTCGGCTTCTGTTCTTAGACCGAGGTAAAGTTCACAAACCGGGACACTACTTCCAATTTTGCAGAGTTCGTAAACCAAACTGTTCGTAAGCAGAGCTGTTCTTAAACTGAGGTACCACTGTACTGCAAGATTTATTTGGCTGGCTTTTAGCAGCTGGGGATAAACCAGATGGCTTTAGTAGGGCGTTTATGAAAGGTTCTGTTTGTCCTCAGGGTAGAATCAGTTAAATGAGTGAGGAAATAATGCAATGCCACAGCTGAGACAAATTCTATATGCTGTTCTTCAGGTTTGCTAAATTATTTTTACTTAAAATCAATGTAATAACTGTATTTCCAGCTTGGCCACAAATGCATGGTACAGCATTTATAGAGGCATCTTAAGCAAGACAACTGGACAGAGCTGCACTACTTCTGCCTCACCTTCTTCCCAATCCGCTAACAAAACTAGCTTAGTGAATAGTTTTCAAAAAGAGCACTACAACAGTTGTAGCGGCTGGTCAAAGAGCACTTACTTGGACTGATTTACATCAATAAGAGAACCAATTTTTGATGTGGTAAAAGAGATGTGTTCATCACCAATTACAATTTCAAGCTCCTGGAAAAAGAAAAAAATAATTTCAGAGCACTGTTTGAAGATCAATAAAATGACCATTTCACACCTACCCAGAGAGGGAGAGAGGTGATATGGATGCCTCGTTCCCACCTTCAATAACTTTTCCCCAGATGTTTTTCAAGATCTACTCCAACAAGATATTCTGTTCACTAGAAATAGATATAAGATTTCTACCCATCTGTTTACAGAACTAGCAGCTGCAAGTGTACACATTAACTGCTGTACACCTGTCAACTTAAAATATTTATATGGGAAGCCGTGAATTTGCTAACCTGCCGGCCAACTCTGTCAGGAGGCGGCCATAATGCATCATCTTCTTTTGTGATTTCACTGTCATCGATTATCCTCTTTAGCTCTTCCATCACACTTTTGTGTACGTAGGCCTAGAGCAGCATGGAAATAGTAGCATTTTAACTTTAAAATAAATCTAATACAGAAATGTGTGTGTCATTTGCCCACTACCTTCTTGTTGAAGTATGTGTATTAATTTATTTTGATCAATAACTAAGTACATGCTTTGCTATCCACTGGAATGAGCTCAGCATATATTGGGCAAAACATCTGCAAACAAATTTATAGAGTGAATACTAGATGTAACATTTGAGATACAGACATAGATTATTTATGACATTTTTTGTAGTTTGCAGATTTTTACTATCCAATTACTACATACACTTAAGACGTGTAGAGAAACAAAAAGCTAAATTCTACTAGCTACAATATTTTGAGTCCAAGTTTCAATAATACAGCTAAAAGGGGAACATTAGATATGTAGCAAAAGACAGTAACAGGCAAATTTAATGGCTTGCCTTGAATACACAGTTATATAAACTCAAGACATCCACTGGTCACTCTAAATCACAAAAACACAGATAAAATACAAGAGGTGTCAAGATTTTTCCACCTGCATAATTTGTTTTTATTAACTAAATAAACAAAAATTAAATTAAATATGCATTAATTAGATATTAACACTTATATTTTATATTACATTTATATTTTAATTTGTGTTGTGAGGTACCCAGAGAACTCACGCTGTAGGACACAAAAATTCTATAAATTATTTAAACACAGTCAACTTACTTCTTTTCTGATCATGACATCATTTTTATAATTGCTGTTGTTTGCATATCTCAGTTTCCCTGTTGAAAGAGATAATATGACATTCAACACTACACTACACAAAGTAGCAAAGCAATACAGAACTTGGGCTTAATTTAATTCACATTTTTCCCTTTAACTTGTGCCTGCAAAGTCTTGAATGGGCTAAAGAAGGCAATGGGTTGAAAGTCAGGCCAGGGAGATAACTGTTGCCCAGTGACTTAAAAACACCTGGTTTCTGAGCCCCTTTCTGTTCAGCATCCACACACCCTAGATACACCCAAGTTCTGCAGGCTCACAAAGACCATTACAGTGGTACCTCGGGTTAAGAACTTAATTCGTTCCGGAGGTCCGTTCTTAACCTGAAACTGTTCTTAACCTGAAGCACCACTTTTGCTAATGGGGCCTCCTGCTGCCGCTGCCACACGATTTCTGTTCTCATCCTGAAGCAAAGTTCTTAACCCCAGGTAATATTTCTGGATTAGCGGAGTCTGTAACCTGAAGCGTATGTAACCCGAGGTACCACTGTACTCACAAGTAGAGTTTGCTCCCTGCAACGGGAAGTGTTCTGGACCACTTTAAGGAGTGACTTGCTCCCTCCTCAGTCAACCAACAGGGAAGGGGTGGGGGTGTAGGCTCAGCTTTTCAGTGCCTTCACAGCAGAGCGGATGCTTTCCTCTCCAATTTCCCTCTCCCTTGATCCTCTCACCATAAGCTCTCTGAAGAATCTTATTCTAGCACTCCTGCACCGGCAGGAAAAGCCAGCTCTCAAAAACCCTCCGTCAAAAACTGTAACATACTTTACCCCACTGAGGGTTTCACATACTAATAATAATTTACAGGGCTGCCTTCAGATGTCATCTAAAAGTCTGGTAGTTGTTTATCTCTTTGACATCTGGTGGGAGGGCGTTCCACAGGGCGGGTGCCACTACCGAGAAGGCCCTCTGCCTGGTTCCCTGTAGCTTTGCTTCTTGCAGTGAGGGAACCGCCAGAAGGCCCTCGGCGCGGGACCTCAGTGTCCGGGCTGGACGATGGAGGTGGAGACGCTCCTTCAGGTATACTGGACAGAGGCCAGCCTGCCACTAACCAACCCCTCTTGTTACTGAAACGCAGGTCTCCCCAGGAGCCACCTTCCTCTCTTCGGGCAATGGCTAATTTCCCCCGACCCCATTTCCTTTTCCCAACGAGCAATACCCCATTCCCGCCTACCACCCCCCTGGGGGTCTCTTCTCCCTCCTCAGGCGACAGGCCCCTTCTTCCCTCCCGGGTGCGGGGGGCTCCCCCGCTCCGCCAGGCCTCAGATCCCCGGGGAGCTCCTCTCTTGCCTTCCCCAATCGGAAACCCTGAGCCTCACCGTCAGGGCGGAACTCGAACTCGAGAAACTCGTGGCCGAACTTCCCCTTGTGCCCAACGTAATAACGCAGATAGAAGTCGCTCGCCATAGCCGCATATGCCCCACCGGCCCGCCGAGACACCAGCATGCACCGCGCACGGGACGCTGCGAGCGAGCGCGGGAAATGTGCGTCATCGAAGGGCAGGGTTGCGCAGGCGCACACGGAGGAATCAAGGTTTTGCTTGTCGCGGGCCTCACCGCGCGGTTTAAAGACCATAGAGATAGAAGGGTTTTAGAGTCAAACGCCATCGCTGTCAATATCTATGTTCACTTCCGACTTTAAATGCCCTGCTTTAACTTCCAATGCGAAGTGCAAAGGGCTTTCGCCATAGTGATGACGAGGGTCAAGTAGAGCGGAGCCACTAGACTCAGGCCGATGTATAGACTTACGTCTAGATTCATATAGGCTGCCTAGCTTCCGGGCTCTTTTCCCACTTTTGCATGTTTATTGCAGGGCAAAATAGGGTATGGGAATTCTGTATCTTTTGGGGGATGAATTGTTATTAACAGCGATAAAAAGCAAATTATTAATAATAATAATAATAATAATATTTCAAAGCAGGATTTTAGCGTGCTGCATTTGTGAATTGCACCTCCGCCCCCTGAAAAGTTATAGCAAAGGGGGCTATAAATAATGAATGGGGTTCCGCTTGGAAGAAATGCTTCTACCGATCGCTTTTTACGGATAAACGTTGCGGTAAAACCCAGCAACGCTCAGAAGACAGCGAGGGAAAAGCTTCAGCATTTATGGGGTGCCAACCTAGGCAGGGTCCTAACACGAGATGACTGGCAGTGATTCAGTTGGGGTTGTCCGGTTAGCCAAAATTTCATATTGGCAGTTGCCTGACAGGTTACAAGGGGGTGTGCTTTAAATTCTAGTGGCTATTTTTGAAAAGAGTCTTCTGTCCCCCACATATGCTCAGACGTGCTCTCCCTTTTACATAGGATGGGAAGGCGTTTGGTATATGCCCAGGAGGAACCCTAAATTTATCCAGTGCCTCCTTGATATAGCGATGGTGAAGGCTGTACAGTGTCTTGTTTCTGCAAAGTTGCTAAAGGCACTGAAGTCCTGAGACGGACAATGTGGCAACTATATCGTTCACTATTCAGCCAGGATATGTGAACTGTTTATGGTCTTTCAGGGTACAGGAACACCAAAATTGGCGCCAGGAATTACATTGACTTTAATTGGGTCACCAAGTAGGGATAACCTGGATTAAATTAGGATTTGAATTGAGCACTTGAATTTGTATTGAATCCACAGCATTTCAGTGAACAGCAAAATTATAAATCCCATTTGGTGTGTTTGTGGGATTGATGAAGGAATGTATGTCCCATTTCATCCCTTGGGAATCTTCCAAGTGCATACTCAAAAGAAAAGCACATTGTGCAGTTCAGATACAGCACATTTGGAGGGTGAGGAAGTAGAGAAGAGAGTTATATTGGTGTTACAGTTGCTGTGCTCCTGGCATATGCATACTTAAAAACAAAACAAAACCCAGTGCAGATGTGCACGATAGGAAATCCACAACCAATTTTTAAAAATGACAGAAAAAAGTTTTACTAAATATAGATGTCATTAGAAAACAAGAGTGTTTTCTAATTATTTTGAAGTTGGCTATGCCAATTGATGTTGTCTATCTCTTTTTCTAGAAAAATAGCACTGGCATAAAGGTTTTTTAAAAAAATAAATAAAGTTTGATTGACTTTAATGAGGCTTACTCCTAAGTGAATAGATGTTGGAGTGTAGCCTAAGTAACTTTTCTTTGCAAGTAGCTAAAAAGTACAGTTATTGAGAGAACTGACTAGTTTCATGAGAGGAAACTCTGATGTTAAAGTCCATGAGTCAGAACAAGCTTGTAAATAACCACCTGTGACATGTGAAATATAAATCAAGGCAAATAATTTTTGTAAATGTGGAAGTGTTAGTTCTCCTGCTTGCTCCCAGTTTAGGCCAATGACATCCTACAAGTGGTTAACCTAGGTTTTATGTTCATACTGGAATTAGCCATTTGTGCTAAACCCATGTGTAGGCTTGTGTGTGTAATCTGTCAAGTTGATTTAGGAGCAGTTTGATATTTTCTTCAGCGGTGGTGGGTGTCATTAAACAAAACAACACATTACAATCTGCCAATAAAAAAATTTAATCTCTATAGAAACAGTGCACTGTCTTACAAATGTATTCATTTGGTTTTCAGTACCCCCTACTGATGTAAGTACAGCAAATGTTATAAATAGCAGAGCCCTCCCACATCCCAAATCCCTAGACCTTTTGTTCAGAAAAACAGAAACACAAAAGGCACCAAGCAAGAACGCATCCTAATGGAACTTCCATATGACAAAGACAGAGGTCAGAAATGGTTACAATGTTAAACAAGATTATAACGCTCCCAATTAACACATGGAAAACAAATCATTTTTCTTTTTTTAAAAGAAAATTTGGTTATTGACTTGATTTAGTTACAAATCTGTCAAGTTGGAAAGCAGGAAAATGTCACATCATAGTAATTTACAATGATTTGGGGGTGGGGAATTCCAGCCTTTTTACACATGGGATTTATACAAGGTTTTTATTGTTTTTTCTTAAAAAAGTATCAAAACTGTAGAGCCTTCAAATCTATTTACAGATTGAGGTTAGTTACAGTTATTACATACAAAGATCTCTCCTTGTTATTGTTCTTCATGCACATAGTGCATGACCTTGTAGCAAAATTAACAATTGAATCACATTTTCTTTTCTCCCTCTCCAGCTTTCTTCAGAAGTATCTATTTACTCATAGGCCTCTGTTTGCAAAATCTAGCAGAAATGGGAAATATTTGTTTTTCAATACATGTTATAAACAAAGGGCATATCTTTCTGAAGGTGCAAATTATACTACATCCTTAAAAAACAAACACTCTTTTAATGGGACCTGTGTGGCCAGTTCAAACATAATTTCATCACTCATTTGTCATTAAGAGATGATTCACACGTGTGAATGAACTATCACAGATTTCATATAAAACAATACTTTCCATGAGGACAGTTCAAACATTCAGCTGGAGAGTCATCATACCAGACAAGTAATATATAGTGGGTGTGTAGAACCTTTGACACTCCAGATGTTGCTGAACTACAACTCCCATGAGTCCCAGCAAGCATTGGGATGATGGAAGTTATAATTCTGCAATATCAGGCAGGCCAAAGCCTCCCCACACCTGATGTATAGACATGTGTGAAACAGCTGACTGCCTGTGAAAAAGGGCTGTGCACTGAGTACTGCAGGTGTAGCAATCCTTACATTTTTATGAGTTACTACTATTGCCTTCCTCCCAAGTGCTGCTTAATAAACTGCTTTTGCAACTGGGAGATGAACCATGGATATCAGAAAACATGGGAAACTCTGACCTGGTTTGCATGTCATGCTAAACCATGGCTTAGTACAATATGCATGTTAGAAAACAAGCACCTCTTGTTCCCTTTCTTCCTGCACAACGGGAAGGACGACTTCAGCAGTGTTTACTTTTCATTTTTTGGCTTGCTGTTGGATGCGAATCCGGGATTGTGGTTTATAACAAACACTGGTTAATTAAATTTATTTTAATTTAACAAGCCAGATCACGCATGGTTTGAAATTGACTGCTTTTGAAATTGACCCATTTGTTACAATTCAGATTTTGGTCTGCATCCAACAATCAACTGGGACTGTGTACTTATTAATGTTTACTCCTGCTCCAGTATGCTCACACCACTGGTGTTTGAAGCCGAATACATATGATGTTATCCGCAGTATGTATCTTGAGAAATAATGCTATTTAATGCACTTCCTCTCAAATCAGCTTCCATCTAATTTGAAAGTATAAACTGTGCTTAAGCTGAGATATGTACATTGGAGATAACTGTTGCACATGTGTAGATGACAACTTAACTGAATAGTTTGATGCAGGGGAACAAATCAGATAATGAGCATTGGGTGGAGACATCCCTGCTCCATCTCTGAGGTGTATAGTGGTGTAAAAAAAACAAAAGAAAAGTGACTTGAAAAGGAGTGTGGGAAAAGGACCTTGCTGCGTTTTAAGCTGCTAACATGCATAGGAGGGGGAGTGTGTGTGAGCCTGCTGCTCATTTGGGTTTGTTCCAGCTCATGCACATCATGCTAAGCCAAGCTGTCATGTATGCCAAAAGCAGTCAAAAAGTAGAGAAGAGAGGCCTTGCTAGACCAGCATTTGTTGGAGAAAGAATGCAAACTTGAGTTTCAAGTATCAAATAGTTTGGGAAGTGTTCTGCAGTAGATTTAGAAAAAATAAAAACCACGAGTGTGTAATATGCCGAGTCCACACATAATATACATATATCACGTCATGTCTGCAGCGGAACATGTGAGGCATTTTGTCTGAGGTGGCATAAAGCAATATGAAAACCGTTTCGGCTGGGCTTCATCTGCAATGGCTGCTTAACATACAAAAGTCATCACTTAATCACTTGAGGTGAAATCCAACAGAGTGGAAGTGAGCTGCTGCTTCTCATCACTCCCCCTTGCATGTCCCCTAAAATCTGCTCTGGAGAGGTAGCGGACCTCCAGAGCAGAATTTTTGGGACAAATAAGGGGCTAGAAGGAGGAGAAGAGAATCCATAAGAAAAGTATCCATTGTGCAAGTGGATTTCTTTTATGAAAGTGGGTTGGCCGTTATGTTTGCAAAATTATTTATTTTCTGAAAGTGATATAGAAACAACAGTGTGGCCTTTATAAATCAAACAGTCACATTTTGTAATAGACTCAAGTATAAAAACAGCAAATTTCTATTCATAACAATTAAACTTCAAATCAAAGGCCTGATTCCACATCATGTTAAGTGTTTCCTGCAAGATGGAGATTCCTTCATAATGTCAATCCAGGGTTTTAAGTTACTGATGTTAACTTGAGACTACTAAGCAGTACAAAATGTCTGTTCAGTTCTAGTGGGATTCTTGTGCTAATGGATCGGTCTGAAAAGACTACAGATGAACTGGAAACTTTGCATTTTACAGGAGCTGCAGGAGAGTAACCGCAGGGAAAATAACCAGAATGATTGCAGTTTGGATGTTCAGTGGCCGTAGACAGCTGCAAAATTATATGAATTCAACAATTGTATGGCTTTCTGTAGACATCTGAAGACAGCCCTGAATTGGGAAGTTTTTAATGTCTTCTTGTGTTTTTTATATTCTGTTGGAAGCTGCCCAGAGTGGCTGGGGCAATCCAGTCAGATGGGTGGGGTACAAGCAGTAAATTATTCAGCCAAAAGTTTAATTAGACCTCAAAGGTTCAAATTCCTGTTGCCAGGAAGCTTTCTGGGTGACCTTGGGCCTGTCACTCACTCTCAGCCCAACCTACCTCAGAAGCTTGCTGAGAAGATAAAAGGAGGAGGGACTCACATGTGTTGCCCTGAACTATTTGGGGGAAGGGAAGATAATGATAACGAATTTTTATCTTGGGTTGAATCATGGCCAGACTGTCCTGGACTCTGGGGGAGTACATTTTCTGCTTTCCCATATCTGCTAGCTCAACAATTTTCAAACTTTCTTCAATGAACCCTTTGCAATTACTTGTCTACTGAGGAATTTTACGCTTGTTGCAGGGGATTCTGGGGACATGTTTAAAGATGAATATTCCGACCACATGGATCTTCTTGGTCCTCACAGCCCATCTATTGAAAATGCACCCCAGGACACATTCCAAGCTCCCCTACAGCCATGGATTGCAGGGGAAGATCAGTACTGGTGACCAAGCTGCTTTTCAGGGGAAGTTTGTCCTTACTTATCTTCTCATTGAGGAACTACTGATAAGGTTTGCAGGAAGAAACTCTTGAGTACTAACTGTTGCAATCAACATCAGCAGCTTTATATAAACAAGCAATGATGAGATAAGCTGCAGCATATTGCACAGAAAAAAGTGAAGTCCCGACGCACAAGCTAATAGTATAAATCAGTCTTCAGAAATTCGCACAGGGTGTGTGTGCCTCCAGTGTAGCTGTGAGGAGCTTGGGAGCCTTTGCTTCTGATTTCAATGAGCAACAGTTCAGTGTGTCATTTGCACCCTAAACTATGGTTAGTGTTAACTATGGTTTGAAGTTGGCTGTTTCAAAAGAGCCACAGTTTAAATTAACCACAATTGGCCCGGTTCAGATGATGCACCAAACTGTGATTAATTATAAGCTGAAGTGAAAGCTTCCAAACTCCTCCTAGCAGCTGCTCTGGAGGAGAAAGGAAGAATATGAGCCTGAGGTTTGCTGCAGCTCATTCTCATTATGCTAAACTGATTAAGTGTGATGTATGTCTGCACCAGCATATTTTCATGCATTCTGCAACTTCTGCCTTTGTCTTAGCTTGCATCTTGGCACCCTGGCTAGCATTCCACTCTACAGGTGTTTTTCACATGCAGGTTAGTATCTTGTTAATGTTGCCCAAATATATACCTCTCTCATTTCTTCTTTGAGAAAGAGAAAAAAGGTATTTCTGTTTTTGAATAATCTAGGCTCCTTGACATTCCCACAGACATACCTCAGGTTCACTGATCACAGCAGATGGAAGCTACACCCTAAACCCCTCCACTTATGCAGACTGGGAATTAGGATTGCTCAGTTACTTCCAAGTAAACATGCATAGGGCTGCATTAAAGTTTCTCCCACCCCCTCATACTAAAGCTATTGGTACAGAGATGGGTGCAAGGGTGAATTGTTATAGCAGCATGAATTTGCCATGATTTAAACCACCCCACAAAGGAAATCCATGAGGAATTGCATGAATGTAGGGAAATGGGTACAAATTAAGACCAGTACAACAAAGCACAAAGCTAATCAGAGTGAAGTAAAAAACAATGTAAAGTTGTGCTGGTGTAGACATACCCTTGAGGGCATAATATTACTCAGCACCATTTGTCTCACTGTTCAAAAGCTACAGAAATCTGTCACAGGAAAGTGTTCAGATTACCTCTCTGGATACCACTGTCACCTTTATCATTGACTTTTTTGTCCTGTGTGCTGTTGGTTTTTTGTTTTTTGTTTTTGAAGGGGGGTGGGAGGTATAACCAAATCAAAACTGAGAATAATCCATGGGGCAGAGCAACCCAACTCACCCCCATTAAGCGTAATCCTAAACATGCACACTTTGAAGTATATTCAGTTAAACTTAACGAGACTTCTTTGAATAGATGCTAAGATTGGCACCCTAAACTTGCTAATGTATGTCTAAACCTGCCAGATTAATGGTTTGGGATTGCAGGCATTGCCCTCGATGTCTGTGCTGAGGTTCTGGGCTTCCCCATTCACTTCTGTGGAGAGAAGACACAGCCCTTTCTGTGCATAGCTGTTCCCTCCATTTACAATGAATGGGGAATCGTATTCGGGAGGTTCACCATGTGTGTGAGTGAGAACTCCTGTGCCTATGAGGATTTCCTGGAGTACAACAATTGTGCAAAGATGTCTAAGCCATGAGCTGGTTCATCTGCTAGGACAGAATTTGGTTTGTTCATTATGGGGGCACATTTGTTTCTTTGACAGTCATGGACTATCCTACTGTAACAGCTGTAATCCTTACTCAGAGGCTTTAGATTTCAAAGCAAAATCTTCCACAAAACATCCCTTAAGAATTTTATTACCCTATTTCCCATAAAGCTGGGCTAGTCTTTCTAAAATATATTCATATATATATATTTATATATATATACTTATTTATATATGTGTATGTCTATATACCTATCCAGTGTAGATAGGTATATACACAGATAATCTATGCACAGCGAGCCAAGCATACAAAAAATAAATACTCTCATTCTCTAAGTGTATGTACAGAACAAACCTTATATCCAGAATTTGTTAATAAATATCCTAAACGGCTTGTATAGACCTCTTTTTTTCCTTTTCTTTCTTATGTTGATGGATAGCCACAAAGTATGTCCGACATATTTACAAAATTTCTATAAATATAGCTTTTAAAAATGACACATATGCTACCGACCCTTGGGTCTGGCTGGTTCTATACACCGAGTTAGTAGCCCCACAGTAGAGCAGCCTCCTCGCCATTATGGATGGATAGTGCAAGAAGCTTAAAAGGTGTATAAAAGATTATACATACAAAACTCTCACATCCTTTGGATGTTTGCAGTTCATTATTACTTTGTGGTTACCCTTCTGCAACATAAATAAACCATTAAAGGAGAGAAGGAGATAAAAGAAAGTGGACTCCGTGATCCACAGCAGGCGTGTTCAGTGCATATCTATCAATCCACCGGCTGTGGGGTTGGTGCAGGTGCGGTCCTCATGGTAACCCATCGTCTTCTAGGCTTAATGCTACACGCTGTTGGGAAGGAAAACAGAAAGGTGTCAGTGTGACGTTAACATATATGAGAGAGTGCTGGAGGAGAAATAGTTAAATAGGTTGCACAGACAGGACCCAGGGGGGTGGAGTCAGTGGGACTATAAAACCAGTTCTGGGAGGAGTTCGTTGGGAGTTGTTGGTGGGTAGTTGGTTGGTTTTAGTGGGTTGGCTGGTTGGGAAAGGCAGTTGGTAATAGAGAGACAGGGCAGTGGGTTCTTGAGTGTGGGGAGGTAGAAGAGATAGAGAGAGGGAAAATAAGACTAAGAAAGTAAAGAGCAACAACGTTTGGAGTGCCGTAAAAGTTTGTTTGTGTCTGAAATAAAATACACTCTTTTTATTAATTGAGAAGCTGACTGAGACTGAAATGATTCTACCATGCAAGACCTGGTTGGTGGCAGCGGATTAGTGGTGTACGGTCAATAGTCCGTGAGACGACCAGAGGCTCCGTACGAACGCCACAGTCAGTGCCTCTAGTTTTGGTGTGATGTAGGGAAGAAAGGAATTGCTTCCTGGAAATCACAGTGTGGGGCAGGATACTGGTGTCATGGACTAGCTGGATGCAGAGAAATGGTGGGAGGCACCAGCTAGGAAAACTCCCAAAGGAAGCCCCAGGGAAAGGCTCAGAGCGAGGGGCTTGGTGGTGGGACGATGGCGACGAGTGTTCAGAGACAGAAGAGGGAGCAGAAGGAGGAGGTGTCGGAAGCTGAAGAGGGAACAGGGTTTGCTGAGGAGGAAGAGGCTGTGGCAGAGAGCAGACCAGACTTGGAGGCTGAAGCGGAGGCCAGTCAGGGATGATGGGTACTGTAGTATTACATCTGGAGGGCCACAGGTTCCCCAGCCCTGGGTTAGTGGAATGTTTTAATATTCGGAATCAAATTCTGACATCCTCATTTATGTGCAGTGTGGCTACTCATAAGGTAGAGGACAAGAGTACTGTAAAAATATGCAATAACGTTTTAAGAGTCTGGATGCAGACTCTTAAAACGCTACTGCATATTTTAAGCATCTGACTCTTAATCTCTACCCATGTTAAATGAAGAAGTGCTGCTCTTGCTCTTTCCTGCTCTTCCATACCTCAAAAGACATCTATCCTATACATTTTTATTTGAAGGTAATTCCTAGTGTATGGAAAGGAATCCCACCTTGCCCAATAACTATGCTTTGAATTGTAGCCTTAAAGGCACATCTGCACGATGCATTTCAGCGACTTGATATAATTTTGCAGCACCCAAATGATCCATAAAACTCATGTGTGTGCCTGAGGCTTTAGCTTGTTCCACTTATTTGTAGATACAGCTGTTGGAGGTGATGGTCAGTGTCATGACCATATAATGAACATGGCCAATGCAGTCTTTGGTGGCTCACACCAAGATGCATCTCCTTCCTCTATATTGTGAAGGTAAAATAGTTAATGGTTTTGATACACACCCACATACCTTATAAAAGAGGAGACCATTCAGAAAGAAATCAAACACTTACTGCTGGATACACATGGCCAATCTGTGCTGTTCTCCCAATATGGATTTCATCTTCATCTTCCTCTTCTGTAGTTTTCCTGTACACAGGATTATCAAAGTTCATGCTTTTCGTGTTTTTCCGTTTCCAGTTCCTCCAGATGAGATACCCTCCCATGCACAACAAACCAATCACCACTAGGGGGGTAAAAGAGAGAAGGGAATAAGCATATATGGTTGCCACAAGGGAGACTGTAGTTCTCAACTTGGCTCTCCATGGGTGTTTCCATTCTTAATTCTTTATTCAGGTCCACAAAATGGAAGTGAACAGGAAAATTCACTCTAAATATAGTAAAAACATGCTTACCAACAGGAACCACAATTCCAATAATGGCAGCCATCACCGTTGATCCGAAACCTTGCCCACTGTTGGCATCTGCAACCAGAGAAGATTCAATCAAACAACAATTCATGGACGGCACCAGCAAATGCACCAGAATATACAGAACCCAGCTTTTCTAGAAACAGAATTATGTTGCTGTTAAAGTACAGAGAAATCACTGCTGTAGCCATAATCCTCTATGTAGCGCAGCAAGTTTCAAAACTAGAAAAAGGCACACCAAGTTGACGGGGGGGATGAATTCTGTGGATTAATTTATGGATATAAATTGAGGGTTTTAGAGAATATTTAGGCCCACCTCAGCTAGATTCTACTCCAGTGAGGGAGTAGGTGGAGATGCCACCAGACTTTGCAGGTATAGCCAATTTAATAGATCTCACTAGGCATAGCAGGCCCCTGTAACTGCCACGCTGATTCAGTGATTCATTAGCCTGTCTGCTTAGAGGCCTTTGTGTCTGCATGGTGTGCACTAGTGGAATAAGTGAAAAGGCAGAAAATTGTATGAAAATTTACTTTGCCATGTGTGTTTGGAAGTCTTAGGGTAACAGACCGTTGTGTGTTTTCACACAAGAATGGATGCAGATAACTCTTGAAGCCATTCATGCATGTGAACTAGCTTTGAAAATACAATGGGAAAGGCAAATGGGAGCTCCATCTCAGAGCTGAGAAACAAGGAACACCTAATATCTGCCAGGCATTTGCTTCTTTATGTGAATGGAGACTTTGGATTCAGATATACCACCATCTGCTGATGTTTTCCAGGTCCTGCAAGGAAGAGCAATTCCTGTGTGGTGATTTCTTGGGGCTCATTGGCTTGCTTCAAAACTGGCTTTTTTCCATATCGTACATTGGAGTTTCTACTTTCAGTGTGACAAGCTCTCACAAAACTGTGAAGACTGTAAACCACTGGTTCCAAAAGCATTTGTTCACACTTAAAATATCACTAAGTGCCAAGTAAGGAACCTCTGGTGCCTCTTATTTTTTTGTAAGAAAGAACTTAAAAGGCCAATTGTTATCTGAAGAGAATCCTGATGGCACACAAGGCTATTAAGAAGAGACATTAGCTTGCTAATAAGGAAATAATGTTGCTAATAAGTACTACCACACCCGCCAACGTTTTAATAGGCACATGGCCTCATTGGTTTGGCTTGCAGCCTGAGGTAAAAAAGAAGTTGGGAACGAATTTCAGTATTCACTCTGAGTTTTGCTACAGAAACAAATCAGGTATGTATTAACATCTGGAGGACCACAGGTTCTTCACTCCTGAGGCAGATCTTCCATTTTAATTAATTAATTAAAAAATTGGTCCTATTACCATAGAACAGACTATGGTACCCACAGGAAAACAAGGTTCTTGAAGAAACTCCTGAAGCTAGATTCTTTACTATGGTGATGAGAGTTTATATTAAACTGATAGGAATTTTATTAAATAAAGGGTGGGAATAGACAAAAGATTCCCAATTTTACTTCTGCAGGGAGATGTGCAATGCCAACTACTTCAACCAAACTGCACCATTACTAGCCTAACTGTCCAAGTTATGAGCCTTGGAGAATCAGAATGAAGAACGGTTCAAAGTCACTTTGCTTACAGTGTTGGGAGAGGTTGCTGTTTCCTGTTGTTGTTATCTTAGAGTCTGCCAGGCTGGATGTGGTTGTGAGTGAATGTAGGCTTGTAGTGCCCAGGAAGATGCGCGATGTGGTCTCTTGGCCTTCTGTACTATCGTTACTGTTGTTGCCAGTTGTAATGGTGGTGGTAGTAGTAGTCATAACAACCGTAGTGATGGCAGTAAAATTGGACAAGTGAGTTGTAGCAGTAGCAACAGTAGTAGCAGGAGTAGTAGGCACATTAGTTGAGGTAGTTGGAAGCTCTGAAAACATAAGCGATATACAGTCACCTCAACAGCTACACAGAACAGCTTCATTTTCTCCAGAAGACAGGGAATTATTTCACATAGAAGTTAATTGGAAATCTAGTTAAAGAGAAGGCACTCAAGTACTCCTGGCTTAGAATACTGCATGCAATCTTGCCCAAGAAATCTAATTCACTTATTTAAGGATTTGTTGTTTTACTGAACTGTTTCCAAGATCTTTCACAATAAGAGAAGTCACCCTCCCACCTTCCAATTCTACAGCTGGGGATAAAGGACATACAACATGAACCCTCTCCAATCATAATTGTCTCCACCCATCCCAGTTCACTGATGAATGAAGTTCAGTGTCTCTAGGGATATAGCGGAGCTGGAGAACAGAGAGGAAAAAATGTCAGCTATCAACCCATCCTACATCTGAACGGAAACGACTGAGGGGAAAAGCAAAAAGTGTATATAATGCCATGAAAAGTGTAGAATAAAAACAATGAACATAACATGTTTATTCACAGAGTTCTGAAAAGCAGAAATGGTGGAGTGTCTATTAAAAGCAGAAGTGGATTTGCCCTAAACAGTGTGCGGGAAGGTTCACAGAGTAAAGGCTAATGCTTTTTACCTTTATAGCACTTTTTCATGTCGGGACCCAACCACATATTATCAGGACAAACACAGGTATACTTGGGAGAATGTGAAGAGATTTGGGGTGCAGGAAGACACAGGTATTCACAACCTCCATTTGGCAGAGAACTGAGCTCACAAGCATCTGGAGCTATATGTGAGAAGAGAAAATGAAAAAGGTCAATTAAACATTCTTGTCAGTGCTTTTTTTTCTAGAAAAAATGGTGCTGGAACTCACCACGCAAGGGAGGGCTCTCAGATCCTGCCAGAGCACTGCACCTTCTTCCCTAAGCCGGGCCGAAGTTTCCCGGACTTTGGGAAGGAGGTGTGAGGCCTCTAACAATAATAATAATAATAATAATAATAATAATAATAATTTTTTATTTATTTATTTATATCCCGCCCTCCCCAGCCGAAGCCGGGCTCAGGGCGGCTAACAACAATAAAACGGTACAAAAGTACAGCATAAACAACACTCGTAAAATCATTCATTATAAAATTAATTAATTCAAGCCACTGGCAACCATTGGGCCAAGGGAGGGAGTCAGGCTGTGCCCTGGCCAAAGGCCTGGTGGAACAGCTCTGTCTTGCAGGCCCTGCGGAAAGATGTCAAGTCCCGCAGGGCCCTGGTCTCTTGTGACAGAGTGTTCCACCAGATCCTGCAGCCCTCCTAATATCAAGGTAGTAGAAGATTATTGTTTCTTTAATCCATAACTAGTTACACTGCTTCTAAAGACCCAGGCTCTCTTGGATGAGATGGATTTTCTAGATTCAATTCAATTGAAATTTAGTTCTGGGTTTGGCCTCCATGTCTGTGTTCTGGTAACCTGTAGGTTAGATTACTGCAATGCATTGTATGTGGTGCTTGCTGTCTTTGAATATGGTTTGGAAACTGCAGCTGGTGCAGAACTGAGCAGCCAGATTGTTAATTGGAAGTAGGAAGTTTTATCATTCAACACTGATCCTGACCCAAGAGCACTGGCTGCCAATTAATTTCCAGGCTCAATTCAAAGTTCTGGTTTTGACCTAGAAAACCTTATGCGGCTCAGGACCCCAATACCTTAGGGACCAAGGTTTTCCCCACAAGATCCAACTCAGACTTTGTGTTCATAATCTGAGGTCTTTCTTCATGTGTCTCCTCCAACACAAGGTCACCAGAGATATGTGTCTAGTGCCATCACTATCAGTCTTTAGGCACCAGGTGAAGATGTTCCTATTCACCTACACATCTTGCTCTTAATTGGTGTTCACCTTTTAGTTGAGAGGGATAGGATGTGCCCCTTTTATGAAGACTTTTTGATGATATATTTTTTTAATCTTCAAATGTATTTTAAATTTGGTATTGAAAAAATTGTAATGAAAAAATTGTAATTGTAATAAAGACTATTATTACTTCAGAACTGAATGATCCTCATACCCCAGTCTTCCTCAAACTTGTTATCCTCCAGATGTTGGATGACAGCTCTCATCATATCTAATCTTTGGCCATGCTGGCAGGGGCTAATGGAAGTTGTATCCCATAACACCTGAAGGGCACCTGGTTGGGGAAGACTATTTTTTCCTGTACTGGTTCAATGACTGGATTTGCTAATTATTCCCATTCAGTGAACCAGAGACAGCTACACAAGCACTCAGGACTGTTTAAGCTTCAAAGACCAATGGCCTTACCTTTAGGTTGCTTTAGCTCATGAAAGACTACAATGTCATGAGGGTTATTGAGGTTCTCCGCTAAAATGGAGATGTCCAGACCATTCAGCCTATTGGCACTGAAGATTGCTTCATTCTCTAGATCAGTCCAGAATACCCTATCCTGCAAGAACAGAGATCACAGGAGCCTTTTGAGAGTGCATCAATAACTTTAGCATTTTTTAACAACCAACTCATATACAATACTTTCTAAATAAAAAGAAATGAGGTCTTTTCTGAGCATTGTGAGGCAGGGGAGGCACACTTCAGGCTTGCCAGATCTACATTGTGTTTTAGCAGAACCTCCAGATCCAACAGCTGGAGCCAATATGAAAAACATGTAAAGAACATGTTGCCTCTGAACAGCTGCTGAGCACAGAGAGTTGTTCTGAGCTCCAGAACTGAGCTCATAGGGCCAGATTTCACTAATCTGGTGTACAAGTGGAAGCCAGCACAAGGACCCCTGCTAGTGCAACAGGGCTTCCCCCCTCCGCCGACATGCCCCTTATGCTTCTCCCCAAATCTGCTCTGGAGGGTTAGCAGAACTCTCAGAACAGCACATGGGAGGATCAGGTAGATCATTCTGTCTGGCCAGCAGAATTACTTGTGCTAATGGAACGATGGTCTGTGTGCACCATAGAACTGCACCACTGCTCCTTTTAGATAAAAAAAATCTACTTCTGCTTACACCCTTATTTCATCATCTCAGCAGCATCATTTGGGGAGGGAGTCATTTCATTGCTGCTACCGTTAAACAATTGGGAGTCAAAAATCTTTGCTGACGTACTGCAGATTATTCAGGAAACTCTACCAGTAGATCCTAATCTACCTTACAACCACCCCTGTTGTAAGATACCATACAGCCCATTGAAATGGATGGTGCCCAGTATATTTTAGGCCCATAGACTTAACCATCATGCGATTTAAATGACGGGGTCCTTCACTGCAGAATTAACATAAGCCATTTTAATCAGTGTCCAAATGACATTCGCCTTCCACTACTGGCTAGAGTTTAAAAACGGCACCGTTCACACACCAGTTCCCACCTCCATTCCTCCCTCTTTATGCTGCTACTTGAAGTAGTGTCCTTCCTCTTGCTGCCTAGGGTGGCCACCTTCTTCTTTAAAAGGAAAGAGTTTCTGTCCCATGGAGCAGTGACTTTAGCTTGACATTTGGGCTTTGAAAATTCTACACGGGCCCTTGGAAAATGTTATCGGTTGTGTATGTGTTATGCATATCGGATTAACTTTTTATTATATAGTTGTGGGGGACCTGCCTATATAACAGCAAACAACAGTGACAATACACACATTTATATTTCTGTTTCAATGGAGAAGAGTAACAGGACAAAGAGGACAACATTTTTCTCCTTTTCACTCTTTCTCTCTAGCCACACCTTCCTTACCCCAATCCAACAAATGAGATTCATTCATGGAGGAAGGCTCTCTTATCGCACGTATTACTTGCTGGATCTGACACAAATTGGAGGTGCATCCAAGTGTGGCTGCTCCTTATTTGCCCTGCCTTTTCCCCACTAGGATGAACATTTGGACGTACATCTCCATTTACCTTCAGATGCGCATCTTATCCATGCAACACAGTGCTGAGAGACACCACTTGCAATTTAAGATGCACATCCAATTTATGCTTATAATTCCTGATGCACAAAATCACAAGCAGATGGAAGTCCACTAAGAGGATAGAAGCCTCCAGCCAGGGTTTGTTTTGATTTTTGCACTGTTCCTGGTAATGGTAGGCAATCTATAAACAATACAGCAATACCAAGTGCTGGAAAATTCAGGCTGATTAGCAATCAGTGCCCAGAATTAGACTGTGAAGAAGTGAAAGGTGTGAAGAAGGTAACTTCCCTGCTTTCTTTGTGAAAGGAAAATTTTACTTTGAATTTATCCTTCACTTTCAGAGACAAATCCCCCCTCCCATATTATATTTTGCAAAAAAGCAAAGAAGGTGATGTCTGTATATTCAGGTTATGATGATACTTCCTCTGACATAACCCTAACAGTTATGCAGACGTGCCTGGCCTACTTATCAGCAGTCCAGCTTGTGCTCTGAGCTGCATTTCTCTGACTTGTGGTCAGAATGGTTCATGAATAGGATTTCAGGGGATTTATTAGAAAGTGGAGTGATCCCTGGCATCCCAGCAAAAATGGCATCCCAGGCTAATCTTCTTTCTCTGTCCAAACGTGTGGCCTGTCAATTTCTTAAAGGAGAACTCTGTGGCTCGAGATAGACTGTAGAGATATACAATTCAAGAGGAAGCAAAACAACTTTGCCTTGCTATTCGACAGTGACACACACTTAGTGGCAACTCCTACATGTTGAAGAGATGAGATAACAGAACAGAGAAGATATGAAAGCCTACCATTCAATAAGGAGCTGCATTTCATTGTAGAACGGTGAAGATAGAAGCGAAATGGTAAAATTACATGGTAAAGCTGAATGGGAGAAGTGAAAATGGAAACTTGGGGGAGTTAGGATTTAGGGGTTTAATTTTTCTAACATGACTGGTGATATTGGCATAATACTTTTGTTATCAAATCCCTTGGCTTCTCTGGCTGCCAATACATTTGATAATAATATATTTAGCTTTAATTCAGAGACCTACACATTGTGGCAACGTTTTTGATTTTACCAACCAACCATTTTAATAAATCAATTTTGTTACACAATATTATTTTGATCTGTTGTTAAAAGGTGTGGAGCCCATAGACCAGTGCCTACTGTGCCTGTTTGGTAATCCAGCACTGCCCCAAGCCAATTGTTGGGGCGGGAGGCCACACAGAGGAAAGTCCTTCTGCAGGGCTTATGCTAACAGGACTAGTTATGTGAATACTAGTCCTGGCCAGAAACTCTAAATTTTGGAGAAGGAAGCAGTAACCCTGAGTGCTGCACTCAGTGTTAGTTATAGAATTTGTGGAATTTAACACTCTTAAATTCACTTAAATAGATTGTGGCTTCATGTTTATCTTTATGTGAGCTGCCTTGTCAGTGCTTTGTAGGGCAGCATAGAAATTCTTAACTAACTAAATCAGGCCCTAATTAAACAGTAATGAATCCACTGTGTGTGTGTGTGTGTGTGTGTGTGTGTGTGTGTTGTTTAGCATTTTCCATCCCTACCAGAGTGAGAAAAAGTTTCAGCCACAACTTTTGACCAGTTCTGATGCGAGAAAGGAAAAAAGAAAGATGTGACCTCTTATTACATAACTATTACTGAGCCCAATTCATTTCAAACTGAAAGGAACACTCTTGAACTTCAGTCCTAGTCTCTTCTCACTGTTGCAAATTAATGCTAAGGTCTTCTCCTTTTTTTCTTCGATTCTGATGTTGACTCATTCCTTTCTTTGGTGCTACTCTCACCCACAACACAACACAACACAACACAACACAACACAACACACACATCCCTGTACTTCTTGAATGGGAAATATGGCTTGTACCTCATCTCATGTTCAACCATTGTTGAGCCATATGCTCATAGTGCCTCCCATTGCTACCTGGACTTAGATAACTGACTGGCTAGTGTTGGTCTCCACTCCACATCTCATACCTCAAAGACTGCTAATCCAAACGGATGGCTGAGGTCATCCACAGAAGAGATGAGAACTTTCCTGTTGCTGCCATTGAAATCTACGCTCGAAAGCAAGTGCAACTTGGAGTCTACCCAGTAGAGGCGCTGATTTAACAAATCTGAAGAGCAAACACATCAAGGCAGAATTATATCTAGGTACATTTGCCTGTTTGACACTTACTACTACTACTGCTTCAGAATTTTGGGAAACTGTAAATAAGCCATTTCTGCAAATAACGAACAGAGGACAGAACCTGAAAGTGAGTTCATGTGCTACAGGTGGAATTTCTTAATAATCTCAGTGTATTCGACTACCACGCACCATAGGGTGGGGAACCTTTTTCAACCTCTGAGAAATGGACCCAGAACTGGCTCATCCTGCATGCAACATTTCTGACAGGTGTGTGGGGCCACCCACCAGTCAGTCACCTGACATCAGGTGATTGAAAGTTCAAGCTGAAACAGGAACAGGCTTAACTCCAGGCTTAGTGCCGTAGTCCCTCAACACTGAGATCAGAGACAGAAGCCTCTGCTTGCTCTTTAAAATGCACCAGGCAGAGACTAACATCTCTCTGATCTTAGCACTGTGGGATCAGAGCACTAAGATCAGAAATAAATCTCTGCTGCTGCTGCCATTTACCATCAGAGAGCAAGCAGAGGCTTATTAGCAATGTGATGCATAGCACTGAGATGGAGATCCCTTATCATATGATGTCCAGCGTGGAGATAGGCTAAGTGAGCATGGTTTGCCCCAAACGGCCTTGTGGGTCACATTTAGAGATCCACAGACCAACAGGCTGTCGTCGTCCCAGTCATAGAGTGGTGGTGTCTGGACCCGGGTTAATTCTCTGTTCATTTATGCTTCATACAAGGAAGAGTCAGGCCTGCATAGAAGCCAAATAACTACAGGAACAATGTCGGAATGAGGCAACCCTTTGCCATACTGTCCTCACTTTCTGGGCTGACTTTTCTCTGCACTTTTGGATTGTGGGGGAGGATCCAAACAGAGAATCTGAATAAATTAATAGACATATTATCTGAACGCTCATTAACATCAACAGTTGGCATTTTTTAATCATATCTTATTTTTAGTCTACGACATTAACTACCTATATGGTTCATTTGGCTAAATGGCTTACCAACTTACCAGCTTACTTGCTAATCTTGTTCCACAAACATCTACTATGCAATTCAGTGAAGGGCCAAACTAGACAATACTTGGTGGGGGGTAGTCTCTTGCCTTTTCTTCTTTTTTAAAAAAACTGTACAGCAGCTGTGAGAGGATTCTAATTTCAGTAGAGGAAAGGGGGAATGGCAGCAAAGAACTTTTCCTTCCTGCTATTTGTTTGCTTGAGACCCACCCCCGCTTCCTCAAGCATTTCCCCCCCCCTTGCATAGGGAGAAAAATGGGAGGACAGGATTGTATCAATTCCTCTGTAAGTGGAGAAACAGGTGAGAGGTGATTCTGAGTGGAAAAATAGCAGGAAGGAAGACCAGTTTGCCGCTTCCTCCCACCTACCCTTTTCTGCTCCCAAGAACAGAATTTGATGATGCTTCTCAGTTTTTTGAAAACATGTACTGTCTAATTTGGCCTTATAGAAAGGTTTTGAAGGAGGCTTCGAAGGGAGCAGAAATTGCTGAATCAACAGGAGAAATTCAGGAGGAGCTGTGTCAGCAAACCTTTTGATTGGATTGAATGGACTGTCCATATATATAAGTGAGTGGTGAAAAAACCCACCTGAGACTAATACAATTATTCCCCCCCTTGCTTAGTTAGCTTTAAAAACTACAGATATGAGGAGTCTGTGGGAAGGGCTGTTGCTCAGTGGTAGAGCATTTATTCTGAATGCAAAAGGAAGATCCCTGGTTCAATCTTTGGCATCTCTAGGTGGGCCTCAGAAAGACTAGCTGAAACCCAATGCGAAGTCACTGTAGACAACACTGAGTTTGCTTGGCCAATGGTCTGGCTGGGTATGCGACAGCTTCCTATATTCCTATTTCCAGGAACATTGGTAATTTACAATGATCTGGTCCCATTTATGCACCTTACAGAAAATTCCTAATCATGTCTACTCAGAAGTAAGTCCTATTGAAATTCAACAGGGTTTAGTCCCAGGCAAATGGGTTTAGGATTGTAGCCTTACCTAGTGTGATGCCATTGGGCCATTCAATGTTGTCCATCACAAGCACTTGCCGATCTACGCCGTTCAAGCCAGACTTCTCAATTTTTGCTATGTCACCCCAGTCAGACCAATACATGAATCTATCGGAGAAGGGCAGAGAAAGCAGATGAGAAGGCCATGTGCTATGACAAAGCTCACACAATTACTGAACTGAGCTGTCTTTAAAAATGTGGTGCTAATTTTGAGTTGCTGCAGACTGCTTCTGAAAACTTAAACTATTTCAGATGATTGGGTTCTGTAAGGAGGATTAATTTGGCCGAGAACGGTCCTACATTCATTTTAGTAGTTCTCATGAACTCTAGGTTAACCACGAAGCAGCAAGTCAACCAATGGCTGCCTAACACAAATATCTAGCGATGCAGCTGTGTGATGAGCCTCTGACTATAAAGACTGATTTGGCATAAATGCACTGAGGAAGAAAGCCATTTGCAGCATTCTTCATATCACTTCAGCAGAATTGGGAGATAGAGTTGATGAATTCATAAAACAGAACCAGACTAGAATGGGCCAATCTGGGTTCTAAAAAGAACTATAAAGATGGGAAGAATACAAAAGGACATCTGATCCAATTTCCTGTTCTGAGGAAGGATCCCACACCCTCTAATGTTCCTAACACTCCACAAACTCCAATCCCTTGGTTAATCATGAAGAACTGTATGAATCAGTCCTGCTGATACTGTCATTTTAAAATCATTCTGCCTAGCAATCAGACTTCTGTATGCTGTAATGCACTGATTATCTTAGCAAAGCGCCCTAGACAATAAACTCTGATTGCATTGCATTCTACAGTCTGGCAAGCTAGAAGGACCAAGGGAAAGCAGGGAATATGTTTAGCAATATATGACATGAGTGTTCCCTCTTTTACACCTACCCCCGTGTTGGATCCACCACAATGGCTCTGGGCTCACTTAAGTTAGTACTGAAAAGTGTCCTCCTCTTACTCCCATCAGCTGTGGCGACAGAAATGGTCTTGTTTCCCGAATCTGTCCAGTAGATGTTCTTGTGAACCCAATCCATTGCCAGGCCTTCAGGAGAGTTCAAGTGGCTATCAATTAGGACCATTTGCTCAGCTGTGTCGCTGGCTTTGTCTATGTAGGCACTGCGGAGAGGAGACAAAATTATCACCGTATTTATTTAGGGAGGTGGAGGAAAGGCCACCTTTATGCAGAAGGAAAGGAAAAGAGTTGCAAACAAGGCACGAAACTTCACCATTAGGATCATGATAGGATAATTCTGCATCCCCAGTTTGACATTCTACAATGATAAAAGCCATACTAAAAAAGGGAAAGCTTATTCATCAAATAAACATATTATGCACATTTGCATGTTCCTGGATAGGGGCAGCTCTCAACATACACAGTTGTTTCTACCGGCCAGCTCTTCCATTCTTGAGAAATGGTTTGATAAGGAAAGACTCTTTAGCAGCAGGACAGAGGCAGCTACTGCTTCTGGTGCTTTCCCCCAAAGCCCAACTTGCAGGGGGAAATAGCACTTTTCTTTTTCCTTCTCAAGAAGGAGGAAATGTAGTTTTGCTCTGAATTGTGGTTTTTCATAAATTGCCAGACATGCCTCACTGTTCTCTTGCAGAAAACAAATAGGGATGGAGGGGAGAGACATATTCACATCTTCTATACTCCCTACATCCCATGCAGAAAATAAGTGGTAATTTATTTCTGACTTCCCCCAAATTTTTTTCAGGGGGCAGAAAGGTACAGCTAGGTTGTTTTTTTCTTCTTTTTGTGGAAACAAAACTCTCTTGTCTTTCCTCCACAGAGAACAAGGAAGAAAGGTGAGGTGGCTTTCATCCTGTTGTACTTTCCTGGAGCTTATGTCTATATCAGGCCCACCTAGATCTGGCACACCTGGTCCAGCATCCTGTTCTCACAGTAGCCAACCAGAGCCCTGTGGGAAACCTGAAAAGAGGATCTGAACAAAACAGCGCTCTCCCCTCCTGCAGTTTCCAGCAACTGGCATTCAGAAGCATTACCGTCGTTGACCATGGAGACAGAGCATAGTTATCATGGCTAATAGCCATCAATAACTTATCCTCCATGAATTCATCTTATCCTCATTTAAAGTCATCCAATTGGTGGCCATCCCAATTGGTGGGTGAAGAAGTACGTTCTTTTATCTGTCCCGAATCTTCCAACATTCCTCTTCATTGGATATCTATGAATTCTAGTGTTATAAGACAGGGAGAATAACCGTTCTCTACCCATTTTCTCCAGTGTCTTGCTGCTTCTGCCCCCTGCAGAATTCCAATGGGAAGGGGAAACTGGACCCTTCTTTTCTCCATGGAGAGTGGGGGGGAAGAGGGGCGCTTTATCTCCCTTCCTGTTGAAGGAGAAGCAAGCAGCAATAACAATATACAGCTGCTGGTTTCTGCAAAAGCAGAACTTAGGGCATGAAAATCACCTCTCTTCCTCCATCCCTATGCAGAAAAATAGAAGTGTAGCTTATTTGTTGAAGGCAACAAAAGTCAGCTGCCCATGCCATGGGCTTCAAATGGGCACCGATGGAAAAACAACAGCAATAACCATAACCAAGTATAGCTATAAAGCTCAGGGCAAAACTGTTACAGTTGCTGGTAACGAGGAGAATAAACCCCTTGGCAATAAAAGAAGCCTGAAAGATATTTGCTGCCAGTACGGTATAGAAGAAGTGCAATGTTAAATAATTATCCAGGTTTTAAAGGGCAGATCCTAGCTTTGTCCTTTACTATACATTTTGCAAGGTTCACAGTTTATAGAGCAAGTCTCCCTTCCACCACATTTCTGCTGGCTCTTTCTTTTTTGTAGGCTCCATCACTCTCTTTGAATCCCCAGCCAGCTATTTCAGTGTTATTAACTGGCCATATCTTAGAAAAGCTTCCTCTTCTCCCGGAGTTGGCTTGCTGATCTTTGAAATCACCTTTCCTAGTCTGCAGGTCACAGTGAACCTGCCTCTGATTATTAGCTGGAAACAAGCATGAGGAACTACAGATGGTGCAGCAGGGGGCAATAGTGATTCAGAACTGAGTGCCTAAGAGAGAAGGTCAGCTTTGTTGCAGCAAGCAAATGCTGTTTCACTGTGTAATTAGACACAGTCTCAGCACATGCATCTGGGCGTTGCACCCCAAAGGCACACAGATGCACACTTTCAACAGGCACATTTCCGATGCCACACCGAAGAGGGGGAAAAATCAGAGTTCTGAAAGACCTTGCAATTAAGTTGACATAAGACGTGGCCATTTGGGTAGCCAAATGAGAGCCCCGCACCTGTATATTTTCCTGTAGAATAAATCACACCAGTATATCCTGTTTGTTGCCACCTCCACATCCAAAGCAACCACGTTCTTCAGCATGGGGATGATGCGAGAGTAGTCCCTTTTCACCAAGTCTATCTTGCGTACTTCGTGACGATTTGTGAAAACCAAATACGGGCTCTTCCCTGCATGGAACAGAACTCCGGAAGTTACTTTATTTTTTTAAGCAGCTTACAAGATAGCATAGTTCTCTGGTGCAGAGTTAGATCTCACTTCTGTTGCTTTGTCATAAGAGCATGTCTGAGCTGGAAGGAAAATAGAAGCTTTGGGAGTATCTGAAACTGGCTAGAACAACAGGAAGGATCAGTAGTGGCTGCTGTTCTTACCGGCACTAGCAAGTCACATTTGCTGTAGCTAAGTGGCAACTCACACATTATTTCTCTCAACTTGGCAGATGGAAGTGTTCACACACCTGAACACTTGGAGGATTGGGAACATTGCATTAAGAGCAACACAGGAATCTCCCCTGCAGTGAAATCTGTCTATTAAAAAATAAAATCAAGGGCAAGTTTCATGAAATATTGGCTGAAATATTTCATGAAAATGGAAGGCAAAGCTTCCAAACTCATCATTGCAGCTGTGCTGGAAGAAAATGAGAGGAGTTTATGATCTGGGGGTGGGAGCTAGGCTTATTTCCATCATGATATTCTATGGTTTATCATGAGGTCCTAATGCAGACAATGTTCCACAATTAGATTTTTCTATCATTAAAAATTTAGAAAGAAAATGCTTCAAACAACCATTATTATATCTAGTTACCGAAGAAATAATAGGGAGATCCCCCCCCCCCATCTAGATCAAAGGGGCAGGTCTAGAGAATGAATCTAAGATGGAATCAAGGCATTTAGGAAGGAGTACAGATTCTATTACAGCATATTGAGCTTGTATTTTGCACAATTTGTATACGGTGTTTGTTTGATAATGTGTGGTTTGCTATGCCTAATAAAGGATATTTTAGTATTACAGCATATGTTGACTACCACCTCACAGATAATGTGAAAGCAAGAGGGTAGCTTGATGAAAACAAATTCTATATACCTTGCAAAGAAAACTAAACGTTGTAAGAATTCATTTTAGAATTCTGCAAGTAACAATTCATTCATTAGGTTTTCCTTTGCAAGTACATGGAACAGCAGTTCCTGCCTGTTTCTGTAGAAATGTAGCATGTGAATTAGTCCAAATGGAGCTGTTTGCATCCTCTAGATTCTAGAACAAGCACTTTCCTTCCACTTTGCAAACTGAGCCATCTATCATGTTTGACTTTTGAACAATCATCTCAACAGAGTTACTTGTCAATTCTACTTGTGCGTCCTCAAGCCTGCACCTGGCTTTCTATGGATCATGCAGAATGGATTAGAGCATTTCCTTACCTACAGCTTTGCAGTTTTTGGACAGAGTGTCCATCTCGTAACCCTCATAGCATTCGCATTTATAGTCTCCCTTGTAGTTGATGCAGATCTGGCTACAAGCGTCGGGATTCTCACATTCATCTATGTCTGGAAGGGAAGTTTAAAAATCATCAGTAACTTGTAATTAAGCCCATCAGGATGTGGAGTGAGCCTGGAGCGACTATAATTATGTGCTGCTGTACAGAGAAACACAAAGAGCTGCTGCTTCTATGCAAATTACCTCCACATGTTTTCTTGTCGAGAAGCTTGTATCCAGGAGGACACTCACACTCATAGCCAATCTTCAAATCTCTGCATATGTGGGAGCAGCCGCCATTGTTGAGTGCACATTCATTCACTCCTAGAAGAGAGGTATGGGCTATTTAGACTTAACAAAAGGTTCAGTCCTAAGGCTGCAAATTTCAAAAAAGACCAGAATTATTATATATTAACAGGTATCACTGATGGCATTCCCTCAGTATAAGATGTCCTAAACAGAAATAGCCACCAAATCTCTTTTTCCCCAGAGCAGCAATTTGAATGGAAGACCTGTTCACAGAACTTTGCCTTAACGTCTATCTCCTTGTCCAAATTACTTTTATTGTTTGTTTATGATCTGTTATACAGTGGTACCTCTAGTTACCAACTTAATTCGTTCCGGAGGTCCGTTCTTAACCTGAAACTGTTCTTAACCTGAGGTGTGCTTTTGCTAATTGGGCCTCCTGCTGCCGCCGCGTCGCCAGAGCACGATTTCTGTTCTCATCCTGAAGCAAAGTTCTTAACCCGAGGTACTATTTCTGGGTTAGCGGAGTCTGTAATCTGAAGCGTATGTAACCTGAAGTGTATGTAACCCGACGTACCACTGTATGCTCCGTAAGCCAAAGCAGAGGGATGGAACTTTTAAATAATAAGCAAGTTAGCAAAAAAACAAACATCTACTCATCACACTGATCACCAGTGGTGGGAAACCTATTAGCCCTCCAGATGAGTTTTTATAGTTATTTCATAGAAATCATCACTGTTTTTGACAAGAAACAGTCCCAAAGCTGTGTACAATGGTAATAAAGCAGCATACACAACTAAATTAAAATGAATTTCACACATTACAATACAACTAAAACAATAGAGTACACAGCCTAGCCCTAAGGCACTATTAGTACTCCCAAAGGCCTGGGGAGAACATGGGTTGTAACTAGGTGATATTGCTGTCTGCTCTTCTATGGGAAATGAATTTTAGAGTTGGGGAGCAATCACCAAGAAGGCCATGTCTCACATTCCAAGACAATGAGCAAAAGAAGTCAGTGAGACTACAAGCAAGATCCCCTTGATCAGTTTCAGTGATGGCTGGTATGGGGAGAGGCTGCTGCATCAAATGCCCAGGTCCCAAGTTGTCCAGTGCTTTAAATATCAAGGTAACACCTTGAATTGGGCCAGTCAACATATAGGCAGCCACGGCACAAGGTAAGTGTAAGATGGCTACTCCACAGGGTGCCTGCGAAAACTCCAGCAGCAGCATTCTGCAAAATAGATGCAGTTTTTGACCCTGAAATTTCTGATGTCCTCTGTCCCAGTCTGGCACTCTAACCAACTACACTGTGAATTAACTAAGCCAATCTATGTCAGTTTTTCCATTTGAGGAACGCAATGGAAGGAGGAACAAAGGAACTCTGCAGTTCCAGATACCCTGCCAGTAATAATCCTGTCTAACCCTGACAACTTGTAGGGGGTGGGATGGGGTGGGGGGAGTCCAGACCATTTGTTCCCCCATTGGCAGGAGCTGAAATTGAAAATCCACTACAATTTTATCCTGGCAACTCTAAACTGCTGAGGGGGTTGAAGGAGGTCATTTCAATGCCCGAAACAACATTTCGCTTGCCATTTCAATTAACCTACACAAAGTGAGGAACAATGTTTTCTTCCTAGTGTGGGATTTGCTGTACAGTTCAATGTAGGAATCCCGCAGTAAGAAGATTTGTTGGGACCAGTCTGAATCTAAGACATGAGGGGGGAAAGCTGCTGATGCATTCTCTCCCTGAGCCTCGCTGTCCAACTACCGGTCTTTTCATGAATGCAGTTATTTAGTGGGTAAGACGTGAACCTTGGAAGAAAATGTAACAGGCAGAAAACACTGCACTGGAAAGATTTCCACAACAGTTTTGGTGCAGCATTCTCACCCTATCTGAACAGAAATGTTACAGTTAACAATGTTATTAACAGGAGGAAGTTCACAGAGACCAGAACAGTCCCTCAGATTATGATGGTGGGTGCATGTTGTCTGCTATCCATTGTTTAGATTGATCTTGCTGTGACTATTGGCTAGATTGGACATTAGCCAATTAGGCCATACACATAGTGAAACACTACTGAAGGTTGCTGGAACGTGAAGAAGGTCTTCAATATTAATTGTTGTTTTTGTTTACAGTAGGTCGTTGCAGCATATTATGCCAAGTTCTATAACCATCTCACTGAAACGAGGAGAATGACAGGTTTACTCAACGTAGCCTACGCCACATCTGTTAAAGCAGTCTTGCTTCTGCAACTCACTCTCATGTCTCAAACTGGGTGTATATCAAGTGCCCCAGCAGGTGCAATGACCAATACAAAACCTTTGAACTGAAAAAGTCACGCCTCTGGGCTCTTGACACTGAATAGATGCTTCTGTTGTCAAATGGTACGATTAACACCAAATCTGAAACACTGGGATGACTTGTGGGAGTGCTCATGCGCCTGGAAATAATTAATGTTGGAGGTCTTATTTAGAGGTTAGCAAGGAGAACAGAGGAACTCCTCATCTCTGCCTCAGGGCTTGTCTCTGCACTTAGGGCTTGTCCACACTTGAGCATTTGGCTGTTTATCTACTTTTCTCCCATTCAAATTAGACCAGAGTAGTCCACAGATGTATTTGAATTTATAAATGAGGAACAACTTTGATCTTGCCCATTCATACCAGCAGGCGTTCTCTTTTGTGTTTGTCCTGCTTTCTAATGTGCTGATTCTATTATGCCAATTAAGTACAGACAGGGCATGTGCATAGATAGCACCCACACCTTGTGTGTGTGGTTTGGTGTGTTTTTTAGAAAATATTGTACACAATGTGCAATTGCGGCATAGATCGTATAACAGCATTATGATTTTTGCAGTTTTATTTTCCATCTCTTTGTAATTTGCAAGTAATCATGCTGCTGCATTCCGGACCAACTCAAGCTTCTGAATAGTTATCAAGGATAATCAATGTCGAGTGCATTACAACAGTCCCATATTGAGGATGTCCAGGCACACATGACTGCGGCAAGGTCTCCACCTCCCAAGAGAAGGTGCAGCCAAATGTGGAAAAAGGTACTTTGGATGAGCATTACTACCTGGCCGTCCAGAAGCACAAGCAAATCCAAGAATACCCCCAAATACCCCTGACACAATTCAGAACAGATGGTACATACAATTGCTAAGCCATCTCTGACTTTTCTGGACTGAGCTTCAGCTTGTCAAGCTTCAGCTTGAGCCAGTGTGGTGTAGTGGTTAAGAGCGGTAGTCTTGCAATCTGGGGAACCGGGTGCGTGTCTCCGCTCCTCCACATGCAGCTGCTGGGTGACCTTGGGCTAGTCACACTTCTCTGAAGTCTCTCAGCCCCACTCACCTCACAGAGTGTTTGTTGTGGGGGAGGAGGGGAAAGGAGATTGTTAGCCGCTTTGAGACTCCTTAGGGTAGTGATAAAGCGGGATATCAAATCCAAACTCTTCTTCTTCTCACCCAGCCCAGCAGCAGGGGTATGGAACTGAGGTGGTGTCCAGCTACCACCACCTCTGACCATTGGCCATGCCAGCGGGGGCAGATGGAAACTGGGTCCAAGGGTCCCAATTCCTGCACTAAGATAATCCTTACCAAAGCCAAATAAGGCAGACTTGCTGTTGCCCAGAAACAGAAACTGGGGTAAAAAGGTGAAACCATGGGGCCAAGGCACAGAGGAATGTTCTACACAGCACCTTATCATTGATGCTAAATAAATAATAAATAACCAGAGCCTTCAAGATGTCACAAAAACAAACAGTAGTGAAAACAGCCATAATGGTAAGATTCAGTCTATTCAATCCCCTTCTTGACAATGTATTCAGAGAGAATCTGATTCTGTTCGTGGCCAAGAGCGTATTCAGCAGCGTTAACAGTTCAGTCATGTCCACATCAATAAGAATAGCTTTGTTTGATCATCCTAGAAAGAGATCTTATACTTTCTCTGCTCTAAGGGAACACGCTATTCTGAATTCATGATCACTTGTCAATAAAAAAACATGCCAAAAGAGACGACTCTGTTGGTGAATATTATTCAGTCAATACATATTTGGCTTATTTAACGATGTGATCAGGATTCTGCTATTTTTGAATACACCTCTAAGTCACAGATAACTGAATTATTCCTATACCTTAATGACATTTGCCCAGCGCCTCATCACTCAGAGTTTTTATGATGAGTTTACATGATACATTTTTATGGAAAGAATCAGCTGCTGTTCTTCCACGGAGGCCTTTTCTTATAAACACACCCCTGCTGAGTGCAATCAAAATAAAGGCAAATTTTAAGTGAGGATGCATTTGCAGAGTCCCATTCAGGCACTTACCCAGGTGCCAACACCTCTCACATGGCGTGGGAGAAGGTAAGCCTCCTGCCCCTAACAACTTCATGCATATCAGTGATGCCCATGTAGGTATATGCTGTTGTGGATGCCTGACTTGTGTGGTCCTTAGGAAAGAGTAGTGGGGCTTGTGTAAATAATGCCCTGCGTGGAGCTACGTGTGACATTATCTGTGGACTGGAGAGTGGGGCATGTTTGCCCACTTCTCTACCACATGTATGCTGTCACTACCTGGGTGCACATCTGAAGCAACATTGTGGGAGGGGTGTTTCCAGCTACCTCACCCCTTGCCCTTGGAAGTCTTCTAAGAAGCTGCAGCAGGAGAGGGACACTGAGCATCATCACAGGAGGGGTGTTCCTAGGACTAAGGTGAAGCTCGGGACCACGCTATTTTTGCTACTGGATGCTGCATGCTATTTAAGTAACCCCGATGTTGGCAAACTAAGGCTCGTGGGCCGGATCAGGCCCAATTGCCCTCTGGATCTGACCCATGGACGGTCCTGGAATCGCCACTTGGATCGGCATGATCATTTGGGCTGCGCCATTTTTTTCTGCAATTTTTTTCGGGCACCATTCCCCCCTCACTGTGGCGGTGCCTCCTCCCTCCTCCTGGCTTCTCCCTGCCCTGTGGAGGAAGGGAGCTGGGCTTTGATTGGTGCCAGCAGACAGCCAATCCGAAGCCTCGCCCGCCCACGCGCTGAGGTGTGGCTCAGACTCGCCACTCGTCCACCGACCTCTCCGTCCATGGCCACGCTATGGGCATCATGACGGGCACATCATGATGGGCGTGTTGCGGGGCTTCGGCTGGAGCTTGGCACGCCTCCTGGCCCCACGCCTGGCACCCAGGAAAGCTGGTGACCCGGAAAGGAGAGGCACCACCGCCGCCAGCGGCTCCTAACTGGAGGCAGAGCAGCAGAGGAGGTAGGAAAGGGAGGAGAGGGGTTGGGGGAGAGAGGGAAGCCCCCATCCACTGTGTGCATTGTGTGTACACACAGTCTGGCCCGCCACTGAGGGGCTGTGAACCGGCCCCCTCCTTAAAAAGTTTACTGACCCCTGAAGTAACCATATTATATTTATGGTATTGAAATGTACTTTTGGGGATATGTTATTCTATTTGCTATTGTTTTGCTACATTATTCCTATGCCATTGTTTTGCTATATTATTGTGAAATTGTTTTTGTAGTGTTCATTTGAAATGCATTCCTGTATTCTTTCTTGTATCCAGTGTTGAGCATGATTTCGTTTGGAAAAAAAGGCATACAAATAAAATGTATGGAAGAATGAATTGAGCCTGTGTGTTGACTTCACGCCACCCATTTATAAGACCTAACTGTAAGAGAAATGTGAACATTCACATAAACCTTGTCTTATACTTTACGATAGCTAAAACAAATAATTAGCATCAGCAAGAGGTCAGGAGACGAGGGAAATTCATATCATGTGTGAGTTCAAACCTCTTTGCAATCAACCTGGATTTATTTCCTGATGTGACAGGGCATTTCCTCAGAACAATGCCTGGCCTATGACTCAAACTATTAGATTCCAGTTCCTTTTGCACCCATGCAATAGACACACAAACAAGGCGAGCAGAAAAACTACATTAGGCACATCACCAGCAGCCATATGCCTCTGTTCTGACGGCCCTAAGCAGACAGAGGATGTGAGGGATTGTTAAAACAGGAGGACAAAATAAAGAAGAGTAGTGTACTGTACCACATGCTTTCAGGGGCTCGTCAGACCAGTCCCTGCAGTCCCTGTGCGAATCGCACACCTTGACTTCCTCTATGCACTCTCCACTCTTACACTGAAACTTGGTGGGATTCTCGCACGCCGCTTCTGTTGCGTCAGGCAAGGGAGGGAAAGCAGATGACGTTAGATTAGGCACGTGAAAATGAAGAAAGGACATAAAGATGCAAGAGGAGGAAATTTAGAAGAAATGGGATGGGATTAGGCAATGGGGTATTTAGCTGCAACATGTGACAAAAGCAAAGCCTACTAAAGTTTTTTTTTGGGGGGGGGGAAGCCTCATTGCTGGGTGGTCCAGAGGTTCACAGTGAGGAGCAGCTGAGTCGTGAAAAACGGACTAGATGCCATCTCTAGCATCTATGTGAGCTTTTCCAGAGCAACGGTTTCTGCTATACCCCATACAAGGACACCAATTACACCTACCGTTAACGCAGCCAGCCTCATCACTGTTGTCAGGGCAGTCATGCACTTTGTTGCACTGTTTGGCTCCATGGATGCAAGTCCCATCGCCACACTGGAACTCATCAGGGCTGCAGGTCACCAGAGCTTGGGGGGGGAAAAGGAATAAAAATTAACACACTTCTGAGTATTTTGACACATGTTTTCTGCCTCAGTGTTAATGCTGTTTTTAAAACAGATTGTGATTTTATTGTAATTAACTCTATCTTCTTATTACAGTGGTACCTCTAGTTACCAACTTAATTCGTTCCAGAGGTCCGTTCTTAACCTGAAACTGTTCTTAACCTGAGGTGTGCTTTTGCTAATGGGGCCTCTTGCTGCCACTGCGCTGCCAGCACACGATTTTCATTCTCATCCTGGGGCAAAGTTCTCAACTTGAGGTAACTCTTCCAGGTTAGCGGAGTTTGTAACCTGAAGTGTTTGTAACCTGAGGCATTTGTAACTTGAGGTGCCACTGTACTTTGTGAGTTGCCTTGGATAGACTAGTCCTAAAGAGCAGGACTTAAATAAATGAAAACTTAAATAAAACAAAATAAACAGTTCTGTTTCTAGCAGTAGTCTCTGGGTTCTGGAATTCATTGCCATTTGACCTCTGGAAAGCTACTGCACTCCCATCTGTTGTAAAGGACCTAAAGTAATTATTTTCTTCAGGTAACCAATATGTGAATCATATTTTTATTGCTGCACTGTTATTAGAAAAGGAAGAGTTAGAGGAATTGTGTTTTTATATTTTGGGCTGAGTGGGTGCTTTTTTATTATTGCTGGTCATTTGGCGCTGAGAGCGATTTGTAGAAATTATCTTGTATTTTACATTGCTGTTTATATTTTTTATTCTTTTGAAGTTTCTTCCGTGGGGACTGGCACCATTGCTCACCACACTAGAATTCAGTGCGGCATACATGGGGAGAGGGACTTGCCCAATTCTGACCTCACAGCCATTCAGTTATGGAGGTTAGGCTGAAAGAGGGTGAATAGCCCAGGGCCGCTCAGTGAACTTCATAGCTGAGCATAGATTTTCTTTGATTACCGGTACTTCCTCCTTGTTCAATTTTCAATGCAAACAAAAATACATACATACTTATACTGAGATGTGGGGGACAGATTCATAAATAAATACATATCTAAAAGAAGAAAATTCTTAGAAGTTCACCAGTGTGAGAAATGAGAGGCTGTGAAAAAACAAACTGTCAACTGAACAGGAAGTGAGTGGTGAAATGTTATAAACCATTTTTAAAAATCCTTATGCAGGTACATATAAGAGAAAGGGAGTCTAAAACACCATCAAAAATTATCAGTGTCACCCCCCGCAAAAGCATTCCAAATATAGACATATTCTGTTGAGGCAGTCTGAATTGTCTTTTTAAAAAGTCCAATACCCTATTCAGTACATTAACTCTCCTTATGGTCTTGACCAGTTTCTTGCTGAGAATGGTTTTCTCAGTAGGCCTTGCTGTTGACAACAGTTCCTTCTACCATGGGGATATCTTCTTCTGTCCTAGCTGCTTCCAATCCCTTTTATTCTGGACCTTTTCGCTCAGCAAGCTTAATTGTCTCTATCATTTCAAAAAAACTGTCAGTAAAAAACAGTAACAACTGAAGGTTTTAGAGGGTGCAAAACAGCAACCTCCGAGCTGAATTTCAAAGCTTACAGCTGCCACAGTGTCCCTGAATAAACCTATCTCAAAGCACTCATTTGAGTGCCTCCTCTTTGGGGAATTGCATCCTTATCCTAAATGACAGAAAATCACTGCCATTGAGTTGCTGGAGCAATATGACACAGACACTAATTCATGTGATCCAAGAGCCTCCCGGCAGAATCTCTGCGGCAATTTCGCAAACTGTCCCGGAGATCAGAAATTATGGCTCCTCAATACTCTGGGGCACAGCAAGGAGGCAACAAGCAACAAGCACAGCAGGCACCATAAGGCATGATAACATTATGGTACAATCCCCCATGCTGGACATACACACAACAGGGACTCAAGATCACTATGTTGAACCATGCTCTGGCAAGGAGAACTGTTTGCACAATGCTTTATAGTGCTTCTGTTTGTCCTTAGTAAATTACAAATGCCTCCCAACTCGCCAAAGTGTCAAAAAGTGCAAAAGTGTCTTTGCAGGTATGTTGAAAGTCAGATGTAGGAGTGCACCAAGGTTTCCACTCTGTGCTGCATGTTAGCACATCCTTTAAAAAGGACTTTGTGCAATTATCCTACGGGGATTCTTTTTAGATCCAGCAACATGTGGCAGAAAGCACCAGAAAAAGTGGATGTTGCATTGCAAGGCACTGTCCTGATCATCTCTGGTATTTTTTATTCCAAAAGGCACATTTTACATGTTTACCTTCTGACATATGGTACATTGGGGGACTGCAGTTTTATCACCGTGTTTTGGATAGGGGACCTACTGTCAAGCACAGCCCTCTTCAACTTAAGCCACTTTGGCCTCATTGAAGTCAATGGGACTAAGCTAATTCAACAAAAAATCAGCAATTCAAATATTTTGAAAATTGCCACCTTGGGATCTGAGCAGCCATAGATTCAAGCTGGTTCTTATTTGTCCATGACAGCCTGTTAACAATCCATTTAGCATCTTAATGTGAAGCAATATGGGAACACAAAAAAATAAGGCAGGTTGAAAACATAGAAGGATGAGACAATGCAGTGTCGTTCTTCACTAACTTGAATCACGGAATGCAAATGCTTGAAGGGTTTGGTGATGAGGTTGTTCTCCTGCTCTATCAGCCAGAAAAACCTACCCACCAAACTGCTTAGGGCTTCTGTTGCCAGCTGGTAAAATGTGCCATATGGAGGCATTTGGAGTAATTAGTCCAAAGTTGCACATGAAAATTTGTAGCACAAATGGGAACTGTGAAGAATGCACCTGTACGGGGTTATTTCCAGAGGCTTGCCACACTCATTAAGCATATCAGACCTGCTGCAAGCCCTGTGCTGCTCATATTCAATCCATGCTGATCTCCTGCCTGTCTCCTTATGGCTATGTCGTTAATAGCTGAAACACTCCTTATATTACATTTCATATTGTTCAAAGGTAAATGTATTGTATGTCATATGAATAATTTTAAAGGCATGCATGTCTTTAGGGATACTTTGAGTTGCCTTATTCTGAGGGTCTATCTAGATCAGCAGTCATTCTCCAGTTATCTCAAGCAAAGGCCTCTTTCAGTACCATCACCTCAGATTATTTTGCAGGAGATGCCACACACAGTGCTCTGTCACTAAGCACATTTTAAGGGATTTAAAAAATATTTAATACTTCTACAGAAACAAGAAATATCACCCACCGAAGCAAACCTTTTCTATTTTTTGGTTCATCTGCTCATCTCCCTTTTTGTTTCTCTGCCAAAGCATTTTTACTATTTATCATAATTAACACATAGCCAGTGCTTTCATTCTTTCAAAGTAATTACAGCAACAAGTGAAAGAACCTGGCCTCAGAACAGATTCAGTTTTAATTCCTGACATCCCTCTATTACGTACACTACAAAGAAGTGTAGTGGGACCAGAGCAGACCTTGTAATGTCAATGTTTTTAAAGGAGAATTTTGAACTTAACACAATAAACATGATGAGAAGAATTCAGTATTGCACTAAAGCAAACATTATGCCAGCTCAAGCATTTCTGTTTGCCCAGCAGAACAACCTCCTCAATGAGCAATTCTGGGAGTCCTCAGGGAGAGGAAAGGGGGAAAGTCCCTTTGTGTTAGCAGCAGTGGCATAGCGTGGGGGGTGCATGGGGGGCCGGCCGCACCGGGCGCAACATCTGGGGGGGGCGCGCTCGCACTCGCAGCTCTCTGCCCCTACCTGGCTCACTCACTCTCTCTCACTGCAGTGCTGGCTGTGCGAACCCGATCCGAGCCACTGGGTCGCCGCCCACTGTGGAGGGGGTGGGTGCCAGGCGTGCGGTGCGGAGAGAGAGCGAGGGACTATCTGGGGGAGGGACAGTGCAGCGGCCATCCAGCGCAGCGCTGAGCGCGGGAGAGAACCACACCAGACCAGCCCAGGCAGCAGCAAGAAGAAGCTGGCAGCGGCGGCAGGTTAGGGGTTAGGGGGCGCAAATTACTTGCCTTGCCCTGGGTGCTGACAACCCACGCTACGCCGCTGGTTAGCAGGAGCCCTTGTGCTTGCTTCCACTTCTACTAGGTTGAACATGATCCATAGTACTGGAATGTGTACATGGGAATAAATCTCCAGGAAGAAAAAAAATCACTGTGGCCTGCTTCAGACCTGACGGTCTTTGCCCAACAAATCATGGTTTCTATGGTTTGTTGGGCCAGGGATGTGCTGCATGCCTGTGGCTTCCTCTCCTCACTCTTGTGCCTTAATTCAATAATCTCTGTATTATGTTCACATTTGAAAACTGTGGTTTGAGCACTACGTATACACCAGAATAGCAAGCCACACTCAAACTGTGGTTTGACCATTCCCTGCAAACAAAGATATCAAATCGTGATTTATCAGCTCAGTGTCACAGAAAACTGTGGTTTTAACAAACCAGAAGGTATTGAATTAAGGCATGCAAAAACAGGGAAAAGGAAAGAGAGGAGAGAACATGCAGGCAGAAGGCTTATTTCTAGCCTACGTCAAAACGAACTCTACCTCTCTTTTAAATCAGAACCAGTGAAGGTCCTGTGTGAGTGCCTGGAGGCGGTTGGAGGATGGATGGTGGCTAATGGATTGAGGTTGAATCCTGACAAGACAGAAGTACTGTTCTTGGGGGACAGGGGGCAGGCTGGTGTGGAGGACTCCCTGGTCCTGAATGGGGTAACTGTGCCTCTGAAGGACCAGGTGCATAGCCTGGGAGTCATTTTGGACTCACAGCTGTCCATGGAGGCACAGGTCAATTCTGTATTCAGGGCAGCTGTCTATCAGCTCCATCTGGTATGCAGGCTGAGACCCTACCTGCCCGTGGACTGTCTCGCCAGAGTGGTGCATGCTCTAGTTATCTCCCGCTTGGACTATTGCAATGCGCTCTACATGGGGCTACCTTTGAAGGTGACCCGGAAACTACAACTAATCCAGAATGCGGCAGTTAGACTGGTGACTGGGAGCGGCCGCTGAGACCATATAACACCGGTCCTGAAAGACCTACATTGGCTCCCAGTACGTTTCTGAGCACAATTCAAAGTGTTGGTGCTGACCTTTATAGCCCTAAACGGCCTCGGCCCAGTATACCTGAAGGAGCGTCTCCACCCCCATTGTTCTGCCTGGACACTGAGGTCCAGCACCGAGGGCCTTCTAGCGGTTCCCTTACCGCGAGAAGCAAAGCTACAAGGAACCAGGCAGAGGGCCTTTTCGCTAGTGGCGCCCACCCTGTGGAACGCCCTCTTATCAGATGTCAAAGAGATAAACAACTACCTGACATTTAGAAGACATCTGAAGGCAGCCCTGTTTAGGGAATTTTTTAATGTGTGACATTTTAATGTATTTTTAATCTTTGTTAGAAGAGTGGCTGGGGCGACCCAGCCAGATGGGCGGGGTACAAATAAATAATAATAATAATAATAATAATAATAATAATAATGTTTGTCTCTAGGACATCAAAATGACACATGTTGGATAAGACACCATCTTACTGATCCAAACAAGCTATTAAAAACAAAGCATGGAAGGAAGAAGAAAATTCTAGGCTGTTCCTGTTAAGATTCCATGCCACAATATAGGAAAGAGGTGTCACAAAAGCAAGATGGAAGACAAAGATTGGATGGGAAAAATAAGTGGTATATGCAGGAGCCCAAAGGGAGATTTTTAAACCAGAGTTAAATTCCTGAAGGCAGGCATCACTTAGTTATTGGACTTATTCATATGATATCCAGTGATTTCCCCCATAGTTTTGTATGTAAATTGAAAGAGGCTTTCTAAAGGGAATGAAAAAATTCAGCCCTCACAGATGGCCATTCGTCAGCCATCCTGCTTACACGTAGCTGTTAGATGTAAATATTTCATGTCATTCCTGTGTCACAATTATGAATATTTCAGTGAAACATTTTCTCCATTTCCTTCTCTCTCTCCCACAGTCATTGGGTGAATGACCAGCTTAAGCTTTTTAGCATCTGAAAAATGGATGAAACATCCCCAAACATTGCAGCAATCTGTGGAAGGCACAAAGCTAACTGGAGAGAAATCCATTATTCAGTAACTTGGGGCCGTGAACATCGTGATGACTTCTGTGAGAGGAGCTTCTATTTTAGCATGCAAAACTTATGCAGCTGTAGATAGCAGTGTTTCTTCAGTAATCTCAGTTCAGGAGCAGAAAAGTATACTGCAAATGCTTTTCTGTGGATAGCCTTAAGAGAATTAACTAGCCCATCAACTCTGACTGGTTACCCAACTGCCAGGAGAAATGTTATACAGAAGCTAGCAGCATTATCACCTTGCCTAGAACTGTTGCTCATAGATTCAAGGGCTAATATGTAATTCGATAAATAAGGGTGTAGATTATTATTATACAGTGGTACCTTGGTTGTTGAACGTCCGTTCGACTCCCAGAACCATTCGAAAACCAAGGCACGGCTTCCAATTGACTGTAGGAACTTCCTGCGCTCAATCAGAAGCCGTGTTGGATGTTCGGCTTCCGAAAAACGTTCACAAACTGGAACACACACTTCTGGGTTTGCAGTGTTCAGGAGCCGATTTGTTTGGGAGCCAAGCCGTTTGACAACCAAAGTACCACTGTACTATATACATAGAAAGAAAATGGAAATAATAGTAATTGCAAAACAGTAGCGGAAATACCCCAAATGGGCATAATCCTACAGACTGTATAAAGAAAATGTAAAAAGGAATAAGATGGTGAGAATATTATCATTTCAAGGAAATAATTTATAAAAAGGGAAATCTGAAGCCGGTTCTATCTAAAATACATGCTTTTCTAAAACTGCTGAAGTCACATTTGGGTACAAATTGTATGTATTTTGCTGTGTGTGTGTGTGTGCGTGCGTGCGTGCGCGTACACACACACACACTAATAAAGTTTGCTTTTAAAAATATAGCATGTTGCTCTTGGGAGCCTGTGGGCTCATTTCTACCATAATAATTTAGCTATCATGGGGCTGCACTTCAGAATTTTTATCTTGAAATAATAATCCGGAGTTTCAGCAACACTATTTTCCTGATTATCTTGGGTGAGTCACAGGTCAGTATGGAACAGCAACCGAATCCACTAATGACACCTTATCTTGGGATAAAAGATGCATGAAAGAAGCAGCCCTGGTTTTGCTTGGTGGTGGCAGCTCTTCTGCAACTCACTTCAACCTCTGATTCACTGATTCACATGTAATCATGAAAGGCTGCAGTACTATGCATTTCTGGGAGTAAGACCCTCTGAACTCAGTGAGACATTACCTCCAAGTAAGGACGCATAGGGCTGGATTGCAAGGGCAATCACTTTAGGATAGATGACTGTTGACAGGCCCACAAAAAAAACCCATGAGAAGGCTAACTCCCCATGTGCCCTTCAATGCCCCGTGGACACTTACGACAATCTTGCTCGTCCGACTTGTCTTTGCAATCCTCATCTCCGTCACATTTCCAGTTCAGATGGATGCATTCTCCATTGCCACACCGGAACTCGTGAGCTGCACAGGTGCTCGTGGCTTGTGGCTTGGCTTTGAAGCCACACTTCTCCGTTGACTCATCAGAATGGTCCTCACAATCAGGCTGATTGTCACAGACCCAGATCTCTGGGATGCACAGGCTGTTATTGCACTGGAACTCGTTGGGGTTGCAGGTGAGGGGCGGGCACTTCCTCTCATCACTGCCATCACCACAATCATCGTCACCATCACATACAAATATTGTAGCTATGCAGGTCTTGTTGCTGCACTGGAACTCAGTAGGCGAACAGACTGTGGAATAAAAGCAAAAGAGGCGAGTTAGGAGAGCTCAAGCCTACCCAACAGACATAGTATTCCATATTTTCAGCCTTTCAGCCTTTCTCCAAAGAGCCATCCAAATCTCTTTTTGTTTCCTATTTCCCAATGGGGGTGGGGATTAACATGCATTTTTATTGCATGCACACGTGTGTATTTTATCACCATTGCCTCCTACTCTGTTCCATTCTGATACTTCCACCTGCTCCTCATTGAAAGAAATCATAGAGATTGCTCTTGCTATCCTCATTCTTATCCACTACTACCAAGGGCAAAGCTATACACCTCTATTTCAGGGACTGGAAGGTCCACACAGTGTACCAACACCAACCCGATTCATAATGGTAACTACAGAACCAAAGGGTGCACAGCATCCATGGCCTGCTTCCTGCTCATCAGCAGAGAGAGAGCCGGGGGAAAATCAGCTACCTGTTTTTCCCAGGGATACTTCTTGCATTCCTGACTAAACAAAGAAGAAGTGGATGAGTCGCAAAGATGGCAAACAAATGGATAAGGGGTATTCAGTTTACTCCAGGTGATCAGAAGGGTCATAAGATATATCTTGAATATTCGACCAAGGAAAGGTTCATTTTAATACTTCTCTCCTTGCTGGTGCCTGCTAACCCAACAAGAACCCAGAAAGGATGGCGTGTCCTGTGCCATCTTTATGTCTGTAGTGAGTGCAAGAGTGTCAAGGGGCTGGGGGAGAAGAGGTGCCTTCAGCTGCGCAATGCAATACTGTATGCAACTAGGAAGTCAAGAAGTTGCCCCTGCAATGTGCCTTCTCCCCACCCCCAAGGGAGCATCAAGAGGGGGAGAATACTTCATTTGCTCATGCTCACTCTTCAAAATGAATGCAAGGGGGGAAATGGCTTGTTGTCTAGCATTGAGGCTGAGCTAAAGGAAAAAATGGCCAGATGGTCCAAAATCTCTTTCAAGTGTGAAAGCAGCAAGGTGGCAAATCTAACTGGAGTAATCAAAGAATTGCAGGTCACTATAAAACAGTGAGAGGGAACAACTGTAGAAATTTGGAGGGGGGGAAAGAGCAAATTGCATAGTTGCATAGAATGGCTGGAGATCAGCACTGCAGCCAGTTGGGGAGGCCAGATATCAGAATGCCCCAGTTAAAGACCAGGGGATGACTCAAGTGCATGCAGGCTTGTTATCTGCACTACAGTATACTCTGCTCTGGCCCTTCATGAGTGCCAATTTCATTCCCCTCCAAACGTAAGTAGATTTCTGAATTTCACAGCATGTCTTGTTTTGAACACATTAAGAGGTATGCATAGGGCAAATGCTCAGTGAGGTACGCAGGGATTTAGCTTCTGAGTTGCACTGATAAGCCCCTTTGCAACACAGTGAAATTTTCCCCTGGAAGTCACCGTGTGGCATTTGCATACAAATGAGAGTTTTCTGAGCTATAAAGTTGGGATTGATATTTTTCTCTCTCCTCCAATCTCTGCATGCCTGATTCAAAGTTGAACTAGAGGAAGTAGTTCAAATTAAAACTACCAGATGCCGTAGTGGCAGGGAAGTAATGGTCACTTAGATTACCAAAAGCAAATTCACCCCCCCCCCCAATCCAGAGTTACCATTGAAAACTCTTAATTGTGTGTAATTTGTTTCGCTATTCAGACACACACACACACACACACACACACACACACACACCCCTCTGCTTCAGCACTTTCAAGGATCCATAGGGAAATGATTACTTTTACAAATTATGCAACATGAAACATCACTCTTGGAAACAAGTTCTTTTAATTGGCGCAAGAGGGCATTTTTTTGTTAACAGTTGAAGTAAACATTGCTTCTCCTGTACCATTCCAGTGAGATCCCACACAGCTTACTAGTAGCTGAGATAATAACAATATGGAGGAGGGGGGTTAAGCTGGAGGAGGCTGTTAAAAAAAAAACACAACTGGTCCACTGGTCTTTATTTATGCCAAGGTATCTAATTAGATGCAAGCCTCAATTCTAAATTTCTTTCCTTGTTTCATTTGCAGCACCAGGTAGCTTGTGCCCAAAGACTGTGATATGCAACTTAACTGCAGGATGGAGGTGCACAGAATTGGGTCAAACTGTACATAGAAGAGTTTATGAAGCATGCCTGTTTGACTTTAAGGCAGGGGGTGGGGTAATGTTTTATATAAAAAGCAGTAGAAGAGGAGAGCGAAGTCCACACCCTCCTCCTACTTCGCTTTACCATACTCTGCTGTTTTAAACTCATAGAAATCACAGAATTGTAGAGTTGGAAGGGACCCTAAGGATCATCTAGTCCAACCCACTTCAATGCAGGAATATGCAGCTGTCCCATACAGGGATCAAACTTGCAACCTTGGCATCATCAGCACCATGCTCTAACCAACTGAGCTAACTGCTTCTCCCAAGCTTGGCTCCGATGCCAGAAGTGAGTCAGCAGGCAAAGAACAGCTTAAAACAGTAGAGTGCAGTGAGCTAAGGCACAGGACAGGTGTGGTGTGACAAAGGCCGACCCTGCATCTCTTTAAGTTTCCCATTACAGCTAAAAGCTGCCAAGCCACCTAATTCCCACCACTTATGAAAACACAATCGGAGACTTCCTTTGAAATACTGAGAAAAGACTTGGCACTTTCCTTTTTAATTAGCACCTTGAAAACCCTAGTTCCCAAAAGGTGTTGTGGTCTGCCGCTGGATTCTACAGGGCAAGAATTGCCTGACCACAGAAAGCTCCAAGTGACCAACTTGCTCAAATAGAGGTTGAGAGTAGACTGAGCCTTTTTAAGCCTCAGCCTCAAGACTTCCTCTCCTGGGCTCTGCCCCCTTGTCAGGAGCTTCAGGGGGCTAACCCTCTGGCTTGAAGACAGGCACGCCTTCCCTCCTCCATTCCTTAACTTACCACCTGGTACACTCCCTGCACCACTGGGCTTGGGAGGTGCTGTGGGAGACCTTTGGATCCTCAGAAGCAGGGGAAGACACCTGTAAGTTCTGGCTTTTGCCCACAGGCCCTGGTGGTACAAGAAGTTCTTTTGGAGGCTCCTGTCTGCTTGAGTGAAAAGCAGCCTTTCTCAATATCGCCCATGGCTGAAAGAAGCTAAAGAAAACTGGTCACTTTCCCCTCACCTCTGTCGTGATTGTAGGCTGAGCTTAAAGACAACAGCATTGCAGCAGCTTTGCACCAACTAGGTCAGGAGTGGAGGAAGGCTTTGGTAACAATTCCACAAACCTATTTACACTGATGGGGGCTCCTTGTGTTTTTGTAGGGGGATCAGAGATACCTTGGGGGTTGCTCATGCATTCCAAGATTGAGCCTGTTGGTTTTGGAACTGCAGTCCTGAATTATCAAGTTGCTGTGAAATCTCTCCTCAATTCTATAAACACATGGGCTACATAGCATGTAATTCAGTCAAAGGAGTGTGTGACTTACCTTAATGCCAGTCCTTCTGGTGCTTATTTCAAACCGCCAGAAGTCTAAGATTTCAGAACTTCATGATCATGCAGACATGATCCAACCCACGACCATCGTAGCTAACACTTTCCTACAGCCAGAGAGTGACCATCTCTCCCTTCGCTTCCCCCAAGTACCCTGTACTTAATTGGCACTTTCAACTGACCTATTCATCTTGCTTAATAGCTCAACAGCAGCCCTCTTGGATCACTAGCCTCATTCCCTTATTAGATAATAATTTACGGTAGCAAGGATAAAAGCTTTCCTGAAAAGTTCAAAGAGTTGTGATAAACGTGAAAGATGCAGTGACTGTACGCTGCTAATGTAGCACTCCAGGTTGCATAGAGGAAATTGCCTTTGTAGATTTCATTTGAGTGGATTACAAATCAATGAGCAAAGTTTGCATAAGCACCCCTCCTTTTTTTTTTTTTGGCAGGGCTGATGCAATTTATAAACTTCAACTGTGAATTTATTTCTCTTTCCTGTGGGTCTAACAAGCATTCCTTTCTTTCTTTCTTCATTAGCTCATCTCCGCCCTTCCTTCTGCTTGTATACCTTTTCTCTGTCTATTGAAATCTGCCAAACATGCAAATAAGACCATTCCACACATATGCACAAAAATGACCCTCCACCAGCAGCTGATACAAATTAATATAATGCTTCTTCCTCATCTCCTCTGCGCCTGCTTATGGACCTATGTGTTCTCACATCAAAGGCCATCTCAAATAACCAATGGATGCAATGCTAAATGATCATAAATAAGATGTGCTGGCTTTAACAGAAGCCATCTGTTTACTTTCTTTGATTTTGCTATTATTACAGTACGGTATGTGTTTCTTTACTTGCGAGGGGAAAGATATGGATTTCTTTTTAGTTTTGTTCTTCAAGGTTCCAAGAAAGAGCTGCTGCAATTGCAGTTGAAGAAGCCACTTAAAGCGCTCTCAAAAGTAATCTTCAGGATCCTAGATACCAAGGAAAGTTGTGCCAGGAGCATTAAAATGAGAGCAGTAAACAATAATGCAGCTTTACTTTCCCTATTTCTTCCTCTAAAAAGAAAGAAAAATGTGGAGTGGGGTAGAAGAGAGAGAGAGAGAGATGGAGAAGCATATTTATTCATCTATAGACCAATATATATTTTATGACCAAATGCCCCCATACATGTTTTGTTCACTAGAAAACTGAAATGATGCAGTTAAGAAGAGTATATTATGAAAACTGGCATAATGCACCTCATTTCCTACAGTTATTTGTCTGTGTGTATGTGGAGGGGGGAAATGGAAGGGGGGGAAAGCACTGACTCAATAGGCATGTAAGGGCATTAGCTGTCTCTTGCATTCTTTTCCTTAAGAGTGCTTTGTAATAAAAGAAGGGACAAGCAAAAAAAGCTTCTCTAACTACAAATTTCCATACAAGTGCTTTGACTGAATGGTTAGTCAGATCATTAACCCTGGGGAGAACAATACTGGGAAAATAGCTCCAGAAGAGATGTTAGGTATATTGCTACTTGAGACTGAAAGTCCAAAGAGTGCCACTCCTAATTTGACAAAATTACAGTGGTGCCTCGCAAGACGAAATTAATCCGCTCCGCGAGTCTCTTCGTCTTGCGTTTTTTTCTTCTTGCGAAGCACGGCTATTAGCGGCTTAGCAGCTATTAACGGCTTAGCGGCTTTAAGAAAAGGAAACAAACTTGCAAGAACTCGCAAGACGTTTCGTCTTGCGAAGCAAGCCCATAGGGAAATTCGTCTTGCGGAACGACTCAAAAAACGGAAAACTCTTTCGTCTAGCGAGTTTTTCGTCTTGCGAGGCATTCGTCTTGCGGGGCACCACTGTACCATACTTTAATGTAGGGATGGGCAAACTATGGTCCTATTGCCACATGTGACTTAATTTCAAAAGCCCTTTGCAAGGGATCAGTTCAGACTGCTAGCAAGAGAGATCTGTTTCTCTGTTTCTCTCCTTGCAACCCCTGGGAGGAAAGGAAGAAGGAGGAGAGAGAGAGAGAAAAGGGTGTCAAAAAGAGAGGGGAAAGGGGGTGCTCACTTTTGACTCCACTACTGGCAAGTCACCCCTGAAAGATGATGTCTGAGAGACTGTAGCACTTAAGAGCAGGAAGGGGAAACTCTCCTTCAGTGGCATCCCCAGTCTACTACCTGAGATGACTACATCTCTATGGGTTGTGGTAATAAACCTTGGGGTTTTTCAGTTGGGTTTTTTAAGTGTGAGAAATGTTTAGAGAGTTCATATCAAGTTTAAAAGTTTATAAACCACTATAAATGTCCTACTTTTGTTTTTAATTGACTAACTGTAGCCAATTTAACCAATTAACTGGTAAATCAATCAACCCATTTATATACATGCCACAGCACTTTTAGGCTATGTAATAAAGGTAACAATTTTCCTCACAAATATCACAGGTAATGTATTGTTGTGAAAACAACTTTTCCCAAAATAGTTTCCGAGGCAATGGTGCTTTTCAGGCAAGTTATTTTCAATCTGCCAATCACAAAATGGTCCGTCAGGTTATTTAATGCACTTCACCCCTCAATACAACAAGTGCAGCATTACAACCAATTAGCATTCCCAGAGTGTTATGTTCGGTTTGTACTGAATTGCTTTGGTATGTGCCCATTTATTCTCCAGTCTGGATGAGACTTGTCAGCTAAACTAGCAATTTCGCAACAGCTTCCCCAGAAACAAATGAGGTTGTGCGTGTAATTGACTATTAGCTCACATATTTGGTAGATGGCATGGCATGTTGAAACAGCTAATATTATTTGTCACATAATAAAACATGGTCCAGTGATATGAACTGTGGCAGGAAAACATATTCCTGAAATGCATAGAGTAAAATTTTTGGAACAATTTCCCTGGAAACACTGTGGATGCAAAAGAACCATTACTCATTTTGAAAATGAACTGGATCAAATCAATGGCTGATGAAGGCTAGTCTGGTACCTCAGAATGGCTCCACTGGAATCAGAAAAGAACGCTTCACTTCCATATAACCTTCTGTTAGCTATTTTGTGCTTCTTGTTCCAAAGTACTGGAGTTATCCAGAAGTGGAGCTGGAAAGCAGGGCATGAGCTAAAGGAGTTAGGGCCAAGGAAGGAGCTTTCATTTCATGCTCTGGCCAATCTATCTGAACGCAAGAAGGACTTTTTCAAGTTAGACAGACTACTATTAACAAAGCTACTGTAGCAGCCAGTGTGCCATTGTAAAACTGCCTTAAAAAGAGTAGTTATTGAAGGTTTGAGTGTAAATTTTAAAAAGTTGTATTATTATGATCTTTTTAAAAAAATTTCAATGAATTAATGAAAAACAGGCCAGTTTTGCATTATATAAACAAAGTAATGACACATTTTTATAATGAATATATAGGTGCACAACCTTTGAAAAATGCTATCCTCCCATGTCCAAATGATACACATTTTGGATTTCAAATTCTCAAGCAGATACAGGCCCTGGAAATGAGCATGCCCTGGAAACCCATCTATCAGAGCAGAAACTCCCTCCCAACTTCTACGCTCACGGTCAACTTCTGAGTCAATGAGCAGAATAAGAATAATCTAAGCTGATCAAAAGGAATAAGAAAAGCTTGCTTCATTCAGTAAGAGAACCTTGCAGCTACGACTGAGACACAGACTCCCAGCAGTGCAACTCTACTGAATAATGATGTATAAGGCACTGTTCCTAGTACAAGTAAGTGGGGTCATCGCCCCATAAAACTTCTACTTCCGCTAATTTAATTCTCTTGATGGGAATTCTCCACTAGGGCAGAGATGAAGACTGCTGCATTTCAAGGCCTAAATATCCCCAGTATTTAGCACATTTTGTCATTAACTCCACTGAAGCAAAGAGGAAAAGAATCAGGAGAAAGCTGGAGTTTGGCACATCAAATTTTACCCATAAAAGGTTGGGACAGGTGGAGAAAAAGGCCCGTGGGAAGGAGTGGAAGGAAAACAGGAGACGTTATGAAGAAATTATCTTCAAAAATAGTTTTCAAGTAAAATACAAGGTAATGGGCTCTTCAGTTAGTACTTCCAACTAAATATGAAGTCTGATCCTAAACATTATAGCAATACATATCTCATTATCTGAACTTATGCCTAGTGGAGACTGGAATAGCCCCTTGGCTCTTTTCCAAGCCATTAGAGCAAAATGTTTCTTCCAAATTCCCCCATTTCATTATTTTGTCACAGTCAAAGAACACAGAAGAATCTAAAAGGAACACAAAGATGGAAACAATAATAGTTGCAGGTTTATCAAGTGTAAGTCTTTGATAAATAAGATAAGGCAGGAAAGAATACTACACCATTGATTTTACATGCTGTTTAACTACTGGACAGCTGGAAGGATTAATGCTGTGCATTATGCCCTGGCTATTCAGAAATTAAAACATAGTGTGCCAGCTGCTACTTTATCACTGCTTAAGGTATTAGAGCTCCTTAGAAAGCAGGAGAAATTGTTCTTTAGTTACTACCTCATCTCATATTCAGATTTATCCTGCAGGTTCACAACAAAGAGGCAAAAATTAAAATAAAATTGTCTCTGTGGTTGCCTGTAATCACACACTCACAAACAGAAACGAGGGTGCTTTTGGCATGAACATATTAGCTGTTTGTCATAGTTAAATGCAAAGCAGTGCATTCATGGAGCATTCAGCCTGACGCTTAAATTGGGCAAATAATTTTTCTTTGCACATTATGAGAGCAACCTCGCTTGCCAAAGAACAGGGACACAGGTGCTCTTGTTTCTCTTGCACAGAGAAGTCCTCCGCATGACTCTCTTTAATGTGAAATGGAGGGACTGTGTTGAGGGAGGTGCAGAAGCAGAAAAGTAGGACCTTGGACCTCCAGGAAAGCTTGGAGCAAGTTACTGTTCTTTCATCCCCGTTATTCAAAATAGGAAATAGGGTTATTGGAAAGGTAAATGATGGCTGCTTCACCATGCAAAATTTGGTATGTGGAAGTCACTTTTAGGTAGGCAGGAAAGGCCATAGATATTACATATAGTTTGTTGTGTGTGTGTGTGTGTGTTTGTGTGTGTGTATTTTGCCAAGGCATTTTACCACAGTGTATACTCGTGGAGAAACAGATGCAAGTGCATTTATCCAAAATGACAATCTACACAGGAGAGTCATGCTGCTTAGAAAAATGGAATTGACTACTATGTGGGAAATTTTCATCTTGTGTGTTGCAGTCCTTAGATTAAGACTTATAAACCACTTTGCATACTAACACAGTAGTGCATTATAGAGATTGTAGAAAAAATAATAACCCTAGAATCCTAGAATTGTAGAGTTGGAAGGGACTGTGAAGATCATCTAGTCCAACCTCCTGCAGTGCAGGAATCTTTTTGCCCCACACCCATGACCCTGCAATTAAGAGTCTCATGCTCTACTGACTGAGCTATCCTGCGGGCTAAATTGTGGAAGAAGATACACCTCCACTCATCCATATATCTGTCACAGAGGATGTAGCCATGTTGTGATAAAATAATAAAAATCCTACTACCAGAAGAACAAAAAAAATCCCATGAAAGGATTTTTCTGCTTCTCAGAGACAAAACAAGTATGCTTTGAAAGATCAAATGTGCTTTGAAGTTAGGAAGGTGGGCAGTAGTGCTATGGCAGGGCAACTCCAGAGAAGTCACTCATGGCATTTTAAGAGACCCCTTTGAGCATGCTATAAAGCAGTACTGTGAGATGCAGAGACAAGCAGAAAAGTTAGCTCTTTTATTCAAGAAAACAGCATACCACCAGACAGCAGTGCCTACAAACAGGACTGGCCCCTATGAAACAGTTGCCAGGACTGAAGGTTTTGATCTTCTACTTCCCTCTAAGTCCCCCCCCCCCCCCAAGCTGGATGTTTTGCCAAGCAACCTCAAACTATGTGTAGTGTGTGTGGATCTGTGCCCTTTGTTTTGCTACACATACTGTATAGCCCTCTGTGTCCTTGGAGACAAGTGGGAAGGGCAGCTTAGTACAGTAGGAGCAGCAAGCTCCTGAGATATTTCATCAGCTGAGTCAGAACTGCTTTCTGCCCTTGGCTCTTCTTGCTCACTAAAGTCTGTTGCCTTTTCAGAATCCAACCACTCCTCCCCTCCTTCCCCCTATGACCTGTCCTCAGTGTCCCACCACCACTCCTGGGCTCTGATCTTTCCTCCTTTGATGCATCCCTAGGGAGTTCCCTGCCTGGTGCCTGCCACCACTCCTCCTCATCCAGCCAGTCCCTAACAAGTACATGCTAAAAACAGTGTGCAATATTTCTCTAGTTCATGCTGAAATAGCTGAAGGGAAGAAGGGGCATTGAACCTGCTTAATCTTTTCCTAGTTTTAGTAAGTGATGCTGTCAGTAAAACCAATCTAAAGCTTCTGCTACTCTTCAATGATTCCCTTCCTTGATAAAAACACCCCTTTGGATGCCCAACTCAATAGATCAATAGAGAGAGTTGTAGCCATTAATAGTATTGATAATTTAATCTAGGAGACCACTGAACTGTAGGTGGCTTTGTCTCTGGAGTAGAAGTAAACAAGATGTGTCCTGTTAATGGGTACACATTGGTTAAAACTAAAGAGTAGATGGTTCGGGGAGTACTTAAAATCAGGCCTCCAGGCCAGGGAGACAGGCAGTGAATGTCTCATTTTAATATGGGAAGAAACTAGCCTTCTTCTTCTTTTTTCTTTATGGTCAAGTACAGATTTGTCACAGTGTGCTGTAGCTACCCGGTAAGCTAGTCCTCTGTATCATCTTGCCAAATGAAGAGGACAGCTTTACTATTGCTCTGCTTCCACAAATTTCTCATCAGTTGTAGAAAGATGGCAAACACCTTCCATATTACTCAGCAGGATGATACCTTTCAAGTAAGGGCACAATTGTATCTCCCATCACATGAAGGAGGGGCAGTGTCAGAGCCGCTCATGGCAGTGGGAGGTAGGGAGAAGGACAACCAGGCCCAATGCTACCACATGGAGTTTGTCAGCTAAGCCCCCCGGCCCCTGTGAGCTCCATGTCTCCATTGGTCCAAGCCAGCAGGCCTCCTGCTGATTAGCTGAGCTGAGAGAGCTGGGCGGAGGAACACTTGTACCTAATCCAACCCCCTACACTTCCAGCCTGGTGTAAGGAGCGGTGGTAGTAGATGACTCTGTAAGTTACTACTTGGCAAATGACTGTATGTATAGCCATGCGCAGCAACAGCACTCCTTGGATGGCACTGAGAGTACCTAAACGCCCCAGAGATGTGCTTAGTTTGTACAAGAAACCGGCTGTAGCCCTTTGGAATCAGTTACCAGCTGGAATTAGGCAAACAAGATGTTTAGGCCACTGAAGGTGTTTTTGTTTAAGAAGCCATTTTATGGAAATTCAACTGTAGAAATTGTTTTCTTGTTTGTAAGAGCTTGATGTTTTGTATTTTATCTTATTGCACACTGTTTCAATAGCTTCTGGCAGCAGAAAAGCTTAAGCATTCCTTCTTCCTGCCTATCACTCAGTGGCGTAGCGTGGGGGGTGCAGGGGGGCCCAGCCGCACCGGGCGCAACATCCGGGGGTTAGGGTTGGGGGCGCAAATCCACGGGTTAGGGGGCGCAAATTACTTGCCTTGCCCCGGGTGCTGACAGCCCACGCTACGCCACTGCTATCACTTCTCCCCTACAAATGTTCTTGCTCTGACAGATGCAGGTTTGGAAATATACACTTGCCACTGTGTAGTTCCAATCTTCGTTGCCTGTATGGTAAGACATTGCCGAAGGGACTCTTGCAACATGTAAGCCATTGAACTCAAACTTACAAGGAACTACACCAAACTCTGGTAGGGGAATGAGGCTACAAAATGTTCTGTTGTGGGTGTTCAGGGAAGATTATGGCACACAGTAGAGTGGGTTCACATACCAAGTGCAGGAGGTATTTTTTAATCAGGGAAGAAGTACCGATGGGGGTCTTTACCATGCCAAAAATCAAAATGACCAGGCATCAACCTGCCAAGGGAGTTAAGATCAGCAGGGACAGCTTTGTGGGCAAAACATGTAAGGGCCTTCTCTATGGTGGCCCCCAGGTGTTGGAATGACTTCCCTCTGAGATGCATCTTGTGCCTTTATTGTAAGCAGTTTGACAATTGGCCAAGATGCACCTCTTTACCCAGAACTTTGCCAAAGTGGATATCTTCCCTTCACTGGCGTTGCTGTGCACTGCTAGTCTGTGCTACTGTTTTGCCACATTTGTTATGCGGTTCTATTTCATGATTTAAATGTGAATTTTACGTATTTTAAGTGCAGTATTTTTGTAAGATGTCCTAGGACCAGTTGGTGAATGGGGCAGGCTATATATGCAAATAGTAAATGAAATAAACAAATAAGAAGGAAAGAAAGAATCAGCACAGAATCAGACAAAGGGGCTGTTACAATGCAGCAACTGCATATTTACATCTTTCTCCCTGCATGCTAGGTAAGGAAAGCTCCAACTCAAGGATGCTGATGTGGCAGCAGGGCAGGTGAATTTCCTACACATGAACAAACTTGCCATAAGACATAAAATGAAGCTGAACACATAGTTTTAAGATGCCACCTGAGTCTTTCAGAAAGATTTTGCTCTCTCTGCTCACTGTGGGATGAAGTTCTTCCTGCTTAGGTTGGCGCTTAGGTCTCTATGCTGCCTAGCAAGGAGCATTTAGGGGTCTATAATTAACTATGGCATGAGTGGGTACTGGCGGGGAGGGAGGGAATAGACTGCAGCTTTTGTAGCACAAATCCCACTGTGCTTGATGATTACTCTCCCACTGCTGCTTTTACAACAACTCAATTGGAGGCCTTTTGCCATCTCTTTGGGAGATTATCTTACAAGCCGGCAGAACCACTCCTTAAAAAGAAAGTTTTGCTTTGTATTATTGGAATTCCCAAATCAAATACAGCAGTTTATAACAGCTTATTTAGCTCAGAATTTCCTACCTGGTAGGGGCAAGGGACACTGATTACCTTCACATTCTCTGGAATAAAATCATTGAAGCTAGAAAATGCAGAGACCCTTACAAAGACAGATAAAGAAACAGTATTTTTAAATTTTTTAGCATAACTAAGCCAACAAATCAATGCTCGGGAGAAGTAAGGTGCTTATGCACTGGCAGTTTCCCAGGAGGAGGTTGAGGATCGTCAAGCACACTGTCTCTAGGGCAGACATAGGCAAACTCGGCCCTCCAGATATTTTGGGACTACAACTCCCATCATCCCTGACCACTGGTCCTGTTAGCTAGGGATGATGGGAGTTGTAGTCCCAAAACATCTGGAGGGCCGAGTTTTCCTATGCCTGCTCTAGAGCCTTGCCAGAGGCTTTGTTTTACTTGCAATAAACCCCTGTATCTCCTTTCATTCTTAAGGAACTGATGCCTTCCCCCTACAGCCACCAGAAACCTATGATTTGCCTCCACTGTTGGAGGCTATATACTCCTGAATACCAGCTCCTCAGAATCCCAAGTGGGGACAGCACTGTTGTACTCAAGTACTGCTTATAGGCTTCCTACATGCATCTGCTTGGCCACTGTGAGAACAGGATGCTAGACTAGATGAGCCATTGCCCTGATCAAGCAGGCTCTTTTTATCCATAAGCATTACCACCTCAAACCACAGACGAAGAGCTCTGCCATCATGGCTAGCAGCCAATGATAGCCTTATCCTCCATGAATTTGTCCAGTCCTCTTTTAGAGTATCCAAGCTAATGGCCATCACTGCTTCCTGTAGGAGCACTGTTATTGCAAAGAGATTCTGTCCTCCCACCTTCCACAAGACCATTTATGGCTGCTGCATTTGCTTCCTTCACAACTTTCTGACTTAAAAGTTTGAATGTGAAACACAAGTTTTCTCCCACACCAGAGCATTTATTGACATGAAGTCTGATATGGCTATACAATCCCTCACCCGTAAACCTCACCATATGAAAAGTCCCTGTATTTTCCAGCAATTATCAAATGGATACATTGCCATTTGAGCTCTGCTTCATCACAGGGCAACACCTTCCAACTAAAATTCAGTGTGGCATAGGTTTTTCACAAGTCTCAGGTAGAAACTTAGCAAAGCCCTCAGAAAAGCCAGTCGTGCTATTTTCCATGCAGATATGTTGTTTGTTTGGATTTTAGAAACAGCCACTGAGTTTTCTTCCTGGACACTTCCTCTGGTTTTTAAGGGTTTTGTGTCTGTGTGTTTTGCACAGCGAGATGTGAAAATTATCTCCAACAATGATGAACTCTCCTTCAAATAGATATATGAAATGTGATGTTACTTTGAAATTCAGATACTTTCTGTGAAAGGCACAGCCTCTAATGTGACAAGGAGACGTCACATTTCAGAGGATGAGCTTGATAGCTTCAAATTTAACTCCAAGCAAGTAAGCAAGCAAGGCAAAAAGGAAAGAAAGTCCCCCCCTCCTCCCCCTCCCCCAAAGTAAGCTCAGGAAGAATGAAGAGATAAGTAAAACCTCCTCTTTCCCCCTGTCCTCACCCCCCATCCATGTTGAGGACAAGCAAACAGCAAAGATGAGAAAGAAGATGACAAAGATTCTAAGCAGAGAAGAAACAGGGATGCTTACAGAGTATCAGTAGATAAGCTTAGAGGGATTTTATCAGATTTGGATAACAGAAAGGATTGAAATCAATCCTTTAAAACTCAGAAGGCTTGCGAACAGCAGAGAGGGGGTCATCTTCATCCGGAGAGGAATGGCTTTATTTGACAAATGTGCACCTTTCCAAGAAAAGAGAACAGACCACAACCCAAGGCGGAGACGAGATGTGGGGACACCTAGGCCACAAAAGCAACCTTTCCATTCTCTGGTTCTGCCATACTTAGTCTGCCACACAGTGTGTAAAACAAGCCCCCAGCTGTACGAATAAAACCAGCCTCTTGTATGGCTGTGCAGCTATTCACACAAATGGAGGGAGACTAGGGATGGAGGAATCTGTCGATTTCAGGATTTTGGTTTCTCCTATTTCTTGTCCTCACACATTTCCACATCAGTTTGCATGCGTGCGCACGAATGCACGCAAGCACTATATATATCATGAAAATTCATTACCATTTTAGTTCACTTTTCTGCTAATGTATATACAGTGGTGCCTCGCAAGACGAAATTAATTCGTTCCGCAAGTTTTTTCTTCTTGCGAGTTTTTCGTCTTGCGATGCACGGTTTCCCATAGGAATGCATTGAAAATCAATTAATGCGTTCCTAGAGAACCGACTTCAGACCAGGTCCGGGGACAGTCTGTCCCCCGACCTCTTCTGAAGGCTGGGGGGACAAGGGCTTTCTTCCACCCCCAGCATTTAAAAACCCCGGGACAGCGGAGGGCTTCTCCGCTGTCCGGGCGATCTTAAAATGCTGGCGGGCGGCATTTAAAATTGCCCCGGGACAGCGGAGGACTTCTCCGCTGTCCGGGGCAATTTAAAGCCCCTGGGAAGGCAGGCAGGGGGACAAAGACTTTGCCCCCGCCAGCCTTCAGAAGAGGTCCTGGACCTCTTCTGAAGGTTGGCGGGGGCGAAAGTCTTGTCCCCCCACCTGCCTTCAAAAGCTGTCCAGCCAGGCTTCGCGGACCTTTTTTGCCTGCATTTCCTCCCAATGTACACATTTTTGCAAAGCAATTTTCCCCAATATAGAGCATAAAAAGGGCTGTTGATGGCTATGCTCTGCCTCCAAGAATGGAGACCCCAATGCTTCTGAAAAGCAGCTGCTGGAAACCACAGAAGAGTTTTGGAAGAGTTTGGATTTGATATCCCGCCTTTCACTCCCTTTAAGGAGTCTCAAAGCGGCTAACATTCTCCTTTCCCTTCCTCCCCCACAACAAACACTCTGTGAGGTGAGTGGGGCTGAGAGACTTCAAAGAAGTGTGACTGGCCCAAGGTCACCCAGCAGCTGCATGTGGAGGAGCGGAGACGCGAACCTGGTTCCCCAGATTACGAGACTACTGCTCTTAACCACTACACCACACTGGCTCTCACAGCAGGTGAGTATGCTCTTGTGCCTGAATCCTGCTTGTGGTTTCCCATAAGGATTTGGTTGGCCACTGTGAGAACAGGGTGCTGGACTAGATGGGCCACTAGCCCAATCCACAAGGCTCTTCTTGTGTTCTTATTTTTGTATATTATTTTCACTAATATATATGTTTTTGTACATATTACTTGTCTGGAGAATTGCTAGCTGAAGCGTGAATTCTGAAGGATAGCTTGTTTTGGTTTGTGCATTGCTATGGAATGTACAAATCTGGTAGATTTGCCTTTAAGCATGAACTAAATTGAATTTGTCCCCCTGTCCCTGCAAGAGACACTGCTTTGTTCCTTTATGTATGATTCTTTACTCACCCATAGAGGTTTTACAATACTGTACATAGAGCTATTGGGAGGATAAAGACAGTAGCACTATCTGCTTGCTTGAAACCATTTACAATAGATATTGCCTTTCGATCTTTGTGGGTTACTAAAAACACAACAGTCGCCTATTCAGTGGTTAATGGCTGAAGAGTACTGGAGCAAGATCAGTCTCTCAGTCCACATTCCCAAGTACTAGCTAATATGTAGGTGGAACTTGCAGCAAAAAATTAATAGCTGAAAATGAATTACCTGCGACTTCAACAGCTTGAGAAAATCTTACTGCAGTGTTTGGGAAACAGAAAACATATCCAGCCTTCTGGGGAATCCCACAAATTATTTTCTCATTTTAACTTTGCAGTGTGCTTTATGGAGTGGCATTTTCTCCCTGTAGGACTATTATTATGTGCTGTAGATTCTGACCCTGCCTAGAATATTCTTTCCAGAGTTTGAAGTTTGACTATAGAATGGAATCCTCTTAAAGGAATAAAGTGCCAATTCAATGTTTCTCCACCACTACCCCTACTCATGGGTAGAGGCAGTGGATCTGCAGCCCACACTAGTTCCCAACTCATCTATGCTCTGGGGGGGGGAGGGGTCTGTGCAGCTTGCATAGGCTGGGTGGCATGTGTGTCCCTACAATCTAATGTTGGTAAGATTCTCTTCAACGCCCTTCCTAAAACCTACAGCATATGGAAAAACAAATATTGATTTTTGTGGCTTAAGATGTAGTACAAACACATTTAATCAGAAAGGCTGGGGTAGATAGGAAATATAGGAGGGAAGGGATACAAAAACTGGCATCAGATAATTTGGAGTTTGAGTTCATTGAGGTCAAATAACAGCATCAGTGTGAAAGGCCCAGGATCATTCAGACTCACCATTAGTGCACCCGGCCTCATCAATTCCACTTTCACAGTCTTTTTCTCCATCACACCTCCATGAAGATGGGATGCATTTGTTGCTGGAGTCTCCACAGCTGATTTTTTCAGCTAAGCATACTTGTTTGGCTAAAAAAAGAAGCACAAAAATAACATAATTAATGAATAAAAAAAGAACTATATATAACTTTACCTCAGAGTGCCCCATATTTTCATCAGGCAGCAGACACAGTAGAAAGACAGGTGGATGTCCTTTGTGGGCGGAAGGAATGATTCACTGAAAGCTTTGTACAAGACACTCTCATTGCTGCTTTGCTTTCTAGAATGCTTTCTAAACTTGATCAAAATACTATGCAAATAATTTAGCTGGCATGTATTTTCCTGTTTATTGGTTTGATATATTTTCACTACCTGAAGCACAGTAACAGAGTTAAAAAGAATAGATCTCCTTCAAGTATAGCAGGCTGAATAATCTCATAACCTCAGGATGTTATAAAGGAATATAAACAGGTGTAAATTAGAAGACAGTGTACCCAAAATCACTATACTGAAGCTAAACCCAGTGTACCATGAGTGTCTGGAGAAAGAATTTAGGAGTTTAATTCTGAATAGATTTAAACAACAAGGCGGAGGGGGAAAGCTGCCTAGTTCATTACAAAAACAAGAATCGGTTTCAGTCTGAAATCTCTTTTGCAACAATTTGAACCCATTGCTATGTCCTTGACTACAATACCATAGATGAACACACCCAAAGAATAGGATTAAATCTTTTTTTTTAGAAGTACTTCTTTGAGATACTGTATTTAGGAATGCAAATACTAGCTACCTATTCCAGGATAAGGAGAAAGGGTGGTGAAAAGCAGTCCTTACTACTCTTCTTGCTCTTGTGGGTACCATTGCAGAAGATCAGGCTGCTGCCTTTGGAGACACTGTCTCTTACCCAGTATACAAGTCCAGATTCCCTTCCCTTATTGTGGTTTCATATGATGATATTTAACATGGAACTGTTTTGGAACACAAGTTAATTTTGATCACAGAAGTTTGACAGGCAGATCTGCCTTTGCAACACTAAGATACATATCCATAAGTTTGAATTTCTCTGCTTCCTACAAATGCACCACTGACCTAATAACAAGAGGAAAGAGGTGTCTGGTGGGTACCACTGAAATTGAAAAGGAACTGAAAATTAAGGGATTAATCAAGCATTTAATAGTGTCCAAAAGGTGATGCTTCTCTGCCACCCCACTCCCATCCCTACACTGAGGCCATAAAAGTGCTTAGTGAATGAAACTGCCCTCATTGACATTTTCTTAGTGGGTTTCCAATCTGAAGGCAATCAAAGCAGCTGCAGCTTCACCGCCTGGTTTTTTTTCCTAGGTAGCTCATCATTCTAACAGGAGAATGAAAGGCCACCAGGAGCTGTCATTAAAAACGTAGAATGTTACTGAAGTTGGGGAAAAACCAACCCTGAATAATTATAGAGTGGATGCTGTCATTACCTAACTTAGTGAAAGCGTTTTGAAGACATAAACTAATTTCATTTTAGACCAGCCTCTGCCAACCTGGTGTCCTCCAGATATTTTAGATTATAGCTTCCAATACATCTGGAGGGCATTTATATGAACATCGTAACAGCCACAGGCCTGGAATGTAGAAGGCATCCACCTGTCTGTCCCTCATCACAAACAAGGCCCATAAATCAGGTTCTCAGAGGTTATGGACATATAACTCTATTAATGTCATATACAAATGATCATACTGCCTGTGAACATCAAAGAACTGTACATGCCAAGTGGGGCTCTTAATTCACCTGCCCTTCTCCAAACAAACACTAGCCCCACAATACTGCAAAATGAAGTTCTGAAAGCTCCCCAAATGTTGTGCATTAGCTCAGTGTCCAATGCAAAGGGAGTTACAGAGTGCACAGATGTAGCCATGCATTTGTCTGGATCACATCAGTTGGGAGTTTCTAAATAGCGGGAAACATATGTGGTTAGTAAACCACTAGATTAAATGACTGTCTGAACAGCTAGCATTTCCAAAGCTTACACTTTTGGAGTACCAGAGTGATGGTATTCTAACTTTGCTCCCACTGTGCCCTGAATGGAAGAACAATATCTGGAAGCCCTCCAGCTATGGAAGTTTTTTTCCTGGCCTGACATGTAAGCAATTTAATTTCTCTATACTTACATGCTTACTTGCAACTCTCCCAAAATAGAAGAACCTAAGAGACCGCAGTTTTGGGAAAGAAACAGAACATAATAGAGTTGTTCAGCTGAAATTTATTTGAGAGCAAGTCTCTGAGGAATTGGCCATTTCTGTTTATGTGATAGAAGAAATTTCTCTCGCCATCAGAAAAAGCCTGAAGGTAAAATAGCTCAGAGTTGTCTTAAACTTGTGCTTTTGGGGAACAACAACAAGCAATAAAAATATAAAAATTATGGTGAAATGCAGCAAAGTGGCAGGAAGGTTATGTAGGAATCTCAGTATCAATTTGATCTCAGAGCCCACGGCAAGAAACACCTTTGGAAGAATAATGGATATCAGAATGGCAGGACAGGCAGCATCTGTTTACGAAAAGGACACCGGGTTAATCACCACAATGATACAAGTAATTAGATGCATTTTGAAAAGTAAATCTGAGCAGTTAACCCTCAAAGCAGAAAGCCATCAGTTGTCAGTGTACATCAACTATAGGGAGTTCAAACACAACTGGCAGCTAAGCCTGAATCATTTCAGTCTCAGCTTTTCACAATGAAATGCAAAGGTAAGGAAAGGAACTTGGGCAAAGAAATGACAAATCAAATCAAAAGTGTTGAGGAAAAGTCAATGCTATTTTGGATTGCTTCATTTCAAATAAAAATGCTATGAAAATACTAGCCAACAGGTCATGAAAGAATGGTAGAGTTGAAGGTGTAGATCTCCTCTGCTTGCTTGCTTTCATTTATTTTAGGCTTTTGCAAATTTGTCTACCCAAATTTTTCTCACACTCTTTTACTCTGGTCTTCCCTAATCTTGCAGAGAAAGAGAAGGTTAACTTGTATTTGATAGTGACTGCTATCAAGGCTCTTGAGGTTTGTGTTGACGCAAAGTACAAGGAAGCTGGACTTTTCCAAAACAGCCAATGAAAAAGACTTGGTTAAAAAAATGTCAGACACATCAAGACCAATTTATCACAATGAAGCACAAATGCCAAGGATGGACAACAATGCTTTATTTATACAGAGACAAGAGCGAAGACGACAAGACGGTTCCATTGACTAGCCACAGCAAATGGCCCATTCATTCTTCTTGTTTTCTTTACACCCCAACGCTACAAATTCTTTTACAGAAATCGTAGAGCCTAACTGGCGCCCCACTGCTTGGCTTCCTTTTACGCCACTGCTGAGCTTTTCAAGCATAGAAGCATTATGCATATTCAAGGAAAGGGGGAGATAACAAAATTGATTTCCTTTCACAAGACCATTTGTCAGGTTCTCACCATGCAGGTACTCTGCAACCACGTACAAACGGGAATTCAGCAAATTCTACGTGTGGGAAACCTACAGATCTCTTCATTAGCAAGCTAGACAGTATCTGGGAGCATGAAAAAAAGGCCCATTTTGTGGAAATGTGTCATCTTGAACAATGAGGCCTGCTTTCCCACTACCACCATGTTAAGAATCCCTAACACTATTCTTGATTTCTCCTGAGGACATACATTAGTATGAGGCAGTAGTGGTTTTGCTGTGGCAACAACCTCAACAAAGTGGCATATCAAAGAGACACATTTCTGAAGGCTGGCCAAGGCTTACCACAAATCTCAGTCAAATATTGCTTGTGGTAGGAAAAGGTCACAATATGGGTTAAAAGTACTTGAACTGGTGCCCTGTTGTGGAGGTTGAGAAGGCTAGTGCTGGCATAACCCATGTAATTTATTTTTATTTTTCAGTTAACAACTTTATATGTATATGAAACAGCTGTGGGTGACTATGCTAAGGCAGATTAATAGGAAACCACACCCCAGTGAAAATTATAACATTTTCAGATTCATATAATTAACCTACGGCTTTAAGACTTTAATTGCATATTACTGCAGAGAAGCCACAGAAGTAGAGAAAATATCAAACATGAACAGCAAAACTTTATGGTCAGAGCACAGTATTAATAGGATCATAGCTGTGAAGGCTGATAAATATTAGCTCCTAGTATGTGATTTTGTTTGATACAGATTATTTTTTTCACATTCCCAGGAGAATAGAAAAGGATTTGCTTGAGCTTAATTCCTTTGGATGAAGCCGCACAGCCCTCTCACAAATGTAAGTCTTGGGATTTTGTGGCCAAAACTGTTGTATTTGGTCAACCAGGGTTACAGACTAGTCTCTCCATCCCCCTTTCACTGACTCTGTGGATCATCTGAAGCTTGTTCATCATCAAATAAACATGGCAACCATTGGACAAAGCAATCAGTTGCCTTGCTTTAATGTAGATTAACACACATAATTATCATATTGGAGATAAGAGTAAATAATCAGGCATTCAAAATCCCAGACTTAATCCTAAACACTGAAATTCTACATTTTATAGCAGGAGCTTAGAACACAGTGATAGGCATTCATTTCAGGACATGCCACTAAGGCCTTATAAATCAACTTATTTTTGAGACTAATGATCTAAGTGAGAAAGATGGATCTCCGGTAACTTTATTGTCACTTAGGCTTGTTGGGGGTGGAGGCTTTTGTTAGGTGGGGCAGAACCTCAGATTTGTATTGATTTGTATTGGTTTTTACTTACTGAGGGGGCAGCTGCCTTGCTGCCCCCCTTGGCTACACCCATGGGGGGCCACAGGAAGGAAACAAGGTTGGAAGAGTGCCACAGTCGAAAAAAGGTTGGGAAACACTGATGTAAACTACTTGCGGTTTTTGTTAATCAACAAAAAAGTGCCATATAAATCATGTCAAATAAAATCAATCAACCTGAGTTTGGGAGGCTGGGTATCATCTTTGACCAGTAAGCCTTCTGGACATGTTATACCGTATTTTTTCGTGTTTTTTTAAACCAAAAAATTAGGTTTAAAATTGGGGCTCGTCTTATACACGGGTAGTGTTGAGGGGTGTTTTCTTAATTTGGAGTCCCCCAAATTAGGGCGTGTCTTATACACGGAAAAATACGGTAATTCTTATAGGAATGTCAATTTCCATGGCACGATGTGCCTCTTGATGAACCACATTTGCTTGGAGAAAAACAGCCACATATACACTGCACTGCCCCCAGATGACAAAGTAGTGGCTAGGGCAAGGGTAGCCATCTAAGTGCTCTGCAGATATCATGTACTAAGCCAGAATGGCCAATAGTCAGGGAAGAGGGCAGCTGAGTCCAAAACATCTGGCTAGGGGGGGCACCACATTGGCTACCCCATGCCTAGGGCCTCACCTTCCCTGTCCAGACCAAAACCAATTTAAGACCTCAAATCATCAACAGGTGCCGATGCCAAGTGGAGCACTGGACTTCCCTCTTTCTTTATATCAGCTGCCTAAAACAGTCAAGGCAACTTACAAAATACTCTGATAATGCAATCGCAAAACATAAGAACAATTTTACAAAATTAGGTAACAACCTGAAAGCGAGGCTCAATTAAAAACAATTACTTCCCCATTCATTTTGCATCCAGAGACCTCCCTGCTCTTACACAACTGAATCAAATGCAGGATCAGAAACAAATGCTGTCTTTCAGGCAGCTTGGAACTACCTTCTGCTAAAAGTCTGGCCATCTTAAATACAGCTGTAACAACACAAATATTACAGTGCTCAGTCAGATATCTTCTGATATATCCTCTTGTTTCAGAGGTATTTGTAGCTTTGCAGTTCAAAAACCACATAGGCATGGATATGTCTACATGTAGTTTTTGTTGAAAGGCTTATTACTTTTTTACTGCTTCAATACATATTTGACAGTCTTTGATTTACACAAATTGGAAGCTTCATAAATGCCTCTTCATCTGTCCCATGTGAGATCGCAGAAAATGTAATTTAGTGAATAATTAGCTATGTTGCTAAGCTAGGCAAGTTCTATATCCAGAAGAAAACCCTTCCTTGTAATAGTTGATGCAAGGAAAAATACCCTTCAACTCAAGGATTTAAAAGGAAGAATAAATGGACAAGGCCAAGGTTGCTCAGGGCTAATTAATTAAAAATAATTCATTATTAATTAATCTGGAGTGTGTGTGTGTTCAAATAGCCCAGGATACGTGTAGGAAGTGAGCTGAAGTTGTGTTTGCACATAAACACTATTATTATTTTATTAATTTTATTTGAAACATTTCTATTTCACTTCCCCACTGTTAAGCCTCCAAAGCAGCCCACAACATCAACACTCAACAGCAAGACATCCAGCAGATGCTGAAATGAATAAAACAGTTTTACACTTGCTGTCTAAAAGATGGCAGCAATGGTTCTGGGGAGAGATTCCACAAATCATGCATCACCACAGAAAAGGCCTCATCTCCAGTCTCCACCCACCTAACTTTGGAAAATGGTGGCACTCAAGGCACGGCCTCAAAAACCAAATTTAAGCAGTGGGCAAGCCCATATTCATTAGGAGAGATACCACAGATTTATTTATTAATTTTAATCAGGAATACATTGTGATGTTATCGCACAACTACTTCACATACCTTCCCCTATATCAGGGGTGCCCAAACTTTTTTCAAAGAGGGCCAGATTTGATGAAGTGATTTGTTGAGCTTATTTTAGGATTGAAGTTGCTGAGCTTTTTTTTTAGTATTTTACCCCAGGACATATACTGCCACGGGGGCTGGATTAAATTGACCAGCGGGCTGGATTAGGCCCCTGAAACAGACTTTGGACATGCCTGCCCTATACGAACTTGCTAGAATGTTCGGTCAAACTGGAGGGAAAAAAGGAACATTGCCCCTGGGCTTCTTCTTTACATTCTGGCAGGTTTAATGCTGGATTTTCTTGCTTTTGTTCAATCAAATTAGACCCATAAGCCTCATATTCTAAAGCTTTTAATTGTTCAGTCAAACCTGCCTTAAGGGATTACCCCAGGAATTAAGGAAAGAAAAGAAAAAACAGCAGTCGCCTGAGGTAGACTTTGAACTAAAGGTTGAATCTAATTGTTTTGGAAAAGTTGGGGATACTTTGAGGTAATTATTAAAGCCAGAAAGCTGCCTATATGAAGCATGCTTTTGAGTAAGTTAAGTATACTGGGAATGTGGCTTAGAGGAGCTCATATGATCAAAGGAAGCATCACATGGAGAAGGGCAGAGGAATCCTTCAGTCAGTTAATTGACTTAAGTGATGTTTTGAGGACAGGGACAAGCTCTCAAGTACATAAAACATTTAATGAACAAAAAAATTGTTTTATCATAACTGATACGGTAATTGCAGGTACTCACGTGACTGGAGTTTCTGCACACCCTTAGGACATTCTTTGCAAACTCATGTTGTACATGTCTTTTCTTTTTTTAATCATATTTGTATGCTACACCTCCACAGGAGAGCTTACATAGCATTTTGCCTATTTTTATCTCCACAAGAAACCTATAGGGTAGGTTAAGATGAGAGTTTATTACTGGAGCAAGTTTTATCCAGTGAACTTTATGGGGGTGCAATGATTTGAACACTTGTCTCCCTGGTCCAAATCCACTACTCTATCCACCACACCACACTGGTGTAAAATCATTTTACATTTCAGAAGCTACATACGACTTTATACATCAGCTGGAATAAAGTAGGGTGCTGCCAGTTCACCTGTATTCAGGTTCTATTCTTCTTCCTGGAGATGAATTGTACCATCCAGTGTCTAGAGCAATGCTTCTCAAACCTATTTTTCTGGGCAACACTTTCAGAATAAAAATTTGCTTGCGCTACACCAGATTTTTATTGATAAGAAATATATTGGAAGGCAAAAAAGAAACCACTCCTAGCAGTGCTTGATTTATAGCACAGAGCACAACTACTTTATAATATAATCATGGGGCATCCAAAAAGTATAAAAAACAATGCAGCTACATAAGAACATAATCATTCCCAAAATGTAATTAGAAAAAAGTCTCTTACATATGTACCGTAAGTATGTATACAAACTCAGTGAGGTGTGAGCTTGCTTTTGCCGGGTACAGATATTGACTCGACTCGTGCACAGCACTAGGAAATCAACCAATCATTTCAAACCTAGAAATGGCAGGAGAGAGCTGGAAAGTCCTCATGGCAGCAGTCGTCTGAGGTAGACTTTGAACTAAAGCTTTCATTGCTCTTCTAGATCAGTTCCCTAAGTCAACCTAATTCTCTTCCTCTGGCATTTCCCCCAGTTTCTTGTTCAGACAAAGTCTAAAATCTTAACTGGAATACGTTGACTAAAACCATCAGAATCAACCCACACTGACAGTCTTCTTTGCAAAGTTCTATTAGGTCTAGTCTACCGTATTTCTCATTCCAGTTGCTTTTCCTCTTTCAAAGCAACTCAGGCCTACTTGATTTTGTAGGGTTGCCATACTTTGAATAGCAAAAAAAGAGGACACATTTGCCGACTTCTACTTTTAACTATGGATCGCTATGACAACTCTTATTTTACATAACCATGAAAAAGAGGATGTGTCCTGGAAAATGAGGACATATGGCAACTCGTTTCAGTGACTTTACTGCCTTTATTGCAGCTGTGCTAGTGGCCATAACTGGAAATCCAGCTCAGGCCTTAGATGTTCCAAAAACACCCCATCTCCCATACACACTGTATAAAAGTACTGAGCAGAAAATGAACTGATCAGTTCATTTTTTGCTCAGTGTGTGTGGACTGTAGTGGCATCAGTCATTCACTTAAGGAAAACACCTGTAAATACAACTCACACCTCTGAAATTTCTCTTATCTTGCATGCCAAATTTGGCATTGATTATAATTGTCTTTCATTATAAATTTTTATTTTACTTGTAAACACTAGTATGTGTCCCCCTTGAGTTGGTTTCAAAGGTTACCTTCCTCCATCAGAAGAAGGGAATCTCTGGATCAAATCTGAGATTTCCTACATTTTACAATTTAAAGAGGGATTGTAATATGTACCAAAGACCACATATGAAGATAACTGGAGTGCACAAGGCTTTATACAGAACTATAACAGGTTCTGTAAAATGGTAGGCATACTTGGATTTTGTTTCACTGTTTGGATTTCATTTCATTGCTTGAATAAAAAACTCTAATGCGAGATGTAGAATAATGCTTCAGTGAGCAAAGGGCATCTGCCATATGTGGATTCAACCCAGTCACATTGCTTAAGCACAGAGCAACAAATTCTATACTCTGTAACAGAGGCTGGAACTGGAGGACAGGTTTTCAAATTCATCTGACTAACTTTAGTCTATTCCAATTAGCCAACAGTAGATACGAAAGCTGGATTATAGATGTCAGACATTGTTAATACAATACATCCCTATCCAAGTGGTGAAGTATTAAGACAGGTGGGCTACCTAAACAGTTAAGAATGGTTAGTACCTGTTAAAAACTCATCATGAATATTCATGACATTAATTGCACAACCTTCCACTGCTGCAATAGTTGACGTTCATCAAGGACACAGCTGCTTCAGAGTTTCTCTATAATTAATATATGCTTAGCCATTTCTAAATATAACAATTAATTATGGCCTTTGAAGAATTCATGCTGCACCTTTCATCAAACTCTTCTTATCGAAAGGGAAGGAACAAACTTCATTTCACTGGTAAAACTTTTCTTAATTTTGAATTTCTGTATCTTTTGTTTCCCTGACAATGATCGGGGCTGGGGGTGGGGATGCTGTTTACTGCCCACAGGTGGTGATAGAAGGGCCCACCGTGACAGACAGGGCAGAGCAGCATTTTCTTAACAAGAATATAACAAGATGCAATTAATAATAATCAAAATACTATTTCCTCAAAGGACCCAGCCAATGAATGCTTGTCCATAAGACTCTTGATTCAATCTAATATTTGATCCCTGTATTCTTATAGGCAGCGTATTTCCCAAATGTCACTAGCCTCTAGAGAACCAGGTGTGCAGCCAGGCAAATAATGGCAAGTGTGGCACCACCCTCTGGCAAGCACGATACAGTCAGCCTTCCTTCCAACTTTGAAGCTGCAGAAGTGGGCAGGGATCATCTGGGAGTTTGTACAGTGATTCCTCCCACCTCCTAGCTCCAAACTTGGAATGAAGCCTGAGGTTTGTTTGGTAGCTGAGTGGCCAAGGCTCAACTGGCAACTCCACCAAACCATCTTTCCCATTCTTGAGCAGGAAAAGCAGACAAGGGGGTGGGAAAAGAAGAACATGAGAAGAGCTTTGCTGGATCAGGTCAGGCCAAAAGCATCCTGGCCAGCCTGATGCCCACAAGCAGCCAGCCCTCTCTCCACCTGGTATTTAGAGACATCATTCCTTGACAGACAGGGGGCAGGCGATTACCATTTTTGGTCTGACCTGAAAGGAAAGCAGCAGAAGGCTACACAAAATTTTGCTCATACTGAACAATCAGGACAGCAAGGAAGAAACCTTCTTCCAACCTTGATCCACTTTCAGGAAGGGTGAAAAAATGGGCAAAGGAGCCCTGCAGGTGTGTTGTCCGAGAACATTCAATTGTCCTTCATTCAGTGCCACTGATCTGCACAGAGAAACTGATTTCCATGTGCAGGTTTGCTGCAGAACATGTGCTGGTGCACATATAGCATGCTATCGCATCAGATAACCTGTCTGCACACCTTACTGGGCGCTGGCTGGGATTGGCTAGTCTCATTTAAAGAGGATCCAGGGGGTATTTATACCTCTGCACACAATTCAAATCTACTGAGCCATAAGCATTTTCCCCTCCCCTTCCACTTCATGACTGTATTTATGGGTGACTAAGAGAAACCCCTTGTAAACAAAATCACCTCGTTTGGCAAGGCATAGTAAAGCTGCTTGCATAATTCTGGCTTTCCCACCCTGCCCACAGATGTCATAAAGTGTTTCACTTAGAATGATGTCCATGAAGTTAAATAAAGAGAAGAAAACTGACTTAGCAGTGTGTTTCAATAGCTGCAGACTGATTTGAAGGCTGCATAGAAATATAAATGTTACTGCATCCTCTATAAATGCATTACACTCCTAAAGCAGCTTATTTTAATCAAAGTTATCATGCCAAGAGAAGAAACATCCTGAGCACATTTAAATAATAATACCAGTTTATATTTTATCCCTTGATTCAGATTGCAACCATCCTTGATCCACTTATATCAAAAGCACTGTGACAGACTGAGACAATCTGTACCAAACTGTGTACTGCCGGACAGTTGCTTGATGGACTGTGGCTTGTATGGGGAAATGGTCCAAATCCACATGCTGGAAAGTTATTGATGATTATTCTTCATAGCATTTGACACCAGTAAATCTATAAAATAGGAAAGAAGAATCTAGGCAAATACTACATAGAGAGCTAGAGATGCCCTTTTCCATAGCTAATGGAGGATCATTTTTTTTAAAAAAACTGAGTAATAAGCATTATGGAAAAGAGACTGTGGAATGAAATAGTGCCTGTCTTTGTTTGTTGTATACAATTTCAAGTACAGTGGTACCTCGGGTTACATACGCTTCAGATTACATACGCTTCAGGTTACAGATTCCACTAACCCAGAAATAGTGCTTCAGGTTAAGAACTTTGCTTCAGGATAAGAACAGAAATTGGGCGGCGGCGGCACAGCGGCAGCAGGAGGCCCCATTAGCTAAAGTGGTGCTTCAGGTTAAGAACAGTTTCAGGTTACGAACAGACCTCCGAAACTAATTAAGTACTTAACCCGAGGTACTACTGTATGCTACCTCAAACAGGAAGCTGCTCGAACATGAAATTGGAAGCGACTGATAACATCAGCATTATCTGAACCAGGGATGGGGAACCTCCAGGTGTTGGCTGGCTCCAACTCCCATCAGTCCCAACCAGCATAGCCAGTAGTCAGGGATGATAAGGAGTCCATCATCTAGACGGCCACAAATTCCCTATTCCAATCTACTGACTAGAAGCACCTCTTCAGGTTTTCTGACAGGAGTTTTTTTAATAGCCCACCTGTATGTGCCTGGGACTGATTCTGGGACCTTTCGCATATAAAGCATTTGTTCTGCCACTGAGTTATGGTCCTCTTCTATAATGCTTCAAAAGACAGTAGGATAGAAATTATTAATTAGTTATCTATGTTGAACTGGGCTAAGCCTATCCAAATGAATACTATAGCAACACTCTCAAGTTCATTATTGCTATGGGCCTGATTATAGCGGCGGGGGGGGGGATCTAACAAGTTAAAAGCTGAAAATATTTCAGGGTGGATATAGAATACAGAAGCTATAGTAGAATTAACTTATACTACCTAACCATGCAAGAGAAAATTAGCTAGTATATAAGCTAAACATTAAACGTTAATTAAGGATAATTTGCATTTCAGATCATGTTCTGTTGTTTGATAAATATGTAATAATAAACTTAAAATCATCATTTTAAATTATCAGCCACAGGTTATTTAGAGAGACTATTAAATGTCTATGCAGCGCCAGTAAACAATTCAGATTGCAACTTTACTAGGGAGCTGTCCTTGGTCCTAGAACATCAGCTTTCATTCTGTAATGATCAGGAATGCATTCAACAACTAATGTGTATGTCTCCATACCAATTTTTTCCCTCAACTATCTTCACAAGTCAATTCCCACATTTCTGCTATGCAGTTTGATCCTTTTCTCTTCTAGAGCTGTGGAAATCATGTCTTATTTCCAAAGGTCCCTCTGCCTTGCAGCCTGAAGAATGTTATTGTCCTGTATAACCCTGCCCCCTTTCCCCATCCTGGCTTTTTAATCTACTTGTTCCTGAAGGACAACAGTTTACCTTGCTTCCTGAATGTTTTGCTAATCTTGTATATAGAAAGACTAGTCAATTATTTCCTTAATTTGGGAAGGCCCATTATGCTAAATGCCAAGATCTCCTTGCCATCAGAATTAGACATTTCCTCAAATGTTTGTATATCCAGATAGAATGGAACAGGTTTCCCTAGGAAACTATAAAGAATTTGCATTGCAGTCCTGCTTTCACTTGCAATTTGTGTTGCAGATGCCTACAATTCCTGAAACTAGTACAGTTTTTATAAATAATACAAAAGGTCTATAAATATAGCTTTGCTTATTAAAAATCAGTAGCATAAGGAGAGCTATATTTAAATTCTCCAAAATCTGTTTATTACATACAGTCCTTGGTTGCTGAGAGAGAGAAATTACAGTTCATGCCCATTTAAATTATTTGTGAAAGCCACATAGGATTTCATTTTTAATGAGACATTTAAATTATTGGAGACCACCAAACTTCCAATCTCACACTCAAGTGGGTAAAAATTATTCACATATAGTATCTGAAATGACTCTATTTCTGACCACATTGAGTGAATGGAATGCTTCTCTACTACAGAACTGCACAGATGTCACGCAAGTCGGCTTGCTCCACTTTGGTCTGGATGGACCAGAGTTCGAAAACTGAGTACCATAATACAACAGTCATATTTTTTATTTCAAATTCTATGATGCTGCCATTTGTTACATGGGACAGACCATATAGGCACAGAATTAAGAACTGATCTTTTTCTTCTAAAGCATACTGGGTTAAGTAAAGAAAATGCAGTATAATGGACAAAGGTAGACATACATTCTAAATGTGGCAGAAGTAGTTTGAACTTCTATTCTTTGCTTGAAAACAAATGCCTTGATATGAAACCGATTTCAGACCAGCTGTCTGTCTTCATCTATGACTGTTTTAAACCAAGGTTTTCAAATGAAATGAATGGTTTACACAGGAAAACGACACGATGCACAACATGATGTTGGTTTTTGTACTGGCATTAGGAGTTCCATGGTTATTTTGTCATGTGTAAAATCAGTACAGTGGTATCTCTAGTTGCAGACGCAATCTGTTCTGGGGTGCCGTTCACACCCCGAAAAGTCCGCAACTAGAGCAGCGCTTCTGCGCAAGCGCAGATCGCGATAAAGCACTTCTGCACATGTGCAAAGCGCACAGAACGCTTCTGCGCACACGGCGAAACCCAGAAGTATACACTTCCGGATTTGCCGCATATGCAAGCTGAAAAGACGCAACATGAATGCAAGACGAGGTATGACTGTACTAGCACAAAGATTTTGGAGCAGAAAGGCTGTCATGGATGTCTTAGCTGAGATTCCTGCATTGCAGGGGGTTGGACTAGATGACCCTTGGCTCTCTTCCATCTCTTAAGATTCTGTGATGCTAAGGCACAGAATGGCTGCATAGATCCATGGACACTACAAAGTCCTTCGAACTGTAGCCCTTCTGTGAGGAAAAAGATCTTAAAGATACCAAAACATAAAACTAAGTGTAAATATAATTAAACAAGACAAAACTCAGTAAACACTGAAAGAGGGAAAGTGAATGGGAGACTCAGTTTGGCTTTGAATTTCTCTTCAACAGCCTCCTTGCCTCCTTTTTATACATTATGAAATTACAGCAAATGGGAGGTGGGGGGAAGGGTATAATGTAAAAGGATATAATGTACTTTAAGTATGTGGTATTTCAATCCCTTTAAGACAGGCTTTTTACATTGCTGGTTTGTAATGAGATGTGCAAGGAAATAGATTTTCATCAATTAATTGAGTGGATAATTATGGGGAGGAAAGGTTTTCATTATGGATTTTTTATTGAAAAAAAAGCAAATTGTTCTATTATACATTTTATACACCATCGCTATTAATAGATAATTAATATGCTCTTGAAGTCAAGACTGGATGTCGTTATGCTACGTTCTCTCTCTTTTTGTATAAACTGTTGACACAGATTTTCTATAAAGCGTAACATATAGGAATTCTAAAGCCTTCGAAAGCTCACATTCTGGCACCACCCAGTTATAGAAGCTTATAATTGTCTATTGCCTTTCCTCTCTATTGAGGCACCCCAAAACCTTCCAACAGAACATCAAATGCAGAGCATGAAAAAACTCTACCAATAGTCCATACTTTTCCACTTTACATCAGCACTTTTTTTTTTAATTGCTCAGACTAAAGACAAAGCACTGTGTCCAGTTCTGGACACCACAAAGGAGGACACTGACAAACTGAAGCATGACCAGGATGACCACATCCTATGATGAATTGTTGAAAGAACTGGGTAAGTTGTAGTAGGCTGTAAAAGAGAAGATTAAGGGGAGGACATGGGAGTGGTCTTCAAATGAAGGGCTGTCATGCAGAAGATGGAACAGACTTGTTATCTGTTGCTCAGTAAGGATGGACTAGAACAAATGGGTGGAATATAAGAACATAGGAAGCTGTCCTAGTCTAAGATATTGGTCCATCCAGCTCAGTGCTGTCTACAGTGACTTGGCACTAGCTCTCCAGGGTTTTAGGCAAGAGATGAACCTGGGACCTTCTAGATGGAAGGCAGATGCTCTGCCACTAAGCTATAGTCCTTATCCCTGTGGAAATTAGCAGGAAGCATATTATGGCTAAACATTAAATGGAGACCCTTCCTAACTATAATAGATGTTCAGTAATGGAACCAACTGCTTCGGCAGGTGGTAGGCTCTCCTTTTCTGGTGATACTTAAGCAGAGGCTGGAAAATCATCTGCTAGAGAACCTTCATTGCAGACTAGACAACCTCCAAGCCCCTTCCTAACTCTACGATTAAGGAGCTACTGTAACCAAGAGAAGGCCATGAAAGCTTATGCATCCTTTGCATCCTTAAGAACAGTTGTTCTTTATCCTGTGGCAATGCAAAAGAGTAGCCACCCATGAGTCTGTGTCCAGTATGTACTTGCTGGATTTTTTGAGAACCCATACCTAACAACTGCCCTCTCATTTTCCTACGTATTACCACCTGTAAAACAGGTCCCCAGATAGAAAACTAAACCAACCAAACTAAGTGATCAAATGATGAAGGAAAATTGTGCAGGTCTCAATGAAATCAGCAGCAACACAGGAGTTAAATTGCCTTTCATGGGCTGGGAATTTTATTTTTATCCAGCTGCCTGATATCTGCTGGAGCAGGAAAGTAATACATTAAAAAGTTAATGCATTTCTATTGTATTAGTTAATGCATTTCCTTTGTATTGATGGAAAAATACTTTCCCTTTAGCTTTTCAATGACTGCATAATGAAAACAACCACCAAAAACAAGGGAAGCCTAATGTAGGTATGACAGACAATACTGAACTCTAAGCTGCATATAATCAAGGCATACACTTTTTTGCCAGGGTTGGCTAAATTATTGACCTCCAGGTGTTCAACTATAACTCCCATCATTCCTGACAACTGGTCACACTTGCTGGAGCTGGGGCCCACCCCTGCTCTGTGGGAAAGAAATCCTGCTATACATTTGTGGATTCAACCTTTATTTCAGAAGGCTACATTACCTCAAAGCCTTGAATTTAACTTACCAAGGCTATATGCCACATGATGGCACCTATGGCCAACAGGGATGAAATGTGACTAATGGGAGGACCAGGATCATCGGAATGTGAATGATGATTGGAATGTGATCTAATCCTGGCAGAGCCCTCTGTGATATACTTGGCAAGCCTGGGAAAATTAAAGGACAGACTGAGGATAAATTCTTTACGGAAGTGTGGAATGGCGTCTGTCCCTATGTGATATGATTTTTGGAGAGTGTAAAACCCACACAGAGGATGTTTGTTTCCAACCCGCTTGTGAAGATTATCAGAGATCGCAAAGAAAGGAATATATGATAACAACAAGAAGATGAAGAAAGTAATAAAGAGACTATCTGGACAGAACTGGATAGAACTGTCTAATTAAAGCAGCAATATAAGTGATGCTTGGACCCCCGTTCGGAGTATGGGTACCCCCAACAAAATTTAAAAATCTGGCTGTATAATTTGAAACTAATGTGATTTGGAAATAATGTGATTTGATTGGCCAGTTAATAAAAATTATTAAAAAAAGAAAAAAAGAAATGTGACTAATGGGGCAGCTCGGTACTACCTATCCCAACTTTCTCTATCAGCGTCTGGGATTCAACAAGATAATGGAACGGGCAGGTTAATGTATCTAAACAGCAAGAATGAGACACTGACTTGCCCATTCCATTCCATTGTCAGTCATAGGAGTGCCACTGCACTACGAAAGTCAAGCTTTTATATAACTGAGTACATGCAAAGAAAGAAGAGTCATATCCTCTGGAGGGAATATTCTCCTCTACCCAGTTCTTCACGCACGCTCTAGGGAACCACTCCTGGACAAATATTTCTTCCTTTGCTTTTGGGAATCCACTTAGAAGGGATCAGAAGAAGTCTCATGCTCTTACTTTAAGAATTGCTTCTGCACTGTAGATGTTTCTTTCACTGGTTCCACACAAAGAAAGCATTTCACAGCTGCCTATCTACCGCCTATATAGCCTCTACCACCAATGTCATTTGGATTGTCTTCCCTATCAGTAGCAGGGTTCTACATCAAAGCAGGTTCCTATGACAACCAGATGATTGTCACCTGCTCCTCTCATGGCAGAAGTCTTCGCCTCACCTTACCATCCAGGCAGACAAAGCATAAAAGTTTTAGATTCAGGTAAGTAGCCGTGTTGGTCTGATGCAGTCAAAATAAATAAAAATAAAAATAAAAATTGTCCAGTAGCACCTTACAGACCAACTAAGTTTGTTCTGGGTATAAGCTTTTCTTGTGCATTCAGAGATATCTGAAGAAGTTTTGAAAGCTTGGAAATGTAACCAGATTTCACAGCAGCAGCAATAGCAGTGACCACTCAAAAACACACCTCTTCTGCACTCTAGCCACAAGTAAAGGATCATTGGCTCTTGAATATTCTTCATTAAGTACCATTAAGGTCAAGTTGCCATTGGTTACAGCTTGTAACTTTACCTATCCCAGTTAAAACTCACACACTTTTTGTATTCACTTACTGTTCTTGTGCACCATTAATCAAGATCTGTACATACAGCCAAAATTTTAATTGATTTACAGAAAATCATTCCTAGTCACATTAAATCTCCTGTTCAGAGGAAGATGCCAAGCTTCCATCTATTACTTGAAAGCATACTGCATTTGCCACTACCAAAGCCAGGATTCTTCTGAAAGCAATGAAATAAACACCCCTTTCTGGAGACAATTATGTTAAACTTGCTGGGGGAGGGGGGTGTCAATTTAAAAACTTGATGCCTAAAACTTGTCTCAGTACAACCCAAAGCCTCTTCTGTTTTTAAAAATAGGATAGTACTACAATTGTAATCATCAATGCCCTCACATCCTCTACCCTTTCACTTGAATGGGTGCAAGATTCATAACAGCTATAAAAGTGATCCCATCAAGCTTTTTACTGCTGTCCTTGTTTATGAACTACTCAAATGCATTAGTGGAATAACAGAAATTTGACACTGCTACTATATTCATAGTATTTGATGAACAAACTCTAAAAAGAACTGACTTAGGGAAGAATTGCAAGGGCAACATAAACTTTGTTTCACTATAGCATAGTATGAGAGAAAAGGGGTAGCTGAAATACTGAAGGGTAAATCTATATGCTACTAGGCTCAGTTAAAGGTGTATAAGGCCCTGACTTGGAATCTGGATATCTGATGGAATCTCTTTCTCCATATCAGTGACCCCAGAACCTGAGATCAATTGGGGAGGGAGGTCTTGCTTGCAGTATCACCATGAGTATTACTTGCCATGCTAGACACCAGACAGTGCCTCCTTAGCGAGTTTGCCCCAACTTAGGAACACTCCTCCCCCAGAAGTACAGATGTCAGTGTTGTGGCTGGCTTCCTGTCATCAAGTCAAGACCTATCAGTTCTCCTTGGCTTCTGGAAAAGTTGTTTAGTTTGCCCTGGTGCTTTAGGTTGCCCTATTCTATATTGTTCAAATTATATCTGGTTTTAATCTGCATTTTTATTGTTGGAAACAGCTTTGGGACCTTTGAATAAAAGTAGTCTAAAAATCTTATACATCTATAAATAATTATCCCTGTAGAAGACTTGCATGATGACTCCAGGAAAAGTTCCGGCTTAGTCTTCACCCCTTATGTATTGAAATCTTATGTCTAGGTCCTTTCCCCAGGGAGGATTCTGTCATACTATCTGCCATTAGCAGACTAAAGTGGCATGCATGTCATGGGACTGTTCGCATAGGGACCCTCTTTCTTTAGATAAAACACAATTTGCACTGTTGAAGACCAGTGAAAGAGACAAGTTCTAGGTTTAATCCCTGATTTCCACCTGAGTTTCTTGGTGAGTTGCTGCCAGTCAAGAGTAAAGCTGCCAGTCAAAGCAGCTGGTGTTGGACTTCAGCTCCCATCAACGAGAATATGTTATTTAACTCTGCCTCCCATTAGCCCCAATCAACAAGGCAAATTGTCAGAGATGATGGGAGTTGGAGACCACAACATCTAGAAGGCACCACATTGGCTACCCTCAAACTGGACAATACCAGGCTATGTGAATCAAGAGTCTGACGAGCAGAAACTTAGTTTCATAAGTTGCTGACTGTTTAACCTGCTCGGTTGTTTTTCACTGTCCTATATGCTTGACTGCGCATTTTAATATTAATTGTTTATTTTATTATTTGTTCTATATCCTACCCTGGTCTCTATATGGTATCAGCCTTCCCCAACCCAGAGTGCATTTCCAATCAGCCTCAGCTAGCACAGCTGTACTGCCTGGAGTTGATGGGAATTGTGGTCCAAACCATCTGAAGGGCACCAGATTTGGGTCAGGCTGGTATAAAGGAAGGGCGAGTTATAAATGCTTTAAATACATAAATACATTAGTTCATATAAATGTGCAGCTTAACTGAACCGATTGCTGTGGACAGATGACTCATTCATCAATGGTTGCCTGCTATATCCTCTAGTGAAATTAATATGGATTCATAAAAGGCTATAGTGATTTCCCCCCTATTCTTTCTATTTATGCTGCGGGTCTTCAGATTACATTTGCATAAAGCAATTTCTACTGTTTTCTGTTAGAGCATTGTGTGTACGTAATAAGAGGGAAAGTGGATGGGGAAAGTATGCAGCTCACATCCTTGGATTTCATTATATACACATGCACACATAAGACCTTTGGACTCACCTTTTGTACTCACTTTTTGTCCTACCCCTTTGAGCTTTCACTAGCACTATCACAATTCATTAGCCAATATTATATTTCCTAGAGCTTTTATATTATTTCTGACCACACACAAAGATCTCTGGGCTAAATAAACACAATTCAATATTTAAATCTTTACCTCTTTAAAGTAAGATGGAACTCATTTAGAAGACTTGTCATTTTTTAGTAAAGTAAAATCTCTAGCCCTCGTGCATATGAATAAACATATGAAAATATACTGCCTCAAAAACCAGAGGCAGATTAGTTTCAGTTGTCCAGAGTAAGACTCCCAATTCTTCAGTCAACTTGTTGTAGGTTTATAGATTTAAAGGCTACACTGTCCTCAAAGACTCCTGGTGGATCACAATATTTCTTTATCCAACTACTATTTGCAGTTTACAGACAGAAAACTCAGGTCAAAAGGTAGTGGTTCCCCTAGGAGACTCAGTGGCCAAAGTTGAGGGATTCTCAAGTTCAAAACCGATCATTTTCACACTGGATCGTACCAGTTACAAAAACAGCTGCCCTTCTGATAAGCACGGTGCAGTCACATGATTTGGTGTAGATGCATGTGGTGGATCTCTGTGGGAAAGTTACCCGCATCTGATAATGCAGTTGTGTTTCTATTTATGAAGTGGCAAATCCTTCCACAAAGCTGCCTACAGAGGCCTTCCTCAACTTGCTGCCAACTCCCATCATTGCCAATGGTTAGCTCTGTAGACAAACTGTAATTAACCGAAGGTGATAGCCATAGAGCTGTTGTGCTGGGATGGCTGTGAAACACTGGCGACTTTATGAAGCAAGTGGAAAATTCACATTAAAGCCAGAGGAAATGGCTTGCTCAAGGAGCCAACCAAGAAGCCCATGGCTAAGCTGGAGTTGGAAGCCATATCCAAGTTTTTCCTCTCGATGCAGCTTTCCTGTTTCTAACCGGAACATAATATGAGTCACAATGCACTGTAAGCTTCAAGGTGAAATGGAAGCCTCTTGCAAGACTACTAAGCCAGAGGCATGCAAGTGTAACTGAAGCCAATGCTCAGGTAGCTGAAGGCTCAGCCTTTCTATAGCGCAGGCTGATCTTCTTTACAGGAAGAGTTGCATCGCTGGCTGACGGAGGTCAAATGAAATCCTCATGGACCTCACAGTGAACTGTGCAGTCTAAACATAGCTGCTTCAGGCTAGAGAGATTTGCAGGCAGGGAATTCTGGGGAAGGAAACTGCTAAGTTAATTTAAGCCCATCCAATGGGAGAGTGGCATTGCATTAATAAGAAGACTCTGGCTGAAAGGGAGAGAGGCAGTCAGAGACCAAACCCTAGTGCATTATAAATATGTTAATGTCACAGCTGAGATGATTACGTTGATACTGTCTGTGGCTGCTTAGAAGAGGGCTTTGTTAGGAAGCAGCGTGTATCTTTCTTAATTAGGCAGCAATGCAGAGTTGGCTAACGAAATAAAGAGGAAAGAGGGTGGATAATTGTACGTTCCTCTTTGCACTGCACACTGACAAAGTCAAACAAACCATCTTCCCTTTTGCTAGGAGCATCCATCCTGGGGAAACACACTTAAATGGCATATAATTGAAAATTCAATGCACTGTCTTCAATGGACTTAGATAGGTTGCAACACATGGTGGTGTTCAGAGGGGAATGAACAGGGTTGGAGGGAGTGGGACAGCGGAGGAGGACACCTGTTTTGCTACCTTGGATATCTTTAACATAAAATTGGCTTATAAAATAAATATAGTAAGTCATCACTGGGCAACTGCATATTCTTATTAGAGCCTATTCAGTTTCTTCTAACAGTTCTTAGGAGAATGTCCCCAGAAGGCCCAACAGGGTTGTGGTAGCTTGAAGAGATTAGCTATCAGTTAATGAGAGGAACATATTAGCACCTTAAAAAAATGTTCTGGACCTGGTTTGCCTCTTTCTCTTCAGACTCTATGCTGCAAACTCATAGTCATGTCAGCAGCTGCACTCTAGCTGGACATATGCACTGCCCACAACCATTTCCTGCTCTTTCCAACCAGTTGTTTTGCTGGTCTGGGCATCCAGTAATGAATAATGCAGAATGCTTCCTTTTCTGATAGCTACACCTTCCCCTCCACACCTGTTCTTGTGACAAGCCCATGGCAGGAGCCATCTTCAGTATCTTCAGCCATCTGTCCCTCTCTCTACCTCCTATTTCTTAAGACAATTCTGCATTGCTGCCTAATTAGGGAAATGCACACAACACACACACACACACACACACACACACACACACACGGCACCAGCATTCTCTACCTGATGCTTCCATCTGGCATGATTAAAATTTGCACATGTTCATTTCAAGGCAGCTGTTATTAGTAACATCATATACTACTAAAATGTAAGATCCTTATGCTGTTTACAAAATGAGAAACCTTTGACCAATTGTGGAATGTGTTTTGCCCAACCCAGTGGGTGGCGCTGTGGTCTAAACCACTGAGCCTCTTGCACTTGCTGATTGGAAGGTCATTGATTTGAATCCACACAATGGGGTGAGCTCCTGTTGCTCTGTCCCAGCTTCTGCCAACATAGCACTTCTAAAGCACACCAGTGCAAGTAGATAAATAGGTACCGCTGCGATGGACAGGTAAATGGCATTTCCGTGCACTCTGGCGTCCGTCACGGTGTTCTGTTGTGCCAGAAGTGGTTTAGTCATGCTGGCCACATGATCCAGAAAGCTGTCTGTGGACAAACACTGGCTCCCTCGGCCTGAAACGAGATGAGTGCCGCACCCCATAGTTGCCTCTGACTGGACTTAACCAGGGGTCCTTTACCTTTATGTTCTACCTATTCTTTTCCATACTTTAAACATGTGTGACCTGAAACAAATCTTGCAACCCAAGTAACTAGTCCATTATGTCCACATAGCTCAGTATCCAGTCACAGAGTTTGTTTTCCCAAACAAAAAGTATGTCAATCATATTTAAACACACACTTTTATTTTTATTTGAATTAAATCCCCATCTAGTCAGTATCAGTAAATGTTTAATAACTCTCTAAAATCAATGGGAAATAGATGATCTGTCCCACAGGATGAGAATAACAATGTGGTAAAAGGTATTGAAGCAAAGCTGAGTGTTTCCTGACACTTACAATAATGTCACATTTGCAATTGAGTCTATCCTGCTGGGGAAATTTGCCACATTTGGCTTCCATGTCAGTTATTGCCTGCAAGCATTCTTTACTTAACTTGAAGTCTCCAGCTTGCTTGCTTTGTGCTGCCCAATGCAAGTACAACTCGTGAAATGCCATGCTGTCTTGGAGAGCTATTATAATGCAACAGGAGAGAGATGCAATATGGTACAGTTTCAAAAGGACAACATGTAACCTGAAAAAGATTTTTGAGGTTGATTCCTTTCAGGGTGCCACTCAAAGCTAATGAGATCTATAGAAAAACCCCTACTGAACATAGTGGCTCATGACGGAATTAGACAATAGTACTACTATTTAAGGGCATGACAATTATATAAAAGAGAGGAACTGGTGAAATTCCAATAATTCCAATCTACCCATGGGAAGTGGAAAACATTTGCATCAGTAGTCTTCCATTTGCACAGCTTTTTGGGAAACAACATAAGCCCAAGGAGATTTAAATTACAATCAATCTTCTGAAAAAAAGAACTGTCAGCAATGAATGGTGGTGGGGGGGTGTTTTTTAGCTGAGTGCATATGCAAAGCAATGTCTGAACATAAAATCTTCCTTATTTTGAATCCCGTAATCACATTTTTCAAATGAAATTATCTACAGAAGCAAAAGGAGAAAGCTTTTATTTATTTAATAAAATATATATTTATATACCGCTAAACTCTACAGAAAACATCAAGTGGTGCACAACAAATATAAAATCACAATAAACATAATTAAAATATAAAAGTGGAAAATGTCATAAGGAACTGGCTAATCACATAAAATTCATCCAACTGTAAAGCCCCGTATTTTGGCCTGGCGAGTGGACATGACTTGGCCAAAGTGACCTGGTGGGACAATTGGAGAGGATTGGCAGATTTAATCAGGCCCACAAGCCAAAGATTCCCCACCCCAGGCTTAGGGTTAGCTTTGCAAGTTTCTAGAGGTAAACTGCTAAGTCCTGAGTAAGAGGCAAGATTTAACTTGTGCACAACGTATCATTTGTTGACCTCAACCAGACATAATAATAAAACCACATCACTGATTGCTTTCAGGACAGCGGTATGGAGAGGGGGAACTCACACGCATGTGCACATGATATATAATTTATTTTGTTTATCAGTCCACTTTTCAAACAGCTATAAAGCTATGTTCCATAACCAGTTAGCAGGAGTACTCACTGCATGAGGCTTCGGATTCATCAGACCCATCTGGGCATTCCTCTTCACCATCACATTTCCACCTGGAAGGAATGCAGTGACCGTTGTTGCAAGTGAAATCACTTTCTGCACAGGTCTTCTTGGCTGAAAGAAGAAATAGGGAACGTTAGACCGTTGGATTCAATTCAACACAATTATTTTCCACTAAGTGCTTCTCAAAGTACAGCTGTAAAAATAATGGATGTTAAGGTAGTCATGTCCATTATTTTCAATAGGTTTACTCTGAGGAGAACTAACACCACCTTTGATGTCTGTCTCTCATTTGATCTTTCAGGCCAAACATGTAATGACCTCTTTGATGAAATAGCTCTAAGACTCACTGATTGCAAGGATAAGGCAGGATACAAATATAAATTTTAAAAATGTAAACCAGTTTATTATTGGTTTAACTTTCATGGTCTCAGCCACCATGGCCAGCTTCACGGTTTTCCCCACATTGTGATTTTTGCATAGCTCACACACCTCATAATTCACAATATATTGCTAGGTCAAAAATTATGAAACTGATATCACAATATGCACTTCAAAATGGTTTTGGACAATATATCACCCAGCCCTAGGGCAGAACGTGCATTCCAAGTGAAACATTATCCTGCGAGACTGGATCAGGGGAGATCATAACAGCATTCACACACTCACACAAAATACCTAATTCCTGAAGCGTCCTTATACTTTGGAACTGGGTGCTGAGATTTTATGATAAAAGTCTCTCAGCTCTTGCAAAGAATTACAGTTCCTAGGATTTTAAAGTAGTTTATATTTGTTGCACAGACATGCCTGAGTGAATGATCTGGTGAACATGAGCTTAACAATAGCTGAAGACAGAGATTAAGTCTCTCTATCCTGATGCAAACACTCAATGCAGCTTTGGGACTGAAAGAGTTGTTGCCATGCCTTGCCAAAGCCCACCACTGGAGGCATGAAGAGTAAAACCACTAGAAAAACAGAGAGAGAGACAAAATGGTATGTAGGATGAAGAATGATCACTGGCCCACTTGGTAAAATATTAATTTTGTTATACCAAAGTCAACTGACAAACTGTAAAGGAATAGTATGTCAACAGAGAGGCGGACATGTAGGTGAAAAAGGGTCTGTGATGGGAGCATTAATTTTCTGATTCATAAAACATGCAGTTTCCTTGCTGTGGCATCCCAAAAATAAATGTTGTAAAGCCTCATCAAACATAAACATAATCTACTCAGATAGGCATTCCATAAGAACAAAGTATATTTGCTTTCCCTTGCATTCAACATATGAATTATGAGTTGACAATAGCGGGTATTTACTTCAGTGTCACCAATAACGGCTCTGTATTAATACAGAACAATTTAGCTAACGGTCCAACAGTATGATGGTCTGCAAGTTTCATTCTCCTGTAGATTCACTTCCTTGTTCTCACAGCATTTTCTACTTGGTCTTATTATCTGCTCCCACTTGATGCCATTGGCTGAACTGCTCTGGCGTCACAGTGACATTCTGCAGAAAGAAGTGTCACAGACCCTCTAGCTGCTATTGGCTTAATTATTTCAACATCACAGAAGAGCGAAGGTGGCATAAGCCAGGCAGCTGAGTACTTAGGGCATCTGAAGAAAAATTAGAATCTAAACTTCAATGTCCATGAGTGATGTTTGCTGAATTACATCCTTTCATTTCGTTTTTATTTTTTGTATTCCAGGGATTATCAAATAACACCTTGGTGCAGACTGCTCCAGGTACATCAGAGTCTTTGTACAGAAACAGATGGTGCATAATGCTCAACCTCATGCCGGCACTGATTTTGAAAGTGGACAGCAACCTGAGCCATATCCAGCTTACATCATTCTAAAGTAGCCTGCTTTGAGAAGACAGCCAATAGCGGAATATAAACTCAGTTTTGAAGGTATCTCCAGACATTATGTGCATGGTGATATAAATTGTCTGCTAAGTTAGACAATGGGAAATTTCAGCACACAAGGAAATACAAAAATAAAATAAAATTGCAGGTGTTGGTATTCTCCCTCTTGAGCTGTGTTAAGATACACTGCAGGCTGTATCTTAAATTTCAGAGTTAAGGATAGAGTTGGCTTAGCATTTATTGAAAAATGGTTGTATAGCTCTCAGATTGTACACTCACACACTTGCCTTTGAATGGACTCCCATGTTCAGGATCAAAAGTTTCTTCTTGGGAAAGATCAAAAGAATTTAGATAGTACAGCATTAAAGTCTAATGGCCTTCATAAAGTATGCGGCCAGTAATTTTTCACATTTTGTTTGATCTGCTTCAGCCTTAAGCATCTAACTTATGATAGTAACATTGCACCCAAGGGGCCCGTTATGTCTGCTTCCAGCCTGCCACTGCCAAACCTATTTATTCACCTTAGTCTGACAAAGCCATTTCCCCGCTGATCTACTCACACAAGCCCAGGCCTGTGGCTTTGAAGCAAGGGACTGCTGCCAGCATCAGGGTCCGTCGACATTCCTGAGTGATGGAGATATGCAGCTCCTTCAACACACAAACCTGCTGGCAGCAGATGGTGTCACTGATTGCTTTGTTCCCTTGGCACTGTTTTTTTGGAAGCACAACTAATTTATTATGAGAAATCACAAAAGGCGAGAAGAAATACATTGTTGACAATGAACCACAAGGTGGCCTTTGGAAGATGTTAATATGCTTGATGTGCATCCCCACAACCAGACAGGCTGAAGCATCTTCTCCTCTGCAATGTCATATGCGCCAAGCCAACATCTGCAGATTAAACTGCAGGGACAAACACTGCTGGTAAGCAAACTGACCCAGGAGGTCTGGTATTCTGTGCCAGATTAATAGAGGAAAAGAAATCCATACGGTCTTTCATCTCAACAGAAGCCATCTAAATATCTCAAAAGGACACTGCAGAGACACATAAAACTCCCGGGCTGTAATTATTCCTACCGCAACAGAGTTCAGGGATCTTGAAATGTGAACACACCCCCAGCGTGCAAATCCTTTCTCTTAATTAAAACAAATATATTTAAACAAATGCCGCTGAATATGATTAACCTTGGAAGATTTCACACAGGCAATTCATTTGCTACCAAATCACTAAATATAACGCTCCTTGAGGGAAAGTGTAGGCCCTTGGCAAAACTATACTCATGGGCCATTTCTTCATTATTATTATTTTTACTGTTTATCACATTTCCATGTCACTCATTTGTATTTGAACTACTTTGCCATAATTATGCCATCCTCATAATAAAGCTGCGAGGGAGGCGACTGAGACCTCCCATTTTATAGATGGGAACTGAGGGTGGGGGAGAACGACTTGCCTGCTCATCTAGGTTAGCAGCAACGATGCTAATGGCAGAAGGGTGACTTCCCTCCCGCTGCTACTATTTGTTGCTGTTGAGCCTGTTTCTGCTGCTCAAGAGTGCAACAAGATGCATGAGATTAGAAGATATCATCATTTCCCTAAACTGTGTGGAAACCAATTCAGCTAGGAAAGAACCAGAGAGATTCCTTTGCTACTCAAAACAAGTTTCTAATGGCTGCTGTTTGAAACAAAGATAAGCTGTATGTTATGTACTGAGCTGAATCCTAGAACAATAGGATCCAGAATGCAGCAGTCGGATTCGTCCGCAGGAGCCACCCAATCCAGCTCCAGGTGGAAGTGAATCAGCGACCTGATTTGCCTGCAGGAGCAGCCCGGAACTAGCCAATCACGCAGGGCCCATTGTGTAAATAATGTATATATAGCTAGATGTTTTGGGGAAAGATTCATTCATTGCTACTATGAGCTGAATAAAGAGCATGAAATTCACACTCGACTCCGAGTATATTTCATGTATTAACATTTTCAGATGAACTTTGCAGAGCAAAGAGCTGGTGTTCAGACAACATTTGATGTGGCAGTAAGACAGCATCCTTGAATAGTATTAGGAACTCAGATATATAAGATGGGGACCAAATGGCTTCTTAAACCTAGGTTACAGTCACCAAAATGGAATGTCTAGTTGCCATTTTGGGGCAAGATGGCTTTAAAGTCTTATTTTTCGAATGATGGACTGACTGTGATTGATTGTCAGTTAAACATCTGGCTAGTGCAGATGACAACCTTCAGCTAGGTTAAGAACTTTGAGAACTTAAAGAAGAAAAGTCACTTAATTAAGGGACAGTTCTTATATGTATTGGCCTTTTCCTACCTATTTTTCTTAATGGTGACACGGACCGTTTATAACCCCAGGGTAGTGGGGTAGGGCAAGCAAAGACAAGCTACAGCAATTAACTATAACGCTGTGCACTATTCCTGACCAACCACCAGGAGTAGAAGTTTTTCAGGACCTCCTCCACCAGGTTGAAGAGCTCAAAGTCTCCGCTTTCCCAAATGAAGGTGGGCTGCACAAGCAGGAGTGAGAGACAGCAGCAGCGACTGGCACCCAGGGAGTTTTGAACACTTGGCTTGAACTGAATTCTTTTGTCTTGATTTTTGCTATACATTTTTAAAAATGCATATTTATTGAAAATTTGCAATTCTGAACACATTTACCTGGCGGTATGCCCCATTGCACTCAATATGACTTACTTCTAAGGATGTGAAGAACTTCTAATTGCAGCTGACTTTTTTTTTTTTAAAAAGAAGATAAAATTCCATTTATGTTTATCCATTTCTTATCTGTGCATCATAATGAGCTTTTTCACAGTTGCCAGTTTAAACGTTTTAAACACCAGGAATGCTGAATATTAAATTGTATATGAAAATTGATGTATCTCAATTGATTTATCTAAGCAAATGTACACCATAGACTTGCCCAATATTTCCTCACATAGAACAGAAAGGTAACATGGAAAAAACTGAAGAAGTGTGCATGCATGCGAAAGCTCATACCAATAACAAACTTAGTTGGTCTCTAAGGTGCTACTGGAAGGAATTTTTTTATTATGGAAAAAACAAGTGAGCTTCATGGAAAAATATAAGCTGTATAATAACCTTTCTTTGTCTCACCTACTCCTGCCAAGCTGCAATTCCTTTCCTCCGCCAACTCCCCCCACCCTGCCATCTCATTCGCTAAAACCACTATATACCCAGTAATTGACGGGGTCCACATATGCAATTGTCAGATCAGTTTACCTTTTACTACAGGTGTAATGAGTTTGTTTTTTCAGCTGCCAGCCATGCTGGTAAGCAGATGGTGCCTCTTCAAGAATGTCATCAGCCTGCCAGAGTCAGAGCCATGCATTGGATGGGTTGCTAGAGATAGTCACCCCACTTACCACTCCTTCCCTGTTAAATCCCTTGTCAGGAAACAGGTGCAAAAAATCCCCCACGAAAACACAACCCTGCTCAGTTTGGCTTTGTTGTTCTTGGACGAGGGAAATTTGAGCTTCCCTGTCTTACAAGGTATTACCAAATTGTTTACCCTCAAGATCAGCCAGCATCTCTTGATCAATGACTACTGAATATTGCACAGGAAAAACAATTCTTAGAGACAAAGAGAAAGTGCATCCTGGTACAAGCATTCTATAGATGTTTTGACAGCAAAATTATAACAGATTTTTATTTTATTTTTTTAAAAAAGCCCAACTGTTTATTTTAGCCCACAAGGCGATTTCAAACACCCATCAAACATAAATTAATCTTCTCCAATGAGCATTTCAGCGGCCATTCAAAACAGTTACCAAGGCCTGAATCTGTTCTTTTGTGCTTGTGATTTTGGAATTGCTGGGGAAGGGCAGTTCTTTTTGTTTAATGATTTAAATGCAAGGAGAAGATAAAAGAGAAAGGGTGCTACACTATATAAACGGCTGCTTTAAAGGCAGCCATCTGCTCTGGTTTTTATGGGATCATTCAACAAGGCAATGCCAAATCCTGCAAGCTGTAACAGTTCTGTTGCAATCAGACATGGGTTATGTTTGCAGAAATTGAAAGATCAGATTACAGGCATGATCCAAAGAAGGACATAAACAATGTCAACAGGTAAGGAAAGAGATTTGTGGTGATGGCAGTCTGAGGGTCTGGGAAGAAGGGGAATGGCACATGCTTGAGGAAATGCGTCACAAAAGCAGGTGCCACTGCTATTAGATAAGAAGGTGAGGAACTGCTAAGAGCCTAAGGAAAAGAGGCAGGAAATTGGCAGCTGAAAAGATCAGGGCAGAATTTTATTTATTTACATTTGTGTGCTGCTCATCCAACCAAGTTCACAGGATAGTTTACATGAAGAATAATTACAAAAGCAAGAAGACCAACAAAAAACCTCCTAGAATTGCCACATGGCGCGACCACTAAAATGATTTAAACAACAAAAACCAGCACTAAAACCAGCCAAGGGCACATGGTCCAAAAACTAAAGCAATCAATGGAATATTAAGAAGGCCTGGGAGGAACAGGAAGCTTTTCTCCTAGTAACTAGAAGACAAGCTGAGCCTCTCTGCGGAGGGGTTTTTGCCACTGAAAAAGCTTGATCCTTAGCAGTTATTCACCTCACTTCATTATATGGGGAACCTGGAGACAGGCCTCTGAGAAAGTTCTCAAGGTCTGGGCAGGTAAGGAAGGCACACTTCAGAAATCCAACAGGGAGGTTACCAGAGGATGGGTAGCTGTTGCAACACTATCTCTGCTCACCTAGGATTGCAGCTGAAATGGACAAAAGCACTCCATCCCACCAAGCCCCCTGATGCTCAGCGACAATACTAGATCTAGGAGCACACACAATGCACCCTATCCATGAGCCTGCTCCTTCAGGGTAAGTGCAAAATAATTTAGGATAAGTTGAATACACCAGCCTTGACAGATGAAGCACCCACCAATGATATCTCTGTCTTGTCTGGACTAACTCTCAGTTTCCTGCTCCATTACTAAGCCCAGTCACTGGTAGAACACACAGTGCCTCACCTGCAAAATTCAGAGACCTACTGGCTATATAAAACATAACCAGATTCTGAGTGGTGTAGGACTTTATCTATTAGTATCAAAACCTTGAACTTGGCCCAGTAGCAGATTGGCAGCAAGCACAAATTCTCTAACCAAGGTGTGATATGCTGGTGTTAGTTTGCCCCCACAAGCAAACTAGGGGCCACATTCTGCATTAGCTGCAGACTCTGGACCAACCTCAAGTATACAGCACACTATACATACAGCACATTGCAGGAATCCAGCCTTGAGGTTACCAATGCGCAGACATCTGTTGTCAAGCTAGTTCAGTCCAGAAACAGTCACAGCTGTCTTTATCAGCCGAAGTTGGTAAAACAAAGCACTCCTAGTCACTGATGACACCTGTGGCTCCACTGATGGATCTAGGATCACCTCCAGACTATGCATCTGCCCCTTCAGGTAGAATGCAATCCCATCCAGGGCAGGCAATTTCCCAGACCTGGGAACCACTCTACCATAGAGTCCCTGTCTTGCCAGAATTCAGATTCAGTTTATTTGCTTGCGTCCAGACACTGGTCCATGGCCTTTTCATCCATTTCTGATCCAGATGTTAGAGAGAAAGAGCACTGGATATCATCAATGTACTAATTACATCTAGTTCCAAATCTCCTGCTGACCACACGCAATATAGATGTCAAATAGAATTGGGGATAATATAGTGCTCTGTAGCACCCCACAAGAAATACTCATCCAGTCTCCTGGAACTTCTTCATAAAGGGCCACGGCTGAGAGGATATACAGTATCACTGAGTGCATACTTGCAAGCTGTCCTTGTTAGCAGGAGACCTATGATGTAGACAAAGGTCTGTGACAAGGTTTGTGACATGTACAAAGGCTCCATCTTCATAGAGCCTCAAATTGGAAAATAGCAATGTCATCTGACTTTAAACTCAGCAGGTTTCAAGCCAGCAGATGACAGCTGCCTTCAGTTTAGCATCTTCTGTTGCACTGTCTGTGTCCAGTCTGAAATTTTGGAAACGACAAGGATTCCTGCTCAGCGACTATCTAAGCCCAACTTTGAGATTTGCTCTGTTCAATAAAAGCCCAGCTTGCAGGATAAATTGAGTTTACACACTTGATTTTAAAAGGTCTGCTCATCTTGTTCCCAAAGGCATAAAAATATTGCAGCAGGTCGACAAGACCTCTAAATTAATATGCCAGTCTCTGCATACTCAAATATTTGTGTGTCCCCAGGCAAAATGTGCATGCCAGACTTTAACATATGCCTTGTAAATGATTGGATAAATCCATGGGAATTGAATTCAATACACAAAATGCCCAGGGCTTATTACCCATTTTTTTCTGAGTTGGAACACACATTTTGCATACACATTTGATAGGTACTTCCATGTCAAGAGGAGCTTCTGCTTGTGCAAATGCAGTCCAGTGCAAAAGACAAGAGCCATGTCAGGGGACGCTGTTCAACATTTCCCCAATGAAAATAGGGACGTCCTAAGGGAAAGCGGGACTGTATGGAGCAGAAATCCAACTGTGCAACAGGACTTCCTGTTTCTATTCTCGCCCCTCCATCCCCGTGAGCCCCCCAAAACTGGTAATGCATGGGAGGGGGGCAGCAGGGAGGAAGAGAAGAGTGAGAAGTTCCATTCCATGGATGAGTGCCCCCTTGCACTACACTGGAACTCACCATATGGATGCACTAAAAGTTCAGTCTGTTCTCTCATCTGAAGGAAACAAGACGTGTAATAATGTATTATTTACAAACATATACAGAAATGCTTGTTTCTTTTCTCAGATGTTTGTGTGCAGCGAGAAAGCAGTCTGGAACTATCAAGAAAAGGCGTTATTAGAGTTATGAGCAGAATCTGTTGCTAGCAGCCGACTGGGAAATGAGTTGTTGGGCTAATCTATGGAATAGGAAATTAAATGTGCAGCAATGTGCCCTGATCACTCTGCTTTGCAAAAGAGAAGAAAAAATCCTTACTGTGCCTGAGTTTTTTTGCTTTTAAAAATTTCACGGCATTGTGAAATAGCTTTATACACTATGCAGTCACCTTAAATTGAATCATAATGTTTGTTAGTAACTCACAATTCCAGTAACAAAAGGATTACATTTTTTAAGCAATTCAAAAATTAAGCTGTTAACAATTGCCACATTCTCACGGTGAAAGCAAGAGAAGCCTGAATTCACAATGCAAGAGGTGCAAATTTGATAACCATGACTATTACAGGAATTTGCCACCATTCAAAGCAGTAACAAACAATGCAGCCATAAAACTGCTTGTATCCCTCAAGTCTATTTTGCATAGCATATTCAAACTTTATACAATCCAAGTTTTCCATTTAAGCAAAATCGAACACTTAAGTGCTCAAGAATGTAGACAATTAAAATGTTTGTGTTGAGCAAGTTAAAATAAGACAAGGGTTATGTTTTTAAAAGAAAAGGAAAAGAAGCACCTGCAACAGATGCTAATGATGACAACTATCTGCAGTAGGAAGGCTTTCCAATGAATGGAAATTGTACACATAAAATGCAACATGAGGAGCACCAAGATGAAGACAGACATCTCTCGTAACTTGACCATATACGATAAAGAACAAAGATTTGGAAGCATAATACTGTTCCGTTTATTCATGAGGACACACTTCACTTTGGACTTGACTGAACCTAATCGCCAATAAAGCTGGCTGAATTATATATAAAAGCTATTTTAATAAACCTTTCCAAAGCCAACATCAGTTGCAAATCGAACAGCAGGTTTCACTTCCAACCCAAGCCTGTTACAGTGGAACGATGCCAAGCAAATGTCTATTAATATTCTAACACAAAGTGCTGGTTTCCTTGGTTTTCCGTGCTCATGCAATAACTTGAATAATCAGAGTCGCTTAAGGATTTACATTACAGCCCTCAGCAAAACAGTATGTTAATATACCCACCTTACACAATTTCAGTGCAAAGATTAATAAAGTAATTTTATCACACCTAAATGCAGAGAGTAAATTCAAAGTGATGCACACTGGAACAAAAAAACCCTCACTTTACAAATATGCTGATGGGTGGGTGAACTGGTTCACATACTAAAATAAACCAAAGTTTATTTTAAATTATGGTTTAACACAAAATCCTTTGCAGTGTCAGAAAGGAAACATTCCAGAGGCTGACTTTCATGTTACTTGTGAACACAATGCTCATGGTTAATTTTCACCAAAAAAACCCCCACAAGCACTGGTTCACATGTAAGGAAAGCTAGCTTCTGGTTTATTTCCACCCTTGCACAGAAAAGGATTAGCAGGAGAGGAGTGGGTTAGGAAAATCTGAGCAGAATGTACGGGCACACTACTCATTCATATTAAACTATAGTTTCAAATAAATTACAGTTTAATGCAGAGAATGGGGCACCAGGGCCCTCCAGAGGTGGCCAGACTACAACTCTTTGAACATTTCAAAAGCACTATGAAAATGCTTACCATATTAGTGAGTCCCATTCTGTCTGCCACTGGCTTTTGTACCACAAAATCTATCTGCGATCTAAAGCCATTTAGGTGCATGTAGGTAAGTTATGCATCAGCATTAATTTTATTCAGAGGACAAGTAAAACAGGTGGATTTTGGGGGGATGGGGATGAAATAAGTGAGTATATTTTATTCTTGCTTGTGCTGCTTATTTTATTTGTACAGTGGAATCTCAGTTTTGGAACATAATCCATTCCGGAAGACCATTCGACTTCTGAAACGTTCGAAAACCGAAAGCGGAAGCCTCAATTCAATAGGGAAACTCAAAATGAAAATTGTTCGAAAACTGAAGCAGTAACTTCTGGGTTTTCAGTGTTCGGGTTTCGAAACGTTCATCAACGGAAACGTTCAAGAACCGAGGTTCCACTATAGTGGTTATTTATTATGTTGATGTGCTTATGGAAGCAGTTCCATTAGTGTTAAGGCTTCTAGCTGTGCAATGGAACTTCCCCTCCCTTTCCTCTTCTCCACACAGCTGCCTCAGGTGACAGAATCCAAGGGGTGGTGACCCTGCAGGAGAGAAGCAGCAGCAGCAGCAGCAGCAGGAAAAGCTTCTGGCTGGGTTCCAGTGAGAAATATGGCAGGCGGTGCCTCCCCCCCGAACTTGCTCATCTTTTGCAAGATCTTGCAGACCTCTCACGAGATCTCGCCAGAACCTGGAAGCTGCTGTTACCCACCCTGGTGGTGGTGGGGAGGGCCCCTTTGGCCGTGAAATGGGATCAGCTGCCCCTGTCTCCACATCACATGTTCTACGGGTTTCTCCAACACACATGAAGAGGGAAGGGAAGGGTAGTTCCATTGTACAAACAGAACTATTTCACTGGCTATTGCCCCCTGCTTTACTGTTAATTGAAATTTTAAGATTACTGTTTACGACCCTGAAAGTCTTGCATGAAGGGTAAACCACAGATACCACTTATAAATACATAAACATTGTCACAAATGTCCAACATTAGAACTGTTCATTCATTCATTCAGTTTTGGATGATTAACTTCTTACTGGGGAGAAGCCTTACTGACTTCTATAGGGCTACTTACATTAGGAAATTAGATTTGGCCCCATATTTCAGATCATCAGGAGATGGTGGAACACAAAGCGCAGTCAAATCACAAATAAATTCCAGTTATTAAAAATGCCAGGCGCCGTAGTTCTGCAGATTGACCTGAGTTTCATTACAGCTCCTGGCAACCTATTAATTAAAATGCATTATTTATATCTGGGAGCCTTGGTTGCAGTTTATAGAATTTAGGCAATTACATCAAATTAATCCTAGCTACAATCAACATGCCTCTTCTCTTTTGCTCCAGTGTGAGATAATCTCCCCTTTCCCCAAAAGATCTGCCCATAAAGCACCATATATTAACAAACATCCCTTTCTTCTCAGTGTGTTTCCACAAAAGTAAAAGCAAGTAATCAAAGAAACAGTGTTTTTCTCTACTGTACAACATATTGGGACAGTGAAAGAATATCAATTCAGACCAGTTTAAAAACAAACAAACCTTTGCATAGAAAACCCAAAAATCTTCCTCATACAGCAGACCCTTTGGAACAGAATAAGGCCATTAACTCAGAAATATTTGTACTAATTATGTTATTCCATCATCACTTTCTAACATCTCCTGCATCTACCAACTTATCAGGGGCAATGCAAGAGATTGTGCTGCCTGTGTTGTTTCACCCCACCTTCATTCCTCCTCTCTCTATTCCCACTGACACCCCCCACTTTGTTGCCACAATAGCTGAGGCTTTACTGGTGCACCCCTGGTCTCAACACAGCTCTGCTTCATCTAGCCATGTCCAAGTAAGCTGAAATGATGCCAGTGCTGCAAGGGTGGCTCTGTCTAGCCACAAGGGCAGCTACCAAGGACAAAATATCTGTGATGATAAAGGGGTACCTGCTTTGCCAATTCATATTTCAGGGGTTCAGATCTCTGAGGATCTCCTGCACTCTTCTGCTGTTTTGGCTTCAGTGGACCATCTTATTTCCCCCCCACAACTAACAGTTTCAAAGACAGTTTTGGATCTTTTTAATTCCAAGAAAGAGCAATGGGGTTCTTTTATTCCAATATATTTAATATGCAAGTGCTTGCCTGCCAGTGACTCCCTTGGTTTTGCAGAAAGATAGATATGTTTTAAAACATAGATTATAGATGTATAATTGGCAAGTGCAACAGAGTCTGCTGTATATTTTAACATTCAGAGGTGTCTGGGATTTGAATCATTACTCAGGAAGGAGGAAAACGGAGGCACCAAAGACACACCTCAAAT